GCGTATGTCCGTACGCCCGTACGTCCGTATATGCCTTCGTCTATGGTAGACGCCACTATACTTTATTCCCTCTTTTTCTGCCAACTAAGAAGAACAATACATGATATCAAACAAAATAAAACAATAGGTTTTTGAACCTTGATCTATATGATGTATACCAATTTCTTGTACTTTTTTTAATTCAGGTTATAACCTAGTTACGACACTAGCTAATACATACATATATTTTGATACGTCGCGTATATCAATTAGCCAACAAATAATAAAGTGTTTTGAAGGCTAAATAGAAAATGCATGACAACAGTTGATAGCCATAATATTATCATGTTTTGGATCGGTTTAAATGAATTAGATTTGCTAGAATAGACTGGGATTGATGTTTAGATCGTAAGTGAAAGTTGTTGATCGCCGAAAATAGTAAAATCTATATACTATATCAATGCAAATATGTGAATTACACATATCAACAAACTAAATTGTCATGTGGGAACCAGCCGACAAAGGATGAAAAGATAAGCTAGTGTAATAAATAGGGAAAGGTAACAATTATTAACCAGCTTTGTCATTGCTAGTTTTTTTTTCTTTTGTTATTGCTAGTTAGCACTTATGGCTTTGCTACAAATAATGGACCAGTTTGATTGCGAACTAACGTTTTTATCAAGGTTGTAAGTGGGTTTTTAATTGTTTAAACAAAAAAGTGGGTTTTAAATTGAATTAAAAAATGGTGCATGCAGTTAAAAATAACAGTAAAAACGATGTGTGCAGTTAAATATAAATAATTTTTTTTCTCGTCATATAGAAGTATAAAACAAACAAAAATCCAAACTACACACATGTTTTTCTATGGTTTTTGTGTTGGGTTGTGCACACATATTTTGTTGGTGTGTTATATGGCTATTAGTTTATTAGTTACACTTGTACTTTCTTTATTTTAAAATAAGTGTTATTTTGGTATTTTTTATACAAATTAAGAAAATCATTAAAAAATTTGTTTTACACTTTGTTTATACACAAAATAACATTCTCTTTCTAATTAAAACAATAAAAGTTAAAGATTAAAATTAGATATTTATTTAAAATTATGCATTGAAAATGTAAATTAATATTTTTTATGAAAGAAAAATAAAACTTTAGAATGATATTTATTTTAAAACGGAGAGATTATTGTTTTGTTGAGTAATAACTTTTGAAACAGTAGCAATCAACCAAAGTGTGGATATAAATCGTGACGGAAGTCACACGTATCGGAAATGGAATCTATGCGACATTGTACAAATTTGTATTATGTTTCTATAGGCTTGAGCTATTCTTTTTTTCTTTTAAAAGGCTCGAGCTATTAATAGCCGACAATTGATGGGAGGGTGATAATGTAATTAAATAGAGTAGGGTAATTACAATTAAGGATATTATAATCCATCGTTTTCACTTCATTGATCGCACGTTTCTTCTAGAGCTTCCACGTGTACCAATCTCATGCCATCATCATACATTAACCAGACTAAAAATCACCATTCCGAATCCGCTGCTGAAAAGTTTTAACATGTTCACTCATGTTACCATCATGTGTCAGTGCTTGTAGTTGTAATATATGACCTGGTCTAAATTTATTACTCTTATGTTCGTCACAAAACTAACCCCATTAATTACGCTTAATGTGATTATACTCATAATTAGACAATATCTGACGTGTTCCGCAAAATTTCTAAAGATAGATGGGATATTAATTAATCGATGTTAAGACAATAGCTAGCTGTCGTTCGTACAAAAAAATTAAAATCGCTTATATTTTTCGTGGATATGAATTAACGAGAAAAAAAATTATGATGTTAGCAGCAGCTTGAAGTGTGAACTAACAGCTAATTATTTCAAGGCTGTATGGCTGTAGACTCCAACTACCAAAATTTACTAGAAATAATAGAAGCTAACGTACACTAATTAATTTCAAACGATGTGTATATGTCAAGAAAATCAATCGTTGTCGCCTGAATAGCGACTTTACATGGTGAAGTAGACGATATGGAAACCAAATTTGAATGAGAAGAAAAACAAAATTCATAAATTCAATAGGGAACTATAAATTCTAGAATTGGAGCACATAGCAAATAAACACCTTGTATCTTTTTGGACATATAAATACTTTTTTTTGTCAACTCATACAAAATAGTTTTCACGCATATTTAATTTGATCATATGTTTTTTTGTTAAATAATTTGATCATATATATGAGGAATTCCCGTCAAATATACACTTTTGTTATTTTTAGTATTTTGCAGCCGTAGTTTTCTGTTTGATACATCCTAATAGAAAATAAAACAAACCTATATGTGTCAGGTTTCATGAAATCACAAGTTCCAACGAAGTATAATTTCATAACCTTTTTAGTAAGAAAAACAATTAGTCTTTTACAATACTATTAAACAAATGATGTAACAAAAAAACTAAAAACAACTTGATCCTAGCTGAGAGCTATGGTCTAGTATATTAGGGATTTAATTAACTATGTTATGGTCCTGTCAAAATGGTCACGTACTCTGTTAAAAACACGGTTGTTAAAATGCAGAGATTTGTTAGTTTGTATATTAAAAATGGAAAAACTCAAAAAAAAAAATTTGTATACTTTTTGGAAGTTATTAAATATTTTTTGTTTTCTTAAGAATTTTATCTTTATAAATTTAAATACAAATAAAGAAAAGATATTCTCTTATGTGCATTAAGGTATCAATTGAAATCGATACTACAAGAAAACAGTCCTTTTGCGTCAGAAATTTACGATGGTGAATTGTGGTTGCAATTTGCGACGCTTGCGACGGATTTGCTAGAGAAAAATAGTGTCTCGCTAATCTGTCGTAAATTGCAATATCAATAGCCCATCGTAAACTGACCGCAGCTTTGCGACGACATTACGACGAACTTGCAACCGATAGGGAAATTACGACGAACAAACAAAACCGTCGCAAAGTACATCGCAATTTGCGACGGGATAGTGAAGAAGAAATTTTGTTGCAACTTTGCGACCAACTTGCGACGAATTTGCGTGGATACTCAAAGTAGGTGAACCACGTTTTACTCCCTTCCCACCGGCCTAAGTAGTTAGGTACATAGTCGCAAATCAGTCGGTTCTGTATCACAAATCCATCGCAAATTGCTCGCAATATATTATGATGTCGCAAATCTGTCGCATTCGTCCGTCGCTAAGCCATCGCAAAATTTCTGAATGTCTATAAATAGCTTTCGGAAGTTAGTGAAACAATCACAACAGAAAGAAAGAAAGAAATAAAGAAAAATAAAGAAAAATACGACGACATATTTTGCGACGAGTTTGCAAGATTTCTTTATGTCGTAGTACTTGCGACGAAACTTTTCATCGCAAAGTCTACGATGGATGTGCGTTGACTTTTCTCCGTCACAAATCTTGCGATGGACTTGCGACGTTTTAGATTTGCGGCTAAGGATTTGCGATGTTTTCTGTTTCGTCGCAAAATCGCTGCAAATGTTCTTTTGCGACGGTCTTGCGACGTATACCTCCGACGCAAATGACCTGTTTTCTTGTAGTGCGAATTCAAGACAATATAAATGACGATCTAAATGAAACATTACAAACGTTAAAAGAAACTAAAACGAAACCGAAAACAGCCAGTTTTATTTTAGGTCAAAACCAGAAATATAATACTGTAGTAACTAATCTCATTAATTGATGTACCATTTAATTTGATGTGTCGCCTAGACATGAAATGATGCAGTACTATAAAAATGTCATTTGAAAAGTAAACGTGAATGAGGATTTTCCCATAAACAAATAGTAAACAGGGACGTTATTATATCTTTCTTTAGACAAACACCTACCACAACTAAATTAGATTAGATTAACGAAGAAGTGATATGTTCGACTGCGTAAAAGATTAACGAAGAAGTGATCTAGGCTTATAAGTGTCGAAGATTTCAAGTTCGTTAAAGACCACGTGAGGGGAGAGTCGTTAGTTGCTTGTAACATAATGGAGACAAATCCGTTCTTTTACTCATGATCTTAATTTGCATGTTCATAAAAATTGATCCGCGATGGATCGAGCTTCTTGAGAGAATGGTGAGTTAAGAGTCGTAATTAGAGAGAGAGACGGTTGATTTGTAATCTTTAAAGTTTGATAGTGAAAGTATATGCGTGAAACAACGTCCGTGACGTAGGTGCCTGGACGTGGCACCCAACTTGTAAATTATATTCTTCTGTTTTTGACTATTATTTTGGGTTAATATAAAAATCAAAAACCAAAAGTCGGTTAAATGAGTTTGTCTAAAGTTATATAGTGAATCTTTAGAGTCAATCTGAACACTAGTAATTTCAATATTAGGAAATTATAAAAGGAAGAATTAGTTGTTCAGAGAAGAGTAGACTCGGCCCTGAGAAAAAGCTCTTAATTTTTTTTTTATTAATTTTTTTTTAAAGAAAATCAATTTAAAAAAAAAAGAATTTTGATGAATCATGTTGTACCACATTAGCGAGAGTCGTTCCTTTAGTCCCTGCGCAGAGAGACACCTCTGTCCTTCAAACTCGCCACATCATTAAAAAAACTTTTTTTTTCCCTTAAAGCCCTAAACAAACTCTGCATTGCAGATGCTCTAAGCAGATCAAGTATGAGTTTGCGGTTTTTATTTTTACATAAAAAATTTATAAAAAATAGCTTATTTTTAAAGAAAAAGTTTTAAAACAATTCTTTTTATCTGTAGACTGCGACATTCACTATTTTTTTAAATTTCTGGGCTGGTTTTGGAAAAGAGCAATCCTCGACACTAAGCATATAAAATCTCACCTATATAATCGGTAAATGCTAAATACACTCGTAATTGCAATGCCAACCCTTTGATTATCATTGCCACGTACGTGGAGAGAAAGGGATGACTTTTTAGAAAAGCAAAGGAAAATGAGTAAATGCTCCTCGCTGTCTCTATTGACTATATTTTCCCTTAAATCAGAGGCTTGTTTGGGGATCAGCAGCCACGTAGAGGGGATTTTGTTTGTTTTAATATTTTCTATTTTTTGTCAATATTTATTTATTTTTGTAAAACTTGTAATTCATAGGCTAGCCTCGTTTCGGTTTAAATATGTGTATGTGTGTCTTTATTTCAATGCATATAGATCCAAAGAACGACCCATGTGACCTAAATGCTTGTCTTTCTCCTCAACATCCAAAGTCTTTAATGAACCCTCCCTTGTAATAAGCAAACAACAACAACAACAAAAGAGCTAAAGAGAATTAAAGATTCAATGAGAGAAGGGGAAGACTCTTTGCAAAATTCCAATCTTGGAGTCTTATAACTAGTTACTATATAGCTTACACACACACACACACCATACCTACGTATATATATTATAAGGAGTAAAAGAAGTAGAAGAGAAACAGAGGAGACAATCAAGAGCGCATGCGTGTGGATATGGGTAGACCACCTTGCTGCGAGAAGATGGCGGTGAAGAAAGGACCATGGACTCCTGAAGAAGACATAATATTGGTCTCTTATATCCAACAACATGGCCCTGGAAACTGGAGATCTGTTCCTACAAACACCGGTAATTTATCTTTCTTTCTTGTATTTATTTATATCTCATCCTTATTAGCTTTTTTTTTGTTGTTGTTGTCAAACTTCATCCTTATTAGCTTCCGTAGATAAAATATACATGAATAAATGTAAAAAGATATATGAATATATATGTTTTAAAGCTAACATATAAACCATACATGTATATATGTTTTCAGGTTTGCTAAGGTGTAGCAAGAGTTGTAGACTTAGATGGACTAATTACCTTCGTCCTGGGATCAAACGAGGAAATTTCACTCAACCTGAAGAGAAAACGATCATCCACCTCCAAGCTCTTTTGGGTAACAGGTATTTGAAGTTATTCCTTTGATTATTTATTCTCCAATTATAGAAACTGTGTAAACTATATAGTTTGATAGATGTTAGAGAATATCATGCATACTCAGTTGTAACTAGTTTTTGAGTAGGAAACTGAAACTTTATAATATATTTAATTATTTTCATCTCCAATATCTTTGTTTGCCGATCTCGCATATTTCTCCTATAACATTTCATTTATCGTTTAGTGTTTTGTTTCTAATTTTTATTGATTTAATTGGATGTCGTCTTTGAAAATCAGATGGGCAGCCATAGCATCATATCTACCTCAGAGGACCGACAACGATATCAAGAACTATTGGAACACTCATCTGAAGAAGAAACTCAAGCTGCAGCGTCAGGAAAACGGCATCACCAACATGACAGAGACATCGTCTTGTGATGACAACAACAACAGATGTAGCAACAACAAAAGGATCGCCAACAAAGGACAATGGGAGAAAAAGCTTCAAACAGACATCAACATGGCCAAACAAGCCTTATTCCAAGCCTTATCACTTGACCAATCATCTTCATCGATCCCTCCCGATCCCGACTCACCAAAATGTCGTCATCATCGTCATCATTCCGCCACCGCTACTTATGCCTCAAGCGCAGATAACATCTCTAAGTTACTACAAAACTGGACAAGCTCATCTTCTTCAGTGCCTAACACTTCATCACTCTCCAACAACCGGAGCTCAAGCACCGGTGAAGGAGGAATTCTTGATCGTCACTCTTTGTTCTCATCAAACTCAGAATCTGGATCAGTTGATGAGAAGTTGAACTTGATGACGGAGACAAGTATATTTAAAGGTGAGAGCAAACCAAGTATTGACATGGAAGCAACTACTAATGCTACTACTGATGATCATGGCTCCTTGTCTTTGCTCGAGCAGTGGTTGTTTGATGATCAAGGATTGGGTCAGTGTGACGACGATCAAGAAGATCTCATTGATGTGTCTCTAGACGGTAAACATAATGATACCAACAGTCAAGATTTGTTCTAAGAAAGAAAACAAGCGGAGTAACTCTACATGTCTGCCAAGTATTAGGTAGTCTAGTGGTTTTCGTCTCACGCAAAATGAGTCTGCGTTCTGCATCGATCCTACTCCTAGTTCGAACTTTGTTTAAGATAAATGTATTTAATCATAAGTTAATGATCCCAGCCTAGGGAGATTACGGGCCAAAAGATTCCGGAACTTCCTCGAAAAAGAAAAAAGAAACTATATAGCTAGGTTTCAATTATTCTTCTTTTTCTTTCTTCGAATATCCCTTCAGGTTAATTTTTAGTTAAATTTTATTTTACTGTGTGGCTTGGTTGTTGTCAAGTCGACGAAGATAAAACTGTGAATTGTGATGTACTTTTATGTATGTGAAATCAGTATTATTATTTCTTTTTGATAAACAAATCTTTTTTTTTTCTTTTTCCGGGATTGAAATTCGTAATCTTGCAATTTATGTTAGTCATGACATATTATTTACTACTGGTCAAATTCTACCCATGGTTAACTTGTTTTATATCAGCTGTACGAACTTTTTGTATCATTAACAAATAAATTTGATCCACTGTTTTATTTTATTCAGTTTCTATCAGCATTACATGTTATTTTTGGGAAATATTGGATTGTGATGTATTTTTCAATATTTAAACAAGTGTGTGGATGGTGTACGTTTAGTTTCTGAAGAAAATCAAATGGTGATAATGATCTTCATTAAATCTTTGAAGACTACGTGCATTAATGACAACTATTGGATTGGAGATATTATACCTTTTTGTGAATGATTTTTTTTATCATATTATCTACAAAATTGACCAATCATCATTTAGTGTAAAGCAGGCACCAATCGCATATATAAAATTAATCGTGATTAGTGAAAAGAAATCCTACTAGTATAATTAATAGAAAGTATTTTTTTGGTCTTTTCCTATCCTATAATAGGATTTAGTAATGACAAACAAAAAAAACTGAATACTGATTTGATTGGTAGATAACTTAATAATCTTTAGTTATCTATATCACTACACTACCCTAGTCAAAATATAACACATATTCAATCAGTTATTGTAGTTTTGTTCAAGTAAAAAAGGAAACCTTCTTTTATTATTATCATATCGACTTCTGAAATTGAATAAACTTGCAAACTCATAATCATTGTAGTGTGGTATCAAACGTGTTGCTTACGATTTGGTACATAGAGTCATCAACGTCATCGACTCAGTCAATAACGAAATAGAGCCCATTCTACTGGGCCTCCCTATAACCCAACATCATAGGCCTCTATACTTAGTTAACACAATAACATTTGTTTGAACTTTGAAGAACGGCATGTTGACAACAACAACAAGAAGAATTTCTCATTAGTGTTGTACATCTTGAAAAGCCTCTTCATTCATCTGCAACAAGTTTTCGTAATATTCGTCTACATATTGTAAACAAACCATCAAAACATAATTAGTAATGTTAATATCAACTTTTAATGTTCACATACACGAATTGAATTGATCTCTCTAGTTCTTTTTTTGCCTTCTCTAAAAGTAAAAACATCATCCACTGCATGCTATTTGAGCATTTTCTACGAATTGAATCGTTTTAGAAAGGGAAAACACAAAAAAAAGAATGTAAATGTCGGATTAAAAGGACAGAAGCATGTGATCTTTAAGGGCGGGCCTTTGGAAATCACATCGATCCCATGTATCAAAGGAACTCATCTTCACTTCAATCATTTTCTCAAACCCATCTCTTCTTTGTTAGATAAGCCAAAGGTTTCTTTTCGCTGTCTTGGTCCACTTGCTTTGTTCATTTTTGGTCCCTTCTTTTATTCTTCAACAGGAATTATTTTTTTTTTAATTTTTAAAATAATTGCATTGTCATTCCACTTTATATCTTAATTTATAATTTATGTACCTTTGGTTTTATTGGTAAAATTTTTGTTCTAAATGGTCGTCGTTGTAAACAAAAATTACTTACAATTAAGAACTAATTAAATAAAGATTAGCCACCTACCATGGGCCTTTATAAACTTTTAAATGGACCCTAGGGCTCTCCACATCGCTCCATTTGTTAGGAAAAACAAAAACAACAGGAAGATTTTTTTTTTTTGTTGAAAAAAAGTCATTAATGATAATCATAGTAATTAGTGCGTGGGTCTTATAAACGTTGCACATTTACGAAAGAGCCAATCATGAACAAAAATGCCGATTGTTCACCCAAATAAAACCAATTTGACTTGTTTAAAAATAATTATTATTATCATTGGTTTTTGAATGTCGATTGATTTGCCACTAATGGGCCTTCACCAATCTTCGACTTCAAGCTCTCCATGACAATTGCATGCCACCTAATTGAAAAGATGTTCCGATATTTTGTTTTACACACTTAAAAATCTTTAGTTTTTAATGTTTAATTTCTCTTCTTTGAGGTTCATACACTTTAAGCTTACCGGTAGAGAAGAAAGAGACGGAACCTAATTTTCAAAAGCCTACCTTCTGATATGGGACTACGGATAGAAAATTTATATGTTAACTTTCAGGAGTGATATTAGTTCTACCATTTTTAATTTGTGAATTTTTAAAAAAATTATATGCATATTACCGGCTAATAAATAGTGTTATTCGAATCATATGTCAAGTTTACTTACAACGCTTAAAGACATACATAATAGTATTGTTATCTTTATGCTTTATTATAATTGACAATCTTGTATTTCAGTAAAAGTGACAAAATCCACAAACAATTCCAACTGACGGCCAAAACTTAATTGATTTTGTCCTTGAATTCATTCGAAATTTAGAGAAAATTATTGATTTTGATTGGAAAATCGTGTAATGGCCGAAACGAGAAAATATTTGGCAATTTTGCATATTTTTAGGCATCACAAAACTTTCTGGAAATGTGATTTTTTTTTTGCTCCACACTTCCGCAGAATTTTTTTTGTTTAATGTATTTCCGCCTTTCATATTTTCATGGCATTGTAGTTTTTACCTAGCCGAGTCATTTACTAGCTTATTGGGAGAAGAGAGAATGATCCACAATACTCAAAACATACGTGTCACACACATATGCCAATTTATAAATAAAAACTGCATACAGTTCAGAATTTCTGGATATTCACAATACGCTCTAGTTAACAAAAAAAAATGGAACAGAAACGTATAAAGCTCTTTTCGTTTCAAACAATAATAATAATTAATACTACAGTGGTCTTTTCCAACAAATTCGAGTGGCCACTTAGATGATGGCAAAAGCAGCAGAATACATCATTTTTTAATCACGAAACCAAATCTCTCTTTCTTTTCCATGGCCATAGATTTTCGTTTATATTTAATTCTAGTTGCTTCTGCCTCTTCTTTTGATTTCTACAGATTTTTTTTTCTTTCTTTCAAAAAAGTAATCAAAAACCATTAACCTAGGCGATAAGAAAACATGATTCGATATGTGGACCGTTTTGTGATATAAAAGAAAATTAACGTTTTCAAACACATGTAATATTCTTATAGTATATCATAAATGGAATTAGATTCAAGAAACCAACAAAATGGAATTAGATTCAAGGATCTCCGAGTTAAATATCTTATCCATTCCATCCGGCTACTATCATCATCCTCATATTTCCAACTCAGTTAGTATAATATTATTATTCGTCGTCATTGCATACATAATATGATTCCATAATGTATGTTAATATACAACGTTTTCTTTGTGAAAAAATTACATGTAAGACGGGTTTTATGAGATTTGTATACTAACATATTCTTAAATTTAATTGAATGGAAATGTAACAAATATGCATTTTCTGCAATCCTATTAATCACACATGGATTGGAACTTGTTTTCAATTTTTAGACTGATAAAACTAAGTTCTGTACTTTAAAATAAGCGACCTCCTTAACGAATTAGCTCACATAGAAGTTCGAGAATGGTCAATATATATAATATATCTATCTTTGTGTGATATATACTGATTATATGCTTCTTAATTACCTGTGTTATTATATTGAATGGCCATCCTATAAGCTCTAAAGAAACAAATCCCGTATCATTCTCCAAGTTTTACAAAAATCTAGTTGTGATGATCCTAAAATTTTAAATAGTAAAGTATAGCAAATGTCGCTTCGTGAAAATGGCAGTCACTCATATGAACTATATGAAGATCTAAAAGCTAAATGTATAGAATAAACTGTTGTTTACATTACAAACAGAACTATATATACAATATGTCAAACCAACAAGCCATTTAAAAAAAAAAAAAAAAAACATATAGATCGGCAGTATGTGAGCTGTTGATATACACATCAATAATCATATACAAATATATCCTCTAATAAATTCATCTTTAAAAATCAATCGAGAAATCCAAATCACAGAGAGAGAGAAAAAAAAAGGTTGAATCCTCGAAAAATCAAGCGTTAGGTGGAGAGTACTCACAGACAACCTCCGTATCGACTTCCTTCCGGTGAAAATTCCGGTGACAACCACAAGCGGCGCATCTCAACGCATCGACGGTACCTTCATCGCCGGCAGCCATAAACTCACGACAACCGTCGACGGCGTAACCTCCGATGTTAGCAGCGTGATTCTTCTGACACTCCACGTAACGGACGTTACTGATCGCCGATGAAGAAGTAGTAGTCCAAGACGACGACGTGCTGGAGTTTCTTGATCTTTGCTTTATAACCATCTGTCTCTTCTTCATCACGATCTGTGAAACCCTAGATTTTATCGATTTGTTACCCTTGAAAATGAAAATGGCTCTTTGGTCATACGAAAGACTCTTTATGACAACGAAGTGAAGACTAGAAGGTGTGTACTTTGCCCCTTTTATAATTAGTTAGGCTTGTTAATAATCTAACCCTAATTATATACCTACGGTGTCGACAAAGTAGCTTAAAACCTGGGCTACTTTTTCTTCCTTATATTTATGTATATACGACTAAATATTCATATATACGGTACTATATGTATTTTTATGAATTTTCTTAATGACTGGTTAGTGAAACCGAATAAAACACACTTCAATTGTGCACTGTTGTATACTGACGATATGTTTTTCTTTTTGGCTAAATACTGACGATACCTTTTATTTTGAATTTGTATATGATGAAATATTCTACAGTGTATTATACTATTAAAATGGGGGTGGTTTTGTCTCTCTGTCGATATAATTAACGATATTCATTTCTCTTCCATTATTTCACCCTATTGTCATATCCAAACGCGACACAAGTGTAATACAAATTTATTATGGTTTTCGTTGTCTACAATCTAAAAATACTGTATAACACAAGTGAGTGACAATAGCGAGGGAAACAAAAGAATAAGTGTGAAATAACAAATTCATGTTAAAGTTCAATAGTTATAACTTATATATAAGATGTGGTTAATGGTTCGCTTATGGGTGTATAAACTATAAACACGGGGAGCCTTAGTGGAGCATAAAAAATAACAAAGAAACGGAGAAATTTAATAGCCAGCCTAATTTTACCGTCGAGATCACGTGCAATGCATTATACAGATAATTTAATTTATATAGAATAGAATAAAATAAATTATTTGAATAAGTACATTAAATGCGAATCCGACTCAGTCCAACGGACTTGCTCCCACAAGCAAGAGACAATGACAGGTTAATATTGGAATGCAAATAGCATTTCCAGTCACCTTTCATTATTATTCCAAACTATATATATATAATTAACTATATCATAGTGTATAGTGATCGTTAAATTTATCATGTGGATCTAGATGATGGTTCGAATTTTGTTCCTGCAATTTCAATCATAGATAGCTATATGTAAACGTTTTATAGTGATAAACAAATCTTTTTATATGAATTTTGTGAGTTTAATCTAAATTTTGGCATATAATGTTTACTAATAAAATAAAAATCACTGATGGTTTGTCTGTCATATATTCAATAGTACATTAATATTATTTTAAGGTATTTTCTTTATTTATATTTTTGTTAATACATGTTATTTTGTAAATAAAATCCAATTTTCCCTTGAATAGTAATCCCATTGGAAATAAGAAGATATAAAAATCCTACTAAATATAATCCTCCCATTTTTAGAAAGCAATATTAATATGTAAGATAAATTACTATTTTGAACCAAAAATCAACAACAGGGAAAACATATAAGCTTGCTGCTTAGCGGAGAATACACATGTCTGAAATTAATTGAATGATTATAACAAAATCATTTGTTGATCTTGACGATATATAGTAAACTCGGTTTCTTTTAAAAAAATTTTTAGCTAACTCTTATATCTCGTCTGCCATGCGAGCTTAAATTATTGTAAATGTAGAGAATGAGTATTCAATACAAAATTGAACTAAGCAGTGGCTTAGACTTTGCAAGACAGATAAATGGGTGTGGGGATAAAAACGGTAAAACAAAATAAAAGAGGCGATGTTGATTTTCATGAAATTTTCCAAAAGTAAGCAAAAGAACTGACAGATTAATGTTTTCTAATTGGATTATATTACTGACTAATTAGTCAAATTGACTTCTTTACAACGTGAACCAACAAAACATGGGTCCCACTTGACCCAAAAAGTCCATTCGACGGTGAACATGGACTTTTATTCCTCTTGGTTCTTGCTCATGTAAACAGTTAACAATCAAGGAATAAGTTTCTGATTGTATTTGTATAATTGTATGTAACAAATAATTTTTTCGGGTGCAAAATATAACCAAGAAAATAATAACCTAATTTCATGTATAAATCACACACATATACCGATATATAGGTACATATATATTGTCAATATATGTATAGTACTTTTTTTTTACTATAATTAAAGATCTTGGACTGGAATCCATAAATTCTTCCCAACGTAAAATCAGAATATATTTATATGGTTTCGCTTTAAAATATCACTCGATCACGTATAACCTAAATTTTATTTTTAATATTTTTCAATTACTCTAACAATATTATATCAAATATGCATCTAATATTTTTCAATTGTCCTCAAGCTAGTTTTTGTCATCTTTTATATAATATATAATTATAACAAAAAATAGTTCAACAACTATAATTTTCATTAAAAAAATTATAATGCAGAAACTTTTACTATAAATGTATATTTTACGATGAACAATGATTGGAAATATAGACCTAAATAATTGTAGGGGAGGATATGGGTAATATCTGTTTAGTTCTACACAAATATTGCGATCAAACTATTAAAAGACGAATTAAAAAGATGGATTAGAGTTGTACACAAAATATAGCTAACTATACCTGATTTTTAGCGTCGAACACCTAAATAAATAGTATTTAATATGTAGAGTAAATTCAATATGTGTGCATATTACAAAAATAAACAAAATTGGTTCTTACATACAATGGAAACTTTAGATTGTTAGCGGAACGAGTAAAACTAAACCATGACGTTAGTGTGCAGCCATTATCGCTTTAATTGGTACCATATCGACCACGGAGAAGACAACAAACGTTAGATTAAGAAAATGCCATATGCTATTAAGAAAAGCATAATTAACTTATGAAAAGCCGAAATTCACGGAAGAATGTCATGAAGTTGATTTGTCAAATGAATAATTGAAGTAAAGCAGTTCTTAATCAATCTTTGACGACGAGTTTGGTTTAATTTATTTATTTTGCTTCTCAGCTACTGCGTGCTAGTCAGGATCAACTGTATTACTGTTGAGTTCATTTCATCATTAAATACTATAAATTTATTTCAAAGTGGAATTAGGAATGCTTTTTATTTTTCTAAATAGAATCATGTGTAATTCGTATAATTACGAGAGAGATATAAATGGGGGATTATGTTGAAAAGACTCTCGGTTTCTCACCAACCGTGCCCAACTCGTGAAGTTTTTGAATCATATAAACCCCTTAAAAATCAACTTATTTTGTTATATACTATATCTTAGTCAATATGTTGTCTTATCGTCATAAATTATTAATTAATATCAGAATGAGACTAATCAACTATTTATAGTCTCATGTTAGATATTGTGATGCAGATATTTATGTAGAAGTTATAACTAGCTGCACTGCAGGTCTACAGCAGAAATGAAATATCAGAAAATTGGAAATTTAGAAAGAAAAAATGTACGAACCCATACGAGAAAGGGCACATAATGATTATTAAACAACTAACTACGGTTTTTCAGAAACTAATTTATTTTGGGGAAGCTAAACATCAAATCTACTTTTTTCAGTGTCTCTCTGTCTGTCACTTGCTTCTGTAATTCTTTTTGGTTTATCAGAACAACCTTATTTAATTCAATAAAAAAATATCGCTAAAATTAACCAGACAAATTAATAAATTTGATTATGTCATTCTTAGGTTGCACATGTCCTTTCACCGTTTGGGTGTGATATTTAAAAACGGGTACTGGGCTTTCAATGTTCTCTCTCATTCGATTCTTTCGGCCTTTCATTTAAGAAGTGTATATATGTAAACTTCTTGAAGATCTTCGTATGACTTAGGCTTGGGCCTTGTCCCTTCTTTAACATCGTACCGAATGAGATTTTACGTTCTTTTTATAAATGCTCAAATAAGATTTCTAAAATCTTTCTATTTCTAACCAAACATAGCCTGCACATACAATAAACAGATATTCGGAAATAACTACAAGTACGCAAGGAACGAAACGAACGTGGTTAGTATGAAATCATTGCTGAAATATTAATTCAAAATGACATCAAAACTTATCGATTTAAGTACGAAACCGATGTAGAAATCAACGTGTGATAGTCTTTCTTTTTCTTGTGTGGAAGAGAAACCTGAAGCCTAAATGGACACAGATGATTATATATTGAATATTAGATGAGTAAGGTGAAGAAATAAATGAAGGGGAGACATCAAAGCATGTATATATAGTTTAGGTTGGTTACTCTAATCCAATTTTCATTTGTCATTGTAGTAACAAGATGATGTATTTATTGAAATGTTAAATGTACAAAGTTTATTTAAAACATAATTGCTATTATTAGAGGACCAAATAAACTTGGATTTATCTTTCTTTTTTTATTCTCCAAAAATAACAATTATAATTTAAATGAACCTTTTGTTTTAAACATTTCATTGGAACTGGCATCTTGTTACTACACTTACGAAGTTACGAATGAAGTTGAAGTGGATTAGCTAGAGTGAAAAAAATGAGATGATGCCACTTTTCAACTTCAGGTCTTTCGCTTCATATTAATTAGTTTTTTCCTTATAACCTTATAAAAGTTAAAGAGCTATTCAATTTCTTGTTTCTTCCCTATTTCTCTATTGTAACTTTCTAGTATCACTAGACAAAAGTTTTTGGACCTTCTAATATTATGAATTTTGGTAATTAAGTATATATTATTTGAATATGTAGTGAACAATTCCAAGGATTCATATTCCAATAAATAATAGATATTCCAAAAATCTATAGCTACAATTATAATTGATTTGTTAGCATGCATGTTGGTTGATACTGCAAATAGTTCGTTGAATGATAGATGTGCATGGACAAAACTATGTCTCATAATTCATAAAACCCCTCAAAATCGGAGCTTCAACTTGTAGTACGATAACATCATAGAGATACTAAAATTTATCGACAACGGTTATAGATCATACAAATATGAGAAGAAAAATCAGTTAAGTTTGTTGAAAGTATTAGATAGATAAGTCTCCCCATGTGAGTGCACATGGAGTTATGCATGCAAGAAAACTGCCTCTACTTTTGTCCCTCTCTCAATTTCTCCAATCAATTTCCACCTCTTAAACTTGCATCATCTCTATATCCCATCTCTGAGATCTAGACACGTGGCTTTTGCTCTACATCGAACGGCTCTCCTTAATCACCTTGCTAAAATAGATAAGAGGAAAAGTGGCAGGAATCCAGGCCGAGATTGCTCTTATCGGTCCATTGATGGTTTGTCCCAATCACTAGCAATGGAGATGTAACTGCTCCCCCCCATGTTACTCCCTCTCTCTTTTACCATTATACCCTTCCTTTCTTCAACTTGAGTTGTCCCCAAAATTTCACTTAATGTGGCCTAACCTTCATTGTTACGACGAATGGTCGTTATGTCAAATTAGAGTATTGTGTTTGTTAATGGAAATAAAGTATTCTAATTAATAAACGCTCTGTGTTTTAAACGCCCTATGCTTAAAGAGCAACACACACCTTTCTATAAATAGCTGAAACAACCGGTAGTCACACACACTCATATATATCTCAAATTAAGAGCTTCACTACACATCTTCTCTCTCAAGAGCAGCCATGGCCAAAATCATAACTTGCCTTCTCTTTATCACCATTCTTTGCTCTTTCATATCTCTCATTATGTCAACAGAGGCAGAGTACCATCCAGAAGAGGTAAGTGTCACTATAATCTTCATTTGAATTCTGTTTCCCTTTCCATTTTTTATATTTATTGCAAATAATTATTAAAACACGCTTTTTTATTTTGTTTTGAAAACAGTATGGACCTAATAGTCTCAAATCATACCGTAAGTAAAAAAAAAAAGCTCTTCTCCTTTTTCTGTTAATCTCGAATCTGATTATAAAAAACGTGCAAATTAAAACACGATTATCGACTGCAGAATGTGGAGGAGAATGCACGAGGAGGTGCAGCAACACAAAGTACCATAAGCCATGCATGTTCTTCTGCCAAAAGTGTTGTGCTAAATGCCTTTGTGTCCCTCCAGGCACTTACGGCAACAAACAAGTGTGTCCTTGTTACAATAACTGGAAAACTCAACAAGGTGGACCAAAATGTCCATAAGGAAGAAAATGGAAGAGAGAAAACCCAAATCTAATAGAAAATCCAACAAGGTGGACCAAAATGTCCAAAAGAAACGAGAGAAACCTATCTAGTGTGTTTTCATTGTGATGATAATGAGAACTAAATGCAGTTATATATTTGCATGTATTTGTTTTTATTTTATCATTGTCATACTTCTTCTCTTATGATTCCACGTTTCTTTCCTATTTGTCTTTTGTTAACTTTTCCGAATCACTAGACGAAAAGTTTGTGGACCTTCTAATATATGAAAACTATAGAAATTAGTTATTTGTTCTTTTGATTTTGTAGTGAATAATTAATAATTAATCTTTGTGATATTCTTTTGCATATGACATTCTGTATTGAAAAAACATATCAAAAATGAAATTACATTACAAGATTATTACGAAAACTAATTTCATAATCATTGAAGAATTATTTTCTTTGTGGTTTTAACATATATTATTTACCCTTTTAGTCTTTACTCTTTACCATCGCCGGAAAAAAAAGTCTTCTTAACAATGGTCCTGAACAAAGGAAAAGGGTCAAGACCCCCCAAAAAAAATCATCGCTTTGAAAGTCTGTAAATCAAAGGCCAAATCTTGTAACTCAAAGTCGTCTGATTCCTAGAAGCTGTGATAGTATCAGATTAGATTTAGAAAGGGAAGACATGCATCAAAGTCTTCGTTCTCCTTCCATGGCGTAAAACCTCAGAACCCCTAAATTCCTCAGGTACTAACTTTTTATCCTCAATGGTTCTTCTTCGATGATGGACGAAAGCTGAGACCTTTACCTGCAAATCGATTTTGTGTGGATGATTGAGGTTCGAAAAATGTCGGAAAAGAGCTTGCTTTCTTCCAAATTCCTCTTTTACACGATAACTGTATCAACGCTACTATTCATTCTCTCTTCTCTCTTCTTCCTCCAACGCAACGAATCCTCCTTCACTTCGAATTTAGTCCGCAAGCTGATTCTTCCGAGAACAGACATCAAGAACGACCGATTCGGGCGAACCGATTCTAAACCGGTCTCATGTGGTCTAACTCGAGATGTGTTGAAGGTGTTTATGTACGATTTGCCCTCTGAGTTTCATTTTGGGATATTGAATTGGCACAGCAAAGGATCTGAGATTTGGCCTGATGTCAAGACCATTAGCTCAGTCCCATCTTATCCCGGTGGGTTAAATCGGCAACACAGTGTAGAGTATTGGCTTACACTCGACCTCTTAGCTTCAGAGATACCTGAGATCAAGAGACCATGCCGTGCAACCAGAGTGAAGAACTCGGTTGAAGCTGACATAGTCTTCGTGCCCTTCTTCTCCTCGTTGAGTTACAACCGGAAATCTAAGCTCCGCGGAAACGAAACCACCAGTGTTGATAGGTTGTTGCAGGAAAGATTAGTTGAGTTCTTGAAAAGTCGAGAGGAGTGGAAAAGATTTGATGGGAGAGATCATCTGATAGTAGCTCACCATCCAAACAGTTTGCTCTATGCAAGAAACTCGCTTGGATCCGCTATGTTTGTTCTCTCGGATTTCGGAAGATACACATCCTCCATTGCCAATCTTGAGAAAGACGTCATTGCTCCTTACATTCACGTCGTCAAGAGTATCTCTAACAATGAGTCTGCTCCGTTTGAGAACCGTCCTGTATTGGCCTATTTCCAAGGAGCAATCTACAGAAAAGATGTAAGTGCTTTCTTTAGAGTCTTGAAAAGTTTTGTTTGTGTCGCAATCTCAATGATGTTACTGAGTTTAATCTCGACCAATTCAAATGTTTCGTTGCAGGGTGGAACTATTCGCCAAGAACTGTATAACCTTCTTAAAGATGAGAAAGACGTTCACTTTGCATTTGGGACCGTTAAAGGGAACGGGACTAAACAAACTGGTAAAGGAATGGCTTCGTCCAAGTTTTGTCTCAACATCGCAGGTGACACGCCTTCCTCTAACCGTCTTTTCGACTCCATCGTGAGCCATTGTGTTCCGGTTATCATCAGCGACCAGATTGAGCTTCCGTTTGAAGATACTATAGACTATTCGGGTTTCTCTGTGTTTGTGCACTCTTCGGAAGCTGTAAAGAAAGGGTTTTTGGTGAATCTACTCAGAGGGATAACAGAGGATCAGTGGAAGAAGAAGTGTGAGAGACTAAAGGAGGTTGTTAGGTATTTCGAGTATCAGTTTCCTTCGCAGCATGGAGATTCGGTGGATATGATTTGGTCTGCTGTTTCGCATAAGCTTTCTTCACTTCACTTTGATGTTCATAGGCAGAATCGGTACCGTAGATCTGAAACTTTTGCTAGAAGTCAATCAACTTGAAATCCATACATGTGAAAGATGCCATTTGAAGAAAGACCCATTTTTCTCTTCTTGTCTTGTGTCTCTTTGACTGTGTTTTGTTTTCTAGAATTGAAAATCAAAGACTGTGGATATTCAGAGAGAAACATCAGCCCTACTGAAACAGGAAACTAACAGGAAACTAAGATAGATAACGCTTAAACTAAGATTAAGAGAAGAAAATTAAACCAGAGGAACAGGACTGATGGATCAACCGTTTCAGTTTTCAATATCATCACCACAAAAATTAGATACTTAAATACATATAATGGGACGATAATGGTATAATACATAATGGATGAAGGGCTTTCACATATAACACTTGAATTCAAGCTTCATATGCTCCGGAAATTCAACCGTTGTTCTCCTAATGATAGCATTGAAGTCTTGACCGGCACTGCTTCTGAAGCTAATGTAGAAGACTGCACACATGGCATTGGCCTTCTTCTTCGGCTCCACATCTTCTTTGGTTTGCACAACTACCTTTCTCAGCTCCAATAATTGATCTGCTTGCTCCTGCAACACAAACAACACCAAGAGATGATTAACCTAGACGTACGAAAAATATACAATATTCGTCCTAATCCTGTCCTCACCGGGAATAATTGCAATTCCAAGGCCAAATATGCGAGCAGAGCGTAAAGATGAAGCCATCCTTGGTCTTGTTCCACCTCTGACTTTGTCAACTCGTAGTATTGCCGCTTGCAACTGCCCGTTAGCGCATCCTCAGAGATCCAAGTGGGCATAACACCTTTGAAGAAATCATCCACCACAAGTCTTTCATAGCGACGTCGTTTCACCTCTGAGGAGGTACACACAAAAGTAGACATTATACCGAGCGAGAGAGGAAGATAAAGAGAGGGGTTAACAAAACGTGTGATGTACATATGTTTACCTGGCTGTAAAAAGCAGCGCGTTAAAATAATTTCCCTACAACCTTCTCTCTTATTGGTATGACAAATTTCTATATCGAGGTACCAAGTTGATTTGCCTATTGGTTCCTCTGCCGCCTCTATTATTATACGCGAAGCAAACATTGCGATAGGCTGGAACATGGCTACATCCAAAAACTGTAAATTTGTGCCCTACAAGATCAAGATACGCAAATCAAAACAAAACTTGGCTTCAATCGCTACAACTTTATACGATATGCAAACCAATACTATTATAGTAGGCAGAAGAAATAAAAAAAACTTGATATTACCTTGTGCAGATTGTAGCACTGAAGTCCAATTTGACCATAGAGCCCTATCTCACCATACTTTTTCTGTTTTGAGAAAGAGTGAGAGTCAAAAGAAAAATTAAAATCTCGAGAGTCGATATATTACGATCTTAGAGCACAAAATTACCAACGGTGAGGTGGTGAGAGGGGTTTCAATGGTTGGTGCGTATGCACATTCATATTCGTTACTTGTTGTTGGTGCGTATGTCGGTGCACAACACTCAGATTCCAGCGGCTGCGGTGAATGACCCTCGGAAGGTGGTGGTGATGGTGATGATCCACCAGTTTCAGATTCAATTTTCAGCGCGTCAGGTGGTGAATCACCCTCGGAAGGTGGTGGTGACGGTGATGATGCAAAAGATTCAGTTTCAGATACAGCTTCCAGCGGAAGCGGTGAATGACAGCCGCCAGTCGTTGTTGGTGCGGAAGGCGGTGCAAGACATTCAGATTCCAGCGGTGAAGGTGGTGGTGATGGTAGTGATCCACAAGTTTCAGATTCAGATTCAATTTTCAGCGCGTAAGGTGGTGCATCACCCTCGGAAGGTGGTAGTGACGGTGATGATGCAAAAGATTCAGATTCAGATTCAGCTTCCAGCGGAAGCGGTGAATGACATTCAGATCCCAGAGGCTGCGGCATATAAGATGGTGCTGACGATATATAAGGTGGTGCTTCATATTCCGGCCGCTCCGGACCTTTGAATCCTAGCAGCCATAAGCAATTATCGATGGACAATTCATCTGGGGAGGATGGTGTTAATGGTACAGGCCATTCATAGCCCGGCGGGACGGGTGAATAAGGAGAATCAGGACAATAACAGTCCCGAGGCGGAGAATCACTTTCACTTTTATATACCAGCGGCTGCGGCCAATCACAGCCGTCAGTGTTTGGTGGTGCGTAACTTTCAGATTCCGGCGGCGGAGGTGAATCGCAGCTGTAAGCGTTTGTTGGTGCGTAACTTTCAGATTCCAGCGGCTGCGGTGAATCACAGCCGTAAGTGGCTGGTGTGTAAGGTGGTGAGGCAGCAAGGAGTCCCTTAAAAAAAACACAAAAAACGAAATAAGTATCATCAATATTGAAATCGAGAGAGACCTATGGCTCCACGACAAAAGTCCAATTACCATCAAAGCACTGGCTTCTTCATCTTCTTCCTTCAACATGACCCCTCTTGGAACCCTAATTAAGAGGATTAGGTTCCTACACGGAATCTATCATACCACAATCAGGAACACATTATTGATACCAGAGAGAAGCGAAAAAAAGAAGAATGTTTCGCCGATCCGATGCAGGAGAAAGAAGAATGCAAAACAAAAAAAAACATACCTCTATCCCAGAAAAAAAAAAGTGATTCGCTCGCCGAATTGGGTTTGTGTTTTCCAACCCCCAACAGTGTTTATATCCCATAAAATGGACACAGTATATTGGGCTTTTTCAAGCCCAATTAATATCAAATATTGCAAATCAAAGATCGTTTTTCAAAAATGAAAGACTTCTTCCACATTGGAGGGTATCGATCCTAACATGAGGTTTCTTGGCTGGGACGTTGGCAATCCAGCTGGGTCGATCCTAAGCGACGCTCAGGTTAGAGTTAATCTCTTCTTGTAGATGAAAGATGTTAGCATAGCAACTCTTGCATCGATTTGGCTTGTAAAGTTGAATCCATTTCTTCTCTTACCCTGTGATAATATGTCTCGGTTCTCCTTCTGTTGCAGTAGAATTAGCATATCGAAACTCTTTTTCATTTGCCATTCCACATCTCTTGCTACAACAAGTTGTGTTGGATGTGAGAGTATTGTGTAGTGAACATAATTTCCATGGACAGATTCTCTTTCCCCGTGTTTACTGCTTTTGCTAGGTGAGGCCTCCAGTGAGTACTTTTTTTGCCGCTTATGCCAAGTGATGCTGAGTCATTATTTATCTAACAAATCCTCTCAAGCTATTGAAATTTCTTCTATCCGATGCATCGTCTTTGTGTACATTAGTTTGCTTCTTTTAGTGAGTTTTGTTCGGTTGGAATCCAATCCTAGTGTCTTCATTTTCAGCGCTAGAGGGATATGCAGCTATATAGATCATATCCTTGAGAGTGTGTCAGTGTGTATGAGCTTACTCCGTTTGATGTTTAAAGTCGTAGTTTTTTCACCTCTCAATCTCAACATAATTGTTATCTCACTTTCAGTCCTCCAAGCCTTGTTTGGACTTGGAGTGCCGAAGGTTTTAACTTGTTGTTGATGTGGAGGCCTTCACTTTTGGCACTTGGAGATGCGAAAGGAAAATCGCTGGATGGTGCTCCTTTTGGTGTTGCAGTCAGATCACACAGGAAATGTTCGTGCCTGTTGCTCCTGAACAGCTCTTTGGATTCAGCTACATAGAAGATAGAGAGAGTTACGGAGGTTGAGCAGAGGGACCAAGTGATGGTGCCATATTTGATCAAAGTTGAAACAGAGGCTTGAGCAGAGGGACCAAGTGAAGCTCGTCCCTTTCCCAAGTTCCGAATCAAGCTGAAGAGCAATGCGTTCAGCAACCCCTAAGGTTTGATCCGAGCCAGTCTTATTATCTCGTGTAATGCATAGATTCGATGTGTACGACTTGTAAGTGCCAGCTTTGTTGTTGCAAGGTGTGGAATGTCAATGTAATCTATTAAGCAACTTCTCGAGTAAGTGATGTGATTTGTTTAGAAATAGTTTATTTAAGTTTTGAATAAACAACCTGGAATTTGACTTAACCGTGACATGATCCGGGAGTTGGGAATTTGATCCTATTGGAAATGAGAACATGTTAATGTCAGTGACGCTGCAGCGTTACATTGCACACAAGCTCCCATGGCTACGCACTAACATGAGGTTTCTGAGAGGTTGCCAATTCTTCCACGGTGAGAATTAACTGCGATCCCAGTGGTCTAAAGACCCCAAAAGCTTATGGCCACAATCGATTCATTTCTCAGAAAACATAATAAAAGTAGACTTTTTTACAGCTTCACACAACTTTATAGTCCACCAAAGAAGCCAAGCCAAGCCAAAGCAAAGGAAAAAACAGAGCATAAGTCACCATTCCAGTCACAAAACAAGTCACTATTCCAGTCACAAAACAAGTCATAAATCAATCTTCCTCAGTTCTCTTTGCTAGATCTTCTGCCTTTTCTTTGCTCGGAATTCTTCTTCCCTCCTTCTTCGCTTCCCATCTTCTTCAGCTTGAGACAACATCTCTGGATACACAAATTGAGAAACGAGAGGAAATGGATGTTCAATAAAATCATCATGTTCATTACGGGTAAGACAACACCCCATCATCTCCACTGAAACTTTCAGGTATCCAAATCGACCCAGCTCTTTACCATGGCTTGATCTAAACCAGATAAACTTCTCACCGTCATCGGTGACTCCTCCACCGGTAATGTTTCCTGCATGCATGGATTTATACTTTGACAACCTAGAAGTAGGGCCACGGTATATTTTCTGCAAAATCAACACAAGTATTAAAAAAAGAAGAGTAATATAATAAATAAGTAACTTGCATTTCGGATTTAAGCATTTACCTCTCCAATTAGACTGTACTCCGGTTCGAAGATAGGAATAGAAGTAGCCACGGGATGGCGCTCTACTACTTCAAGAGCAGCTTCAAGTCCACGCACTTTCACCACATTACCGATGTATCCTAGTCGAGCTGAAGAACTTTTTTCTTGTACATTTGCCTTGCACTGCAAAGGGCGTATATTTTGAGTTTCAATGCCATGCGTTTCCACATATTTCAAGGCCTCCTCAACGTGACAGGTGTAACAATAGTGGCCCTCTCTCTCCCTAAGTCGTAAATGGGGTCTTGTGAAATCCACCAAGTACTGGGCCGAGTAGTTAACTCTTTCGGTGTCTAGACCCATTATAGATCTTATGACGCTCACTAGCTCTGAGGAAGTAATGGCCCAGCAAATCTCTAAAAGGAAAATAAGATAAAATGTTTGACAAATTTCTTTGTTAAGGTAAATAACTATTGTAAAATTAAGGTAACTTATATCGATACCGTGTTGTAGTTGGTCAACCACATCGTCAAAACGATCTTCCCATAGATTGCCATTTAGATTCATAACTCCCTACAAACAAAAACAAACAAGTATTAGTTAACAGTTTGGAGGATCTAAACAATTCTAGCTTATTTTCATACCTTTTGTACTCTCCAAAGTGCAAAATGAATCCGCTTCCAACACTCAAGAACAGTGATGTTCGTCACTGGTCGCATAGCCATAATCTGCTTCAGTTGATAGATTTCGAAGATTTTGAGTGCTGCATGTGTTGTTCCGTAGCCCCAGTCTAATTGTCCGGAAAGATAAGTGCATAGCTCTCTCAAATGTGGAGAGGAAATGGTATAAACTACCTATACGTAAATAAGTAAATTAATTAGAGATTTGAACAAATATAACTTTGAGTATAAGTCAAGTAAATCAATCACAGATTCCAACACAAGTATGCCAAAAACTCACCGGATTATTAAAAGCAAAATCCCATGCGACTATTTCCTTTTGAAAGCTATTAATGTTTCTTTGGAGAATACTTAGTGTTTTCTTCGACTCTAAGAATTGAGTTTCAAGAGTCTCAATCTCTTCTAGTCATCGTAGTTGAGGTCGGGGAGAGAGAGCAGCCCGGAGAGGACATCATAAGCCCGTCTTTCCGGAGTAGACAACGGACTAATTTTAGGCATCGCACGAGGGAGAGAATCTGTAACAAAATGCAAATCCATTTAATTTATAACAAATTCTTTGGGATCTTCTTAGCATAAAGCCATACGAGCCAATTAGTAGAACAACTTAAAATCAAGCAAAAACTAAGCATGTTCTAAAACGGATCAATACGAGTTAAGGAAAAAGACATAAGTCGACAACGTTTAAACTCCAAAATCAGGTTTCCCATTCTTTTCACCTAGACATAAATCGACAACGTTTAAACTCGAAAATGATGTTTCAGTTATCAATGTAACATAGGAGAGAACGACTAATCAAGATAAACCCTTGATAATCTATCTCTCCGCGTTCCACTCAAACGAATAAAGATTGCAAAACTAGCCGACAAGATAATCAGCCATCAACGATTTACCTGATCGGAGATGATGGAAGCCCTTCAGCGAGACGGGTCTGCTTGGATTCAGATGAGAGATGGAGAATCGAGCGACGCAAGTGACAAAGACTCGACGACGATAAAGAGCAGATGAACCCTACGAGAAACGAGAAAGCGACGACGGATTGCGAATGAATAACCAAAAAACGACGTCGTTTTGTACATGTGATTCAAATGTAAACGGGCTGAACGGATCCATTTATTCTGTTTAGGTCTAGACGGGCTTTTTCCTTCTTTCTAAAAGGGCCCGTTTAGGCCCGCGACAACTAAACCATGAATATTATATCCCCTAAGTGGTGGCATTTGTAAGACATAAACCAGCTTCACAAAGCCACAATGCAATTACGACACAAGTCAAAAGAAGAACATGGAATGCAATTAATAAGTAACTCTACTAGATCTCTGAGACTGTCTAGATCCTGAAGCACTTGAGCGATCACTTGACGCTCCATCGTTTTCAAATATCAAAGCTCCTCTGCTCCTTTTTTCTAATATAGAAATTGGTTAGTAGGGTTTGTTTGTTTGTTTAATTCCGCTAAAAACTCGATAGATCACATTCATGCCTTTGGCATTCCATTTTCGTCCCTTGGAGTTTCCGTTGGATCTACTTCTCGATTGAAATATAACGCTCGAAAGGCGCGTCGTATTTGCGTGGTGTGCCTGGTGAGGGATTCGGCTTCGATGGAGACGTGCGAGAGAGATGAACATGGAGCTGGAGATGGGTCTGAGTTCATCGAGGTCGTTGTCATCGGTAGTCGCAAGGAGTCTATCATCGATTCCTGCTTGGATTCTCCTTTTCCTTCTCTTCCTCTCCGATTTTGGTATATGTTCGATTTCTGCTCATTCCTTTTTTTTTTGGTCCAAAATTTCTGCTCATTCCTATGACTCTATTTCATCTATCGGAAGCTCCCTTTCTGTTTAGTATCTCTCTTGTTCTATGTGGAAACCAAGAATCCTACTTTGTTTGAGCCTAATTGTTTCTCGATCGGATGGCTTTTTGTTACATTTTTACACTCATGAAGTTTGCAGCTTCCTACTTATGAAGCTTAGATAGCTTGAATGTTTTTTTGTGTAAATCATTAAATTTACCAGTCAATTCTCCCTTTTGCAGGAGTATTAGCAGGGAGAGCTCTGGAGATTTAGCCTTACAGCAGAGGCTCAATCACGAAGGTCCATACTCTATTTCTTTCCTGTTTCTTCTTTACTTTCAATCTGAGTTTTGAAATTTGGATACTTTAGCACCTTATAGAAATCAGAGATTGGGGAGCAAAGTGTTTGACGATGTACTTGAATTCCAAAGTTTGACACAGGGATCTGTATCTTTCTTACCTATTTACCTACTCTCTTTATGTTTACAGATAATGTTTCCAAGACCATGAATCCAATTGAGTTGATACAATCACGTCCAAGGGCCTTCATCCTTGTTTGTACTTTTCTTGCCTATCATTATCTGTCTTCTGCTTTATGCTACATAAATATTTCGTGTATTTTGCAGTGTAATTAGTAGAATTACTTGTAGGTTTTTATCTTTTTTATATAACTGAACAACATTCAGAGTGTGTAATTGATCATGAACAACCATGCTTCCTAAAATTGCATAGGCTCTTGATGAAATGCTAATGGTTTTCAAATTTTCCCAAAACTTTCTTTTCGTGGAACAATAATTCTGATCGTGCATCTGATTAAACTGTTCCCGTTACCAGGTGGTTAGTGCACGATATGGTTCCGACCAGGTTGAAGCTATTATTAATATCCTTAGTGCAGTAAGATCTGGAGGTAGCTTAGCTGTTGTTGTACTATTAAAGCCTTTCAGCTTTGAAGGGCGAAGGCGTCTAGAAGAGGTAATTTTTCTGTTGCCTCTGAGGTTGTTTTTAATTGTATACTTTCTCATATAACAATTTAATAACAGTCCATTGAATGATTGTTTATTGTATACTATCTCATATAATAACAATTTAATAACAGTCCATTGAATGAAATCCCTATCTACAAACAAGTCCAGCGTCATATACCATCGCTAGTTGGAGTTCTTTTGTGCTAATTTCCCATATTGTGTGCAGGTTAACGAATTGGCTAGAAATCTGCAGCAACACACTAGCTTCTGTATAGGTACTTCCATTAGCAGTATGAAAGATTTCCCGACAATAGCGTCAGAGAAGCTACCTTTTGTTCTTGTGGTTCTGCTGGGCATGAGATGACTTTTATTTGGGCTTTTTAGATATCGACATAGAGATTTTACTACAGAAGGATTTGGTTACTTTGGACGAGGCGCTGAGAAATGCAAACAATGCTGTTTCAATGGCTATAAATGCAGCCTCTGCTCTGATAAGTGTAAGCATACTCTATCTCTCATTGAATGCTATACTCAAAAGTTGTTGTCATTTTCATATATCCTAGTTTGATGCAGGGGATGCATGGAAACTTTATCGACGTGATGCATAAAGATCTTAAAGAACTTGAAGTTTCAGAAGTTACAACGGTAAGTTTCTTTGGAATTTTTTCTTTCGGCATTTCATTTTTCTTTATGGCATAGTCACCCAGTTTCTTCTAATAACGTCTTTACTTTCAAGCCTCAATGCAATGAATTATTTTTCATTTACAGTGGTTCAACCATCTCATAGGATAGAAACTTCTTTGAGCTTGTATCTAATCCTTCAACTCGCTTATATCCAGGTTCTAGAAAGCTACAAAGAGGCAAAGGTTGTTTTCACAACCTTAAGACTTCTTTATACGACTACCCTTTCTTTCGCCCTGGAATTATAGTATTTCTAATCTCTTAAAGCGCATTTCGTAAGTTACTCAATCGTACTACTTAAGTTCTCGGTTTGATTTATTTCTCCTCTACGTACTCTTAATTTCCACTTCCAGATAGTAATTTGAATACAATAATCTTAACACGTGGGTTCTCTGTAAATTGAAGAAATAACTCTAATCATATTTCCCTATAAACAAACTTATAAACTGGCATCACTCTCCGGAAGGAGGCAGGATCTTCAAAAAAATTTATTGTGTGCATTTTGGCATTTCTGCTTGAAAGATAATTTCCTTGAAACCTTATTCCGAAATAAGGTTCCTCAAGTAAGTCTGTTTTATGTTACCCTATATTTTCCAATATGCAGGATCTAAGCGCTATTATGTGCATTGTGGCTACTTCGGTAGCTTTTCAGAAGATGGATGTGAAAACAATTTTACGTACTTTTCGTCAAACAATGCAATACACTGGAGATATCATAGTATCTGCTGTTCATGAACCGGATCTGGAGCCTAAAGTCCTCGTCACAACTTTTTTTATTCTAAGGTGGGGTATTTATGTTTCGAGACCGACTGTTTACGATTCAAGCTCATGCATATGGTTTCATATATAGCTTAAACTCAACAGAGAATAGTATATGGTTTCAGCATTTATGTTTGATTAATTCTATGATGGTTTTGGTCACTCAGACTTTATTATCTCATATGTCATCACAGTTGTTCAGAAGAGGAAACTTCCAGCAAAGGCAACATTTTTTTCTGGTCTTTTGCCTTTTGTTTCGAATATATTCAAGAGATATCGTTCACAACTCGAAAACGAAACAAATATTGGACTTGGAGATGCGCCAGTTGCAATGGAAGATTCAGCAGATGCTACTGACGTAGAAAGTTCCAGTCAGAGTGTTGAAGGATTTGAAAGTGACTCTAAAGAACTCCTGGGAGTTTCTGAGGATGGTGATAATGAATACCCAGTAAAAGAGGGGGAACCATCTAGAAATAGTCGTCTGGATCTTGGAGATGATAATATAGAAGGTACTGCTTATTTTTTTTATGTAGTATTGGTCGAGATGTTTCATTACTTGTTATTTATAGGATGCTGAAGTAGTGACCTCTCGAGGGTAAACTGTTCTAAAAGTGAATGCAAAATCATCTTTTGTAGATTATGGTGCTATCCAGAGGGAGCCAATTGCTAATTGGAGTGTGGATCCAGGATATCAGATTGAACAAAAAAGGCCAGCTGATTCTGGAGATACCACAGTGCTTAGCCTTGGTATTGTCAACCTTCCTGTTGGTGTGAGACCTTCAAAGAATCTGAACAGTAGTCTCAGTGTCGCCAGTCAACCCTCCAGGACGGTGGATTCCAGAGATGAATCATTCTTCAACCCTAATAGCTCGACAAAAGACTCTAGTGATACTGCATCCACCCTGCTATCTGAGAAGTATGCTGATTTTACAAAGCAAAAAAATCTATCTGCTCGAGCAGCGTCTATGCTGGTAAGTAGCAATGTCAGCTCAGATATAAATCATTCTTTTACTAGTGGATTGCTTTTCCTGGAAACCATCCAAGTCGATGATGTCAACTGACATAATTTTCCATCTTAATTTTTCTTCGCTTAGGAAGCTGAACGAGATTGCTTTTTTTATATAACTGAACAAGATACAGAGTGTGGAATTGATCATGAACAACCATGCTTCCTAAAATTGCATAGGCTCTTGATGAAATGCTTATGGTTTTCAAATTTTCCCAAAATTTTTCTTTTCGTGGAACAATAATTCTGATCGTGCATCTGATTCGGCTTAAACTTTTCCCATTACCAGGTGGTTAGTGCTGGATATGGTTCCGACCAGGTTGAAGCTATTAATATTCTTAGTGCAGTAAGATCTGGAGGTAGCTTCGCTGTTGTTGTGCTATTAAAGCCTTTCAGCTTTGAAGGGCGAAGGCGTCTAGAAGAGGTAGTTTTTCTGTTGCCTCTGAGGTTTTTTGTTTATTGTCCATTAAATGAAGTCCCTATCTACAAACAAGTCCAACTTCATATACCATCGCTAGTTTGATTTCTTTTGTTCTGTTTTTCTAATTTCCCAAATTGTGTGCAGGTTAACGAATTGGCTAGAAAACTGCAGCAACACACTAGTTTCTGTATAGGTACTTCCATTAGCAGTATGAAAGATTTCCCGACAATAGTGTCAGAGAAGCTACCTTTTGTTATTGTGGTTCTGCTGGCCATGAAATGACTTTTATTTGGGTTTTTTAGATATCGACATAGAGATTTTACTACAGAAGGATTTGGTTACTTTGGACGAGGCGCTAAGAAATGCAAACAATGCTGTTTCAATGGCAATAAATGCAGCCTCTTCTCTGATAAGTGTAAGCATACTCTATGTATCTATCTCTCATTGTATACTGTATACTCAAAAGTTGTTGTCATTTTCATATATGGTTTTATGCAGCGGATGCATGGAAACTTTATCGACGTGATGCATAAAGATCTTGAAGAACTTGAAGGTTCAGAAGTTACAACGGTAAGTTTCTTTGGAATTTTTTCTTTTGGCATTTCATCTTTCTTTATGGCATGGTCACCCAGCTTCTTTTAAAAACGTCTTACTTTCAAGCCTCAATGCAAGGAATTATTTCCCAACTGTGAATTAAAGTGGTTTCGTTTACAGTGGTTCAACCATCTCATAGGATAGAAACTTCTTTGAGCTTGTATCTAATCCTTCAACTCGCTTATATCCAGATTCTAGAAAGCTACAAAGAGGCAAAGGTTGGTTTTGGAGTTGGTCACAACCTTAAGACTTCTATTTTACGAGCTATATACGACTGCCCTTTCTTTCGCCCTGGTATTAAGGTATTTCTAATCTCTTAAAGCTCATTTCGTAAGATACACATCCGAACTGCTTAAGTTCTCGGTTTGGTTTATTTCTCCACTACGTACTCTTATTTTCCACTTCCAGATAGTAATTTGAATATAATAATCTTAACACGTGGGTTTTCTGTAAATTGAAGAAATAAATCTATTTCCCTATAAACAAACCTTATAAACTGGCATCACTCTCCGGAAGGAGCAAGGATCCTCAAATTTTTTGATTGTGTGCATTTTTGGCATTTCTGCTTGAAAGATAATTTCCTTGAAACCATATTCCGAAATAAGGTTCCTCAAGTAAGTATTTTTATGCTATCCTATATTTCCCAATATGCAGGATCTAAGCGCCATTATATGCATTGTGGCTACTTCGGTAGCTCTTCAGAAGAAGGATGTGAAATCAATTCTACGTACTTTTCGTCAAACAATGGAGTACACTGGAGATATCATAGTATCTGCTGTTCATGAACCGGATCTGGAGCCTAAAGTCCTCGTCACAACTTTTTTTATTCTAAGGTGGGGTATTTATGTTTCGAGACCGACCGCTTACGATTCAAGCTCATGCATATGGTTTCAGCATTTATGTTTGGTTAAGTCTATGATGGTTTTGGTCACTCAGACTTTATTTCTACGGACCACTATTAAGCATTAATGCAAGTCTCATATGTCATCACAGTTGTTCAGAAGAGGAAACTTCCAGCAAAGGCAACATTTTTTCTGGTCTTTTGCCTTTTGTTTCGAATATATTTAAGAGATATCGTTCACAACTCCAAAACGAAACAAATATTGGAGTTGGAGATGCGCCAGTTGCATTGGAAGATTCAGCAGATGCTACTGACTTAGAAAGGTCCAGTCAGAGTGTTGAAGGATTTGAAAGTGACTCTGAAGAACTCCTAGGAGTTTCTGAAAATAGTGATAGTGAATACCCAGTAAAAGAGGGGGAACCATCTAGAAATAGTCGTCTGGATCTTGGAGATGAAAATATAGAAGGTACTATGCTTATTTTTTTCTATGTAGTATTGATCGAGATGCTTCAATACTTGTTATTTATAGGATGCTGAAGTAGTGACCTCTCGAGGGTAAACTGTTCTAAAAGTGAATGCAAAATCATCTTTTGTAGATTATGGTGCTATCCAGAGGGAGCCAATTGCTAATTGGAGTGTGGATCCAGGATATCAGATTGAACAAAAAAGGCCAGCTGATTCTGGAGATACCACAGTGCTTAGCCTTGGTATTGTCAACCTTCCTGTTGGTGTGAGACCTTCAAAGAATCTGAACAGTAGTCTCAGTGTCGCCAGTCAACCCTCCAGGACGGTGGATTCCAGAGATGAATCATTCTTCAACCCTAATAGCTCGACAAAAGACTCTAGTGATACTGCATCCACCCTGCTATCTGAGAAGTATGCTGATTTTACAAAGCAAAAAAATCTATCTGCTCGAGCAGCGTCTATGCTGGTAAGTAGCAATGTCAGTTCAGATATAAATCATTCTTTTACTAGTGGATTGCTTTTCCTGGAAACCATCCAAGTCGATGATGTCAACTGACATAATTTTCCATCTTAATTTTTCTTCGCTTAGGAAGCTGAACGAGATTCATCAAAAAGATGGAGTCCTATTCTAGAGATGCAGTACAGAGGAGGACTGTTCAAGGGAAGATGCCAAGGAGGCCTTCCCGAAGGAAAGGTAATCCGCCTTGTTGATTCTGGTCTTATGTTTGACAGCTTTCTAGTGAATCCCAGAGTAATGGCTGAATTTTCCCACCAGGGTCGATTGGTACTTGGAGATGGAAGTATATATGATGGAATGTGGCACAACGGTAAAAGATCTGGTCTCGGAACGTTCTACTTCAAGAATGGGGACGTGTTCCAAGGCACATGGAGAGAAGACTTAATACACGGAAAGGTAATTATAGTCTTTTTGACCTTTTGAATTTGGATTAGCTTCTTGAGACTACATTTGCGCACAAACCGCTTAGTATTATCAGTGTATCACCAAGTCCCTAGGACTTTTTCTACTTCCTCAACCTAACGAAATAAAGATGGCCACTGTTCTGACATAAAGAAATATCTGTTAACAGACGGACAAAACTTGTAGTGATTGAATATTCACCCATATTATGTTTTTAGTAAGCATCCCATTTTATTGGTTTACAAGATTAACAAGGAAAATAAAGTTTTAATTGGACTAAACACCATTAAAGGCGCAAAAGAATCTCTGGGTAAAAAAGAAAAACAAAGCTTTTTGGTATTCTCTCGTTTATAGTATAAAAAAGAAACCGCCGAATTTTCGTTCCATTGTGCAAAAATGGTTGCAGTATGAAAACCACGTGGCGTGTTTTCATTAGTAGTCTCGATAGGAAGGCGGTCGCTATCGTCCCCCTCCTCTTTCTCTCTCTTACGATACTCTCTGCTTTTTCCCCTACTCTCCTACTCTGTCTTTTTTCGCTATCGTTCCTTCCCTTCCCTCCTCTTTCTCTCTCCTTTGAATTTTGAAAACAGGTATACAAGCGATAATGATAAATGAGATCGCTAATGTAAATCCAGAAAAATCATAACAAATGCACAAAACAAGACAATCCTCTGTCATCATGATCATATAAACTATATAGCAGATGACTTGAGTTTGTTAGTGAAGTGGGATTACATGATTACATCCAATATATGGGCCCATTCAAACCCGGCGATATCATGCATGCCAAACCCTACGTACAAATGCTAACATTTTATACGTATTCGAACGTTAGCCTTTTTTTAAAAAAAATTAAATAATTATATACGTATATACAAATAACAGAGAGCATGCATTTAACTGGCGTACAATATAAAGCTGAAAAACTGAAAACTTACTAATTTTAGCCAAAGATCAGAAAAGTTGTATAGTCTTAATTAAAGGTGCCACAATGCCTCATGATGCTCTTTTCCTTAGTATGTAAAATGGATCATTTATTATTGTTATTATTTTATTTTTTTCATTTAGTTACAATTTAATTTGAGTTTAAAAAGGCCAGAAGGTATTTGGTTTTATGAAATTGCTTTTATTATTTTCTCTGTAAACAAATCAAATATGATTAGTCACTACGTACAGTTTTTTTTAATTAAAGATAAATTATTTAGTTATTTCATGCGTATTATCTGACATTTTCTTTGTTGTGCTGTTTCTAATGTTGCAGTCGCAAGTGGCCATCCTCTTGGTATGTGATTAGTTTACATAGTACTAACAAACGTTTAACTTCATGATTTTACATTTTGTTTTGTCTCTAACTTGTATTTTACATATTCTCTTTTATTTCTTTGATTGTGTAGCTCATAATCGTGGGCAAAACCCAAGGCATTTGATCTTATTTAAATTATTCATTAAGCCTTAAGAAAACTTCACAAAACGCAGGCGTAATTAACTAACTTCATTTTATTTGACTGTTACATCGTATGTTGCCGTGGCACTGACGCTCTAGAGTACTTAATCGCTCCATCGTGACATACTATTTTGCAACGTATTATTGATTAACTTCATTAATCGTACGTATACAGCACATAACATGCATGCTAATTCTCTCGTATGTAAAACGAATTGATCGATGTGATTACACTAATACGCTGGTCAGTGGTGCAGGGCCCACGAGTGTGTACGAATCTAAGCAGCTCCTAAACGACGGTCTGTTTCTGCGTATAGACATGCCTAGTATGGGTTTGTCTTTTTCACCTCTCTCCCTCTTGCATTCTCTTCTCTCCTATTAAACCCCCCCCCCCCCCCCCCCCCCCCCCCCCCAAAGAAACCTGGATGCTAAGAAAAAAAACAAGAGAGAGTGGGAGAGGACTTTTAAAAGAGAAGAAACCCTAGCATTAACTACTCAGTGAATCATGGCCGCCGTCCCTCTTACCGCCTCCCCACAACTTCCCGGTATGATTTTCTTGAACAAAGCTTAAACTGTTTAGTGGTTTTGGGTTTTGTTTTATGGAATGTTCATTTCTCTGATTATTTCCTCTCTTGTTTTTGGTTTTGCTGAAACGCAGAAGGGTTCTATGCAATCAACAACCAGTTTCTATTGCGTGGGCCAAAAGGGTTTGAAGAGTTTAAGATGCTTGAAGAGAACGAGGCCATGTTCGCCAGGATAGACTTTCCCGGCGTTCCAAAAGATAACGTGCAGGTTACCCTTTTGGACTCGAAGAAAGCCGTGTTTATCAACGCTACGGCACCAATGGATCAAGAACACGACTCTTACCGCATCTACATCACCCACGCCGGTCTCCTCTGCAAATGCTGTGCGATCTCCGGCTTCACCTCCGACATGTCCGACGGTGTTTTGAGGCTTGTACTCTCCAAGACAAACATCAGTCCACACCGCTCTTCCTCCATTTGTAAGAGTCATTTCTTTTTCTGTATATTATTCGATCATCTAATTAAAGTTTATAGGCGATTAACTTGCTAATTTAAAATTCTAATTTCGTTTTTGACAGCGTGTCTTGCTGGCTCAGGTTTCCGAGAAGGTATAGTGTTCGTTTTCACAAACTTTCCATATCTTGATTTTTTTTTTTTCTCAAGGTTTTTGAAAAGTTGTGTAATCTTTAAATGTTTTAAGCTTTATTCTCTATTTTTGGTCGTAGATCTCCGTAGCAAAGGTCCTCACAGATATCCCTATGGCACGGATCCCCATGGTACAACTAGCTTTCATACAAAATTAACTTACTATGGTTTAGTACGAAAGTGAGTATTAATATGTTGCTGTGTTATATGTGGAGCGGAGCAGACCCGGCGCTCACGGGTCCGGAATTGAAGCCACACCCAAATGTGTTGGTAGGACCGAATATGGCTTATGAGTCGAAGCAGCTCGAAAACGGCAGCCTACACGTGCGTTTAGACATGCCAGGCGTTCCCGAAGACAGGTTCACTGTCTCCGTCAAGGAAGGGAGAGTGACCGTGACTGGTGAAGCTCTTGCCGCTAGCCACGACTCAGGAGGCCGTTTTTACTCTGGTGATGTGGCTATGCTCGCCTCTCCCGTCGACATTCCTAGCCGTCCGATCAAAACTATCATCAAGAACGGTGTGATTCAACTTTTCATCCCTCCGGTTTGATTTTCATGTGTTTGTTAACTTCTGTCTCTTGCTATCATTTTCCAAAGTTTGTATTTGAATCGCATAACCATGTTTCAACAACACTAGTCCTCAAGAAAACCTTTCGAGTGATTGAACAATATCTAGTTATAATCAGAGTGCTTTGATGCAAAAAACACCAGTTGGAGCAAGATTTTATCGACAATATGAAACTTGAGAAATCAAGAACACTCGATTTTATTACTCAATAAAAATCATATACAACAACAGATTTTATCAGACTCTCTGTGCAATAATTCAACAAAAAGCATCATTCGAGGATTACTCATGTTCTATATTTATCGCCAAAACGAGAGGCTGATCAAATCAAGAATTCTCAAGTTCACTCCTCAAGAAATTGCAGAATGATGGGCAAATAATATATATAGTTTCTACGGCTCCAATCAGTGTTGCTATAACCTGTGAAACCAATTTGTGTTGCTATAACCTGAAACAAAATTATGTTGAGATTGAGAGGTGAAAAAACTACGACTTTAAACATCAAACGGAGTAAGCTCATACACACTGACACACTCTCAAGGATATGATCTATATAGCTGCATATCCCTCTAGCGCTGAAAATGAAGACACTAGGATTGGATTCCAACCGAACAAAACTCACTAAAAGAAGCAAACTAATGTACACAAAGACGATGCATCGGATAGAAGAAATTTCAATAGCTTGAGAGGATTTGTTAGATAAATAATGACTCAGCATCACTTGGCATAAGCGGCAAAAAAAGTACTCACTGGAGGCCTCACCTAGCAAAAGCAGTAAACACGGGGAAAGAGAATCTGTCCATGGAAATTATGTTCACTACACAATACTCTCACATCCAACACAACTTGTTGTAGCAAGAGATGTGGAATGGCAAATGAAAAAGAGTTTCGATATGCTAATTCTACTGCAACAGAAGGAGAACCGAGACATATTATCACAGGGTAAGAGAAGAAATGGATTCAACTTTACAAGCCAAATCGATGCAAGAGTTGCTATGCTAACATCTTTCATCTACAAGAAGAGATTAACTCTAACCTGAGCGTCGCTTAGGATCGACCCAGCTGGATTGCCAACGTCCCAGCCAAGAAACCTCATGTTAGGATCGATACCCTCCAATGTGGAAGAAGTCTTTCATTTTTGAAAAACGATCTTTGATTTGCAATATTTGATATTAATTGGGCTTGAAAAAGCCCAATATACTGTGTCCATTTTATGGGATATAAACACTGTTGGGGGTTGGAAAACACAAACCCAATTCGGCGAGCGAATCACTTTTTTTTTTCTGGGATAGAGGTATGTTTTTTTTTGTTTTGCATTCTTCTTTCTCCTGCATCGGATCGGCGAAACATTCTTCTTTTTTTCGCTTCTCTCTGGTATCAATAATGTGTTCCTGATTGTGGTATGATAGATTCCGTGTAGGAACCTAATCCTCTTAATTAGGGTTCCAAGAGGGGTCATGTTGAAGGAAGAAGATGAAGAAGCCAGTGCTTTGATGGTAATTGGACTTTTGTCGTGGAGCCATAGGTCTCTCTCGATTTCAATATTGATGATACTTATTTCGTTTTTTTTGAAGGGACTCCTTGCTGCTTCACCACCTTACACACCAACCACTTACGGCTGTGATTCACCGCAGCCGCTGGAATCTGAAAGTTACGCACCACCAACCACTTACGGCTGTGATTCACCGCAGCCGCTGGAATCTGAAACTGGTGGATCATCACCATCACCACCACCTTCCGAGGGTCATTCACTGCAGCCGCTGGAATCTGAGTGTTGTGCACCGACATACGCACCAACAACAAGTAACGAATCTGAATGTGCATACGCACCAACCATTGAAACCCCTCTCACCACCTCACCGTTGGTAATTTTGTGCTCTAAGTTCGTAATATATTGACTCTCGAGATTTCAATATTTTTTTGACTCTCACTCTTTCTCAAAACAGAAAAAGTATGGTGAGATAGGGCTGTTTGGTCAAATTGGACTTCATTTCTACAATCTGCACAAGGTAATAATATCAAGTTTTTATTTCTTGTGCCTACTATAATATTGGTTTGCATATCGTATTAGCGATTGAAGCCAAGTTTTGTTTTGATTTGCGTATCTTGATCTTGTAGGGCACAAATTTACAGTTTTTGGATGTAGCATTGTACCGTCCTTCCGCAATGTTTTGTTGGCGTATATTAATAAATGCGGCAGAGGAACCAATAGGCAAATCCACTTGCTACTTCGATATAGGAATTTTTCATACCAATAATATGGAAGGTTACGGGCGACTTGTTGTAACGCGCTGCTCGTTACGGCCAGGTACTCACACGTTTTGTTAACCCCTCTCTTTATCTCCCTCTCTCTCTCGCTCGATATAATATCTACTTTTGTGTGTAACTCCTTAGAGGCGAAACGATGTTGCTATGAAAGATTTGTGGTGGATGATTTCTTCAAAGGTGCTATGCCCACCTGGATCTCTGAGGATGCGCTCACGGGCAGTTGCAAGGGTCAATACTACGAGTTGACAAAGTCAGAGGTGGAACAAGACAAGGGATGGCTTCAACTCTACGCTCTGCTCGCATATTTGGCCTTGAAATTGGAATTTTTCCCGGTGAGGATAGGATTAGGACGAATATTGTATTTTTTTCGTACGCCTAGGTTAATCATCTCTTGGTGTTGTTTGTGTTGCAGGAGGAAGCGGATCCATTTGTGGAGCTGAGAAGGGTAGTTGTGCGAACCAAAGAAGATGTGGAGCCGAAGAAGAAGGCCAAGGCCATGTGTGCAATCTTCTACATTAGCTTCAGAAAGAGTGACGGTCAAGACTTCAATGCTATCATTAGGAGAACAATGGTTGAATTTCCAGGGCATATGGAGCTTGAATTCAAGTGTTTAATGTGAACCCCCTTCATCCATTATGTATTATACCATTCTCGTCCCATTATATGTATTTAAGTATCTTATCGATCTAGGTCGTCGGTCGTATTTGCTTAATGCTGTGCTTTCTCTTTTGCTTGTGTGCTACTGTTAGCCATGTAAGGGGGGGATAAATGACTTGTGATTCCACTTTGGTTCTACATTTCTCTATATATGTATAAGATCGTGGGTTTAATTTAAAGGGTTGTCCTTTATCCCGCTTGCTTGCATATCTTTTCATCTCTCTCTCTCTCTAGTACATCAAAAAGACCCAAAACAGAGAAGTTATAATTAAAATTGGAAAAAACACAGTAAAATCTTTAAAGACAAATGGTCTGAAAAACACGATTCAGTGTAAGTTTGCACTTGGCAGTTTAGTCTGTAACAATGTTCGATCTACGTTTGCAGTCTAGTCTATATATAAGGCTTAAGAAGAAACAAACATAGAAAGCTCAAATTTTTACCCTTTCCTCCTGAATACTTCATCCAGAGTTTACAAATGATGAGGAAGTCCATTTTTAAAAGAATCACAGACTGATATGAACATAAAAAGTTTAAATCTTCAAACGTAATCAAAGTAATGTAATAACGATAAAAGCAGAAGAATAACAAGTTCCAACAGCCTTGAGATGTTAACATTATCGGCTAAGGACACACTCACAATTGCAGAAACTCAGCGGCCAACGGTAACACTTGGCCAACATAAACACACACACAATCACAGACTGAAAATCTAGCTTTTAGATAGATATATATGGTGGTATTCCTCATGTTGACAATTTCGCTACTTTTGAATCGAGAACCATAAAGGCTTCAACTTTCTGAAGTAATCAGTCACCTCTTCCGCTCTACCGGAGTCGTCTTTGCTGCAAAAGCCAAAAATGAAATAACTATAGTGAGATCATCAAAGTAAGCACTTTGGGAGATTTTCAGTTTGATCTCATTAAGCAAGTATTGGTTTTTGGCACTAACCACTTCCGTCTCGGGATGATAGAAGAGGTTTCTCCTTCTTGTTCCTGGTTTTGTCACCTGAGCTTGCGAGTCTTGTTGTTCTCGGAGAATGGGAGGTGATCCTGCCATTACCTGAAGATGGTAGAGAGTGACGTCTGGGAACACTGCCTTTCTCAGTCCCGTCTTCCTCAGCAGAGTTTGGTGAGCCTTGCAGCCTCAGCTTTGCTTTTGCCGATTTAGTTGCTTGCATATAGCTTGGGATTGAAGGGCTAGTCTGATGATGCCCATTACTCTCTTCACGCTCCGTCTTGTTAGTAGCCGAACCCTTTTTCCTGGACTTTTGGTTCTCCTTCCCGGCTGAATTCTCTTTATTGTTTGGTTTGGGAGTTTTATCTTCCTTTGCATCCTTTTCCATTGGAGGTTTATCTGCTTCAACCATGGCTTTTTCATTGCTGTCAATTTGGTTGACCAGTGAGGAATCAAGTTCTTCATTGCTTTCCAATGGTCCAGGAGTATGTACTTCCACTTCACGAACATGTACCTCCTCGGGCCTTTCTTGCTTCTTCTTTTTTCCGTCGAAGACATTCACAGGTGGTTCCTCAACGGTTTCATGAACCAGTGGATATGATGATGATTCAGTTGTCTTCTCTTCACCAAGCTTTGGCTTCTCGACTTCAATACGAGGGACTGGTTGAGCTTGTATAGAGCTCTCAACTATAGGATTGTGTACCTTCCTCAAGCTACGTTTAACTTTTTCAAGTTCAATCTGAGGATTTTCGACAGCAGGTGGTTCTATAGACTGGCTTGAAACTTTTCGGAAGCTGCGTTTGGGTTTCTCAAACTCAAAAACCGAGGAACTTTCAATAGTTGCAGCAGGAACTTTACGGACACTCTTCTTGGGTTTAGCAGATTCAGCCTCGACGATCTGAGCACTACTGGAAAATTTGTTCTGGGGTTTTCTCCCCACTGGTTTCTTTGGTTGAGGAACTGGTTTCCAGAAGCATGAGGCCGACCAGTTCTCTAACCAGATTGAGTTTGAGTTTGTATTGGTGTGTACAGGTATTACTCTTGGCGATGAAGCGAGAAGCTGAAACAAAAGTTTAGAGACATAAACAACAAAATGTTACAGCTTACGACATGGCTTCTTTTCATCTCATTTAGATAGTACTAATTTGACTATAACATATGTAATAGCTATATCAATGAGCATACCTTCTGAGCAAAAGCGTTGGCTGTTAGTTTCTTGATTCCGAGGTAAGGATCTGCGTCAGCAGAGTTGCCAAGCTTGTTCTAATTTGACGAGAGAACACAAAAAGTTATTGCTCCTCCAAATATCCCAACTAGAAAATCTTTCTATGGACTACAGAGGAGCAAAAGTGTATGTGTACCTGAAGCAGCTGCAATCTGCAATTCCTACGAATTTGAGCTCCAATGTCAGAATTTCTGATCTCTCTTCCTCGAGCAAGCGCCTGCAACCTGACAATTCCCATGACGCAGCAAAGAGTTGAAACAGCTTGCCTCCTGACCAGGTGACCACGAATAAGTGCTTGTAGCCTTATTATGCCTTTGAGTGCCCAAAAAGCACGCCGAGCCTTCACATAAGGAGTTCAGATCAGAAAATACTAATAACTGCAGTGAAGACAGCAGAGCCTACAATCCAAATAGCTTGAAATATTACCAAGAAACCTCTAAACGCAGCCTGCACAGACGTTGCTGCAATATCTCGTTGAATTCTCTCTGCGTCAGATAGTGAATTGTCTTGCACATCTGCAGCGTTTTGAAGATCTGCTGTTTTGCTCCTCTCAGGAAGAAGTAATTCATCATCTGAGAAGATCTCTTCAGGATCAACATTTTGCGTCTCTAACATTCCACTGCTTCTATCAAGGGTATTGGTCGATGCATTAGCGAAAGATGGAAGATCTGATACCACATCGGATTCGTCTACTTTTGCAGTAACCACTACCTCTTTTCCACTCACATCTCTCTGCAAATAATAAAAAAACAGCTCATATAATGGTATTAAGCAAACCAGTAGTCTAAAACCGTTACTGTTCTTCTCGATTCGGATTTAAATTCCACACATCCAGACTAACTAAGCATCATAAGATAAATATAGAGAAACTCGTCACCTCCTTTCCTTTGGAACCGCTAGATTTAGAAGGTTTCTTTCCAAGTAGCACATTCTTTAACCACTTTGTAGACTTGCCCATGATGATGAATTTTGAACTCAAAACACCTGCATTGTCCCAAGCAATAACACAGATTTATAATTACTCAAGATAACATTATCATGTGTCAAAATTAAGATAATTAACAACAAATCAAACGTCTATTGATTAGATAATGCAAAAAAAGGTGTTTGCTATTATTATCAACTCTAATAATAAGATTGAAAAGATAAAACATTAATCATTAACAAAAACGACAATGATTATCACCCTACAAATTTAAAAGAAAGGAAGATAAACAATCGATTCTACAAAACCAGATCTGGAACTCACACTGCAAGCAGAAGAACCCTAGAGACTCAAATTTCACAACACTTGTTGCTCCAAATGAACAAACTATACACAAACAGAAAAGGGAAAAAAAAACACCGACAGAATCAAACAACAAAACCCATATAGAGAGATCCCTTTAAAATCCACACAAGTCGAACAATGTCCTAAAATGTCGGTTCGAGTAACCGTCGGATCTCTGTTCTAAAATCCGAGTCCGATTCGGACAACCAAATAGAAAAGGAAAAGGAAGAAGGAAATCATACCGTGAATGAGAGAAACTCAGGTTTTTACTTAGTTAAATGCTTTCATTTGCCTCTCTCTCTCTCCTGCTCTTCTCTTCCCGGAGCTTTGAGGCTCTTGGAACTGTTCCTATTTGGTTGTAGTTTCAGACTTTCAGTGACCAGAAGGAAAGAGAAAATACATTTACAAACCAAAAAGTAAGCGCATCTCCATAACTGCTATCTTACGCTGTTGATTTCTAGCCGTCGGATCATCTCCCAAGTTTAGTTTAATTAATTTGCTACTTTTTAACAGAAAAAAACAAATTCAGAATCCGAAAGAGGGCAAAAAAGAGAGCAATCTTTAAATAATTTTTTAAAAACATACTACAATAATACAATTTGTGCATGTCGATTTAAATTGATTATACATAAAAGTAAAGTACAGTATTACGGAATGGTTTATTGAATGAATAACGAATTGGAAGTGTCCGAAATTTGTGTAGAAAGTCGGACATTACTTCGAGAACAAGTGTAAGAATGCCGCTACGTTCATATGAAGCATTCGTGTTAATTTACATTTATACCCTTATAAAAGCTTAACTTTGCACGGGTGGTGAGGCGCGTGGGGAAATTGTATTAGCCGGTTCGAGATTCTGCTTCCACGCGTGCAGATCAAACCGCTCGAGTGGTGATGTATCGTTCGGTTTAACTAATATGGGCCTAAAAGCCCAATCAAAAAGAGAGAGGAACACAAAATACTAATGTTGATCATATTTGCTATGGAAGCAAAAGCTTGTGAGACATTCTATCGAACACCTTGTGCTCACTTCTAAAAAAGAGGTTCAAAGTCAGCAGAAGGAAGGGAAAGGGAAAGCCAAGCGAGAGTGAGATGGAGAAGAAGAAGAAAGCAATGGAAATCGAAGGGTACCCGATCGATGGATTATCGATAGGAGGGCACGAGACGTGCATCATATTCCCTTCTCTTCGGCTAGCTTTCGACATCGGTCGTTGCCCACATCGCGCAGTTTCTCAGGACTTCCTCTTCATCTCTCACTCCCACATGGATCATATCGTAATAACAACAAACTCTTTCCGCCTCTGTTACTTCTTTTGTGCTCGTTTCTTCGTTGCCTGACTCTGTATTAGGAAAATCCGGATTAAAAAAAAAACTTGAGCTTTCCGATTAGGCATGTAAAGATCGTTCTTTGACTTATTGTTTTGAGAGCATTTAGATAAACCCTTGTTGATCCACCATGTTGTTTATGCTCTGTGATTGTTTTGGTGTCACATTCTCAAATTGTGAACTCAAAAGGTTCAATATTGGTTTTGCTAGGGTGGATTACCAATGTATGTTGCGACTAGAGGCTTGTACAAAATGAAGCCTCCAACAATTATAGTGCCCAAGTCCATCAAAGAATGCGTCGAGAGTTTGTTCGAAGTTCACAGGAGATTAGATTTTTCAGAGCTAAAGCACAATCTTGTTGGCTTGGACATTGGTAGAAACATCCTCTAACATCCTCATTATTTTGGGGTTTCTTTGTGGAGGTTTGTTTTTGAACATTGCGCACTTCTTGGTGTAGGGGAGGAGTTTATTATAAGGAAAGATCTCAAAGTGAAGGCCTTTAAGACATACCATGTCATCCAAAGCCAGGTTCCTTTTAACTATATAACTAACATGGATTTTTTTTTTCAGTGTCATCTTTCTCTTCTTCATTGAGTTCACGCTTTTGTGGGATATCGCAGGGTTATGTAGTTTATTCAACTAAACAGAAACTCAAGGAGGAGTATATTGGCCTTTCTGGAAATGAAATTAAGAGCTTGAAGGCATCAGGTGTTGAGGTTTGTCACCGATTTACCCTTGAATTTGCTTGTCAAAAGTTTTCTTTCGTTGGACTATCACACAGTGAGTAGCTGTGGAATATAGTCTTTCCAAATTATAAGCCTGTTTAATTGGTGAGGATTCTGGATGGCAGATAACAAACAGCATAACGACTCCTGAAGTCGCTTTTACTGGAGACACAACGTCGGATTTTGTAGCTGATGAGAATAATGTTGATGCTCTCAAGGCCAGAGTTCTCGTCATGGAGGTGAATATTTGCTACTGATATGTATTAGGAAAAATGTGCGTCATTCTTAATAAAGACCGTTTTCCTGGTCCAATTTTTTCATTGCTTTGTAATTAAAGGAAAACTGTGTGTTTGTCTCTATTTCCATTTGTGCAGAGCACATTTCTTGATGATTCGGTATCCATAGAGCATGCGAGAGATTATGGGCATATCCATTTATCTGAGGTAAGGCTCCCTGTCTCTTTGACAACCTTCTTAGTCTCTCTATCTCTTGATGCTCATAAAAGTTTCTTCCTGTTTCATTCGCTCCATTTTACTTTTAAAAACGGCAGATCGTTAGACATGCTGAAAAGTTTCAAAACAAAGCTATCCTGCTGATTCATTTTTCGGCTCGGTATACAGTGAAGGTGTGTTTTCTTTATCTAATCTGGTTATGTAAAAGTAGAAAAACAGTTACTTTCTTCCCTGAATCGTTGCGTGTTTCACAGGAAATCGAAGATGCGGTTTCTGCATTGCCTCCACCTTTAGAGGGACGTGTGTTTGCTCTAACACAAGGATTCTAGAATCTAGACTGTAAACACTCTTGTAGCTTTTACAAACTTCGTTTTTGTTGTTGCCTAGAGGTCGTACTCTTGTTGTATTTAAGATTTCTATCCCGAGAGACATGTTTATGTGGTTTGCAAAAGAACTATATATATAAACAAGTTTTGGTTTTACTAAATTGCTTAGCATGCTTTAAAATATCTAGTTTTAACTTTGCATGACATAAAAACAAAACAAAAAAATGAATACGTAAAACTGTAAATTAAAAAGCTAAAATGTATACTTAACATTGAAAATATAAAAACCAAATGTATTAACGAAATATGTGTGAGCTAATTGAGTGGAATATAAAAACAAACCAAATAAATAAATTATTTCAATTCTCTTATAAAATGGCAAGAGGGGTGTCTTCCTCAAATAATGAAACTTTACAGAAATATATAATTTTATCAAATTGTATTCAATCTAGATGGAAAAACAAAAATCTAAAGAAATGCGTGATTTTTACCAAATTTTATTCCTGAAAAATATACAACTTGCATTAAATTCTTGTAAGAATACAAAAAAAAACAAAAAACTGAAGGAAATTACTACATCTCTTATCGTAATGTCCGTGTGATTTATCGCCATTCAATGTTTGCATAATAGTGTCAGTTTTTTTTTCCTTTTGATTTGCTCGATCAGCACTTCAGCATCAAGTTTGGTTTGTGCCGCTTATAGTGAGCTAATTGATTGCATTATAATATTTTTGTTTTTTACTAACCACCATATAAACTGATATATGGACAACTAATATAGTTGTCGATAATGAATTAATGATTAATGACTTGAATATATAATAATTAGGAAGTTTAGTAGTAGTATATTTTAAAATTGGAGTGTGAACATTTGAATTTAGGTTTTAGTCTTACAGAATATTAAAAGCCTTTGGACTTTGATGATATATGTGTGTTTTCTTTTTCTTGTTAACTCTTGAATCTTTATTACTGTTTATATTACTATAATTATTATTGGTATGTTCTTTTTTCTCTTCATTTTAAAAATTATTCGCATCAACTAAACAAAATACAAAGATAATGTTAAAAACAAAACAAAAATAAACAATATACTTACAACACAAAACATGTTTTATATATAATTATCAATGTGATTTAAACATCGTGAGTCACGTGGTTCGCTTTTACAAGTTACAACATGTTATTTTTTTTACGTGGATACCTAATTTATCAAATAAATTTCCATGTTTTAGTCATAAGCTTGAGATTCACACCATAAGCTTGAGTACTATTTTAGCCATGCTCATATTTTTACGAATACCCTTTTGGCCTTTTGCCATCCGTTAGTAACAACTTAACAAATTATAATTTTGTAAGATAGGATAATTATTCTTACCATTTAACAAATCAAGTCAACTAATAATTTCTTTTCCCATGCACTGTTTATATCTTTAAGTAATGTAGTTAAGTATAGTATCAAAGCAAAAAAAAAAAACAGCATTATCAAATGTGTTCAAAATTTCGAATTATAGCATACGACATTAAACTTATAAAAAAATTGAGGACAAATAAAGAAAATTGACGAAATACGGATGAATCCCTAGCATCTGCAACTGCAATCAACCATTCAAAGTCGTCCTAAATAATACTTGGAAAAAATTGTGATCATCACTGAGTCAGTGACCGCGTCCAACATTTGATGACCTAAAAGTCACATTATATATTATACACTATAGTATTGGACCGTGTGTAGTTACAGTTTATTCAGTTTGACATCAGCCAGTGCTAGTTGAATTATGGTTTGGTTTCATTATATTGGCTTTATTTGAAAGACTTCCTCTTTTTAATAGTTCCTGATGATAAATAACAATTTGACTTTTAAAATCAAGTCTTTTGTAGTCCTAATATATTCGTTTTGACCACGATTTTTCGGTTAGACAGAAAAAAAGAACAAACGTTCTCTCGAATAGCTGGTGAGACATCATAATCATCATATGGACAATGGACTAAAATGTGTATATTGGTTATTTCAGAGAAATTTGGGAGAAATTGCTGCAACTAACTCCTCTTCATTCATTGTAACGACATTGTGATTTACTCAAAATAATAACAAACCTTTATATATTTATTTATCTTACTCTTTACATTACAAATATTGATTTAAAATATTTTATTTTGCCGTGATTCACGATAATATTCAAAAAGCCGAAGGGGGCTTCCTAGTAAAGAAGAGATGGTTCGAACTTCGAACTTCGAAGGAATTGACTCCTCTCAATTCTCAAATACTGCAATGGTTTTTAAAACATATTATTTGTTTTCTCCAAGCAAAAAAAAAAAAAAATATTTATAAAACACAATTTTGTTACAATACTTCCTATTTAAGGATCCTTTTACTTTCAACTAAAACAAATTGCATGTCCACTTCAAAAAAAAAAAAAAAAATCATATCCACTTCAATCACACTTATTACTTCGTTGCAATAAATGAACTTATTACTTCGTTGCAATAAATGAATGGGGTAATACATGAGGCATGATATACTCTACAAGATTTTGACATTTCTCTGATTTTCGAATATATACCTCCTGCAATTTTTTGGTATAAATCCAAATTATTATTTTGAAACATATTTTGAAATCCTTAATTGATCACTGTACTTAACTTTCATCACTACGATTCCATTCTATTGAATGACAGATCAAGTGCAACGAAGTACACCACCTAGTAACACACGTGGTCAATCAAATTACTTTCTCTCCTGAGATTATGACCGGCAATTGTATATACACTATGTAAATTATATAGTAAATCTAAATTTTATTTCATTATTAACAAGTAAACGAAAATACATGTAGTATAAATGTTAAATATTATTATTGTTGCCGTGTCATATAATTAGAGTTCAAACGCAATAAATATCATAATGAAAAAAAAAATTCATAATGAAACACTACTTTTTAAAATATTTTACAGAAACGAAGTATGTGATTTTTCGTTCTGTTTTTAAAATGGAACTATAGAGTCTCTCTAATGCTGGTGGGTGAAATTAGTAAACTTTTAAAATCTTATATTCTTTCACCTTTTCATCCCTTGCTATTACTACCCTAAGGGTCTGATTGGTATGTCAGATAAATAATAGAATAGCGGAATAACTGAAAAATTACTAGCGGAATGAACTAAACTGAATAATATTTTAGCTGAATAATTATGAAACGCTGAAAAGTTACTTTTAGTAGATTAATCACGTTTTGATTTTTTTAGTTATATTTTTAACACGCTAGCGGAATCACGTTTCAAAAACATAAAAAAAACGTGAAAACGTTATGAATAACATGAATGGTAAAAAATAACAGAATCAAGTTTCCAAAACGTAAAAACGTGAAAAAACTGCATACCATTCAAACCCTTAATTAATTTATCATCTTTTTTGACAACATTGTTGATTTATTCATATACATGTAATTTTTAGTTTTTATGTTACATAAGCTATAGTTTACTTATCTTTTTTTGTTTATAATTTCAGGATTCATATTAATGGACACCGATTAAATTTGTATTTTCTTCTTTCTTAGACCATTTTTCACGAAGTAAAATGGCAGTAGACTAACAATAGAAATCTGTTCTTTGAATAAACAAAGATCTAGAAGAGAAGAAAATTAGACTTACAAGAAAAAACACGAAAATTTCTGAGTAGTTTACGTAGGAGAAGAAGAAATTCTGAGAAATTTAAGTGTGAAAGTGAAATAATTAAAACGTTTATTTAATTAAAAAAACTTCTATCTAATGGGCCCAACTCAACCCCGTTGCATCTATATATATACAGACGTGCTACAAACAATTTTTTCAAATCTCATTACTTACAAAAATCTCAAGGTGTCTAACTACAAACAGCAAATTAAAAAAAAAATAACACAAAAACATTTAAAAAACTCACTCACCACCTCTCTCTTTCGTTACTTCCCCTAAAGCACTCTCCAATGGCATCAATTCAAATTTCTTCTCATTTTCTGGGACCAAACACTAAAAAACACAGCTCCATTTCCATCTCTCATAATTACTCTCCAACCTCTTTCACCAGATTATTCTCCCGCAAGGTTTTTTTCTCTCTCTCTCTCTCTCTCTCTCTCTGTTTTCTTCTTTGGGCTCTATTCTGCTCTTATCATTTTCGAAGAACGTATATAATTAAATTAATTGAGAAACCTTTTCGGATAATTGCAGAGAGTTATGTCGTGTTCGATGTCTATGAATGGATGCGATGGGGATTTCAAGACGCCACTTGGAACTGTTGAGACGAGGACCACGTCGGCTGTTTTGTCTCCGGCAGCCGCTACTGAGAGGTTGATATCCGCCGTGTCTGAGCTCAAATCTCAACCTCCGCCGTTTTCCTCCGGCGTCGTCCGGTTACAGGTACATGACCCTCCCCCTCTGTTTTTTTTAAAGGAGAAAATCCGATTTTCTGTCAGCGAAAGAATCAGATCTCGCCACGTGGTTCTTTTGGATTGGTTTAGGATGATTTCGTTCTCTGCTTCGCTTCCTTGCCGTATCGTTATGCCTAATCATATAAGGTTATATTAATATAATAGCCTTAGTTTTTTTTTTTAGTTGACGAAGAGGAGACACAGTATTATATTTATTTTGAGAAAACCTTTCTTCTCTATTGCTCAAACGGTTTTTTAAACACTAGATATTGAGTTTCTATGATAAATTTCTTAATCAGATTTTGTGGGGATAATATTTAAAATATTGCTTAATCATTGAACGAATGAATAAAATAACTTATGGTTTAGGATGAGTTAAACTCATGATGCAAGTGGGGTTTTTCACTAGTAATTACGTAGAATGTAGGATCTGTTTTTTTTTTTTTGTAAAGACGGTAGGGTCGATGGCACCGGTCTACTGCTGAGTATTATAATTGCTATAAATGATTGTTGCTTTTGTTTATTAATCAGAAAGAATCTCTCAAAAAGATATGGCTAATATAATAATATTTTTTATGAATAAAAAACACACTCTCGAATTGGGTCGTCGTACTAGAGAGAATCCACTAGTCAATCAAACTATTTCAAATGGACGTTTTGGGTTGGATCTCTTCATTGTAGTCAAATTAACGTTGACCTAAAACAGTCAAATTAACAAAGACATTAGAGATTAGAGAAAGAAAAATTCTTCAAAGATTGATTAATCCTAATGAACTTTGATGTTGAGATATTTTTAGCAAAGAAAAATAACAGCAGTGAATAATCATTGAGCCAGTGGGGACCAATCAATAAAAGAGAGTAATAATTAGGAAACCAATGTGTGGAAAGGCGGGCAATCACATCACATTCAGTTTTTGTTTTTTTTTTGGGGTTTGATCAAAAAAAGACAAACACAGTAAAAAAAAAAAAAGCACAGAATGAGATTCAGCCTCGGTTAAAAAAAAGCGAGTCGAATCTTTCCCGCGCAATCTCTGATAAACCCTAAATTTAATTTGGGTTTTCTTCAGGTGCCGATTGACCAGCAAATCGGAGCAATCGATTGGCTTCAGGCACAGAACGAGATTCAGCCTCGCTGCTTCTTCTCTCGCCGCAGCGACGTTGGTCGTCCCGATCTTCTTCTCGACTTGGCGAGCGAGGAGGAGGATGGGAACGGAAACGGAAACCGAAACGGACGAGGCTCATCCGATCGGAATCCGGTTAGCGTCGCTGGTATCGGCTCTGCAGTTTTCTTCCGCGACCTTGATCCGTTCTCTCACGATGACTGGAGATCCATCCGAAGGTAAATCATAAGCTTGCAATTTATCTTTGCGTTTCCCTCTGTTGTAAAATTCTCATCATGGTTTGATGCAATTTACGATTGATTAGCTATTTATAATTTTGCTCTTATTTTGTTGGAATTGTGAAGGTTTCTGTCTTCTAAGTCACCTCTGATTCGTGCCTATGGGGGCATGCGCTTCGATCCTAACGGCAAGATCTCTGTTGAATGGGAACCTTTTGGTGCATTTTACTTTGCAGTGCCTCAGGTACCTTGAAATTTCATTACTTCTTAAGAAGAATCTTGGAGATACAACTTGTTTCCTAATAATGCTTGTGTACGCACAGGTTGAGTTTAATGAGTTTGGGGGAAGCTCCATGTTGGCTGCAACTGTTGCTTGGGACGATGAACTCTCTTGGACGCTTGAAAACGCCATTGAAGCACTCCAGGAGACTATGCTTCAGGTGACATAGATGAATTCTTTTTCCTTCTCTTTTTGTTGCAAACTCTGCTTTGCAAGTTTTTTGAAATGGTCTTTATACTAACGAGATATCTGTGTCAGGTTTCTTCAGTTGTGACGAAGTTACGGAGGGAGTCTCTAGGTGTATCTGTTGTTAGCAAGAACCATGTTCCTACGAAAGGGGCTTATTACCCTGCTGTAGAGAAGGCTTTGGAGATGATCAACCAAAAGAGTTCATCACTTAGCAAGGTAGATTGGTGGGCCAATCTCAATGATCTATTGTTACTGACTCATGGTTCCCGCTTAACTGATGTTTTGTTTGATCAGGTTGTGCTTGCTCGCAACAGCAGGATCATTACTGATACCGACATTGATCCCATTGCTTGGCTAGCACAGTTACAGGTTTGTTTTTTTCCTCTCTAGATACTATATAGTGTAGTGAAACTATAAACCAATCTTGAAAACTGACTCAAACTACTGTGTGACAGCGTGAAGGGCATGACGCGTATCAGTTCTGTCTTCAACCACCAGGTGCACCAGCTTTTATCGGAAACACGGTAGGTTATAAGTACTCTGTTGGTATATTATTCTGTTTGGTTTCACATATTTTGGACGAAACAAGTGACACACATCTTTTTGGAACAGCCTGAGAGACTTTTCCAAAGAAATCAATTAGGTGTCTGCAGTGAAGCTTTGGCTGCAACTAGGCCTCGATCTGCTTCCACGGCTCGTGATATGGAGATCGAGCGTGACTTACTAACCAGGTCTGTTTTTTTTTACTTTACTGTTTTTCAATAATCATAGAATCCATTTCTCCAGTCTCATGCATACTGACGTGGTTTGCTAAACTGCTGCAGCCCCAAAGACGACCTTGAGTTCTCTATTGTACGAGAGAATATAAGAGAAAAGTTAAACGTGAGTTCAATCTTGTTGTTTCTGCACCTTTTAACACTTTTGTTTATTGAGATCCTTAGTTATGATTGACACGCATTGTTATTAATTATCCTCTCTATTGCTTTGCAGTCTATATGTGACAAGGTAGTTGTTAAGCCTCAAAAAACTGTGAGGAAGCTTGCAAGAGTGCAGCACCTATATTCTCAACTGGCGGGAAAGCTTAGGAGGGAAGATGACGAGGTGAGATAATAGTATTAGAATAATTTTTACATCCCATGATTATCTAGAAGATAAGGGTTGTGAATGTTATCTCCGGCGATTTTCTTTTAGGTTTAACACTTTGTCTTGTATCTATCTACAGTTTGAAATCTTGGCTGCTCTGCATCCAACTCCAGCTGTTTGTGGGCTACCAGCTGAAGAAGCCAGGCTTTTGATTAAGGAAATAGGTAAATATACTTTTTTTGGAAGGTTCAACAATCTCTTAGCTACAAAATGCTTGCCTATGCTAGCTTTCTTAGAGACTAACAATTATGCTTATTCAATCATTTCGTTGTCTCCCAGAATCATTCGATAGAGGAATGTACGCCGGACCTATTGGTTTTTTTGGTGGCGAGGAGAGTGAATTTGCAGTTGGGATCAGATCAGCTCTAGTTGAAAAGGTGTGAAGCTTAGTTTAATTGATCTCTCTCCCTAGCAAGAGATGAAAACACTTGCTTAAGTTTTACGCAAACCGGTCTAAATCGCGTTTTATTGAATTATTACAGGGTCTTGGGGCACTGATCTATGCGGGGACAGGGATAGTAGCAGGAAGCAACCCGACCTCAGAGTGGAATGAGCTTGATCTAAAGATATCTCAGGTGCGGTTTGTTTACAAAATGGTATACCTAACATGGCACGCTTCCTTGTTTCCCAAAACAAAAAAGACTAAGTTTATATTCTTTGTGCTGTTGTTTTTGCAGTTCACCAAGTCCATCGAGTATGAGGCAACAACAACTCTACAGCCGATTAATTGAAGAAGATTGACATTTGCATTTCATTGAATGGGGGATGGGGTTACAGAAGAATCACAGTCAGTGTGGTGTGTGTTTGTTTCCTATTTTGTAAATAGAAAGAATAATTGCTCTAAGTTTTCCTGATTGTTAATGGGCCGATTTTTTTCTTTGTTGTAACTAGGCCGGTCTTTTCTGAACGTTAATCGTCCGAGCCTTTTATTTATGATTATTAATTAATGTTGGTGATGGTTTTTTCCTCTGTTTAATTAAACAAATGTCGCTGAAATCGAGACCAACGTCCTCTATAAATAAAGGGACCATACACTGTCTCTCTCAAATTGAGTTTTATAAAAATGAATAAAACAATTTTCATTGTACTTAGAAAATTCACTACATGTAATATCTGTCCATCGATTGTATAATCGAAAACTGTTCTCACGCATCTATCCACAAAATTACAAACCTAAAAACTGTTCCACATTCTTTCTATCAGAGTCTACTTACGCTTTAGAGTTATATAGCAAAAGAGAAGTGCTAATTTGACGGCGATGGATGACATTAACGAAAACAGTGACAATTTAAATGGAACGGTGGAGATAATTATTTTCACGTGTACACGCTTTTTGAAAAAAAAAGAGGACTTGAGTGATAAAGAACAAAATATATGGAAAAAATAGAACTTTAATGAAAACGATGATGCTTTTTCAATTTTATGAAAACGAGGTTTGAAACATGTGCTATACTATTTTCATGACTGTATATGTATATTCATCTATTTTCATGACACATGAGTAGTATTCTGTTACTTTAGTGTTGTCACCGGGTCGATACATCTAAGTCTAACAAACCGATTATGGTTCTTGTGAACAAACCGATTATGGTTCTTGTGAACAAACCGGTTATTTAACAATACAACAAAAACATTTGGTTTGAAATTCTAAGGAAAAAATGGCAGTGAAGACAGCACGAAGGGGCTTATTTCTTTATCGTGTACTGTGTGGGATACAAAATCAAGGAACATAATGGTCCCTACCTACTTCACTTCTCACATTAAATGATATTATTTCATAACGCAGTAAAAACCATATTTTTTTTGGTTTTTCTTCATAAATAAAGAACCCACTGCATAGTAATTGTGTTTATTTATTAGGGTAAATTTACATTCTGATGTCCATAACATGATCCTCACTCACAAGTCAAAAGTAATACTATAACATGATCATTTTTGTTTGACCTAACGTGTTTTGTGGTAGTAAAAAATTAGTCTATAACAATGACCTCGATTTACCAAAAAAATATAAAAATGGGGCGGATGTTTGGGCCTCGGATGATGGTGTGGATTTCGGGAATCGAGTGGCATTTATGTAAAAATGTAACATACTAAACGGGAAACATTAATCATCCTTATAAATTATACAGTGATAACATTAGGATGATTTTCTTAAGAAGGTTAAGTTAAGAAATTACTTAAAGTAAACAAAAACAACTAATAATCCAACAACCTTGCTCGCCAAATCTTTTCATGTAATGGTTTATAGGAACATTAAAAAGTACTCTACTAGTATATAATAAAAGAAAAGGCAGAATCAACACACCAATAAATAAATAAAATAAAAGAGATAGTACAATAATAAAATCGAAGAGCACGTAAAAAGTGAGAATAAAACGAAGCCTTGGCGATAGAGAATGGAATCGGATTTCCCATTATCTCCACCTTAACGCCAAAATATTCCTTCTCCCTTTATGCCTTCCACCTAAATTGAGTTTACTTAATTAACCAAATCACATACCTTGCCTCCACTTTCACAAATCTCGTTAAAAACTATTCGAATTCAATTTTATGATGACAAAATAATTGTACTCTCTTTTAGCATTCTTATAAATCATGTAATTGTATAGATTAATTTCACATTACAAGGGTTTAGTCACTAGTGAAAGGATTACCGAAAAGCATGTAAATTAAACACACTAATGAAATGCTTTAAAGAGGAATGTATTCAAATAAGTAAAGGAAGGCCTCAAAAGGAAAATACTTTCTCTCTCTCACACTACCCGCGATTACCGTAATCTCTCTGTCAGAAACAACCAAAACGCTATCTCACACACTCTCTCTCTTGTGAGAAGAAGACATTCTCGAAAAATGAGAGCACAATTACTATGAACACGACGCCGTTTCAATCGGATCCTCCGCCGTCGAGGATCCAGCGGAGGCTCGTCGTCGAGGTAGTGGAAGCGCGTAATATTCTCCCCAAGGATGGCCAAGGCAGCTCAAGCGCCTACGTCGTCGTTGATTTCGATGCCCAGAAGAAACGAACCTCCACCAAGTTCCGTGACCTGAACCCTATCTGGAACGAGATGCTCGATTTCGCCGTCTCCGACCCCAAAAACATGGACTACGACGAGCTCGATGTCGAGGTCTACAACGACAAGAGGTTCGGGAACGGAGGCGGCCGGAAAAACCATTTTCTCGGCAGGGTTAAGATCTATGGAAGCCAGTTCTCTAGAAGAGGCGAGGAAGGTCTTGTCTATTTCCCCTTGGAGAAGAAGAGTGTGTTCAGCTGGATTCGCGGTGAGATCGGGCTGAAGATTTACTACTACGACGAGGTCGCCGACGAGGACATGGCGACTGGGGGCCAGCAACCGCCGCCGCCGCAAGAAGCTGATGACCAATTTCCTCCGCTGCAACAGATGCAGAATCTACCGCCGGAGAAACCGTCGCCTAACGTAGTCGTGGTGGAGGAAGGCAGGGTTTTCGAATCGGCTCAAAGTCATGGGGATATGTGCCGTAGCTATCCAGAAGCTCAGCAGCCACCGGTGGTTATCGTCGAGGAGTCACCGCAACCGGTAATGCAAGGTCCCGGTGATAACCATCCTCCACGTCCGCCGTCCCCGCCACCTCCTCCGTCGCATCCATCGGCGGGGGAAGTACATTATTATCCGCCGGAGGTGAGGAAGATGCAGGTAGGGAGACCTCCCGGCGGAGACCGAATCAGGGTTACGAAGAGACCGAATGGGGATTTTTCGCCTAGGGTTATCAACAGCAAGATCGGAGCGGAGACGACGATAGAGAAGAAGGCTCATCATCCTTACAATCTGGTTGAGCCAATGCAGTATCTGTTCGTTCGGATTGTGAAGGCGCGTGGACTACCGCCTAACGAGAGCGCGTACGTCAAGGTACGAACGTCGAACCATTTCGTCCGGTCTAAACCGGCCGTTAACCGGCCCGGCGAATCAACAGGCGCTCCTGAGTGGAATCAGGTTTTCGCGCTTGGCCATAACCGATCAGATTCTGCTGCTTCCGGCGCGACTCTTGAGATCTCCGCCTGGGACGCTTCGTCGGAGAGTTTTCTCGGGGGAGTTTGTTTCGATCTCTCCGAGGTTCCCGTTCGTGACCCACCGGATAGTACGCTCGCTCCTCAGTGGTACCGGCTCGAAGGCTCCGCTGCGGATCAGAATTCCGGGAGAGTCTCCGGCGATATTCAGCTCTCTGTGTGGATCGGCACTCAGGTAGATGAGGCATTCCCGGAGGCGTGGAGCTCCGACGCTCCACACGTAGCTCACACGCGCTCGAAGGTTTACCAATCGCCGAAGCTCTGGTACTTGAGGGTGACGGTTCTCGAGGCACAGGATCTCCACATCGCTCCAAACCTTCCGCCATTGACGGCGCCTGAGGTCCGTGTTAAAGCTCAATTAGGGTTTCAGTCGGCGCGTACAAGACGAGGCTCTATGAATAACCACAGTGGGTCGTTTCATTGGCACGAGGATATGATCTTTGTTGCTGGAGAGCCATTAGAAGACTGCTTGATGCTGATGGTGGAAGACCGGACGTCTAAAGAACCAACGCTACTAGGGCACGCCATGATCCCAGTGAGCTCCATTGAGCAGCGAATCGATGAGCGCTTCGTGCCGTCAAAATGGCATTCTTTGGAAGGAGAAGGTGGAGGAGGAGGAGGTGGTGGTGGTGGTGGACCTTACTGCGGAAGGATTAGCTTAAGACTCTGTCTTGAAGGTGGGTATCACGTGCTTGAAGAGGCGGCGCACGTGTGCAGCGATTTCCGTCCGACGGCTAAGCAGCTCTGGAAACCGCCGATCGGAATACTCGAGTTGGGGATCCTCGGAGCTCGCGGGTTGTTACCGATGAAGGCCAAAAACGGAGGGAAAGGTTCAACTGATGCTTACTGTGTTGCTAAGTACGGCAAGAAATGGGTCCGGACACGAACCATAACAGACAGTTTCGACCCGAGATGGCACGAGCAGTACACGTGGCAGGTTTACGATCCTTGCACTGTTCTAACCGTTGGCGTATTCGACAACTGGAGGATGTTCTCGGACGTCTCCGATGATAGACCTGATACTCGGATAGGGAAGATACGGATTCGGGTCTCGACGTTAGAGAGCAACAAAGTATACACCAATTCGTATCCTCTCTTGGTTCTGTTACCTAGCGGTCTGAAAAAGATGGGCGAAATCGAAGTGGCGGTCCGGTTCGCGTGCCCGTCGTTGCTACCTGATGTCTGCGCGGCTTACGGACAACCACTTCTGCCTCGGATGCACTATATAAGGCCTCTAGGCGTAGCACAACAGGATGCGTTGAGAGGAGCCGCTACGAAAATGGTTGCAGCATGGCTGGCTCGAGCAGAACCACCGTTGGGACCCGAGGTGGTTCGATATATGTTGGATGCGGATTCTCACTCGTGGAGCATGAGGAAGAGCAAAGCGAATTGGTATAGGATTGTTGGGGTTTTAGCTTGGGCAGTGGGTTTAGCTAAGTGGTTGGATAGTATCAGGCGGTGGAGGAATCCGGTGACGACTGTGCTAGTCCATCTTCTATACCTGGTTCTTGTTTGGTACCCTGATTTGGTTGTCCCGACCGCATTCTTGTACGTGGTGATGATTGGAGTTTGGTACTATCGGTTTAGACCCAAGATACCGGCTGGTATGGATATCCGGTTATCACAAGCTGAAACCGTTGACCCCGATGAACTAGACGAAGAATTCGACACCATACCGAGCTCGAGGCGGCCAGAGGTAATCCGAGCTAGATACGACCGGTTAAGGATCTTAGCGGTGAGGGTTCAGACGATTCTAGGCGATTTTGCAGCGCAAGGTGAGCGAATTCAAGCGTTGGTTAGCTGGAGAGATCCAAGAGCGACTAAGCTGTTCATAGCAATCTGTTTGGCGATCACAATAGTTCTGTACGTGGTTCCGGCGAAAATGGTGGCGGTGGCTCTTGGGTTTTATTACCTCCGGCACCCGATGTTCCGGGACACAATGCCTACGGCCAGTCTCAATTTTTTCCGGCGGTTGCCTAGCTTGTCTGATCGGCTCATCTAAGGGTTTCACTTTTGAGAGGAAAATTCAAAATCAAGTCTAAGAGTTAGGTGTTTTTGAGTATTCAGCAGTTTCGTATGATACTTGAGCTGAGGAGATAGAATAAAGATTCGTTATGGGTTAAGCGTAAAAGCTATGATTTTTATCATATTATTATGATTCGTTATTTTATTAGTTGGATTCTGTTCGAATTATGATCAGATGGTATTGAGTCTGAGACCTGACTGTAATCTTATGAAGCAAACAAGAGAGATTTCAGAGTTGGGGAGAGGAAAAAAAGAAGTCAAACTTGTCAGTAAAGTTTCTGACCGGAGATTTGCTTTTGGTATCTATGTAGTTACTCTGTAATGTGAAATGATTTATTTAGTTACTCATTTAACAAGTATTTACACATACACTAGTGTTAGTATATTACTCTACTAATTTCAAGAACAAAACATAATTTTCAATGAGATACCAATTGCAATATATTTACTTCTTAAACGAAAATCGTGTGATTTTTTTTTGGTTGTTTTAACTTGACAATCCTTTTAACGTTGTGATATTGTCTGATAATCTTCCTTGTCAAAACAGCCAAAATGTCTGAAAAGTCTAAATATCTAAACAAGTGAAAAGAGGGGATAAAGCGCTAACGAATATGATTGGTTGGAACCACAAATACATCATCTGACGTGGCAGTTTCTCTGTCTCCAGAGTTTCCAGATAGTGTGCGAACGGCAAAATAAACACACGAAGGAATCTCCAAAGCAAATATTTTCATCGCTTCGATTCGATCTTCCTCCAATGGCTGTCAACGCTCCGATATCGTCTCCGGCGGCTCATCCGCGAACACAGTTTCTCTCCAATCCCGTTCTCCCTCGCTTTCGCCGGTCATCCTCCGCCACGAAATCACCAGCAGCTTTCTCCGTCGTTTCTATGGCTCCCCAGAAGAAGGTAACTCTCGATATTCTACTTTCTATCTCCCTTGGGCCTTTTCATGAACCCCTTGTTAAAGCTGCGTAAAGTATGATGAATCTTTTGTGGGTGGTCTGAAGATAAACTAGAAAGTAAATCTTATATCTACAGAAACGTGAACAAGCTATAGTTCTTCTCTGGTTTTAGCTCACATTTTAGTACACACCACAGATTCTCAGTTACTTCAATGGAAATTGATGTAAAGATCTTGTACATTAGGTCCAGATTTCGATATTTTCTGAATGGAGAATAATGAAACAAAGACATCACATTTATTGAAGTCTCTGTATAGTACTCTTGCATATTTAGTTTTGTGTAACTGTGATCACTGAACCGGGTAAAAATAAGGTGAACAAATATGATGCCAAGTGGAAGAAACAATGGTACGGAGCCGGATTATTCTTCGAAGGGAGTGAAGAAGTAAACGTGGACGTATTCAAGAAGCTGGAAAAGCGAAAAGTGCTAAGCAACGTTGAGAAATCTGGCCTGCTCTCGAAAGCAGAGGAGCTGGGACTCACATTGTCATCTCTTGAGAAGCTTGGTGTCTTCTCCAAAGCAGAGGACCTCGGTCTTCTCAGTCTCCTTGAAACGTTAGCCGGTACGTCGCCTGCGGTCTTAGCCTCCGCTGCACTCCCGGCTCTGACGGCTGCAATTGTAGCCGTGGTGCTTATTCCCGATGACTCGACTACTCTGGTGGTTCTTCAAGCGGTTTTGGGCGGTGCTCTTGCTCTTGGAGCAGTCGTTTTGTTGGTTGGGTCTGTTGTTTTGGATGGACTTCAAGAAGCTGACTGATTCTGATTCTTTCTTTGTAAACCCAAACACAAATAAAACCTTTTGTTCTACTGCTTTACGTCAGTTTTGCTGTAATCATAACTGTTAGGTTCAGTGATTTATGGTCACACCAAGTCATAAGCTGAGAAGGAGTGGAAGAAGAAACCAAGTCAGAAATAAGCTTTATGACAATTAAACAACCATTACATACAAATACATTCATTCTTCAATGGAGAAAAAAGCCTAACTAAGCCCATAAATTACAAATTTTCAACTTCCCAAACCAAAAAAAGAATCTCTAGAAGCAATTACATTTGAAAAAGCCCAAAAAAAACCCTTCTTCTTGAACAGAGGAAAACACAGCCATCAGATTGCTTCTGTTTTGGTGATAAAAACAAATGTAAATATCAAACAGCAATAGATTGTCCAGTGAGTGCGTCGTGGAGATGCAATGACCCATCTTTCATCAAGTTTATGCTTAAGCTTTTGAATCTCTCTCTTGAGTATTGTCTTGATGCTTTTCTCCAATCGGTTCCAGCTTTCATCATCACCACAAATTCATCATAGTTTATACGTCCGTCCTGCAAAAATCAAACATTAAGATAAGATTCCCTCAAGAGTTTGATAATCTTTCTATAAGAAGAGTCTTTTTAAGGAGTTTTAGACAAGACCTTGTCAGTGTCGACTTCACGCATTATATCGATTAGAACACTGTTGTCTGGTTCACCCAACTCGTCGGTTAAAGCTTTCCGTAGTTCATCTGATTCGATGTATCCACTTCCATCTTTGTCAAAGAACATAAAAGCTTGTCTGAAATGTTCATCATTCTCCATCTTCTGCAAGTGAATTATCACTGCAACAAACTCTCCATAGTCCAAGCATCCATTACCGTTAACATCCGCCTGCATCAAAGCTCAGGAATGTTAGTACCAGAGAAGAAGAACATCGTTGAATCTTTTGATCAAGACGAATCTTTATGAAAAAAGATTACCACTTCCATCAACATTTTGATCTCTGGTTCGCCAAGTTGTGAACCGACTTTCCGTAGTCCAGCTCTGAGTTCTGGATACGTTATTTTACCGTCGTTGTCGTCATCCATCAGTGTAAACATGTCTCTGATCACTTCAACTTCTTGAAGAGACAAGTGCTCAGCGATTACCTGGAAGCATCAAAAGGCAGTAAGTGAAACCAATCAAAGCAACAAACAAAAGTATAAAAATCATCTGGAAAAATGAATGAGTAGGCAACACTTACGCGCAGAGCTTTCTTTTTCAACCTATTCATCATGGAGAATTGCTTTAACCTTGACCTGACGATATCCCCTAACGGAACATTTGGAGCTTTCTTCGCATTCTGTATCCAAGGGTGATCTGCATAACAAAAACCGTCATTTCTCAAATCCAAATCCAACACAAGAGAAAGTAGAGCAAAGAAGATGACAAAAAAAAAGCCACATCAGTACCAAGAACTTGCTGAGCAGTCAAACGCTTAGTGGGATCAGGGTCCAGCATCTGCTTCACAAGGCTCTTTGCACTCTCTGATATCTGTGACCAAGGGTCTCTCTTAAAATCAAGAACCCCTCTCAGAATCGCAAGAGCCACCCCTTGTTCAGTCTCTGCAATCAAAAACCATCCTTGAATCACTCAGTATACATCTGCATATATACAATCTTTCTCACATGAATCAAAAGCTGCTTTTTTTTCACCTGCCCAAAACGGAGGAACACCACAGAGCAAGATGTAGAGGATAACTCCTGCGCTCCACACATCAACCTCTGGTCCATAGTTTCTCTTCAACACTTCTGGTGCCATATAATATGGACTTCCCACAATCTCTGTAAATCTCTCTCCTGCAAGTGCATCAAAATTTTCATAACATTACACTGTTTAACAATGTGATCTGAAACTCAACAGAGATCAAAGACTCTAAAATTAGAAAGAAAAGAAAAAAACTTTCTTTTTAGGGAAATTACCAGGTTTGAAGAGAACGGATAATCCAAAATCAATGGCCTTAAGCGCAGAGTTCTCCTTCTTGTTAGCGAACAAGAAATTCTCAGGCTTCAAGTCCCTATGCATGACGCCATTGATGTGGCACATCTTCACGACCTCCGCGATCGTCCTCGCGACGGTTGCCGCCGCACGCTCCGTGTAATGCCCCCTGGCGACGATCCGATCGAAGAGCTCGCCTCCTTCGCAGAGCTCCATCACCAGATGCACGTTCTCGTTGTCCTCGTAGGTCGCCTTGAGTTTCACCACGTTTGGGTGATCGGGGATGGTGGACATGATCGTGACCTCGCGGCGGACGTCCTCCACATCGACGGCGGTCCGGAGCTTCCTCTTGGAGATCGATTTGCAGGCTAAAGCTTCACGAGTCTCCCGGTCGGTACAGAGGTAGGTGATTCCGAACTCTCCGCGACCGAGTTCTCTCCCTAGGATGTATTTGTCGCTGATCTGAGTCCGATGGCTCATAGGGACGTCGGGGAGGACGCGTATGGGGCCGTGGGATCTCAGACCATCGGGATCGTCGTATAAGTGACGTTTCCGATCGGGTCGTTTCTTCTTCTGGGTCTGGGTTTGTTTTGAGTCTTCCGGGTCAAACCTCACACAGGCGACACAATTACCCATGGCCGAGACCGAGTTTTCAAACTCTGTAACTCAGTACACGAAAATGAAGAAAGTATTGTTTAAAGAAGTTTGGTTAAATGCTAATTCCTCGGGGGTTTAGGGGAATTCTACGACGACGGCGTAATTTCCCGGCGAGACGGTGAGTTGTAGTATTGAAGGGAAGAGAAAACGCGGGTTTAGCTGATGAAAGGTTCGACCTTTTCGTAAACTTCAATTTGATCAAGCTGACATAAAAAAAAAAAAAATACTACTATAGTATATTCTATTTATATCATCAACTTTTTCTTTTGAGCAAAATTTATATCAAAGTTAAAAGCAAGTTGATCAGTGTAATATGTATAATTAAAACAAAAAAAAAATTACATTTTAGCATTAACTCTGGCGGAGTTAATTTTGTAAGATAATCAGAGAAATTTATTTAGCGATGATTTATACAAGCATTTACTCTTCACAAAATTCGATAGTTATTTTTGGCTGTCAAAAGGAAAAAAGAAAAATCATAGAAATGTTTTCAGTGATTTAAACGGTTAATTATGGTTATGTCTGGCACCACAAGTTTCGTTACTCTTTTCCGTCTTTCGTGTAGAGTAAAAGAGAGGACTAGGAAAAAATAATAGCCGTGGATTTGTTGAGGTGGTGAAATCAAGGGCTGAGATGTTAGCTACGTGGAAGGGAGAGTTTGATGAAGTTGTTGACCCTCGAAGTGGATATGGTGACATTGTCAAAAAAGTGTGACGTTACTTTCATATGAGTTGGTATTATTATTACACAAAATAATTTTCTGAACTAAATCAATAAAACTGAGTAAATATACTTGTGACTTGTGAGAGTTGTTTTGTCTTCTCCCTCTAATTACATTACCTGAGACTCTTTTTGTAGATTACTCTTTTTGTTTTACCATAGACATTTTGTAGATTTAACAGTAAAAATATATATTCATATGAAAACAGCTTCCGGTTGTCAAAATTCAGATAAAATCTGGCATCAGGATTTAAGAAACTCTCAAAATGTATATGGGGTGATGTAAAAGTATCTGCAAAAAGATTTGGTGAAGATAATTTCAAAACCTATCAGATTTGTAATCAGTATAGGAGAAATTAGGTGTAGACTTTGTCAATCAATCGTACTTTATATTCTGTGACATATAGTAATAGAATAAAATGAAAAGTAAATATGAAGATTCCACTGATCAAAGTCAACAAAAATGCAAACAAATGGGTAACGTCTTTAATTGTTTTTCTTTTCTCTAAGAAAGTGCAAAATGAATTGACAAATGTGTCGCCATGTCGGGTTCTTATTCGTTTGCTTTCAATAATTAGGGTTTACATTCCAAAAAATGGTAAAATACATAATTTTCTGTCTTCTTCCGAACAACAACCTCAAATATGTCATCTGCACAAACCATATAATCCTCTATCTTCCCTATCGACAGCTAACTAAATATTTTTCTCATCGCATATTAAAAACGATATTTTTGGTGCATATGATTTTCAGTCTCTTTTTCTAGATATATCTTTGATCAAATAAGCAAAAAGAAGGTCTTTCATTTATTTACCGGTTACACTTTAATTATTGCAATTGGCAAAAAGAGAGTGGAAAAGTTGAAAGTTATGCAGCCAAATCAAAAGCATTAGGTTGAGAAAGATAAGATATATAATCCCCAAAGCTTTTTTCTTACTCGAATTTTGTTATGTTTAGACTCATTAACTTTCTCAAATATTTAGAGATGTATATATGTTTAGACTAATGTGGTATATACTATCTATTAAAAAATCCATGACAAATAATTAAATTATGAACGGGGTAATGTCGATGAGTTTTGATTTCACAAAAAAAAAAAAAAAAAAAAGAGGAAGGAAATGATGGACCATGTTTTATCTTGTGCAACTTTTAAGCTGGCAAACTATTAAAAGTAATATAAAAAGAAAAATTTGAAAAAAGGGACTTTTTTTGACTGAGGGAAAGAACATGAGATTGTGTATGAAATGATGGGCTCAACTCAAATGTTTGAGATTGCATGTGTATCTGCCGTTGTCACGCCAACTTTCAATTTATTGAAGTCCCACCACTTATCTACAAGACTACAAACTAAAACTACATACTTTATGGAATAATTAATATCTATTCTAGAATATGAATGAATCCATGCTTTTGGCCTTTAAGTTTAAATGGAGTTATCAGTTATGGAGATACATCAGTAATTATGTTTCTATCGTGAAGACTGTAATTAGTTATTGTTTGTGTTCGGTGTGGTGGTTTACCATCCATAGAATTTGATTGTTCATCCCTTTTTTACCATTTTCAAACGCAATAAACTTCTAAGTAATAATGTTCACCCAAAAGTAAAGAAAAAAAAGAATTCTCAGTAATAATAAAAAATGAACTAATTTTTTATATTGATTTCCAAAGTTGTCTAGTTCGGATCTTGATCTTTTTTTCTTTCTCTAAAGCACAAGAAGAAGATAGCAAGATAAAAAAAAACAACAATAGACAGTTGGATCTCATATCAAGCTAACAGTTCGTTTGCATTGTTGGGCTCGCAAAAGATAAAAAGGGCTAAGTAATACAAAAAGCCCATTATCCTTTTTTACCCAGCTTAAAACGAGATGCTTGGCAAAGGGCAAGTTAAAATTTTAATCTGCTTCCAATAATCATGGGGTTACACTATTCGTAGATGTTCATCATATCAATAGAATCTCTGACTTATTTGACTTCTTGGTTCCACAAATTTATGTGCTTTCTACATTTTGAGGGTTTTGTTTTGTTTTTTGTCTTTTGGATTAATAACGTTCTCAAAAAGAACCAAACCAAAGCCAAAATTAAGGAGGTGATGGATAAATTGGATATTTAGTTCCACAAAATCTTGCTCTTTCTCTTTTTCTCTCTAGACTAAAGTAACAAAGCTGTCGTATTCAAAGACATGAAAGTAAAGCCACGTGTACAGCGACATTTGAGGAGGGCAAAGCAGAAACGTTGCACAAAGGGGAACAAAGTATAAAACAAAAAATCTCTAACTTGTACCGTTTTTATAGCTCAATCCAGGTATTCTTTTGATTCTCACAAGTCAACCACTAACTTTGAAAGTAACAAATTCGACACTATATTAGTACATTGGTAAATAATTGAAAGGGAAAATCGGTTTACATGATAAAATATTAGAAAACAGTGTATAATAGTGTGAAAATTTATTTAAATAATACTGAAAATTTCTTATGGAATCGATCGGATAAAATTTGAATGACCTACTTTGTAAAAGAAAATTATTTATGATACCTGGTGTTATAGAATAAATATAAAGACATAGGGGGTATAGTTGAAAATACAGGTAAGTTAAAGGAAACAATTAATAAAATTAAAAGGAGAGAGTAATAGCAAAAAGTCGTGACCTTTGCAAGGTCGTAAGCCTCTGCTTAATTTTGCTTGGAGAGCAAAACAAGCTTTGAAGCTTCCACATTTGACGGCCACAGAGGGAGAAGGCAAATCTGCCTTTTTCTCTCGTTTTCTTTTCTCAATTTCCCCTGAAGATTTATTTTTTTTTATTTTTTTTTCCGGGGAAAACGAAGTAATAAGACGAAGGAAGTCAAACGCCACCATTTTGAAGGTGACTTTGCTAGTCTCGTTGATCTCGCTTCTGTCTTACTTATCCGATGGGAATCTAGCTTCTTTCTTAGCAATAAAGGCTGCATCTTTGTGGGTTTTCTCCTCTTATCTCCTTGGGGTTTTCTGCTTGTCTGTGGTCAGAGTCGTTCTCGGGCTGTCTTTTTAGTGATATGGGAGTTAGAGTTCTTAAAGCGGAGATTTTTGGTTAAATCAAAACATTTGACTATATGCTTAAGTTGTTGACTCTAAGTTTAGCTAGCTTTCTTCCTTTTTGTGTGTGTTCAATCTCTGGAGTTGATCAATTTTCTAAGATTTGAACGTGATTCCGTGAATCAGATGGTGAAAATTCTACCAGAGGCTCAGTTTCAGTGTGGTGACTGCACAATGATATTGAGCTACTTGCTAGAATGCATCTCGTAAATGGGGGGTGCTCAAAATTAAGCATTGTTTAGTAGACATTACTGTATATTCTGGGTTTCCTGATGTGCTAAAGGATGATACTTTATGGAGACGCTGAAAGAAAAATGGAAGGCTCAGTTTAAATGGTTTAGTCTGTGTGGAATGAAATAATAAAAAAGTGTGACTTTTGAATATGTACAAAGTTTCTTGTAACTTGTAAGGGACAAAAAAAAAGAGGTATACAGCCTTGTGGGGAAGATGGCTGATAAAATGTATATTCGTTTTGTAATTTATGGCTTGAACCCCTGGCTCCATTGACATATTTCTGGTGAGAGATATCAGGTAGTGTAATTAGGTTGCTAAGATAGTTTTCAAGGGAATACTCTATTTTGGGGTTTTCTTTTTTTGCTTCATCTTTTGAGCATTCTTTCTCGTAGTTTGTGATTCATCTTTTCTTTCTTTGCAGACAATGATTCGTGCAAAGCACATTAGTAACCTTTCGAGTTCAGCAAGATCCTTTTTTCTTAGTGGAACAAGACCTAGTGCAGCTGATGGAAACCCCTGTACATCAGCCGATGATGAAAGCTGCGTCTTGAGACGCCAGCAAATTAGGACTGAAGCTGTACAGACTGGGAAAAGAGCATCTAATCTAGCAGCTGGACTAGTGGGGAATGTATTACCAGTAGAGGCTAGTAAGGTTGAGCATTTCACCCGACCGTCTCTTCTTCCTCAGCATGTTTCTTCTCCTGTTTTGCCGGTGAAGTCAGATTCTGTAAACTATAAGATCCCACTATCCGATGGAACCGAAGTTGCTGGTTTGCCTAAAAGCTGTATCTCTGATCCCACTCGCCATGTTTCAAGTGTTAAGTCTTCAAATGCGAAAGTCGTCAGAACAGAGCACCTTGCTAAAGTCCACCTTAAAGATTCATCAGACCGAGTTCCTACAAACGGCTCCCGAGATACTAAGGAAGCTCAAAGATCTGTATTTGTCAAAGGCTTGAAGCAAGCTTCGAATGATGTTGCAGGGATTTCGTTTGAAGCTCAGTATTTACCAACGAATACCGTATCTGGAAAGAGGAAAAGCATGCCGGAGAGACCTAATATTGATTCAACCAGGTATGCGTCGGGTGGTTATGACTATAATGTGCGTTCTTCGGATGACAGGACGATGAAATCTTGTGTTGAAGGTTTCACTAAACCCTCAAGGGAAATGACGAGAGTGACACCAGGTACCGCTCCAAGGCAGTGTTGTAATGCTGGATATGTGGTAGAGAATGTTTCTAGTATATTGAGGAGATTCAAATGGGGCCCTGCTGCTGAAGAGGCCCTTCATAATTTTGGTTTCAGGATGGATGCATACCAAGCAAACCAAGTTCTTAAGCAGATGGATAACTATGCAAATGCGCTTGGTTTCTTCTATTGGCTTAAAAAACAACCTGGTTATAAGCATGATGGGCATACTTATACCACTATGGTAGGTAACCTCGGCCGAGCCAAGCAGTTCGGTGAGATAAACAAGCTTCTCGATGAGATGGTTAGAGATGGATGTCAGCCAAATACCGTTACATACAACCGCCTTATCCATAGCTACGGCCGTGCGAATTACCTCAACGAAGCTATGAATGTTTTCAATCAGATGCAAGAGTCTGGATGTGAGCCTGACCGCGTAACTTACTGTACCCTTATAGACATACATGCCAAAGCTGGATTTCTTGACATTGCCATGGACATGTACCAGCGAATGCAAGCAGCGGGTCTCTCTCCTGATACTTTCACCTATAGTGTTATAATAAACTGTCTTGGGAAAGCTGGCCATTTACCTGCTGCACACAGGCTCTTCTGTGAGATGGTTGGTCAAGGTTGTACTCCTAATTTGGTCACGTTCAACATCATGATAGCTTTACACGCCAAGGCTCGGAATTATCAGAGCGCGTTGAAGCTATACCGAGACATGAAAGACGCCGGGTTTCAACCTGACAAAGTGACATACAGTATAGTTATGGAGGTTCTTGGACACTGTGGATTCCTCGAGGAAGCAGAGGCTGTTTTCACTGAGATGCAGCGTAAGAACTGGGTTCCTGATGAGCCGGTTTACGGTCTTTTGGTGGATTTGTGGGGAAAAGCTGGCAATGTTGAGAAAGCTTGGCAGTGGTATCAAGCAATGCTTCACGCCGGTCTGCGACCTAATGTTCCCACTTGCAATTCACTTCTCAGTACTTTCCTCAGGGTTCACAGGCCGTCTGAAGCCTATAGTTTACTACAAAGCATGCGTGCGCTTGGTCTTCAGTCTTCTCTGCAGACATACACATTGCTCTTGAGTTGTTGCACTGATGCTCGTTCGAACTTTGACATGGGGTTCTGTGGCCAGCTAATGGCAGTCTCAGGTCATCCGGCACATATGTTTCTCCTCAAAATGCCACCTGCAGGTCCCGATGGCCAGAACGTGCGTGACCATGTGAGCGACTTCCTTGATTATATGCACAGCGAGGACAGAGAGAGTAAGCGCGGACTCATGGATGCAGTGGTGGATTTTCTGCACAAGTCAGGTCTAAAAGAAGAGGCTGGCTCGGTCTGGGAAGTGGCTGCAGTTAAGAATGTGTATCCAGATGCATTAATGGAGAAGAGCTGCAGCTATTGGCTTATCAATCTCCATGTAATGTCAGAAGGAACTGCAGTCACGGCGCTGTCTAGGACACTTGCGTGGTTCCGTAAGCAGATGTTGGTTTCAGGAGAATGTCCTTCACGGATTGATATAGTAACTGGTTGGGGAAGACGAAGCAGAGTCACGGGCACGTCAATGGTGAGACAAGCGGTTGAGGAACTGCTCAACATCTTCAACTTCCCGTTCTTCACTGAGAATGGAAACTCAGGCTGTTTTGTTGGATCCGGAGAGCCTCTCAAGAACTGGTTGCTTGAATCATATGTTGAGAGGATGCATTTGCTCTAGTTGTAGATTAGTTGTTTTGTTTTCTTTTTTTCTCTTAAGGCCTATTGAATTTATTAATCTTTCGCTGAATCTCAGTGGCTTGGTTTTGTATGTCGTAAGTTTGAGGGTTTGAGGGTTTGAGGTTAGTGGTGATGACTGGAATTTTGATCTCCAGATTTTTGTTATCATGTCAACATTATCTCCTCTTGCAATGGTTTGTAATGGGAGTAGATAAATAAAATATTTAAGGGTGATCAGACCCAAATTTATTAACATTTGGAATATCTTTTGTATGTTTTATTTTTTTGTACAACATCAAATGTTACAAAACTGTTTTCTTACCAGCCATGTTACTACACAGGCTGATGATTCTACAATGTTGTAAATTGGGAAAAGGAAAACTGGAGAAAGATCTAAAGGACCCTTGAGTTGTAGGAGCCACAAGATGTGCATTTGTGGTATAGCCAATGGTACGGAGCATTTCCTTTTCTTCCACAGTCATTACACAGTATCACCTGCACCAAAACCATTTTCACATTCAGATTATTCTTGCATCTTAATAAACCATCGAGGGATAACAAAAGTAGAGAGAGACAGAGAGAGATGTAGTAAACCTGAGTTTTGTTGGAGTATTCATCAGGCATCTTCTCCTCTGCAAGTAATGCGTCTAACATGCTAAAGTAGACCTGTGTGAAAGTTCTTTGTTTAGTGAATGGTAAGTGTTCATTGGTTCAATAAAGACTCAAGCACTTCGAGTTCAGAAGAAAACAGCACTCTGTTTGAAAATGGTGTAACTGACCTGCATATCTCCTAGAGACTTGCTGCAGACAGGGCATGTGTAATGTGAACATGTGTACTCCTACCATCAGAATCAAAGAACAAACCCTAAGTAATCATTAGCAATCTGTTTCCGGTTTTCATTATTACCTTAAAGAAACATATATTGAGAGAAGTTAAAAAAGCACCTGAAAGCATGTGGAGTGCATCAAGTGACCGCATGGAAGAGCCTTAACAGGGGAGCTAGAGGTGAAGATGTACTCGTTGCAAATCGGGCAATTATCTTCTAAGCACTTTTCCCTGCAAACATGCTCTACTAATAAACGTGACATACAAGCATTGCATTTCATGCAATGGAAGTAGTCAATGCCCAATCCTTTCCCTACTCGGCAGAGATTGCAGTAGGGGCAGTGATAAATTTTCCTGTTAACAACTTTTGTTTGTCAGTCAAGGAATCAACGTAATGAGTTAATGAAATTTCAACTTTGGATACAATATCACCAGGGAAGAGTTAATTAGTTACCTTTCATCATCATGTAGTTTGCAAATTTTACAAAAGTACTTTCCCATTGAGATCTTGCACGAAGTATTTGAGCAGTTTTCACCAATTGGCTGAATCAAGAGGCATTTCATGCACATCATCTTTTTAATTTGTTTCCTGTATAAGAATTCAAGAGAAGCAGAGACAGTTGAGTAACAAACAAGATTGTAGAAGTTCACATTAAAGTAGAAGATGTTACACTATACCTATCCACCGAGTGATCAGCCTCTTCATCATGGCATCGTATACAAGTGAAGAGCTGGTCGCAACAAGGAGCAAGAATCTTGCAATTCCTCTTGTAGTGCATGCAGCCAAAGATCAAACCCTGAGGATCTCGATAAGATGGATGTTGACCAGGAACTGTTTTTCCATTGCTTGGGAGTGTGGATGGTTCTAGATTGTATAAACGCTGTGAGATAATCCAACGGCTGAAAAATTTACCTGACATATTGTTAGTCTCTCGACATAAGAAAGAAAAGTTTACTAAGGGAATAAGATCTTTGTAGAAATTGCGTAAAAGACTAAACAGACTTCTGTCTCACTAAGACAACAAGCAGGACCTACCTCATTAACAAGTTCTGTCGGATATAATATTTCTTCTGAGGATCCAGGGAAGCGTCACATGATAATTTTTTAATCATCATCGCTAGTTCTTCTTGACTCAACGTTAACAAGTGTCCATATTTCCCAGATTGACCAAACTGGCTAACCTTGTGAGACATTGGAGCAAGATTCATGATCTGGCTGTTGCTGTCAGTTTGTTCCTTGTCCTCCTTTTTGTCAGCTTCTCTACATATCTTCTTACGTTCTGCAAGTTGCTCATATTCGCCTCCTTTGTTGCCAGCTTCAAGATTGTTATAAGGAGCAACTTTTTCAAGTGGCTTCTTCATGATATCTGCCAAGTCCGTCTCTGAAAGTTCGACAAGTTTGATGCCGATGCTCCCTCTGTCTCCATCAGAACCTCCTTCAAAGAAATAGTTCCAAACAATCTCCAGCGGATCTGAATCCCCAAATGGATCGTTGTTGTTTGCTTGATCTCCTGTTTTCTCCTGTATAAAGTGACCGTTGTACCACTCTGTTAGCCATTCAACAAACATTGTTTTCCTTGTTGCTTGGCGCCACAAGGACATCACTACATGCTGTTCATCATAGGTCAAAGAATCCATCAACCATGGTATCATATCCTGCAATATCTCCCCACTTATTCTCCCAAGCATGCATCCTATGATTTTCTCCTGTTCTTCAATGGCGAAGCAGTCCCTGAATAGACCCCATAGCTCAGTTTCTTCATGTTTAAAATGCTGCGACAATATCTTGTGCATGGACTTGCAAATCTCTTGGAGACTCAGACATAACCGCTCATACTTCATCTTCCGATGGTCTGATGCACTGAACTTGATACTAGAAACCAACATATTCAGCTCTGACATCTCATTCAAGATGAATGAGACTTTATCAAAGTGTTTGATTTCTAGCTCATGGTCAATACTAAATGAGTGACTAATGTTTTGCAGTTTACCCTTTGCCTCCAGTGCTGGAAACGCAATCTCATCCTCTGCATCAGAGTGTATCTGATACAAGAACTTTATCAGACGGAATCGCTGTTGAAACTCTCCGAGGAAGCCAAAGTCTGCTGCTAATCTAGCTGATCCACAAACAAGGTAGTCTAGATCCGCCTTCATTGCCTTGTGGAAGAAGAAAAGGAGATCAATTGGTTTTACATCCATAACGAATGGATCATCCATATTGTTCCCACCGAAAAAATCTGGAAGATGGAGAGGAGGCCTAAGCTTTCCGGAGAAGAGCATTTGCTGATTCATTCGACTAGAGTAAGGTGTCTCATACACGTCTCCAGCAGCCAGGAAGCATGTTGAAGACTTGTTTCTTTTCCCAGGACATACAAGCGAATCATCATCAACTCTAGATCCTTGGCATAGTTGAAGCTGTGCTTGATGATGTGAAAAAGATCCAGATGCTTCTTCAGTGTGCTCCTTTTGGCAGAAGCATCTAATCTTGAACATTACAGACAGCTGTTTCCAAAAGCTTTCAACAGAGGTTTTGCCTGAGTAGCCAAAGCGAAGCCACTGCAACAAGAGGCGTGGAAATGACTTTTTGGGAGAGGAATATTCCAAACTTAAGAACTGAAGAATGGATTGAGATTCCTCTTCAGACAGATGAGCAGAGAACCAGAGAATGACACACTTGAGCAGTCCAAGAGGCAAGACATGTATGCTTGTGTATAGGAGCTGCCTCCGCATCTCATGGTTGCAGTTCTTGCTGATGATTGGGAACACCTGCAGAACAATGAAAAGCTTCCACTAAGTCTTAAGAGTACTTCTACTTTCAAATGAAACTCCAAACGGATAAAGTCTTTTTCCTTTTTAATCAAAAAGTTAACCTCTCTTCTCTGTGCGGAAAATTGCTTTGTTACTTGGACAATAAGGGACTCAAGTTCCTCCTGAAGCTTCAATATAAAATTGTCAGTCCTCACTTGATCATCAGCACTCTTGTACAGCAATCTCTGAAAACTCTCGAGACAGACATCTATGGTGAAATGTTTGGGAGTTGAAGAGCGGCCATCTGCTATATCTTCCAACACCGGGTGAAAGAACTTCTTGAATGCATTGCTGCAACAAAACAAACTGTTCTTTTTAACACACAAAAAGAGAAATAAAGAAACAAAGAACATTCAGCAAATTATATATTACCTATAAGAAACAAGAACATCAGCAAGGAAGTTTAAACGAGCCATGAGTACATCAATGTCCAAAATAAGACTTGGGAACTTCGCTTGGCATAAATCTTTCTGAATGTCTCTCAGATCTTTTTCAACTGCATTTTGAAAAAGCTGAAGACCATGAATCGGGTTGTGTCCTACATTTGGAATAAAGATAGGGCTTTTACTCCATTGCCAAAACCGTTGAAAACATCCGCTGGACTGATGTGTGTGAGATGACTTCTTCATATTCTTAGACACATCTTCTTTCAAGATCTTTGTTGATTGACTGTCGTCAAGCAGCCACGAGCTTATGACCTTCATAGAGTCTTTTATCTTATCAGAATTAAGAAGACAGAAAGACTGAAACAAAACATATGATATCTCAGGCAAAGGATTATATTATATACCTGTTGCAGTGAGTCTTCAGCTGGGACAACATCTTTTATGCAGCTCTCAACTTCAGTTTTCTCCTCGTGAGAGAGATAAGACATCATCCAAGGCAAAAAGTCCTCAAGCACCATCACTGGAACACTGCAAAGGAATTGCCACACAAGTGATGCCTGTTCTTTGAAAGAGAACTTCTCAATTAACAAAGGAAAGACCTGCACATGAGGAAATAATACATGAGCCTTAAGTTGAAAGTCTTTAACCGGGACTATATGATAGTTTCTGCAGATTCTCACTTTCAAAGACTAATTAATCAAACAACACTATGCATGTATAATAAACCTGACGCTCTTCTTTAAGCATATGCTGGGATATGGATGACTGAATGGTGCCTATGCATAATATAACTTGACGAAGAACATCGCTTTTGCTCCCTACTTCCTCTTCAAGAACTTGTAGCCAGTGAAAAACCGAAGTGAAGAGATCATCCGTACCAGCATGCTCGAGCGAGTAATTAGAAACAATGTTCTTCACACGTTCATCCAGCGCCAAAAATATGACCTGTCCATTCAAAAGAAAACCATTTCAAACGCCATTTTCAAAATACTGACCAGAGGGAGTGAACTGAAAATTCAACTAGAACCTCTTTTGTTCATCAAGACTATATGAGATGATGATGATGGTGATGAGTCTGATGACTACTTAAAACGCGAATTCTAGTAATAGACATGATTAGCACCAATATTCAAAGTTTTGCCTAACCTTAATGTACTAACTACACAAGTTTTCAAAAGACAAACATAGAAAGAAACTTTATCGGAAAAAAGAGCATCAAGACATAACCTCATCTTCAGCTGCGCTGTGATACTTGTATACAAGCTTCAAAAACTCAAACTTCCGGCGTAGATCACCGGCCAGATCCCCGCTAAAGGAACCGGCTTTCGCGGCGGCGTCAGTAGCGAAACGCCGGAGCTCCACAAGCTGAGCAAGGAAAGCCTTGTGGAAGTAAACGAAAAACAGAACTGGAGCATCCGCAAGCTTTGTGTTTTCGACGCTAACCGCAGAACCAGAAGTCGACGCATTTTCCGGCGGAAGGCGATGAAGTTTTCCGTCTCCCATTTACCGCAACAACAACCAGCGTGAGAACACAAGCGAGGGAGTTAAGCGGAAAAGGGAAAGAAGGAAACGAGTTGACGAGTAGAGAAGGTTTTTGTAAGGCATTGATCATCTTCGTCGTCGTCGTCACTCTCTCTGCTGAAGCTACCCCCGTTTTTTTAATCAATTTGGGTTATAATTAAGGGTTTAACTAATCAGTTTATTAATCCTTTATTATATTAGAAGTGACCGAGACGTTGGAGCTGAAAACCAACAAAGCTTATATCCATTACTTATTATGGCGGGATAAATCAATCTTTCTTTTGTCTCTATTTATTTGGCAACTACTCTATTTTCTTTACTTTTGAAGTTTGAGTACTGTTTTTTTTCCCGCTTTATTTCTTAGGAGTTAATTAATCAGAGCTATGCCTGAGAAAGTTGAAAATCCCAAAAACTCTTTTTGTTGTCAAAATGAAAACAAGATTTATAACATATTTATTTCAGAAAGTTTTAATGGCCAAACCTTTTTATACCCTGTTCTGAATATCATCTACGATTATTATTAATTCAACAATAATATTTTTAGAAAAAAACAATAATTTGGTTTGTCAACTGTTCAACATTAGTTTATTTCTCCAACGTCGTTGATTATATATGCAGAAAAACATCAATTAGATGTTTAACTAATGACGTAATGCGTGATCCAACATATGAACATTAATTTATATCGGTGTTACTTATTATACATGCATGATTTTATATCGGATTTGTAATAGTTTAGTGTTTTCTTACGAGAATTGTTTTTAGTATATTAGGCATTAAACTCTCGTGATTTGCGGGAGATTGGCTGAGTCAGCCTCGTGATATATAATATTAAAACGTAATTACATGTCTCTTTTTGTATGAGAAAAATGGCCTGACTATGGCCGGCCGTACAGTTGTCTCCATCCTCTTGACCGGTCAATGTTGACTCCGTTAGTTTAATCCGTTATTACCGCCCCGTTCCGTCTTGTCTCCTCCACGCGCCCGCTTGTGGCTGTCGTGTGCTCTTCGTGTGGCTCCACGCGGCTCTCCATTATTTCAAGTTAATTGGGCTCACAAAATCAAAACTAAGCCTTCTAAAATACATGGGCCTATCCAAACATTTTCAGCCCATTAATGTTTAATGAAAAACAATTTGTCCGTCCAAAATTATTTTTTCGAAATGAAATAATATGAAAAAGAATATAGTTGGTGATCGTGTTCGCGTCTCGGGCCTTCAGGTGGAGGAGGGAAAAAGAGCTTTTGACCTTCTCTTTATCCGGCGAGAGACGTGGTGGTTAAATGGCGGAGATGGAGATGCTGCGATCGAAATGGGTGGCTGTGGCTGCTAGTATATGGATACAGTGCGCAAGCGGCGCTTCATACACCTTCGGAATCTATTCCGCCGTCCTTAAATCCACCCAATCGTACGATCAATCCACCCTCGACACCGTCTCCGTCTTCAAGGACATCGGAGCTAACGCCGGCGTTTTCTCTGGGCTCCTCTATACATATGCTACCTCCAATCGCCGCCGCGGACGGGGTGGCGGAGGCGGAGGCGCAGGAGGACCTTGGGTGGTACTCGCTATTGGGGCGATTCAGTGCTTCGCCGGTTACTTTCTCATCTGGGCTTCCGTTACGGGTCTGATCGGGAAGCCGCCGGTGCCTCTGATGTGCCTATTTATGTTCATAGCGGCGCAGTCGCAAACGTTCTTCAATACGGCCAACGTCGTTAGTGCCGTGGAGAATTTCGCCGACTATGGTGGTACAGCCGTCGGCATAATGAAGGTGACTTTCTACTGTAACCTTGCAAATTGCAATCTCTCACTGCCTAGAATGAATCTGTATTGTTGGATCACGAGTCACTTTGTCTCCTTGAGACCTAATTGATCAACATTAGACTATGATCATGGTATATAACTTGAACCTTAAAAAAGGTGTTACCTTGCAGGGGTTTCTAGGTCTAAGTGGAGCGATACTGATTCAACTGTACGAGACACTGTGCCCTGGAGATCCAGCGAGCTTCATTCTTCTGCTGGCAGTAACACCAACAATTCTCTCCCTCTTGGTCATGCCACTAGTCAGGATCTATGAGACAAGCACAGCCGATGATAAAAAGCATTTGAATGGCCTCTCAGCTGTATCTCTCATCATTGCAGCTTATCTTATGATCGTAATCATTCTGAAGAACACCTTCGGTTTGTCATCATTGGCCAATGTTGTCACACTTGTGTGTCTCCTCCTTCTGCTTGCCTTGCCTCTACTTGTTGCGAGAAGAGCACATCGAGACCGCATTGAGAAAACTGTTATACCTGATAAGTCCCCTCTCATAAGCAGTCCAAAAGCAACAACCTCCGTTAACCAAATCTCTGAAGACGGCGGTCAGATAGAAGCTGGTATGAGTGAGAACCTGAATCTTGTGCAAGCTATGAAAAGCCTAAGCTTCTGGTTGTTGTTTATCGCCATGATTTGTGGAATGGGCTCTGGGCTTTCGACGATAAACAACATCCGACAAATAGGTGAGTCTCTTAGATACTCACCCGTTGAGATAAACTCACTGGTCTCCTTGTGGAGTATATGGAACTTTCTTGGTAGATTTGGAGCCGGTTATGCTTCAGATGCAATGCTACACAAGAAAGGATGGCCTCGTCCATTGCTAATGGCTGCAACCCTTGGAACGATGACCATAGGCCATCTGGTCATAGCCTCTGGTTTTCAAGGAAACCTCTATGTCGGTTCTGTTATTGTTGGCGTCTGTTATGGTTCACAATGGTCACTGATGCCTACAATCACCTCTGAATTATTCGGGGTTCGACACATGGGGACCATCTTCAACACCATCTCCGTGGCTAGTCCCATCGGTTCCTATATCTTCTCTGTAAGACTGATCGGTTATATCTATGACAAGACTGCTTCTGGGGAAGGGAACACATGTTATGGTTCTCACTGCTTCAGGCTGTCCTTTGTTATAATGGGGTCTGTTGCGTTCTTTGGGTTTCTTGTTGCTATTGTACTGTTCTTTCGAACAAAGACGCTCTATCGACAGATCCTTGTGAAGAGACTGCATCGTCGATAGAGTTCTTGTGAATATGATACTTAGGAAAGGGAATACATTAATTACTTACCTATAAGTTGTCTGTACCTTATGTTTGTATCAAATGTCTGTGTTTAGAAATGGGCAGAAAGAAAGCTGAGACCTTTGTCTCTTTTTTTATTTTTGGAGTTTCTTCCACAAGTGAGTTTGGTTTGTGAAGTGTACAGACAGATTCGCAATAAATGTCAAAATTCTTTAATTAAAAGTGTAGGGCTTCAAAATAATAACTGGAGGCTAATCACAAACCAGTGAACATTAACCAATACATATTCATACTTTTGACATTTTCCAAATAATTTAGAGTTGGCTTATTACTAAAAAAAGATGGGAGTTTCTGATAAAAAGTTGTGCAGCCTTAAATGGAAGAGAACTTGAAGAAGACAACTACTTCTTTGTCATGTTTTGCTTTACTAACTTCAAACCTACTTTTTCGAACGCTTAATAAGTTCTTAGAAATCAAAACCAGACATAAAATGTCAACTACTTTGACTTTTACATCTCAAGACGATAAGCCCCGTGAACGAGAGAAGAGTTAAAAAAAACAATCAAAAGCTAGCAAAGCAGAGAAAAAGAAGACAGAAACTTTGTCCATCGTCTCTGTGACACGAGCGAGAGTTGAATAATTCAAAGCAATATGATAATCATTAATTACAATTACATGAGAGGAGAGATTTCTGGGGATATGGTTGTTGGTAGTCATGGGAAGACAGTAAACGCCATCGCAACTGCATTTATTCTGTCTGTAGAGTCAAACAAACTAATTTTATTATTTGATTCATGTCCTGAGATCAGATGTATAAAAGAAAAGAAGCCTCTTTTTTTTTCCACTGTCATTATCCATCATCAACAAGATTTGTCTCTTCTGAGACACCATGACGCTTCATCGGTCTCTTGTGTTCTTCTTCTTGCTCCTATCATGCTTCGCTCTTTCTTCCTGGGCTCTTCCTCTTTGTTCCGATTCAAGTAAGTTTCTTTTTTTAATCCCCTCATGGCTTTGCTATTGAAGATTAATGAATTGGCTGTTTTATACTTCTTTTTTTTTTTGGTTTTCAGGAGCTCCCTTGAAGGTGAATTCGACATTGAGCTTTTGTCCTTACAAAGGAAAAACATGCTGCGATACAATGGAAGATTCCAATTTGAAGAAGCAATTTCAAGCTATGAACATTTCCGACAAGGGTTGTGCTTCTGTTGTACAGTCAATCCTTTGTGCTGTAAGTACAATCTGTCCTTTTAACTAAAAGGCACAATTTGTCTTTATCTCTATAGATTATGAAATGTTTTCATTATGCAAAGTTTCAAACTTTTTACCTGATCTGCTTGGAACCAATAGTACTGTTTTAGTTTGAAAGCATCTGCAAAAGAGGAAATATTTTCTTCTAAGTTATCCTTTTTTATGCAACTGTGATGTTATTACAGAAATGCGACCCCTTTTCATCGGACTTATTCAGAGATAACTCAGATCAGCAGTCTGTTCCAATCCTCTGCAACTCAACAACTTCAGCGAATTCCACAAAGGACTTTTGCTCAGAGACATGGGAGACATGTCAAAACGTATCCATATCAGACTCTCTTTTCGCTGCCTCGTTGCAAGGCCGTGTTGGTGCGCCAGCGAATAACAACGCCTCTAAGCTTGCTGATCTATGGCAGTCCAAAACCGATTTCTGCAATGCCTTTGGTGGAGATAGCTCCAATGAAACGGTTTGCTTCAGCGGCGAGCCAGTTACTCTTAATGAGACTACCCATGACAAGCCACCTCATGGTCTGTGCCTTGAGAAAATCGGGAACGGGTCTTACCTCAACATGGTTCCTCACCCTGATGGCTCAAACCGTGCGTTCTTCTCTACACAACCTGGAGTAGTGTTCTTGGCTGGTCTACCGGATCAGGATTCGGGCGGTGTGTTGGATGTGGATCCATCTAGCCCGTTTGTGGATTTGACTGATGAAGTTCATGTTGATATTGAGTTTGGGATGATGGGTATGGCTTTCCATCCAAAGTTTGCTCAGAACGGTCGGTTTTTCGCTTCTTTCAACTGCGACAAGTCCAAGTGGCCGGGATGTACCGGAAGGTGCTCGTGTAACTCCGATGTGAACTGTGATCCTTCCAAAGTAACTCCTGACAGTGGGTCTCAACCATGCCAGTTCCAAACTGTTATAGCTGAGTATACAGCCAATGGTACCTCTTCTTCAGACCCTTCTAAGGTATAATACTATCCTGGACCGCTTTACAGTGTCTTTATCTTTGATGTTTGTCACAGAGTCTTACCCTTTCTTCCCGTTGTTCAGGCGAAGAACGCTACGCCGAAAGAAGTCAGGAGGATTTTCACAATGGGACTTCCTTTCACATCTCACCATGCTGGACAGATTCTCTTTGGTCCTTCAGATGGGTACCTTTACTTTATGATGGGAGATGGAGGTGGAGGCGCTGACCCGTATAATTTATCACAGAACAAGAAGTCTTTGCTAGGAAAAATCATGAGGCTTGATGTAGATAACATTCCTAGTGGGTTTACTTTGCTTGGTTTTTGTTTGTAACACAGCATTTATAACGAATGTTGTCATTTACTAACATCCACAAATGTCTTCAGGTGCTTCGGAGATCTCCAAAATGGGTCTATGGGGAAACTACTCTATACCAAAAGACAACCCTTTCCGTGAAGACAAGGACCTTGAACCCGAAATATGGGCCGTTGGATTGAGAAACCCTTGGAGATGCAGCTTTGATTCTTCTAGGCCTTCCTACTTCATGTGTGCTGATGTTGGACAGGTAATCGCTCGGTTCGACAATGAGTTTGTCTGTTTATTATGTTTCTTTCATTGTTCTTGATGTGTTTGGCGGTTAATAGGACACATATGAAGAAGTGGATCTCATTACCAAAGGAGGAAACTACGGTTGGCGTGTTTACGAAGGCCTGGATCTTTTCCATCCGGACTCATCCCCTGGAGGAAACACATCTGCTAAATCCGTAAACACGATATTTCCTGTGATGGGTTACAACCACTCTGAAGTCGACTCAAGCGGAAAATCAGCTTCAATCACTGGAGGATACTTTTATAGATCAGAGACTGATCCTTGCGTAGCTGGAATGTGAGCCAACACACACTCTTTTCTCTGTTTTCTCTTCTCTTGTGGCTATTAAACAAAACAACATTGCAACTATAATGTTCATATTTGCAGGTACTTGTATGCTGATCTATATGGAAATGGAGTGTGGGCGGGGATTGAAACGCCTGCTAATAGTGGGAACTTTGTGTCCAACAGAATAACGTTCAGCTGCGCCGGTGACTCACCCATGAAATGCAGCGATTCTCCGGGAGATACAGGGCTATCTCTAGGCTATATCTTCTCCTTTGGTGAGGACAACAACAAAGACATCTACTTGCTCACAAGCAATGGTGTCTTTAGAGTTGTTAGGCCGAGCCGCTGCAAGTTGACTTGCTCCAAGGAGAACTCCACGGCGGCTAGAAGAAACCCTGGTCCCTCGGTTTCTCCTTCTTCTTCTTCGTCTTCTTGTTATAGGCATATAAATGGTTTCCATGGAAGCTTGGTGGTTTTGTTGGTGTCTCTGTCTCTGATTCTGGTGGCTTTGTTAGTGTAAATGTATATGGAGAAGGTTTAATCTTTTTTCATAGGATTGGAAGTTCTCAAGAGCTGCTTCTTGTTTGTGTTTAAAAACAGATTTGTAAGTTTTGTTATTGAATTTGTATGTTGAGAGAATGCCATGTATGATGATGATGAACTAGACCAGAGAATACATTTTCATAAATTGAGGAGATTATTATCAGACAATCTAACAAACGTTACAAGTAACTGGAGAAGTAGTTTAGTTTAAAATATTGACAGATTTGTAACAGTTGATGAATTTTATTCAGGATCTTACATATACACAAATCCTAACGTATTGCAAACTCTTCATGGATCTAATGAAGGACTCATTTTTTAACACTAGTTACAAATGTTTTTTTTGTAATTTGACACATTACTACGAATTAAATTAATGTAAGTAATTTTCTTATTTAAATTACTTTCCCTATTTTAACCTTTGTTCCTTTATTGCATTCAGATTACAGACCCTTGACTTGTTAGATTTTTCTCAATCTATATAGACCCAAAACGCAAAACGACAGCGTTTTGAGGAACGACAATCGACGCTTTTGAACCTCTTTTCCTCCACCTTCTTCCTCCCTCGCTGTTTAACCGATTTGGATTTCCTTCAATCTTAAAGGGTTTTTGATCCTTTCAATCTCTAAACTTCAATTACGAAAACAAAAAAAACCCTAATTCAGCTCCTTTCTTACTTCTCGATCTTCTCCATTTCGCCTTCTTCCTGATGCCTTCATCGTCCGAGATCGCACCTGACCGATCCTCACTTCAACACCAACTCTCTGGGAATCAACACTCTGCAGAAGAGGTCACCCAAGCTGCGGATTCAGTGACGGTCACGGAGGAGGCTTCGGCGCCGAGAAGAACGCGTCCCTCACGAGCCTGCTCTGTTAGGGCACAGCAGCGTCTTCAAGAGCTGCAAGCAGCCGAGAGAAAGTTCAGACAACCGAAAAAGAAGCAGAAGCAGAAGCTTCAACGTAGAGAGGAGGTGGAGGATGAAGAGGATGTGGACGATCGAGAAGAAGAGGATGGAGACGAGTCACCGAGTAATGAGCAGCAGCAATGCGGTGGAGGAAGCGCTGCCAAAATCGTTACTTCACTGGTGCAGCCTCCGGAACCTTCACAGGTGCCAAGGAGGAGCATTCGTTCCATGTGGGAACTTGCTTCCATACTTAATTTCTTGCATGTGAGTACTCTTTTTCCACTTTGAATTATGACTTTCTCTCAGCTGTTTCTCAAGGTGGCATTGAGTAACTAAACTCTCAAGTTCTCGTTTTGCAATTTCCTTTTGGGTTGATGAAGGTTTTTAGACCGCTTTTGAACATCAAAGCCGAGTTTTCGGCTGAGGAGTTGGAAACGGCTCTGCTTAATCCAAATGATACTTTAAGTGATGTGCATATCCCTCTGCTAAAGGTTCGTGCTTTGCCTTTTTTTCTTTCTGTGTGTGCTTTCTTATCTTTACAGTGTATTAGTTGTCACCATTGTTTAAATGTTGTTTATTTTCTTTTGTTGCACATAGTAATGGTTGCCTATGTTTTGTAATGCTAAAGTGTTGCACTTGCTTTTGGTTGACATCGTTGTCAATCCTAATTTGAGTCAAATATGTTCTTCACCTACTATGGAAGGTCCAATTTTTTTTATTGTTTTCTCTTTGAAGAAATTTTTTACAGTTTTTGCCTTTTCTACTTTGTAGGCCATTCCTCCTGTAACTCGGATGGCACTCACACGCGATACGTGGGTTACTGTCTTATGCAGAAAACTAAGAGATTGGTGGCACTGGGTAATGGTTGTTGATCTTCTTTCACAGAGTATGCTAAGTAACTTGGCATTATTAATAATGAGTTTTTGTTATGTGTGCTTTGCATACTTCGTTTAGGTCGCAGAAGGGGACCTTCCTATTGTTGCCTCTCATGGGTGAGTGGATATCATTTCAAGACTTTTGATAATTGATTAGTCGAACATTTAATAGTGTCACGTCTCAATTCTTGTAGGCTAGAGATTGAACTGTACAAATCACTCGATCCAGGCATCCGTGTGGTGATTCTGAAAGCTTTGTGTGACATTCGTGTTGAGGTACTTTTCTATCAACCTTTGTTTTCTTTTGGTGCTACGGCATCTGTTTTGTTGTTTTTATGCCTGTTTCCTGTTTATACAATATTATCTTGTTGCGGCTTTATTCACGTATCAAGAGCATAAATATTGTTTATTACAAAATCTCTTTCTGTTTGGTTGTTTCATGGCACTTATATATTGTTCTATTGTGTGTTTGTCCTTTGTATTGCTAAACAATTATACACACACTATCATGATCATGATAAACCTCTGGAGCTCGTTTAGGCACTGTTGATGATTAACTGGAAGAGTATATTTGCTTAACACCAAGTATTGAGATGGATTTTCGTGAATTTGTACAGCAAGAGGATATCAGGGGATACATTGATAGTTCACTTAAAAGTGGAGTTGATATCTCAACATTTCGTAAAAATCGTGCTGGAGGCGATTCGCATGGAGTTAATTTCTGGTGAGTGGTAAAAAAAGAGAACTAAAGTATCGTGACATTTGTTTGTTAGCATATATGTGATAGTATTTTGTTTCTTCCTCAGGTACGAAGATGACTCCTTAGTTGGTCACCGTTTATATCGCGAAATCAGGAAGGCTGAGGTTGGGAAGGTCAGAACAAAGGGGTCTAATGTTCTTTCAAACGTAACATACCATTGGGAAACTGTGGCCACTAATTTCGATGAGTTCCAAGATGTTTCTGTAAGTCTCTAATACAATCAATTCTCAACTGCCTGAGAAATCCCTCTTGCGCTCTATTTATATTTGTGGCCGTTGTGATTGAATAAAAAATTATGGGAATGCTGATAAACGGATTTAGGGGTACTAATCAAATGAGATGAGATGATTCTGTAGATTTATAGTGAATCCAATATTTGTTGTCCTTTTTGGAGAAGGTTCTTGCAATTTATTGCAGGATTAACCAGACAAAAGTATAGTACTAGCCTGCAATGTCTTACAGCTGATTCAGATGTTACACCTACATGCTTTGCAGGAGAAACTTTTTTCAAGTAGCAGTAGAGCAGAAGCTTCTCTAGGGAAGAAGTTGAAGAATGATATGCTTCCTGAAATAGAGAAAGAACATAAGGTGCCTATCTGCTAGCTTGTGTTTTTGTTCTTTTTTCATCTTATCGCTGAAGGCAGGCATATTACTCATCACTTTCATCCATTGTAAGGAAATGTAATTCTCTTTTTATTTCTGCCAGAGGAAAGAAAAATTATTAAAAAAGCAACATAGACAGGCTCTTCTCCTTGATAGCTTCTTGGATGTTGATGGCTTTGGAGCTGGTCGTTCTCGCCGTGATAGAAAGCCGGTTACATACACTTTTGGTATATTTCGAACTTTCTCTTCTTTTATTTAAAAAAATCAAATTTCATGTACCATGCCTTAACTATGCATGTTCGCATGGTTCAGTATCTAGCTTGATCGCAAATTGGGTTGAAAGGTTTTACTTATTTTAAACATCGTTGCAGATGATTATGATCGTTCGATAAATGAAGCTATCAAGACAACCAAGTACGTTTAAATGTTAACTCGGATTGAATCATTTCTCCTGTCCTCTGCTTCCACATTTTTTATGTGGGGACTACTATCTATTTGCCTGGAAATTTATTCTGTTTACTTTTGCCCATACTCGTTCAGGAAGAAACCTCCATCACCAGAGCTTTCTCTTCACAGAAGAGAACCTGACAAGTTGGAGGCATCTGCAAATGGCGGATGGACCAGTACGAGCCACCCATCTGAGCCTGTTCACGATACAACATCTGTGAGATCTTCTGATTTTGCTGAGTACGACGATGTCAATGAACAGAGAGCTAAATCCGTGGATAGAAGGCAAGGCATATTTTTTCAACAGTCCATTTTTCTTGTTCCTTTAGAGGTATTCGACTATGGTGAAACTAATTGGAATTTTGTCCTGCCAGTAACAGACGGAGACAACGGCCTCAGCGGTATTCAACTATGGACTTTGTTGAAACTGCTTCAGATAATGAGGAAGACTTTGAAAGTGACGATGACATTGTTGGGGAAGCGGTTTATGATGAAGAATATATGAAGAAGCGTAAACAGGGGAAAGAGCTTTCTAGTGCTTCCGAGGGAGATGAGGAGTACCAGTGGGAAGAAGACAATGCCAATGAAGAGGAAGACGAAGAAGAAGAAGAAGATTCTATTAATGCTAGCGAAGAAGACAGTGATGAACCCCGGAGGTTTAAGAAATTTCCACGGAGAGGAACTAAGTTAAGATCAAGGTCAAATCATCCCCAGCCAGGCCTGAGGCGTAGTAAAAGAGCCACAAGAGTCAACTACCAGCAGTATGAGCCCTCAGAATCAGACGATGAAGCAACAAGACCTGCAAAATCCAGGCGATTGGTTGAACATGATGAACCCTCTGATGAAACAGAGAATGGGGACTTCTCAATGGTAAGCCAGGACTCTGAAGAAAATGCTTATGATCCAGAAACAAAAGTTGTTGATGAAGAAGACGCAGAGGCTACAACGGAAAATGACGAAGCAGAGACGAATGGTAATGAGAACGAACAACTTGTTAATAAATCAAACGGCAGGCACCAAGAAGAAGTCGAAGGTGTAGGCAAAAGGCGTTACCTCGATCTAAACGAGCTTGCCCCTGTAGCTGGTTTTGATGATGGTCCAAATACGGTATTGAAGGATGATGATAACAACACAGACAATTCATAAGCAGATGATACAGAAAGGCTTTTCTTTGCCATCTGATCTGTGGCTGTTGTACTAATATCCCTTCAGGGAAACTACTAGTGATTACTATTCACGAGTTATTCAGACGAAGAGACGCTCCTTGGCTTTGTAGTCTTTGTGGCTGAGAGGTATGTAGATTATGTTTTATTGTAGAATGTTATCCATGAGTTAGTGTACAATCAACTCTTTTCTAACTTTGTACCAACTAAAAAGAACGTGTTCACTCTCTTTGATTCTAGCATGTGTAGCCATACAGAATCCTTGCAAAGGCCACAAACTGTTTATTGCTCTGTGCCAATAATGTTGTGAACGTCGAAGACAAAGAACGAGCAAAATTTTCATTCAGATTAAGAAATGGGTTTATACATATGAAGAAAAAAAACAATTAAATGATTCATACAGTAAGACTATATGCTTTTTTTCCCCTACTCTTCTCTCCATTTCTTCTACAGATTAGAATGCTTGAAGCTTGCAGACCAGTCGAACCGAAGTCCAGAGTCTCTCTCTCTATGGTGAGCTTGCAAAACTGGTTCCTTAATGTGTCTAGGCTTTCTACAGCACGGCTTGAAGGCATGTTATATCTCAGAAAACGCAACTGTTTCCCTCAATAATCATCTCATGTTACAACACTCTGGCTTGTTCTGTCTTAAGAGCTTGTCCCATAAGCAAATCATCTGTCTTGGCGACTGGTAATGAGCTGTGTAGTAGTTCTCAACACAACCAAACTGGCAAAATCTTAGACTGTGTCTGTAGTCTACTGGGTTTGACGTGTTCTTAAATTGCTCCACCCACATTCCCACACTCACGTCCTCCATCTTGAACAGCTGGTGTATGTGAACATCAACAAAAATTGGAGATACTGAGAATGACAAGTGAGAAAGAGATGTGATACAATTGGTCATGATTCTCTCTTCTGCTTACCCGTAGTTTGTGTCTCTCAAACTCTTCCACGATGAAGCGTGCAATGTCAGAAGATAGAACATATCCGGGTCCATTTGCATAGGGCGGATAGTCCTCCTCTGGCCATTCCTGATATATCCGCAATACATACACGAATCAGTGATGATATATCTATGGAACTGACGCGCCAAAGAAGGATTTATATAAACAAACACTCAAAGCCATTGTAGTATTTCATGCAATACGCTGCATATAGAGATGGAGTGTGATGCAGAAGAATGTATACCTCGTATGTGACTGCCCATTTACCCCCACGGAGAGGTTTGTGGTAGTAATTCATGTTGCCAATGTACAAGCTTCTACCTTCAGGTACTTTTTTCACCTCATTGATTACAGAGCCAAGTTTTACAAATGTATCATCGTCACACTTCATTATGTACTTTGCAGAGAATGCAAGAGCCTGCAGCAATCAACGACATTTTTTCAACAATTAACTCCTCAGAAGCACTTAATCAAGAACGAATATATGGAAGCATTGTCCTATAAGATCTGATAACTCACTCCGTGTTCACATATGGCAACAGTTTTCAGCACAACAAGATCATAGCTATCCATGTAAGGGACAAGTACGATGTCCCCAAAATACTCTGCTTCTTTCTTCAATTCCACATTCACCTCCTTCCTCCCATGCTGTCCCCAAAATGCACATCACGGTAAAAGTACAATATTAATTATAGATCATAGCTATTCATGACTTATACTTGATGAACAATGTAAATTCCAAACTTACGAGTGCCACAAAGAAACGAGCAACAACTTTTGAAGACGTGATAAGAACATGCTGCATCCAGGACTTCCTCACGGCCATCCGCTCAGCGAAATGATTGCCTGCGGAAAGAATGCCGATAAAGAGCTCCACAGGCCCATCAGGAACTAAAGGGGCCTGCCATCTCCTTGATAACTCGAGGTGCCTTTGGGGAGCAAAGCTGGGATGTGACGTTGGCAGAGAGGCAACAAAAAGAGAATGGACATCAATGTCTCCATTAACGGTCAGCCCTGTAGCATCCTCCAGTGTGAAACCCTTTTTATATAATAAGATTACCCAAAAAAAGAAAGTTAACAAAACAAACCAACCAACCCAATGCGATTGAATCTGAACACAGTCATGTAGTGTGATATATATATACTCACAGTACGGTAAGGGAAAGACGTAACATGCTGTCCATCAACATTGATATGGTAACCCTCTAAACCAGCACTGAGAGTGAGAACAAAGAGCTTCTCTTCTACAAAAGGAAACGGCCACTCTACTTTGACCCTTTTCCTCCGTCCTATAAGTCGATTCAACCACCATCTTGCCCTCGAACCTTCTGAGTAGTTATCATCATCACGGATCCACTTCTCACACTTTACATGACTATCAACTGCAACCACACTATAAAGTATTAATTTACTCCACTTGGTGGTCAAAACTGAAGCACGAGCTTTGTCTGCTAGCAAATGGATCACAAACTGATTATTATACTCTTCTTTAGAGACTTGAGATACCAAAGAATAAACAAACTAACCAGTCTCTTCATCAGCTCTTGACCTCCATCCTTCGCACCGTTGTGAAGATCCCCATTGCATTCTATAGCAAGTGTTCTGCTCAATCACCGGTTTACGGCTCCAATCTCCCTTCAGCCTCGGATTGAAATGCAAGATCCGAGGAGGATCCTCTCCTTCAACGGAGTTCAAGCCTTGAAGCTCTATCACAAACTGAGACACCAACTTAGACGCATCTCCTTCCTTGGGATAACCCTTCCTCGGCCTCCCCACCAAAGTTATGTGCGAGCCCAGTGTCAGGCCACACGGAATCTCCATCAGTTTGTTCTCCCGGTTCATAAACTCCGACCCGGTTAACGAAACCGAATGTGGGCACGAATCTGATTTGTTCTTCTCAGGCTTCTCCACCGATTTCTCAAGCCTCCCTGACTCGAGCTCCTTCCATAGCTTTCGACCTAGCTGCCAAGCTTCCTTAGCTGACTTGTGAAGCTCCACTGACCCGTCTTTACTGGTCGGGTCGAAAGTTTCCGAATCGAATCTCAAGCTTGAGAGAAGACCTCGGTGATGTTCACGGACCTTGTTCTGGTCCGTCCGGTTTATGGCCGGGTCCGAATCGGGGTACGACGGAACCGTCGTCGATGGTGGATTAGGGATTATCTCGACTTCGGGCTCTTGCTCGGTGTCGAGCTTCTCGAGCCGGGAAAGAGAATCAATGGAGACGGAGCTGCTCGACCATGATTTGAATACGAGAGGTATCTCTACTGATACAATTAGCAGGTAGAGAAACCCTATTGCCATAATTACACGAACCGATCTCTGCTTCCATAGTGAGGAGAACAGATCAACCTTGTCGATTCTTTCTACTTTCGACAATTTGGGTTTCTTCATTTTTTTTTTCCTTAGGATCCAAGCAATGAAATATAAATAAGACTAAAAAGGCTAACTTTTCATTGAGAGGGATCCGAAAGTGGAAGAAAGTTCTGAAATTTGTTCACCGAGCAAGAATTAAAGAGAACACAAAATAAGCAGACGATGATGACGAGAAATGCCTGAAGAAGGAGAAGAAGAGATCTTGATTCTTGAGATACGCGTAAGTGGAATACTTTTAGGCGTAAGTTAGTACAGACGTATTTTCTTATTAATTAATTTTGTTTTTCGAAATAATTTTGGTGAAAATACTATTTTTGTTTTCTTATTGTCAAAATAATAGCTTTGTTGAATAAATACCATCAATAATCGTGCGAGTTCCGTCGTCAAAAGACAATACAGGTAGACAATAAAGATTCGTCAAAAATAAATAAATATACTTCCGAGTTCCGATGGACATAATTGTATAGGAAAAATAACATGTCGAAAATATGTGACGTAAGCTTATAAATTCGCAGAAGAATAAACGAGTAGTGGAAAAATACCCATAAATAAATTAACCCGCCATTAGAAAATGTGAAGGCTATATACCAATAATACCACAATGATTTCTTCCGAGTCTTTACCACATTAAATAGAGACCAGAAGTATCCTGATGAAAATTCTTATTATCATATAAGTGACTCGTGAGTAGACAAGAATACATACTAACAGAAAGCCCATCTTTTTCTTGTCTACTCACTAAAATATCCTAATGAGAAGTGTAATAAATTAGAAGATTCACTCATTTGCAAGAGAGTAATCAATTGATTTCTCCGCATAAACGCTAGAGAAATTTGAAAGATGGATGACAAATATAGGATACTAGAAAATTATGAATCGTTTTTGCTTTTAGACAGTATTGCATTGAGCAATGTATTTTCGACCCAACAAGATGAGAATATCGTTTTTGGAAAAATATATGGACCTTTTCTTATTTGTTTTAAAAATTTGGGCCCATTTTCGCCCTATTTCTAAATAATTAGCCTTGGCCATTGAAATTCGAACCCTACAGAAGCAGATTGATGATATACAAGTGATCTCATGTTACGGGCCTTTGTCGACCGAAATAATCCACTACAGAAGTAACATTATTAAAAGTAGCTGACTTATCAACACCACAGCCAAAGTTAATATTTTTAATTGATGACATGTAAATATGATATGTCAAAATTCCTAAAATAAACGAAATGTTTTGATTGATTAAATTAAAATTATAAAAATTATGGAATTAAAACATAAATAAACTAGATTATATTTATAACACTAAATTTAACAAATTTAAATTAACAGAAAATAAAAGTTATTATAATTTCAATTTTACATATATTCATAATTTCATAAAATATAATTACGAAACTTTTCAACAATATATATATATTATAATTTCATTTAAAAACCAAAAAATAATACTAAATTATATAATAGAATAATAAAAATTCTATTTATTAATAATACATGAAGTATGATATATTTTTATTTTGGAAAGTTACTAATTTAAAAAATATATTAATAACATCTAAACAAATTTTAAATAAACAAATTATTAAAAAATACAATTTTAAATAAAATACAATCATGATAAAAATAATTTAAAGAATAAAATGTTAAAAATAATAAAAATAATCAACTTTTATTGAATTGTTTTTTTTAAACGTAATTTTAAATAAATTTTCTTTTCAAACCAATATTTACTAAATGAATAAAGTAAATACTAATTATTATTTTATAATATTAATAGGACCATATATTTTTCTATAACTTTTATCATCTTTTTATTGTTGTTTTCTAAAATATACATAATTTATGTTACCATCTCATCTTATCTCTTATCATATTTTAAATAAAAATAAATTTTATATCATATTTATTTATATATATATATATACATAAATTTATTTTCATTGTATATCAAAATTTTGAGAACATAAATAAAATGAAAAATAACTGAACGAAAGAATAAATTATAATAAGATGAAACAATATGAATAAGAAATAAAAATAGAAGCATATAAAAATAAATCTCTCGCACTTTTTTTACAAAGTCACTTAAAAAATTTTTAACACGTAAGAGTCATATTTCAATTTTTTTATAAATATGCGTACAAACATAAATATTAATTGTATATTAGTTGAAGTCTCATGCGAACTTTTTTGTGCATGTATTTTGTTAAAATTGATTACAGCCTAATTTTTATTTTAATTATTATACAATTTATATTTCAAAAAAAAATATTTATCTAGTCTAAGTGTAGTGAAGTGGTTGGTATGTCCACACATGCGTGTCAACCATGTATCCGCTCTTAAGAATAAGTAAAAATAGTAAAAACTATTTCAGTTTAATTTACAATAAATCAAGAAAAATATATACTTAAAATATATTATATATGTTTTTGAAAATTCATATTATGTAAGACGCAAAAAACATATTGTAGATTATGTAAGGAAAAATAAAGCATATTATAGAAATATTTAAAAAAATATTATAAGAATTTAATAATTATTTAACATAACTTTTATATTTGTGATTATATATTATTACAAGCATTATAAAAATAAAATTTTAAATTACATTGATTTCAGAAAGAAGTTTGTGAAATATTAAAATAATATATATATACAAGCATACCAATGTTTAAAAAAACTAATCAATATTTAAATATTATAATTAACTATGTATATAAAAAAAATTATACCCGCACATATGTACGGGCAACCATCTAGTATTTACTATATTTCTTGGCTAACATTAATATGTTTGTCAGAAAGCAAGAAAAAAAAATCGTAGCTGAATTTTATTTGTTTTTCAAAGTGATACGATCTCTCTCACTCATGGTCGTCCCATATGCATGTAATGATCCCATTTAATTCTTTCATTACTCTCAATATAATTTCTGATGGTTTTTCAAACTCATATATTGTATTTGAATCTACCACGCTTATGTATAAAATGATACCACTCAATTATTCAATCTCTTAAAACTAATTTCTGATAACACTCGATGGCATATAGCTTGTTTAGTATGTCATATAACTCTACACATTTTTTATAGAATGCGAAACTTTACTTTGATCTTAGATATGGGTTCCAAAACAAAAACATGAAATCATAAAAAATTTCAACATATTTTGCGTTAATATTACTACTATTACTATACGCTCAGAAGTCAAAATTAAGAAGAGAGAAACCTTTCATATTTTAGTAATAAAGGCTTATCTTGCTGACAACATTGGCCCCATGACTTTTAAATTAATTCCTTTTATCAGTTGAAATTGTTTAACAAATGTTCTTCAAACTTCAAGTGCCCTTACCGAAACAAAATCAACTTGTAAACTTTTGAAGAATTTATTTTTGAACAAAAAAACTTTTTTTGTCAACGTCACTTTCACTTGTTAAAATGATAAAGTACGAGCGGTGCATATTTTAGTTATTTTATGAATGTTAGATGAATGGAGCATAAAACCTCGTCCATTCATGTGCTCTGATCTTCCATTCACATAGAAAAACATAAATAAATTAACTTTTTTTTTGGGCAAAAAACAAATAAATTAACAAAGCAAGTCTTCTTTATTTTTGACGAAATGCTATCATTTTATTTTCATACTAATTTGCTCTGTCTGTTTTTATTCTTTCTATAATTCATTATTTGCCTGATTTTTGTTCTTCTCATATGTCAAAGAATTTGAAACTGCTATGTTCGATGTACAAACACCCAAAAAAAAAAAAAGTCAACGTATTTGTTTTCTGATCCACAAAAAGAACGTAGATTAGATTCACCACGTATGTGAACTGATGGAGTTGATTGAAAAAGTTGGGTTCAGTTTCTATTTTTATACATATGCATTTTTAGAATTCTCAGACTAGAACTGGGGTCATAAATAGAAAATCGTTTTACCTTTTGCTTCCACTTTATCAAAAAAAAAAAAAAAAGAAGAATCATTATAAAAAATAGCAAAAGATAATATGAATATTGATTATATCAAATTAGTCCGTTAAATGCAAAGGTTTTGAGTCATTGATATTATAAAGAGTAAGGCAGAGAGAAGCAGACCTTAATTAGGAAAAAGATATTTTCTGATTAGTTAGTTAGTTTGTTCACTGTACAGGTAAAGTATCTACTATACATGTGGTATAACAGTATAACCTTAGTTTCCTGCCTAAAAATTAAGCTTCCTCTTTGTTTCGGTGGTTAATTAGGTCATAATAAAAAGACCCGTCGAAGAAAAAGGGAAGAGAGCAACGAGTTGTATTGGAGTCTCAAAACTGAGTTAGGAGATGGAAGAAGAAAGAGTGGGAAGCTGGAAGAGACCATTTCTAGGTATCGTAGCAGATCTCAGAGGAAGAGCCTTGTGTTACAAGCACGACTGGATCGCTGGTCTACGTTCTGGTTTCGGGTACTTGTTATATATAACATGTTTTCACTTATTCATAACTAGTTTCATTTTTGAGGCAAAAGAGGAACAAAATTGTGAATATTGGAGGAGGGTTTTTGCAGAATTTTAGCACCAACTACATATATTTTCTTCGCCTCTGCGCTTCCGGTCATCGCCTTTGGCGAGCAACTCAGCCGCGACACAGGTCTTTTTCTTTGAGTTACGACCTTTCTAATTAAAAGCGGCCACATCTCTATCAATCTTTGATTTTTTTTTTATTTTTTCTTCACGTGGAACAAAAGTCTTTAAGTCAGCTTTAATTTTTTTCTCACGGTTTGTGTTAACGTGGAACAAAAGTCATCAAGTAGCTCTCATTTTCTTTTTAACTCGCGGTTTGTTTTTTTTTACATGCAACAGAAAGTCTTCAAGCTACAACACGTTTTTGTTTTTGCACTCTCTATGTTTTTAAGAGGAAAAAAAGCCAATTCAAATTTGTTTCAAATTTTAACGATGTATAGAAGGAGCGTTGAGCCCAGTGGAAACGTTAGCATCAACAGCGTTATGTGGACTGATACACTCGATATTGGGAGGACAGCCATTGCTGATACTTGGAGTTGCAGAACCAACGGTCTTGATGTACGTTTACTTGTATAACTTTGCTAAAGGAAGACCAGAATTAGGGAAACAACTCTTCTTAGCTTGGGCTGCTTGGTAATATTTTTAAAAATAACATATCTTTTCTTTTCGTTATTAATATTTAGACTTTTCTGTATTTAGTTATATGGTTTTGTTTGCTGTTAAAAATTGAAAGGGTTTGTGTGTGGACGGCTTTGTTACTGTTCGTATTGGCGATATTCAACGTGGCTTATATCATTAATCGATTCACGAGGATCGCTGGTGAGCTGTTTGGTATGTTGATCTCCGTTCTATTCATCCAACAAACCATCAAGGTATTTCAACCACATGCATAATATATATTTTATATAACTGGTTTCAGCTAGTAGCACCTTGTCAAAATAACAAATTAATGATGATGTTAATTTTAATGAAATTGACAGGGAATGGTGAGCGAGTTTAAGATGCCAGAACATGAGGACTCAGAACTTGAAAAGTATCAGTTTGAGTGGCTCTACACAAACGGACTTCTCGGCCTCATTTTCACCTTTGGCCTTCTCTACACCTCTTTGAAGAGCAGAAATGCGAGGTCTTGGCGATATGGAACAGGTAGCGATTGTTATCTTTTCTTGCTTTGGTGACCATTTCTGCGTAAAATCAAAAACCAGGCCATAAAACTTATGGAACTTTTTTTTGTGTGAAAAGGATGGTACAGAAGCTTCATCGCAGACTATGGAGTTCCTCTGATGGTTGTGGTATGGACAGCATTGTCTTTCAGTACGCCATCAAAACTCCCTTCTGGTGTCCCGAGAAGACTCTCTAGTCCTCTTCCTTGGGACTCTGCTTCTTTAGGACACTGGACTGTCATCAAGGTTACAACACAAACACAACACAAACAAAAAAACACTACATTTTTAAAACATTCATCATCCTCTGAACCTCTCTGAGACCTGTCTCTGTTCTGAACAGGACATGGGAAAAGTCCCTCCGGCCTACATTTTTGCAGGGCTTATACCGGCGTTGATGATCACAGGGCTCTACTTCTTTGACCAAAGCGTTGTCTCGCAGCTCGCGCAGCAGAAAGAGTTTAACCTCAAGAAACCTTCTGCGTATCACTACGACATCTTCTTGTTGGGTTTCATGGTAACCATTCTGCCTTTGCGCAAGCTTAACCCTTTACTACAACATTCGACCCTCTGGTTGAAATCTCCAAAACTGTGTGGTTTTTTTTTTCTTTCTCTCAGGTTTTGGTCTGTGGATTGCTCGGTCTGCCACCTTCCAACGGAGTCCTCCCTCAGTCTCCTATGCATACCAAAAGCCTCGCTGTTCTCAAACGACAGGTTTCCTACTCGTGAAAATCTCATCATGTTCAGAACAATCTGGTCTTGATGAGCCTTTCTTGATTTTGGCGGTTTCTCTGTTTAGTTAATTCGGAGGAAGATGGTGAGTACAGCCAAAGAAAGCATGAGAAGGAGAGCAACTTCCTCCCAAGTGTACGAGAATATGCAAGAAGTCTTCATAGAAATGGACAAAAGCCCACTTGTATGTACTAGACTCATAATTCAATGTTCCGGTGATAATGAAACTTCATTTATAAGTAAGCTCTTAATATAATCTACAGGCTCAGACAAACACAATACCGATAATGGAGCTGCAAGATTTGAAAGACGTAGTGATGAAGAAATTTGACGACGAAGGTGATAGCAGCGAGGAGAGTGGTTTCGATCCAGAGAAGCACCTCGAGGCTTACTTGCCTGTTAGAGTCAACGAGCAGAGAGTGAGCAACCTGTTGCAGTCACTGCTAGTGGCAGGTGCAGTGTTGGCTATACCAGCCATTAGGCTCATACCTACTTCTCTCCTGTGGGGATATTTCGCTTACATGGCCATCGATAGCCTCCCGGGAAATCAATTCTTCGAACGCACGGTTCTTCTCTTCGTCCCACCAAGCCGGAGATTCAAGTATGCATGCTCTCTGAAAATGACTCTGTTTTGATTTTTTATTCAGATTTCCTTGAAAGACCTGATTGTTTCGCCAGGGTCTTGGAAGGAGCGCACGCGTCGTTCGTGGAGAAAGTCCCGTTCAAGTCAATGGCTGCGTTCACAGTATTGCAGATATTCTACTTTGGGCTGTGCTACGGAGTGACGTGGATCCCGGTGGCCGGAATCATGTTTCCGGTGCCTTTCTTCCTCTTGATAGCCATCAGACAGTACCTTCTCCCGAAGCTCTTTAAACAGGCCCATCTTAGAGAACTCGATGCATCTGAGTACGAGGAGATCCCTGGAACTCCTAGAAACCCTCTCGAACTGTCTTGCCAGGTGAGTCGAGTCAATTGTCTTGTATAAGGTCTTGCATTGGATTGTGTGAATTGATGCCGAGCGTTAACCTTTGTTTTGAAGTCGAGTGGCTCGATGAGGGACGTCCTAGAGGGCGATGCTGAGATTTTAGACGGGTTAACCACGAGCAGAGGCGAGCTCAGAGTTCGTCCGGCCACTCTTAGCCCAGACAAAGGCCACCAGGTTCATTTCTGTTTTTTTTTGTGTGTATATTATTACTACTTTTCGTTATCTTAAAGACAAAATTTCACAGACTCATGTTTAAACCTTCAGATTTACCCTAAGGAGATAGTAGAAGCAGGGGATGGGGACATGAGTACTGCGAGAGAGTGATCTTTAACAACGATGACAATCGAATATCATCTTTCAAGTGATGAGATCGGTCATATACAACAAAACCATGTAGTTTTATTGTAACATGTTGTAAGTCAAAACACAGATGATACTTGGGTTTTTGTCTTTAAATAAACCCAAGATGATGTGTTTGTGAAGATAATCTTAATTTATAAGTCTTCATAAATTAATGTTTCATAGTTTGTTTTTGTTGTTTATGAAAAGATGCAAAACGAAAAGTAGTTTGTTGTTTCATAGTTTCTTGTATGTTACGTAAAGAAAAAAGAAAAAAAAAGACTGATATTTCAGTTATTCATTAAGCAAACTCATAAAAAGGTTACATTTTCAGAGGAAATATAGAAGAACATATTTTTTAATTAGTAAACTTAGACTTGAGCATGTTGATTGTTTTAACATCCGTCTTGAAAGCCTTCATCATAACCGCGTCTTGAATCGCGGGTTTCGCAAGGAACAGAGTGTGCGGCACAACGACCTCGCTAGGCAGCTCATCAGCAACCACCGTCAACATACGCGCCGGCGTTTTCCCAACGTTCATTTCGTAGTGAATGAGTCCTGGAGGAACCACAAACATGTCACCGGGCTCAGCAACCTTGGAGAAGAGCGTGTAGTTAGTCGTCAAGAACCCAATCAAGACCGAGCCTTCGACCACGAATCCTGCCTCGGTCGAACCAGGGTGCGAGTGAGGCGGATTAGCTCCTCCAGCCGCGAGTCCAACATTGTACATGGATATTCCCATAGTGTTCAGTCCTGGAAACGTCATGGAGTTTGCTGAGTTAGCCGCTACGCCTCTTGGGTTTGAAGTGTTTAATGGAGTGTTCAAGCCGGAGTAGAAGAAGTCTTCAGAGGTGACATGTGATTTGCAAGGGAAGCCAGTGTTGGTTGGGGAAGCTTGGTGATCAGCTACGCAGAAGTCTTGTAAGGGGTTAAGGTACGAAACTGAGTGTGATGGGTTCGTCAAGAGAGTGATGCAGAGTGTGAGGAGGATTAAAACTCTCGAGAGAAAAGAAGAGGTTTGTGGAATTTTAGCCATTGCTAGGGAGTTATGATTATGATGAATGATGTTGTTGTTGATGATGAGAAATCCCCATGCTTATTGTCAGATTATATAGCGTTGAAAATTAGGTATTTTTTGGATCGACCCTACAACTAGATTGGATAAGAAAAAGATGGGTTTAAGGGAAACATATGAAAGACTCAATCTTTATGATTGTTGGGTTCAAATTGGTGTAATCTTTTTGTGCGTTCCATTTAAACGCAAACCTTGGCTAGGCTTAAATAAGTTAGGTTTGACCGTAAACGCAGTCACAGACTCACAAATAGACTAAAAGATACCCACACCCCAAACGAAATAATTAAGGTAGGGTTTGGTTATAATAACATAACTAAGTAGTTTCAGCTCAAAAATCAGTCTCTCTGCACTTAATCCATCTTCTAGGTTAGGTTCATGGACCAAATCCAAAACGCAAAATACATGAAGAAAATCAGCATTAGCGTTTAGGCTAAACCAAATTTTAATGAGAAAGATAAAATGTTTTTTTTCCTAAAATTTTCAAGTATTTGTAAGAAAATCACATGTAAACACAACAACAAAAATTTGCGTTTCCACCAGTCAGGTTTTTCAATCTTTATTCAAACCATCTTAAGAGTTTATTAGGTTCTTGGAGCAAATATGAAACTTTTTAGTGAGTGAATAAAAAAAATGTTTTGAAGTTGAGACAAGGCGTTGGAAGCTTTCTTGTTCCCTAAGAAACAATAAAAGATGGATTACAAGTTCATAGATTCCGAAGGCATAGAAACAAAACTACGAAGCATGTGCAAATTCTGAGATATCTGCAATAGAATCGCTTCTCCTTCACTAACATCTAAAACATCTGCCATATGTTTCAACAGTTCACCATTCGATTGGAGAGCACTTAGCCTCTCTGTGATTGCTGAAAGCTCTTTCACTATCCCTTCTTTGCTTTCAATACCTGCTCAATTTTCATCACAACAACACAAAGATAACAAGGGCTTTTAGTCAGATTAAAGAACAAAGAACAGAAAGATCTAACCTCGAGTAAAATTCACATACCTTTCTCTTCCTCTGCAGAGACATCATTTTCCACGGTAGACTCTTCAGATTTATGAGGCCCATTATGATCAATGGTTTCTCCATTCTCCTCATTTGAGACTGGTTTGGTTTCTTTGGAATCATCATCTGCACTAACATTGCCGTTGTCTTCAAGAAACTCTTGTCTTGAGGCTTCATCATCAGTCAAAGATCCATATTTCTCTCTGTAAGCCTCAAATTCAGCTTCAAGCTCCTTCATTTCCTCTTCCCGCTTCGCCAATTCACTGTTCATTGACTGCAAAGCTTCTTGGTCATACTCTGCTTGTTCATCCATCATTCTTTGGTACTGCAAAGCCTCCATTTGAACAGCCGCTTTCTCGGCTTGAAGCCTCGTGATCATAGCCATCGCGTTGTTTGCCGCGATAGCTGAAGCACTTCTCTCTTCATCTAACTCCATATACAAATCAATCAGTGACTTCTTGTCCAAGCGAACCTCTTTCTTGAGCTGATGAAGGATGGATTCACCGTTTGGATCAGCCGTGTCCGAAGCATTCTCTGTCTTGTCCAAAGGAGATTTCCTGAGAGATCGAACGGACCATCGTGGACTGTTTTGCGCCGAATCAGACAGAGGGATCCCAAAGAACTTGTTACCCCCTCTTACAAAACTCGGTGTTCTGTCCACATCGAAGTCCTTAAACTCAGATTCGGTTTCAGACGGTTTGTTGTTCGAAACCCTAGGAGAAGGAGCAGGAGCAAGGAAAGAATTGGTGTTGTTCTTAGGCTGCTTCTCAGATTTCATCTTCAATAATTCTCCGCAACAAGAACAATGTTGCTTCAAGCTGTCATTTTTAATGTTGTTGTTGTTGTTGTTAGTCTTGTAATCCACCAGATTTGCTGGTATCTGGACAAAATTTTCGTCTTTCTTGAGAGCCAAGGGAAGATCTCGTTCATCGTCAATGAGAAGCTCAAGGTCTTTGTGTAAGATCCCAATGAGAGACTTATAAGTATCACAGTCGGATTCTTTCTCGGTGGCAAAAGAGAGAAGACATCCTTCACACATATGTTTGATCTCAGAGAGCTTCTTGTGGACATGACAATAAGCAAGGGAGGAGACTTTCTTCTTGTGAGAGTCGCAGATTGAGTCATTGTAATAGAATTGAGGGTCTCTAGGGACGAGAACGTGATCGATTCTGCTGCAGAGGAGACAAGGAGTGTTGAGTTCGAAGAATCTGGCGAATTGGTTCGATAGAAAGGCGAGAACGCCGTCGATGAAGAGGATGGTGATGAGAGCCCATTCGAGAATGGTGTAGATGAAGAATTTAGGTAGAGATCCGAGTTCTTGCTCCACGAAATTCTTGAAAGAACGTTTAGACATGGTGGCTTGTAAAAGCAGAAACAAGAACAAGAAGAAACAGAGCAATTGAATAAACATAAGCGAGATCAAATTGGTCAAAAGATCAACAAGAAACAGAGATCATGACCTCTTTCTCACTCTTTTGTGATTTGTGTTTCTATTTTTGGGGTTAAAAGAGTCTTAAAACAGACTAGGTTAAACTGGAATTTTGAGGAGAGAAAGTGCCCAAAACAAAGGATAATCGCAGCTTTGAAATTGACAAATTTAGAGATAATGTCAAGACGAAAAAAAGCCCAAATAGGATTCGTGTAATTTTTCCCGCTTAGACGTGAGGAGAACTTTGTCGTTGACGCTGAAATTGAATACAAACTATACACAACCGAAACAGAGGACATGCCAACACACACATTGACATATATATATTACATGATGTTGTTTGATTGGTTGATTAAATGAATGGAGATCATGTTGTGTGATTGGAAGATTATTGCTTACGAAACAGGTAATGTATGTACCTAATCATCCCACACTACATATATAAAAAGAATCTGGATTTTGATGGGAAAAGAAAAAGCTCCACTATAATGGAAGTGGCCAATAAAATGCAACATTATTGGAATAATTAAAGATAATGACATTATTCTACGAACCCTACAATATCTTATTCTTGGAAATCATATATTATTATAAAACCCTAAAACTCCATAAATCACCAAACATTTGATTGAGATGGCCACATGAGAAGCAAGTACGACTCTGTTCTTTGATTGAGATCATGAATGGAAACATAACGTTAATATATTATAAAGTTTTCATAAATCCACACGAAAGACCAGGTAGTAGTATTACAAAACAACTTCCAAACATGGAAGGAAAAACAAAACAAAAAAAAGGATGATTCATGAACCCTAAAAACCAACTTAGTACTATTCCTCCAAACTCCTCTGTTTATTATTCTTTTTTACCACAGATTGTTTCAATCAAATACATAAATTTGATATAGATAAAAAAAAAAAAAAAAAAGTCAAGACCTATCTGTACAACAGAGAAACAAACAGGGTGTGTGTGTGTGTTGCAGATTCACCTTTTGGGAATTTCTCTAAGCGACTCCAATCGTGTTGAATGCAAAATGCCTTGAGGAAGAAGGCTCGTAAAGATTAGATGAGGCTAGAGAGAGGTTGAGAGAGAGCGGTGCAGGAGTTGCTTGAAAGGTTAATGGAACAAGGTTGATGAGATTAGAGGAAGAAAAGTGTCCATATGATTGATTCACTGACGCAATGTCACCAGATGTTGGTACAGAGAACTCAGGAATGACTTGCATAACCGGATACATAGAGAAGCTGTTGGCTTCCGGTACAAGACAAGGTGATTGTGATGATGTGTTCTCCTGCATAAGCACCTGATCTTCTTCCATGGGCATGACCTGATAACAAAACCAAGCAAGATCCGTTTGTTAATTCTGAAACCAAACCAAACCACTTATAGTCAACGCTAAAAAACATATCACTAGAGTGAAAAGAGGGAAAAGAGATTATACCGTATCAGTGGTCATGTCAAAAAGGCTAGATCTTCGTCGGCGACGGTTGAGATTGCTTCGCCGGAGGAAGTATTTCTGAGCGTGGCTAGCTACTTGCGTAGACGTTCTGCTTTTGACAAAGTTTTTGGAAATTCCTTTCCAATCTCCTTTCCCTACTTTCTGCAGCCCAAGCAAGAACAGTTTGTGCTCTTCCTCAGTCCATGGAACTCCTGAAGACAAAATAAGTTTAGCCAAAAAAGAAATCAAATCTCTATCTAATCATAGAATCAAACGATCCAGAGAAGAGGAAACAAATCAAACGAAAACATAAGCAGGTTTCACTCAATCGAAAAGACAGATTTAATCGAGATCGTATGATCAAAAAACAGTACCTCGTTTCCTCTCGCGATTTCCGCCGGAAGAAGAAATCGGAACAGCGTCATCAGCCGAGGCGTAACCGGAGGAGGTTTTGATCTTATCATGTCCATCTCCATCCTCGCCGACGATCTTCGGGGTCTCATCCGTCTGCTCATACTCGGACAAGTTGTTCAAACTCACGCTCTTCCTCATCGGATCAAGCACAACCCTGACGCCGAACAGCATAATCTCTCTTCTTATACCGCCGCACGCGACTGTGGACTCCGACGAACTACTACTACCTTCGGTCATAGTATTGCTTGCTGTGGTTTTGTTTTTGCTGTTTCAGCGAAGGAAGTCAAAATTACAGAGCAATGGCAATGGAGTGGTGTGAGTAGATCTGTGCTTGCCTCCTTGGATGATTTTTATAAGCCAGAAGCCACGTGCTTCTCGCTTAAACAATTACATGTTGCAGCTGCTGCCTGATTGACACGTGTCACATTTTAATTCGTCTGTTGTCGTCTCTACCCAGTTTTCCATTTGGATAGACTTTATTTTATTTCTTTGGCTGACTAGATTATACTCATTATACTATTAGGTCTCCACATATCATTTTTGTTGGTTTTGGTATATAAAAATGGTTAATTATGTAGCTCATTTTATACATAGGTCGAGATCTAAATTAATATCTACTATTAACCATTTCCTTATTTTAGAGTAGTTAATATCGATTTTCGAAGAAGATGGTGGAACTCGAATACTCGATCAATGGTTTCGATCCATAAGATGAAACTTCTATTTTTTATAATGGATCACACGTTCTCGGGTTAGATATGATGTACAGAAAAATAAATATTGTACTTGAATGGCTCTAGTTTAGTATAAATAATAAATATTATCTTTTCGTGAACTCAAAAGTTAAAGAGAAAAGACCAAAGGATTAAAATTGATCCTTTTATTTATCTTTAACGTTACCTTTAAAATTATTTATGATAAAATGTAGGGTTGTAATGTATGTACTATGCGAATCTGGTCAACTCAGTGTCCCCTCGTAAGCGCATGCAACTTGATCTTAGAAAAATAGTCAGCTTCTGAAATGATTCTGTACTCTCTACTCTTATTAGATCTTGTTACAGCTCCATCCTTGTACTTTTATTTTATTAAAGAACTTATATCTTGTCGATCTATATGAGTAGATTTTTTAAAAGACCTTGGAGACGGGGAAATACTTTTCGAAAATTATAACTTTTAATTTCATAACTTACAATATCAGGAAACTAAACTTTTATAAATATAGTATATATCAACCAAAAATTGATAGTTTTTGGCAAAAAAGTTAATCGAATTTATTGTTTAATCCGGCGCATGATCATCAGAACTTGATCACAACTGTAAGTCTGTAAGAGGTTATACTTTATTAGAATGTTAGGACATGATTTGACTGTAAGCAAAATGATCACATCTAATTGCTATTATTATTTATATATTTGTATGCGATTTATAGGAAAAAAATCTGAAAAGTATGTATACACATAATTTTGGTAAATAGTTTTGGAAGACAGCAAAAACACAGAAGGCACTAGTATCGGTTAGAAAGCAAAGCCACCATTACTTTTATGCACGCAAAGTGGGAAACCTAAAAAGTAGTGTGTGAAGCACTAAAGGAAGAGCTTTCTTTCTCCCTCACTTTTCTTCTTTTTTTACCAATTTGGATGATAAGGTTGTTGTAACTTTCCAAAATCAGGAAACAAACACAAATCTGAGAGAGAGAGAGAGAAGGTGAATCAGACAGAAGAAGAATCTATGCACTATAACAAGTTGTGTTCCAAGTTAAATTCAGACCATTGGGTCATTGTTGCGTAATAAGTTAGATTTGGAGATAGTGACAGAGACCACAAGGTGAGGTCACAAAGCAAACACTACAGCTTCAACTAGGGAATCATGACTGACAGATCCCGTATTTGTAACAACTAACAAGAGCTTTGATATTACACCAACATTTATCTTTATAGTAACCTGAAAGACTGATGAATGACAAAACAATAAATCTATGGCTGCAAAATCATGGGGGTCTGTTCTAACAATTCCATCAAACTACTTACTTGAAATTTTTGTAGCGTTGCTTCTGCATATAAACTAAGATGGACCATTTCTCTTCCTCTATAGCCTCTTCTGTCTATCAGACGCTGACACTACTGCTTGGCACCACAAAATATTATCATGGACATGGAGTGCAGGTGAAAATTGTGTGTTAAAGACCATAAGAGCACAGTTTTCACCAACCAGTCATAGATGGAGGAAGACGGAAGAAACCTTTTGATTGTTGAAAATTGGCAGCAGAAATAACGCGTAACAACGGTTAAGCTGGGCTTCCTGCTAGTTCTTTTTTCGTCTTGGTTCTTCTTTGGGAAGGGTTACCACCACTGTGGTTCGTGTGGTTCGTGTCACTGCTTGTTGAGGTTCTTGCTCCAGCAGCAAATGGCGAGTTTATTACAGCGACTAGGTTTTTATCTTGGGACTCTTCTGAAGTCGGTTCTTTCGTACCCAGCAACTGCTTGAGCTGAGACCGCTGGCACATAATGCGACCTCCGTTCCATCCTGTGAAGGAAAATGATGACGAGACATGGTCCTGCAAGAAGGAGAAAGCAGCTTTCGCCATGGGGGATTCTCTTGCAGCAGAGCTTTTCTCCAATTGTCCCCGTCTGAAAATTTCGAAAAAAAAAGGGTTACAAAAAGGCAAAAGACAAGGATACAAACACAAAGCTTGGAAGCATACTGCAATGAGTTACTTACACTGAAACAACAACAGCTAGTTGAGGAAGATCCTCTCCCTTTAAAAGCATATCATTTAGATCATTTAGCCAAACCGATAGTGCTGTGTACATGCCACCCTCTGACATCCTGCAGAACATTGAAAACCAATAATTAGATTGAGCGGTACTCAACCATTTCATACATTTGAGATGAAGCCCAGCGTAGGGCTCTTAACCTACCTATGCACATCAACAGACCGCACAAGTTTGTTTTTCCGAAATAACTCAGGGAAAAGTCCTCGTTTTGTTGCCTCATTGAGTACCCTTGCAGCTCGCTCTTTCTGGCCCAGCCACCACAAAGCATCCAGGAGTGCATTGTAAAACCTTATTCCCAAACCACACCCTTCTGAATTTAGTTTGTCTAAGACATATTCCACTATCTGCCAATTTGAGTCATCATCATAGTCTCCCTTGATCATTTGCCCGATCACTTGATGAATATTTGATACTCTATTTGAAAGCATCTCCTCCAGTAACTCATTGACATCGTCCCACCTGAAAACAAACGTTGGAACTGTTATTTACAATAATAAATCATTATTCTGTAAAACAGTGGCTTAAAGACTACTTATCCAGAAAACTCAAGTTAGTTGCAAAAAAAGTTAACAAGGGTGCTACATTACACTAGCATATGGCTTCCATGCCTGCCAATGTTGGAACACAAGGAAACTGAAAGAGTAATCATGGAATAAACAATCATTCTGGCTAAGGTAACAGTTTAGTAAGGTATGAGCTATAAAAATATACGCAAAAGACAACGTAAGCAAGAGCGTAATACTGGCGAAGGCACTAACCTCTCTGTTTTCCCATAAACAGACAGCATCATACAGTAGCACATGATACTGGGCAGTATATCAGAAGCTTTCATCTCCTCAAACTGCTCCCTGCACTCATCGACAAGTCGTGCACAAGAATACACACTTAAAACAGCCTCAAGCGTCCTTTCATCCGGATCACATCTTGACTTATCCATATCTACATATGTCTTCACAGCTTCTTCGAATTTCCCTCCTTGCTTGTATGCTTCTATCTGTGCATTGAACGTATCTCTGTTCCTGGGAATACCAGAATCCACCAGCCTGGATAAAATCACCTCAGACTCCTTGAACAGTCCTCCCCTTGCAAACGAATATAACAGTGAGTGGTACGTTTCGATACTTGGATTGCTTCCCACTTCATGCATAGTGTTAAAAGCAACAAGTGCTTCTTCATATAAAGCAGCCTGTCCAAATGCTTCAATAACCCCCGTGTACGCCTTGGAACTTGGCACGATATCCTTAGCCGTCATATACTGTAAAATCTTCCTAGCATCCTCGTGGAGCCCTCCCTTCCCACAAGCAAATATTATACCCTCGTATGTCTCCATGTCAGGTTCAATATTCTCCTCCACCATGTCATGGAACAAAGTCACAACCTCCTTGAAATACCCACCTTCCCCAAAAACATCTATCAGAATGTTGTATGTAGCAGCATCAGGATCTGTATTGCTAGATTTCATCTCAAGGAAAAGCTGCCGAACATCATCGTACCTCCCGCTTTGTCCAAACAAGTTCAGCAAAACACTATATGTATTCGCGTTCGGCGTACACCCTGCAGCCTGCATCTGATGGAAGACCCCCATTGCCTCCTTGATAGACCCGGTTTTGGCATATGCCTCTAACAACACATTATAAGACGTGATATCGGGCAAACTGCCCCCTGAAGCCATCTCACTTAGGAGATTAGAAACTTTTTCTAGCCGGCCTAACTTCCCAAACGTCTCAACGAGATGACTATACGTGGTTAAATCCGGAACTATCCCACCATCATTCATAGTCCTAAAAACCATTTCAGCTTCATCAGCTAAGCCTCTAATAGCACAAGCACTAAGCAATGTGTTGTAGGTGACGATATCGGGTTGTATCCCCTCGTGTCTCATCTCTGCAAACAAACCCAATAAACCTTCCCAATCTAAGCCACCTCTAGCACACGCATTGATCACTGTGTTGTAAGTCAAGATGCTTGGTGATATCTTCTCGTTCTTCATCCTATCAAGAAGCTCAAGGGAGGTCTCGTACCGTCCGTTTCGACCGTAGGCGTTGATCAGAGCCGTGTAAGAGAAGACGCTTCGCGCCACGCCTTGACTGGGCATTTCCTCGAATATCTCGAGGCATTTGTCAAGCAGGCCTTCCCTGCCGAGCAAAGAGATCATAATCGTGTAGATGTGCTCGTTGGGTTTGCACCATATCTGCCGTTGCATATACTTGAAGAGCCGAAGCGACCTCTGCCAATCGCCGCGACCGGCGAACTCTTTGAACACGAGCGCGAAATCGTTCAGAGAAAGCTTGTTCTTGAATATGTCGAGACACCTCGCGATGCTGCCGCGAGGCGGAAGGCTGCTCAGCTTGTTAATCAGGGACTCGACGTCGTAGCTGTACTTCCCTTTCTCCACCGATACGGAAGGGTTTCCCAGGACGAGGTCCTTCGTCTTCGCCTTAATTTTACCGGCGACGGAGCAGGGTTGTCTCTTTCCCCCGGAGAGGAAACGGAGACGGTTGCCGTCGGCGAATCTCCGGTTACCGACGAAACTGGTATTCTGGATGAGGAACGAGAGCTGGTGTGAGTTGGGATTCGGAATTGCGAGGTTCATTTTGGCAGCTAGAGTTCACATAAAAGGTTCAGAAATCCTCACAGCAAAGCGAAACGAGAATTTTCTCGGGAAACTCGCACTCAGCAAGTTTCAATCCGATTTTGAAATGATTCCGGAGATTGAAAGATTAACGGCTCACTCACCAGTCGCCACTAACTCTGGGCAAGAGGACACAGACGAATTAGATGAAGAGATAGTTTCGAAGACGATTTTTCTCACCCAAAAGTGCTCTCGGTGAAATGGCGGAAAAATGGAAGAGGCGGAGGGCTTGAAGAAGACACGTGGATTCTTATTGTGGATAACAGTCGCGAAGAACCAACCGGTTTATATAACCTGACGGTTTAAATTGGTTCACTCGAAATTTGGTCGGACAAATTTGGCGCTTAAATATCTAATCACACAGGAAAAAAATTGTTACAGTACTTTCATACTTATAATAATTAAAAAAACACTTGTATAATTTTCTACTACAGTAAGAGATTTTTTTATTTTGTAATTGCATTACTTACATCTGAAAATTCACTGGAAGATGATAACAAACCAAATACAATTACAATTCATATCTTCATAATTTTTTGTTGTTAATTCGGTAGAAAGTAATGACATACCACAATAAATAATAAAAACTTGTCCTCGAATTGTCATCACATTGACGAACAATATTCTGTAACTAAAAACAAATCTGAATGCAATGTCAAACACTTGTCAAATTAGTTACTTCAATATATAGTAAATTAGAATTAGCTAATATAATAGTGTAATGGTTGAGAATCGTCATATAGATCAAGACTGAATTGATGTTGTAAAAATGCTCAATTATTCACATATTTTAGGATCAGGATCTAGTTTAGAATTTGAAATGCGTAGGAATATTTATTAATATATATATATATATATAAACAACATACTGTAAATAGTTACAAATTTATTTTTGTATACTCAGTTATGACTCAGAAAGTCGTGGGAGTTTAAAATGGAAGGTTGAAAATCAAAATGATGCTAATATGCTATTGCAGGTCGTAAAATCTGAATGAGGTAAAAGAATTGACGTGTGTGTAAGTAAGTAAGCATTTTGAAAATGAGTAAATGTAAATGGCCTAAAATGTGAAAAGTAAAAGCGAGTACGAAACATTGACGCGAAAAACGGGAAACCGCACCGCCGTTTGCAGTTTACGGAGCAGAAGGTGACGTGACGTGTGTGTGTGGCGTTTGAGAAATAAAGTGGACTTATCATGGGCAAATATGTCATTTGATACCCCTTTCTGTTCCTAACAGACAGACGCTTCGAGTAAAAAAAAAAAGTAGAGAGGAAAAAACAAAAACAAACCACCCTTTTTCGCCTTTCTTTCTTCCTTCTTCGCGAGTCTGCGACCTTGGTCGGAAAATCAAAATCGCTTCCCCGCAACCGCATTATCAGCTCTAATGGCCGAACCAGAGGTACAAGCACCTTTTCTCCCCTCAATCTCCGCCGCTCTCGTGTTCCTATTTTCGATTCCGACTCCTCCTGTGAAAAGAAATTCGATTTCTCGTTCTGTTTCTCCTAGACCGTGTTTCTTCTGATGAAACAGATTCTTCTTTCCGATTTCGTTAATTTTGATATAAATTACTGTTCCCGGATGTGGGGGTTTCGTGATTTCAATTTGCGTTTGTGATGATTTGTTCGTTTTCTTATTTTATTTTGTTGGTGGGTTTAACAGACGTTAGCGGCGTTGAAGAGAGCTTACGCCGATACTATACTGAACACGACGAAGGAGGCGGCGGCGCGTGTGCTGTTTTCTGAGAAGAAGGCCCGTAGGTATCAGCAAGAACTTATGACGGTTAGAGATGAAGCGCTCAATACGTTGGTTAGGCTTAAACAGATGTATGATTCCAAGGTACAATTTCTACGTAGATGTTTTTCCTAATTCTCATTTTGTTCTTCGCTCGTTTCTGAGTAACTGATTATGTTTTTGGGATTTTGATTGTTTTTTGTGGAGTTGATGTGCTTTGGCATTTTCATTGTTTATTGCTTTATATGATGAAATGGCTTTTGAAATCTTAAGTCTTTGAGCCTTGTTTACATGGTTTCATTACACTGACACTGTGAGCAGCTTGAGCTTTCTTCTCCATCCATTGACCATCGTTCATGAAACCTTAAGCTCGTTTGAGCAAGCTCTGGATCCGCCACTCAGTGTGGGGGATATTAGGATATAGCTGCTTCGTCTTAGAAACTGTATCGGCTTTGCTTGAAGATTAGCTTTCTTTTATTGTACGAAATCTTTCTTCTGTGGCTGTTCGTATAGGTCAAGGAGACAGAGATGATATCCTTGAAGCAGCAACAAAAGGTTGAGGAACTTGAAGCTCAGCTTGGAGAAGCTGAAGATATTGTAGGAGAGCTGAGGATGGAGTTGCGAGAGCTTCGTGATGAGCTCAAGAAACTTACGAATGGTCAGACACATCTTCAAAGTGATGTCGAGGAAGGTATCTGTTGGAAAACCAGTGGTGCAGCAGTTTCCGTAGTGCCTGAGGTTTCTAGCAGTCACGAGAGATCAGGAGATGTAGGTTCTTGCATCCCAGCTGAACAAAGTGTATCGTTTGTGGCTAATGGGATTAAAAACGCATCTTTGACTCGCGTAAATAGCATTAAGCGGTGTTCGTCCAAAGATAACATGGATCGCTGTCACTACACTCTTCCGTCTATACTGACAAAACGCAGGGAAGCTGAAGGACGCACTCAGATGATCCACGCAGTAGATAGATGTGTGGCCAATGGAGTACTGTCTTCCTCTGTAGAAGTAGGAGGTGTGAATGATGATGGAGTATGTGTTCACAAAGTCTCGCCGTGTAAAATTGTAGAGACCTTGGAAATGTCTGGTTGTGCTGATGCTAGTGACTCCATGTCTTCTGTTAAAGATGGAGATGGAAAAGCTCCAATGGTGTCTCAAAACTCCTCCCAGAAGGACTTGAAAACGTCTCTGAGGGAACATGAAAGTGATAGAAAGTCTGCGGTTGGCGAAACAGAGGCAGTGAAGGAAGACAAAGAGAGCTGTGAGGATATGGAGGTTTCGGCATCTCCTTTGTGTGAAGAAACTCCAGCTTTGGCAGTTAATAAAAACCGATGTATCAAGTACACATTCAAGAGGAAGAGAAAGAAGGAGGCATCAAGCAATCTTGAAGAAGATTCCTCCTTTGAGGAGAGCAAAAACAGGAAACAGAAGACTGGGGAGAAAGACGATGGCTATTTGGAATCTCTGAAGCCTAGCTTCACCAGTGAGTCTTCTCTGGATAGTCTATGCGTAGCACAGATGAATCGGCAGGTTAGTAATTATCAAATCCAGCTAATTTCGCCATATTCATTCTAAGTTTATTATGTTTCTGGAGAACTTGTTGAGAATCTGCGTTGTTTGTTTCCTTCTTGTTGTGTAAGTGTTTGTTCTGAAAGCTGATTTCACCAATTTGTTGGGGTGGTTTATGCATATGAGGTCTATTCTATGTTTCTTTAATGTTTTGTTTTCTGAGCGCAGCTTGTACCATTCTCGGAGAAGAGCGGTTTTGCAGCAGAACTAGTCAACCAGTAGGATCCTCCCTTGACTCGCAAGTAACCTTGAAGCCCTTATCCATGGTTGATCAACAAATCTAGCTTTAGCTTTAGTCGTAAAGTATTCGTCTAATACAAATGTATAAAACTATTCATGTTGCGTTTGATTTTGAGTCAAATTAAAGTTCATGTGATAAGGATAGATTGAAACTCTAGATTCTTTCGCCTGGATGGTCAAAGAGCTATGATTGTATCTCTACCATTTCTATGTTTTACTTTATGTAAATAATCTAACGAAGAACGGAAGTCTTATTATACAGTATCAAATAGTTTTTGGTCACTTGGTCAAAGTTTTTCATGGAAATTTGGACTAGGACCATGGACCATCGTCTGCTAAATAAGGGAATTTATGTGAGTTTGTTCAGTCTTCCGTTTAAAATTGATGAATAAATGACCATTTAATTTTCAAGATTACTGCCAGGCTTTCCATGCCTTGTTTACTCTAAGGAAGACTCGTTCAATTATAAATATGAACTTCTAAAAAATTCTGTTATGCAAATGTTTTTCTATTCGTTGTCAAAAACAAAAATGTTTTTCTATTCCAAATTTTAATAATCGAGTTAATAAGTTATAGACTTGTTGTAATTGCTAATTTTCAGTTTATAGTTTTTGAAAGTACATTAATTATTGCATTCTTGAATGTATATAAAGTTGTATTTTAATATTTGTGATGATTATTTTATTTATTTTTAATCTTGATTCTTTAATAAAAATGTAATAAAAAAAATCCAAGACAACAAATAAGGTGTATGATGATTTAAGAAAGACCACTGTTTATTTTTCTAAATAATCCAGAGTCTATAAAATCAATCTAAGAATCCTAAACTATAAATTCACCCAAAATAAACTGTAGAGTTACATGCCTTTTAAAAAAAACTAGACAACTCACAAGTCACAACCAAAAAAAGTTACCTTTTTGGTAAACATAGGCATTAATTGCTATGAAGATCTACATTTCAATGCTTTTCAGTTTTCTTTTTTTTTGTACCTTTTCAGCTATTATGAATAATTTTGTTAAAAACATATAAGTATTTTGGGTGAATTTGTGAGTTGTTTGGTTTTTTATTCATAAATACTAAGAGGTACAACCAGAAAGAAAAAAAAAGAATACTGAAAAGTATTGAAATGCAGATCTTCCTAGCTATTATAAATAATTTTGTTAAAAAAACATATAAGTTTATTTTGGGTGAATTTGTGAGTTGTCTGGTTTTTTATTCATAAATACTGAGAAGTACAACCAGAAAAAGAAAAAAAAAATACTGAAAAAGTATTGAAATGCAGATCTTCCTAGCAATTAATGTCTGTGTTTTACCAAAAAACGGTAATTACTTATTTTGCAACAAAATTTAATAAGTAAGAAATATATAGGTTGCTTATATTATTTAACACGGATCCCTTTTTTTCCTATTTTGCTTCGGAAAAACTCTGTAGATGTCTTGCAGTCCAAGTTTGAACGATAGACCAAAAGGCGATTCGACGTCGTTTCTGCCATAACAATGGCCATCATAAGCACGAGGGGTATAGCTTCGTAAATACACAATAGAATCGGGGTAATTTTAATAATATGGATAACCGAATGTGTAATATATATATACCGCTACACACAGAGGCTTTGGTTCTTCGAGACTGAGAAATAGAAGGAGCGTCGCAGAGCAGTTTCCGATTTCCATCTCTCTCTCTCTCTCTCTTCCTCCGATTAAGGGATTAGGGTTTTTATTTCTGATAGTACATTACTCTCTCTCTGTGCGAGTGCGTCGGTGTGCTTTTTTTCTTTTTTTTTGGATTGAAGATAGTCATGGTTGCTGATTCCATCACCGGCTCTGAGCTATTTCATGGGTCTCCGATTTCTAGAGATTCGGCCAAGAAACGGAAGGTGAGTTCTCGAAATTTACTCCGACTCGATTCGGATCTGTTCGATTCTTTGTATTGAGTAACATACGCGTGATTTCAAAGAAAAAAGTATATAATCAACACGCGTGGTTATGGCGTTTGTGTGCGTCTCTAATCTCAGATAATAATTAGATCCGCGAGTATCCCAAATTCCCAGTTTCTGTTTGTGAATTCTCAGTAGAGTATAATTGATTCAGGGATCGTGTTTTCGTCGTGATTGTGGATAAACGTTTTAGGGAGATTTCGTCGTTGTCCGTGCGTTTAACCATGTCTTGCGAAGTTATATCCATCCTTTTGTTTCGTTCTTCATATACATATATACATTTGAATCTTGGTTGCAGGAGAATTGGTTTTGGAAGCTGAGACAGTGGAAGATTGATGCTCATCGCAGGCAATGTATTTATCACTGTATGTGACGACGCTTTAGAATCTTAATCTCAGTATCATTTTCTCTCGATTTTCTTGTGAATCTTGATGAATTTGTTTGTAAAACGGCAGGGAAGAGAGCAAACGTAGGTGGAGAGGAAAACAGCTCTACACTGAGATCTCTGCGTGACAAACTGGCTGATAGAAGAACAGCCAGCGACAGGTTTTCTCACCTTCAGGCTTCGAGGATTGATCATGAACGAGGGAGCTTCGAGTTCACCAGATGCGATGATGATGATGATGATAACGACGAAGATGTGGAAAGAGAATCGTCTGCTAGTAGCCCCACGAGTGTCCTCAAGAACAAAGATTCCGGTAGTAACAAGAGCCAGGACGACTGCTTCTGTTGTTCTAAGCAGATCACAGAGGAAGAGGAAGAAGCTTTCAATGATGCATATGAAAACTGGGAACACTTTAGCGATGCGTTAAACTTCTTTGAGAACGACGTGCCTTCACATGAGACAACAGCTCTACAGCAGCAAGAAGAAGATCCGAATCCAAGTACAAGCCAGAGGAGGAACAGTTACTCTTCTCCTGCAAATTCTTTTCATAAAAACCAGGGCAAGCAAGAAGCTTCACCAAGAAAACCGATTCAGAACAACAGGAGAAAGAAGAACAAGTCTGATCAGCAGAGAGAATGTGATGATGATGAGATTAGTGAATGTCCTATTTGCTCCGAAGAGATGGATGCAACGGATCTAAGTTTCTTGCCATGTCCTTGTGGGTTTCGGCTGTGTCTCTTCTGCCATAATAAGATCAACGAAAACGATGGACGTTGCCCAGCTTGCAGGGAAAAGTATGAGAAGACAAGTAGTAATAGTGGGGAAGTAAGTTTCCAGCAACGTGGTCGTGCCCCGGTTCGTTTGTCTCCATCGTTTAAGGGACTTGACAGAGCCTAAAGAGAGAAAGAAGCTTTTTTTGTTTGGTTGCCTCAATTCTACCAGGAACATAACATTTTTGTTGGTTTTTTGTTTAGATTGTCATCTCGGCAATAAAAATATCATTCATGCTTACTTTGTGAATCAGATATACATAAAAAAAAACAAAGCCAAAGTTACTCTTTGATTTAATAATGCATCAATCAATCACTATTCTTGAAGAAAAAGCTGTATTTCATGATGCCACAAACATCTCTCACAGAAGGAAGAAGAAGTAACCATGTCCATGTCCTCATCAAAACCATTCTTTGCTAAGAATATCTCTGTTTGACCATTGCAATTGCAATTCTCGCGGACGTAGACTCTTTTGAGCTGACTCATCAACGGTTTGCCCCGCCACAAGATGTGACGTCGAATATTTTGTCGAAGTTCTGCAATCTCCTGAATCGTGCTTGACATCGAAGGCTTTATTAAAGAGGACAAAATCTTGAAACCCTTTTGTTTAGGTCTGCCTTTAAGACAGATTAAGATCATTCCGTAAACGTATTGTGCTTCTTGATTTCCTTGCTTCGCAGCTTTGGCTAAATATCTGAGTCCTCTTTTTACGCAGTGACTTTGTTCATCCCGATCTAGATGAAAGCAATCGATGAGACCTTGACGGTATAAAGCCTCCGGGTTTACATTGCGTAGACATGTCCGGAAAAATTTTGAAAAATTTTCACGGTTACGTTTGTGCTGATGCCATGGGAAAAGAGGAAATTTATGGAGAGGGAGCTGGCGAAGAACGTATGCATCGTTGCAAAGGCGTTGAAACGGTTTTGAAACTAGTTGGAGACTGCGAAACTCAGATAAAGAAGAAGCGGAAACACATGCAAAGATCTCTACAACAAGAAGGTCGTTTGGTAGAGAGTTTATAGAAATTGTTCTTGTTTTCTGAGATTTCTTGGAAGACAATGAAGATACCATGTTTTGAGGTGGAAAGTAATTTGCGTCTCTCGAAATTATTGTTGTGTGAGGTTTTTTTTTTTTTTTTTTATATAGAAGAATGTTTTAGATTTCCTTTTCCTTATTTCAAAGGAAATAGAAATACAAAGATTAAGACAAATCTTGTTTGAAAAAGGAAAATTCGAAAAATGGAAAACTACATAATGAGCTTTTGAATCCTTTCTATGGAGAGAACACGTCCTAAACCCTCCTAGATTCTCTCTAAAATCACAATCGTCGTCATCATCGATTTCGCTTAGAAACCCTAAATTCCGTCATCATGAGGTCAATACGGAAGCTTTGGATCCGAATCATTGACCTGGTTTTTCTTGTTTTACCTTTGAGCTATTTGTTATACATTCTGACATTCAGTATTTCTTCTCGGAAATTTTCTGAAAATGGAACCCAAAGACAAGAAGCAGAGGAAAGGGATTATTATGATGATGAATGTCTTGTTACTCACGTACATTGATCACGAAGAGAAAGTGAATGGCTTTTGCAACTTCTTTCTGCAAAATGGATGGTATTATCAGCAATTTCCAACTAACGTTTCATTTTTTATTTTTTTTTTGGTTTTCTGATTGATAATTCTTTCCGTAAGCTTTTAGACATTTATATGCAACCATATTCAGGGGAAACTTATATACAAAGAAACCGTCCCATGATTATTTAAGTACCTACAATGGATTCTTCAGAAAAATGGAAGACTTGAGCTTCAAGAAAGTTGACGAGCCTTATAAGATGTTGCCATAGAAACCATTGGCTAAGAGGGGTGGTTGCTCAAGCAGATGATGAGAGTGAACAGAAAAATCAAATTAAAAAAAAAAACAGAGCAGAGAGTATGAATTGGTTCAGGAATGCATCTACTGAAGCTGCATTCTTATTATAGGATTCAGTCTGATCACATTCTTAGATATTTCAGAACAGTTTTTGTAACTAATGGTAAACATTTGATTTCTTTGTCAAACTCTTGAAGACGTGATCATGGTGATCATATCCAGTTGTTATCATTCATTCACCTCAGCTTTAACACACACCCCTTCGTATCAGTTTCACTCCGAATGAAACTTCTGTGACTCTATAGCCGCTCGTAAACAAGTTTCTCAGACTGCATCATGAAACCAAGAGCACAGAAAAGCAATCATGAATTGAACTGAAGACAAATCTTTAAATAAAAACCAAGTTTAAGTACCTTGATGAGCATATCTGTTGGAAGCCAAGCTGGTGCGGTCGGAATACCAACCCATCCAACCTAAAGTCTCCAAGATTCACGAACGGTTAAATTATCTATATATCTCTCTCTCTCAATGGCTCATGAAACAGAATAAACAAAATTTTGTCTGGAGACTTACAAGTGCATACTCTCCTGTCTCAAAGACACGAATGTCCAAGACCTGCAACGATTTAGCAAGATTTGAGATACTTTTTCGACTATGAGTGATTTATGATTCAGGTAATACCTCGCCGCGATCTTCGTAGATGTAATCGAGTCCTTTGTAGAAAGGAGGATGTCCCACTGATAAGTACTGTGGTCCCAACAACGGAAGAAAAAAAGTTTCAGAAACAGATTTTGAAAAGGAGAATCTTTAAAACCGAGAAAGATTTCGATTCTACATTGATGCTGTTGAGGTACTTCTCCTTCTCCACACGAACGATTTGACCCTTCTTCACTGTTAATTTTTCCATCCACAGAAAAATAATCAAATTTTTATTACTTGATTAAAAAAAAAAAAGATGAAACAGAAGTGAGGAAACAGACTCGAGTAAACCGGTTTCTTGGGAAGAGTTTTGGGAGGTTTGGTTGAGGCTGATGCTGCTTCCCCTTCGGGTTTAGCCTGTGTGCTCTGTTTCTCTTTCTCTGCTTCTGCTTTGACTGTGAATTGAGACAGAGCTCGAAGAGGGAAACTTCCAGAAGAAAGTGGCAGTGAAGAGGAGATTGTCGAAAGAGAAGAAAGCTGAGACAGAGTCGCTGAGAAAGCCATTGAAGAGACCACCAAGAAAACTTTCTCTGTGTTCTTGGGAGTTTGGGATAAGACCCCAATGGCCTCTTAATTCTCAACGGTCTAAAAAAGGCATCACTTTACCAATCATTAGCTGCCACGTAACTGCCGCGAACAAGTTGGGTTTTTTTATATATAAAGTATATCTATTTTCAGAAATTATATAATTGGATATTGTTTTTCTAAGATCATGTACATGTGAGATCGTGTATGGCATGGAAGATCATGTACAAATCGTTTCACGTTTACTTTATAATTAGATGTGAGAAGAATTTTAATTTTCGAAATGGTTGAATCATCATATATACGTTGATCTTCTTTTGTTAACAAAAAAAAAAAACCGAATCATATGATAACTGATAAGCATCAAGTTCTAAAACTTGCATATATCTAAACAAAAAACGATCTAACAGCTTTCTTGGCTCAATGTATATTACAGAAAAAAAAAAAAAAAAAAAAGAGAAAATGCTAAAACTCAATCATGAACGCTAGATTTCATCCGCTTGGAAGATGGGGTGTCGTCATCATCATGATACGATGATGAGGAGGAGGAGGAAGATGATGGAGATGATGAATCAATGTCGTCTTGAATGATTGTGTTAGGACTAGGGTTTTTGATTCTTCCTTCTTCAGCTTCACCACTTCTCATTATAAGTTCTTTCAACCGCTTCACATCTGCTAATTTCACCGGTTTTAGCAGGAAATCCTCTGCTCCTTCTGTCATACATCTGCAAACAAAAACAGAATAAACAAAAAAAAATCCCCAAAATCAGATTGCATGGTTGAGATTCATTGATTCAGTTTGTATAACAGTCACTTACTGTTCTATACGAGGCTGTATATTCTCAGAAGACATTATCACTACTGGTATCTCTCTAAATGCAGATGACTCCTGGCAAGAAAATATAAAAACAGAGTTCGTGTAAGTAAAGCCTTATTTAAAATTTGCTTTCATAAAATGAAAAGAAAGAGAGTTACTTTGATCTTCTTGAGTAGCTCATATCCTGTTAGCCCCGGCATAGAGTAATCTGTCACTATCAAATTCACCTTCAAATCCTGTTTATTATCAAAAGAATGCAGAATTGTTTATACAAACAGCATTAAAAGCACATCCTTATAAAACACAAAAGAGCTTAATTTTCAAGAAACTGACTACAAAAAGGTAAAAAATCTGTGATCCTAATTGTTCAAATCTTAGATATCTTGGGAGCCAAACCAGCAGAGAAAATCACTAAGTTTCAGGCTTTATCATTTTTTTGTTATCACAAAACAGAGACTTTTAAGAAAAAGAAAAGAACATTACCTTAAGATCACAAGATCCTTTGTCTCCATCTAGACCAAGATACTGAAGAGCCCTAGTGCCACTCTCAACAGTCGTAACTGTAAAAACAAAAACCAGAAAGATCATCGGAAAGGGAATCAGAGAAGCAAAAGAAAAAAACGGTATGGCCTATTATTACCTTTACAAGCAGAGATCCTAAGCAATCTCTCGATAACCTTACGATCAACGAAACTATCATCGACGGCGAGAACGTGTAACTCCGGGGAAGAAGAAGAAGAAGAAGATAAATCTCCGACTGCCATTGTTTTCTCTTGGGAAAGTAAAAGTGGAAATTAAAAGAGGAAACGTTATAAGTAGATTTTTCAACGTCAAAGGACACAAAAATCAATGAAAGGGAAGACGAGGAGTTACATAAATAGGAGAGAGAGAGAGAGAGGCGGTGATGGATTTGGTAACAGAGAGAATCTGGAGGATCGGATCTTGTTGTAGTTAAGATCTTGGGAGGGGAAGAGAATCTAATATCGATGAGTGATGTGTTCATGTGTTGTCAGATAACGTAATATTGTGTCTTCACGGTCAAAATCTTTTGAGGGTCCCAACTTTTTTGATTTTACAATCCTTTGTCTGCTCTTTCCTCTCTATCTGACAACGACTACTCTACTCAACTACTTTCATATTTTCTTCTTCTTAATTTTTTGTAATCATAATTACTACAATTTACAAATTATGTTCATTACCAATTTCCCTCACTTGCCTTTTAATCTTAAGATACATATTTAAATCGGCTTATAATATGCAATAGAAAAGCAACTTATATTGTTGACAAAGAAAAACAATTTATATTGATGAAAAGAGTTTCTGTTGAGGATAAACTATAAATAGAACTTAAAAATCTATTTCCAGCATATTATAAAGGTCATATACTAGAGATTAGTTTAAATTTGACAATGGCATAATCTAATAATTTGATTAGTTATGAATGATTAAAAGTTAATTCGATCCAAAATTCATGTAGTAATTGGGTGTATCTGTATCTCAGTCGCGACTTAGAGTGAGATCAGTAATGTTTAAAAACTTTATAGCTATTTCAGTAATTTGTGAAATCACAAGAAGTCACTTAAAAAAAAAGAAACCGTACCAAACCAAAACAAAATAAAAAAAATTGAACCAATCGATGAATCGTCTGTTTAGCAAATCGCTCTGTACTTCGGCCGCCGGCGCCAATCTGACACCACCACCGGCAGATTCCGCCGCCATTGCTAAGCTTATCCTCTCTTCTCCCACCTCAACCCACCAAATCCTAGACGAGCAATTCCTACTCTCCTCCAAAACCCCTTGGACCCCACAGCTCGTGAACTCTGTTCTTAAACGCCTCTGGAACCACGGCCCTAAAGCCCTCCAATTCTTCCACCTCCTCGACCGTCACCACCGCGAATACGTCCACGTCGCTTCCTCCTTCGACCTCGCAATCGACCTCGCCGCCCGCCTTCACCTTAACACCACCGTCTGGTCCCTCATCCGCCGCATGCGCTCCCTCCGCCTCGGCCCTTCTCCGAAAACCTTCGCAATCGTCGCCGAGAGATATACCTCCGCTGGGAAACCCGATAAAGCGGTAAATCTCTTTCTCAACATGCACGAACATGGTTGTTTCCAGGATTTGGCTTCTTTCAATACGATTCTCGATGTGCTGTGTAAATCTAAACGCGTAGAGAAAGCTTATGAGCTGTTTAGGGTTCTTAGGGGAAGGTTTAGTGCGGATACAGTAACCTACAACGTGATCGTCAATGGCTGGTGTTTGATTAAACGGACGCCAAAGGCTTTGGAGGTTTTGAAAGAGATGGTGGAGAGAGGGATAAACCCTAACCTGACCACTTACAACACAATGCTCAAAGGGTTTTTCCGAGCAGGGCAGGTTAGGCAGGCTTGGGAGTTCTTCTTGGAGATGAAGAAACGCAAATGTGGAATCGATGTTGTGACCTATACAACGATGGTTCATGGATTTGGTGTTGCCGGTGAGATAAACCGGGCGAGGAATGTTTTCGACGAGATGATTAGAGAAGGAGTGCTTCCTTCCGTTGCAACACACAATGCTCTGATCCAAGTTTTGTGCAAGAAAGACAGCGTGGAGAATGCGGTTGTGATGTTTGAGGAAATGGTGAGGAAAGGTTACGAACCGAACGTGACGACTTACAACGTGCTGATAAGAGGGTTGTTTCACGCCGGAGAGTTCAGCCGCGGAGAGGAGTTGATGCAGAGAATGGTCAAGGAAGGCTGCGAACCGAACTTCCAGACGTACAACATGATGATACGGTATTACTCAGAGTGCAGCGAGGTTGAGAAAGCGTTGGGTTTGTTCGAGAAGATGGGGAGTGGGGATTGCTTGCCGAACCTGGACACTTATAACATACTGATTAGTGGAATGTTTGTGAGAAAAAAATCAGAGGATATGGTGGTGGCTGGTAAACTATTGCTTGAGATGGTCGAGAGAGGGTTTATACCCCGGAAATTCACTTTTAATCGAGTTCTGAATGGGCTTCTTCTGACTGGGAACCAAGCTTTCGCAAAGGAAATCTTGAGATCACAGAGTAAATCTGGTAGCCGGCTTACCAGAAAGTTCAGGTTATGACTCTCTTAACTGCATTTGAATAGTGCGAAACTACACAAAGTGCTTTATTATTATCATGGGACAAAAAAATTCAGTGCGTTTTACAGTAGCTGTGACTGAGTATGTATGATGGAGTCTAATACAAAGTTGGAGGTTTTTTTGATGATTCATGTGAATGAGTTCCCAAATGTAGTTGCTTTTTGTGATTCTCCAGTAAACATTGAATCAGAGGGAGATGATGGTATGCCTTCCTTTCTTCAGTTACAAGATGATTTCGTCTTGAACACTGATGTTGAGTGTCTTGTTTGGAAGAACAATACTGCTGGTCACCACAACCTCGTCTTCAACTGCAACCGAGTCTCCTGTAACCATTGTTGTTTCAAGTTAGATTTTGCTGTTTGTCTGTAAAGAAGAAGAACGACACTGAAGGAAAGTGTTGATCAAACAGAAATATACCGAGAATTGTAACTCCGAGTTTGGAGTTGTAGACTCCCTCAGCCTGTGATCGACAAGGTACACATCAGGTTCATGATTATAAAGGACACCAAACAGAATGAGTCAAGACTCTCTTAAGACGTTAACAGACTAGCAGAAGAGAGAAACATGCCTGGACACGGGACCATCTCCCAATAGACGATTTCCAGCCAACGATTGCATTTGTCACCACTGCATTTTCCTGGGAAAACAGTCACTGAAGAGTCAATCTCGAGAGAACTTTGCCCGTTTTGTCTTTTTAGTCTCTTATATAAGAAGGCATACCATGATCTCAACGTCGTCAAGGATGATACAGCTGATAAGCCTGACACCCGGTCCAACACGAGCATTTGCAGAGATTGAGACGTTGGGACCAATCTGTTTAACAGACGAAACAGAATGCTTTGTGAGAAAATGTGGAATAACAAGGATGTCTCACACAACAAGGGACAAAAGCAGAGGCAATTTACCTTTGCAGTTGGGTGTACTTTTGCAGAAGGATGAATGTAAACATCACCAATCACTATGGCACTCTTTGTTCCATCACCACTAGCCAACACTTGAGGACAGGTCAACCGGAATTGGGAAAGATAGAGTCCCGAGCACCTCAGCGACATACTGCCGAAAAGTCAACCCATAAGTAAAGAGCCATCAAACACTTGTTTCTCTGTTTCAGCTGCCACTAAACATTTAATCTCCTTGCAAGAAATGAATAGAGGACACACAAGGCAAGACATACCCAGGAGATTTAATTTGCTCCCAGAAATCCATAGTCTCATAAGTATATAGCTGTTTCTTCCCAGCTAGAGGTGAAAGGATGTCTTGATCCAGTCTTACAAAATCTGCCGGAATCCTATTATAAGGAAGTTAAAGAAACATATTACTCTTTAGCAGATGATTCAAACGGTTTCTCAGTTGTGGACAAAGAGAATCGACAAACCTTGTTGCCGGTTGAAGAGCTTCGAAGCTGGAAACACGTCTCAGAGTTGCTACGACAAACAAAAGGGACAAAACACACAGATGAGATGGAGTTTGAAGATGTAAGCTAAGAGTGAAGAAAACACAAACTATGTTGTAAGATCTCTGTTATTACTGCTTTTACCTGTATCTTTTCTTTGAGAGGAAACATCTCTTATGGCAGTAAAAATGTCAGGTGTGAATACATAAACACCACAGTTAATTCGGTCACTGACCTGTGTTTACAAGATTAAAGCATTAGAATGAAACCCTTGAATATGATAAAAGATTTGAGTGATCTAACAGTGATATGTACATACAAAGGTTTCGGGTTTCTCAGTGTAATGAAGCAGCTCATTAGTAACTGGATCTGCAACCAATTCTCCAAATTGACTTGCTGATTCAGGAGAGACCTATAAAAAAACAAAACGAAGAAAGCAAATTTGATAAATCCGCCAGAAAATAAAAAAACCCGACTAGATCAAATGCCAACACAAACCTTGATCACAAGAAGAGTTCCAATTCCACCATACGCCCTGTGAGCCTCTGTGGATTAAACAGTAGCAAGAGTAAGAAGGACCATTAAAACCAAAAGATGAGTCCACACACAAGACTGAGACTAAAAAAAGGAATATACCGAGCATTTCCGGCAATGGGAAACTGCAGCAAACGTCACAGTTAAGCAGGAAGATATGAGACTGCAAGGAAGTAGGCACAAGAAATTCAGATGTGAGAAGACACACTTGGTTCTTAAAACAGCTAAGCAGAAGAATGACTCAATACAGTAAAGATCCTTGGAGACGAACCGGGCTATCTTCCATGATTAGATTTCTAAAGTGATACAGCCCACCAGCTGAACCATGTGGCTTGTCTTCTCGCAGATATCTAATACGAAGGAATCCGGAAACAAAACAAAGATCAGAGCTACATAAATGAGCAACTCATACGCAAAGAGAGAGGAGAGACTTATCAAACCTGACAGGAACTTTGAGTTCATTAGAGATGGAAGAGACATAAAGTGCAAATTCCCTTTCCTCATAGAAGCCAACAAGATATACTTGAGCTAAATTTGGAATCTGCACACAAATAAAGGATTTAGTATCATATCATCAATTCATCATCATCCATTGAAAATCATCGGGGTGAAGAAATTTACCCTTTTACAAGCTGAAATCGGATGATGCACCATTGGTTGTCCCGCAATAGGAAACAGAGGCTTTGGAATATTCAGGGACAATGGTCGAAATCGAGTACCTGTGGATCCAAGATTCGAACAGAATCAGAACCATAATCGTTCGGACCAGATATTGTCTCTGGATACCCGAAACTAGTAAATGCAGAGAAACGCATTGGAAACCAAATCTAACGACTTAAAGAAGGAGGAAAAGCGAACATTTTACCTTTGGTCGGACCACCGACCATGATCACAGCGACCACTTTCTCCTCCATTGAGCTCCCCATTTTTCAAAATCCTAAAACCGCAGATCTCTAAACAGACCAGAGAACCTCGAATTCTCACAAGCGAATTCAAACACTTGTTGGGTCACACACTATACAAATCAGGAAATGGGCACCGCAGTATCAAAATTCGGAACAAAGGAAGAAAGATACAGTTTTTTTCAAGAGTTTTTAAAGTGAAGATCTCGTCGGAGAGGTTCAAATAAGAAAAAAGGATGGAGAAGATCTAATCGAAAGTGTCAGTAGTAAGTTGGGGTTATCGAGATCTAACGAGCTGTATTGTTCTGGTGATGGGTCCAAGTCACACTCACCATTCAACCTCACCTTTAAAGGATAAGCGCGAGAAAATCCCCACACACACTTCTTTTCTTTATTTTTATTTTTTTTTAATCTTCCCCTTTGAAAATTGCTCATTTTTAATGAAAAAAATAATTCCACTAGCCTCAGATCTCATAAATGGCATGTGAGTTTTAAACTTTGATGTCACTTGAAGGTGACATAAAATGGTGCATGTTCTTGATTCTGCTGCACCAGTGAGCCCTAAAATGGTGGCTCAATGCTTTGACCTTTTCGAACATCTAATCACGACAGCAACTTTATTCATTGTCTTTTACTAAACTCAAAAAAAGGTTTTACAACAGAGAGTTTCAGGACCAAATTTGACTGACTAATAAAAAGCACAGAGGTGGAACAGACGGAATTTGGTTTTCCATTTTCAGAAGAGTGTAAATACATTAATTACTCAGCCGGGGATTTGTACCATCCCCATGGGTCGTTTGAAGTGTAGGCAGTCACTTGCTTCACACTCAAGTAGTTGTCAAGTCCCCTGAACACACACAAGAAACCAAACACTTGTTCAGTACAAGCCATCATCGAAGATTTAAGTCTTTAATCTAACAAGATCTGTGACAGAAAGAAAAGAAGAGATGTACCATTGTCCTAATTCACGTCCGAACCCACTGCGTTTGACTCCGCCCCATGGTGCTTGCGTAAAGCAAGGCTGTGAGCAGTTAATCCATACGATTCCAGCTTCAAAGGCCTGACAAAGTAAAACCGATTCTCTTTGTTATCAGATGGTATTGCAAAAAGAATCTATATGGTTTAAGAAACGCGCACTAACCTGGCTCACACGGTCACATCTTTCCGCATCATTAGATATCACTGCGGCTCCTAATCCGTAACTGCCATATATATCAATGATTTTTCAGTCACATATAAGATCTTAACTAGAAAAGAAAATCAAAACACCAGATGGCCTTCGATTGTTATCTTACTGAGAGTCATTTGCTAGCTCAATTGCCTCATCCTCACTGGCAAATGTTTTCACGCAAAGAACAGGCCCGAAAACTTCTTCTCTCCAAATTTGCATTGAAGTGGTGACATCAGTTATGATGGTTGGTTCAATGAAGAAGCCCTTTTCCAGATGCTGTGATTTAAAGGTTTTCAGCATCATATCCTTGAAGAGACTGCATCAAGGATTAGCTAAGCGAGGGAGATATAGTACCTCAGGTCGAGAACCACCATGCAAGATCGTGGCACCTTCACTCTTAGCCGTTGAAACAAAGTTCAATATTTTCTCGTACTGTGTAATGTTTACTTTGTCAGCTCATAGATTATATATGATCACACAAGTGGAAGAACATCTATTAAGTAAAAACATGACAAGCCTCATGATAACATTATATGCAAGATATGATTTCACTGATGCTCTAGAAGTCGTACAATTCAGATATTACAGGATGGAAAATTTTATCACTGTACTAACTCAATCTCCGTAAAAATCCAACTTATTTATAAGACTCATTATCTTTTCCTTTGTTTTTCTGTTTCTAGTAGTGCATTTAGGTTTATCAACTTTTTAAAAATAGAGGACAGAACAAACAAAGACTGGGTTTTACCTGTCCTTTGCTGACAACAGGGCCAAGCCTGCATCCCTCTTCCATGGGGTCTGAAATTTTAATGTTCTTGCTCCATTTTACAAGCTTCTGTATGAATTCAGATGCGATGCTTTCCTAAGACAAATTTAACACCAATTAGACAAGGGTCTGCAGCTGCATCCAGCAGTGACTTATACCAGTTGGCAATAACCACCCAAAAGGTTTGATCTGAGATAAATGTGATTGTCATGGACCTCCTCCATGGAAACATCTTTACGTATAACTTGGAATATGAACTTCTCGAATTACCTCGTATTGAGAAGTTCAGGTTCACCGTAAAATATGAAACACTTGGTTGGCACTTACATGAACAAGAAGGCGGGAAGTTGCACTGCAGATCTGACCATTTGTCCAGAAGCAACCGAAGATAGCCCACTCAGCAGCTATTCAGATCATTTGCAGGCGTCAAAACGTACATAGGTTTCATTTTAAAGCTTAACCGGATTCTACTCATCATAAAAGCAATCAATACCAAATCCGTTAAACTACTTATTGTGACACTCACCTTTATCAAGATCAACGTCATCAAACACAATGAGAGGGCTCTTCCCACCAAGTTCCATAGAAATAGGCTGCAACAAGGCCATGAGTAATGTGTCATTAACATTGTTTGATGAAACACAAACGAGGAGCAAAATAATTAAATATAGCAGATTTTCAGAAATTTGAAGTACCTTCACCAACTGAGCAGCAGCTGTCATGACCTTGCTTCCCGTGGCAAAACTTCCAGTAAACGCAATCTGCCAAGTACCATGACTTTTGCATTTTAGTTTCTAAAAGTAGCCTTTTTTAGTTATTTGTATAATGTATAATGTATGTCTCAAAAGACCAATTCACCTTGTCCACACTGGGATGCGATGCCAAAGGAGCACCAGCTTCAGAACCTAATCCAGTCAGAACGTTGAGGACACCAGGAGGAAGACCAACTTCTCGACAGATATCAGCAAGCTCCAAACAAGTGCTGAAGTTATAAACCATGGCACAAAATGAGAGAGCTCAAAGAAGGACCAACGAGAGCATAACAAGGAAAAAGATTATACACAGTTACTCACACTGACGCCAGCTCCGATGGCTTGAGAACCGCAGTGCACCCTGCAGCAAGTGAAGGAGCCACCTTCCAAACAGCCATCAAAAGCGGGTAATTCCTTCAAGCATCAAACCAGGTTCTCAAGAGTCAGTATCTGCTCGGATAAGCTTTACAAACAAACAAACAAAAAGGAAATTAACGAGAGTTACCATGGTGTAATCAGTCCCACAACACCAATAGGTTGCTTCAGAACATAACTCTTAAAACCCTCCATGGGAAGCGAGACTGGTGCTTTCTGCTTAGCATCTAGTCCTTCAGCAAGGTCAGCATAATATTCAAAACATCCAGCGACATCATCCTGCATCACAGTCACACACCCAAAAAAAAAGTACATTAAGATGGAGCCTGGGAAGAAAGATCCGACATTTACCAAAATCTAAGGAAAAGTACCATATCCCAGACTGCTTCATCCAATGGTTTACCACAATCAAGGGCCTCGAGCTTGGCCAGATGCGTCTTCCTCTCTGTTACCTAGATATATATCACACAACATTAAGCTGATTACACAAAGGCCTGAAGAGAACAGATACAACCCAAAATCACAGACATCACAAATGAATACCTTAGCAGCAATAGCACGTAGATACTTAGCACGAAGAGCTCCTGGTGCTTTGGCCCAATCTTTCCCTCTGTTCCTTGAGAATGCTCTTCGAGCAGCGTTGACTGCAACCTCCACATCCTCCGTTGTAGCCGCAGGGACATCACCTGTTTCATCCAACACGTGCAAACACCCTTTAGATCAATTTCAGCGGCAAAGAAGAAGTTGATTCAGCGTGATGAATAAAGTAAGAAGACGCCCCAAAAGAGAAATCTTCAAAATCGAGCTACAAATATTGATAGACCCAGAAGAAGACGACGGATCCAATCCGAGCAGTGAGAGAAGAGGAGAGAAAAGGACTTACCGATGACCTCTTCGGTAGCCGGATTAACGATCGGGATGCGCTTCTTCAAGATGGGCTCTCTCCACTCGCCGTCGATGAATAGCTGCCGAGTAGGCATCGGAATCGCCATCTTTATTATCTCTGGAGATGGGAGACTCGAAGTTGCTGCTCTCGCTCTCTCACTTGAATAATAATTTTGAGTAGGATTAAACTGAGACGCCTCTTCTCTTCTGCTGACACCTTTTAACTTGTCTTGTTGCATCACTCAAAGTTTCATTTTTTTTTTTATCAACACCACTCCGTTGAAAAGTTAGTTCATTGGAAATAACGTCAACTTCAGTTAACTTCTTAAAAAATTGGCTTAACGCCATCAAAATTCAGAATGACAAATATAATTAGTAGTGTTGTATGAAAGTTTATTACTTTCTATCATTTGGTCAGATTTGATGACTGAGTGTTACTAGAACTACTATTATCCTGATTGGCACTAGAACGAGATAGAATCAAGAAACCAAATTGATGGAGTAGAAGCAAACAAGATATAGGCTAGGGAGAGAGAGTGTTTAGGCAAAAGCTTGTTTCTTTCTTGGTTCAGGTGAGTTCATTTACATGCTCCATATTTCATTGATCTATATAAAGTGTTCTTGTTATCTTTGAGTCGAATAGGTTTGGAATTTGTGTATAGCGGATTTGATGTCGGTCTTTAATTTTAAATCCCTAAGTATGAAGTATGATGTGTGTGGTCACAAAACAGAGGATTTGTAACTCGTAATGATGTTTTAGAAAGAAAAAAAAAAAGGAACTCAAAGAAGTATATACAGAAGTTCATGAACAACAACATATGTATATACAGAAGTTCATGAACAACAATAGTCTGTATAGACGAATCAATAATCAAAGTATTCAGTAATCAAGTCCAACAACTTTATAGTGAGTGCCAAATCACAAGTTTATTGTCCCACATGTTTGCACTACACAGTAAAAATTCTCACTAACATCACTTTCCTTTTCTTTACTTAGAGCAGAGATTAAGGCAAAGGTCAATGAGTCCCTATTCCTACATCGAACCCATGGGCCATGGTCATGTTCCTCCTAGAGCTTCCCAAGGTCAACCGGTTGAATTACCATCAACAAGTTACTAATATCATTTGGTTTTTCCAATGAAGTCAGCATCAACTATTAATATGGCATCATGAAAGTTGGACTCTCTCGCTCAATCAGTTATAGACATTAAACAAACTCGGTTATATACATTTTTTTGTAGTGGTCAATTACATAACATGGGGTTGATATAAAAAACACCTGATAGACTATGATACTTGCAAGTAATCTTTCTAAAAATTAGAAAACGGAAGTCGCCACCCACGAGTGTTTCAGTCTTTTAAACAACGTGTCTAAACAAATTGAGATAAATATACATCACCACCACCAGATACTGCAAAAAAGACAAAGATACGAATTGAATCACGTGGAAAACAAGGAACACGACAAATCAAACAACAGTCTCACTGTTCCCGCGTGATCCACTTATAACCCGCCACGTGTCCCTTTTCCCACGCGCTAGTCAGCATTTCATCTCGTCCCTCACTTCCCCTCACTTCACTCCTCATATATATAAAAATCCACACAGCCGCAAATTCGAATCAAAGCAAATAACAGAAATAACTGCAAAGCCTAAACGAGGAAAGGAATTCTGAAACCGGAAAAAGAGTCAGATTCAAACCACATCGAACCGGGTCTGCGTGATTTTTCATCTTGTTGTACCAATGGTGAAGAAAGCGATGAAGGAGGAGGAAGAGGAGAAGAGAAATTCGTCGATGCAGTCAAAGTACAAAGGCGTGAGGAAGAGGAAATGGGGGAAATGGGTCTCGGAGATCAGACTTCCCAACAGCAGAGCACGCATCTGGTTAGGCTCTTACGACACTCCAGAAAAGGCGGCGCGTGCCTTCGACGCTGCTCAGTTTTGCCTCCGCGGCGGATACGCCGATTTCAATTTCCCCGATAATCCACCGTCGATCTCCGGCGGACGGTCGTTGACGCCTCCGGAGATTCGGGAAGCGGCTGCTCGATTCGCCAACGCTGAGGATAATGTTATTACCCGGGGAGAAGAATCGGGTTTATCCGGATCCGAAATCCGGCCGGAGTCTCCTTCAACCTCCGCGTCTGAAGTGGCTACATCGTCGGCGACGACACTGGATTGCGATCCATCGTTTTTCGATTTGCTTCCGACGGATTTCGGGATGTTTCCCGGGTTTGATGACTTCTCCGACTGCTTCTCTGGCTTCTCCGGTGATCAATTTACAGAGATTTTACCAGTTGAAGATTACGGAGACGAGAATTTTGATGGCTCTTTGTTTCTTTGGGATTTTTAGAAGAGCGAATTGTGGATTCTTCGGGTCATGGAGTAATCCGGATGTTTTTGTAAAACGGAGCTCCAACGACCCGGGAACTTGTTTCGTTTCGGATTCCGGAATTTTTATGTGGATATTCTTCATATCATGCATATTATTATTTTTTCATTTTTTGTTATTATACAGTATATCAATGTGACTTTCTAGATTTTATTACTCGGCCCAAAAATCTTATAACTGGACCTAAATATTTCACCATTTGTCCAGCCCAGTTTGAAAATGATTTTCGTGTTTGGTAGGTCCCTAAGCATAAACAAATAATGATTGATATAGACAAGGGGTTTTCTTTATTGAAATATATTTAAAAAAATATCTTCCCAGCGTTACGTTTGTTTGGATACTACATATTAATGAAACTACAAGTTCAACATCAATAATACTTAAGTCAAGATAATAGAATTATAATTAAGGAAGAGAAACGGTCCAAAAAACAAAATTAACCAGGAAATAATTATTGTGTTATATCGAACAAATCAAAGTTGGGGATAAGATTCTACAATCCTTTTTAAATTGCCACCTAATTTTCGGCTTAAATTTTTGTTTTTTGGAAAAACAATCGCTTTCGGAAAAGTAAAACCACTGCCTGATTCCGGACAAAAACCACTATCTAAATAATAATCTAGGTGCTAATAAATAGAAAATAATCCAATAGATGAATCGGTCTATGAATAATAATAAATTGCAGTAATATAAGGGTCATTTAATAACACATTTACATTATAAAAAATAAAACTATAGTATAATATAACAGGTACATCACAGAATAATTTTTCCCTTGCAGAAAGTCTTGGAATCCCAAGAATAAAAATAAATAATCAGAAATGGACAATTGAATCTTGATGAGAAAAGTGGGTCCAACTGTCCTACTCACCAATGAAATTAATAAAAGGAATCATTTCCGAAAATAAAATAAAATATCTGAGCCTGCTCATTTCAATAATGGTGTATAATATAATGTCGACTAAAGTAACCAAACAAGATAAATAAATACAAAAACAATAATAATAATGATGATGATAAATAAATGGTGGGCCGTTCTATATACTTCAATCATTAATCATAGCACACAAAATTCCAAACCTTGAAAGAAAATCAGTGGGCTCAAGTCTCTACATTTCTCCATCTTCTCTCTTGAGTCAGATTCTTTCCTATAAGCTTGCGTTCCTCGACTTCTGTTTTCATTTCTCTCAGTTCTCTTCTTGTTTTTTGATTCTTGATCATGATTCTAAGCAAGAGACCTCATCTAATGATCCGTAAACTGTCGGAGATGTTGGTTCCTAGAAGCCGATCTGCTATTAAACCGGAAGATTACTCGTCGAGTCCCAGAGGTCCGTTAGATTTAAAATTCCCGTCACCGGTTAACTCGAAGCGGTACGGTTCCGGTGGTATCGGTTTGGGTATCGTCGCTGCTTTGGAGGAAAGCAGCATCGGGATTAACCGGTACGATTCGGTTCGATACTCCGGGAGATTCCGATGCCCGGAGATTGATCTATCGGAGGAGGAATACACCTACGTGACGAGCCGTGATGGGCCGACCAAAGTGTATTACAGCGACGACGGGTTTGAGTTGTTTGAGAATAATGGGTCGAAACCGATGGTTATCCCCGATGAACCACCGGTTATTGAGGGACGGATGTTTAGGGATTCGACAGAGTTTCTGAGCTCGTGTTGCTTGTGTAAGAAGAGACTTCAAGGCAAAGACATTTACATGTACAAGTAAGTTTCGTCGTAATAATATAAACCAGCTTCAGATCAGAAATAAATAATATAATTAGCGAATATAAAGTCGAGACTGTGAATCCCGAGAAATTCGATTTTGTTGATGGGTTTTCTGGAAATTGATTTTGATTTTTCTTTGGTTCTGTTGTGTGCAGAGGAGAGATGGGATTTTGCAGTGCAGAGTGCAGATCAGTTCAAATAATGAAGGACGAGCGAAATGAACAATGTACATCGCAAGTTTCGAGAAACGTTGACGTTTCAAGCACTCCTTGCACCGGCGAACATAGTTTCTCCGCCGGGATATTCGTATTTTAGGATGGGCAAAATAATTTGAAGTGAAGTATAATTCAAAAAAAAGGAAGAAAAAAAAAAAAGTGAGCAAAGAAAAAAGATTGAAATTTTTGGTTAGGTTAAAAGCAAAATGTATAGAAGCTTGCTTTTGGTTAATTTTTGTTTTAATACGGTTTGATGTTTATATGCTGTTGTCTCGAAATAAAAGACATAAATAAAAATGCTAGGGCAAACTATACACCCAAACTTCTCAAACTACTGTGTGTAATCAAAATAATCAAGTGAAAATTTGTAAGATTGGGCAAGACACGTGTCTACAACTTTGTGACTACATGACATGAACATATATATACAATGAATCTTTTGGCTATACAAATTCATAGGGGTTTATTTTTATAAGAAAAAAGCTATCCGTCAAGATTAAAGAGATTCTTAAAACTGAAACTATAAAATGTAAAGTAATGAATGATATCTTTTTGGTGAGAATTTCGTATGTACTACGTAGATATTACTAGTCGCATACTCTCACATTCATCCAAAAACTTGAGTAATTCATATAATTCCAACTCAAAATATCTTTGAAAAGATAATACTGCGTACGTGGTGTGTCAGTTTGAGGTTAATGACGAAACTAAAATAGCGATTCAATTATACAAATCCCTAAGTTTTTATTAATCATCCTGATCTCTTAGTGCAATATATATGCATGTGGGGGCCTTGGATATGCAACTTGTTTCATCCGGGCCCGTGTCAAAGTTAATTATATATCTTTTTGCCCTACCCAAAAAATAAATGATTGATAAATGGGTCTTGTTCAGTCCCCACCATTTTAACCTCTTTGATAAGATCAAGTCTGGGGCCGGTTCTACCCCATCCAAAATTTTGTTTTGTTCGCCCAAACATTTGTTCAAGACCGAAACCAAAAAGCCATCATGAGTCGCGACCCAGAATCACATGGGCCTACCAAAGCCTGGTTTGATTTTAATCCACTACGGATTTGGATATTTTATAAAGTTAAAGCAGTACTTCTGAAAAACCAATGCTTTTAAAGTAACTTAATGGTTTAAGCTTCAGTTCAATAAGTGAAGAAGAACATTTTTGGATTAATAAAAACTAAGATGATAGTAAGTAAGGCCGTCAACACAAAAAACAGAACTGATGTTTCTGACAAAAGTTGCAAGAAAATGTTGAGATCGGCAGACGAAAGGGTTGTAGACAATGGCTTAAACCCCCACAAAGCAAACTATAAGATTACTTTCATACAAATATACCGAGTTTTTGGCGGAATTAAACAAACAAACAAACCCTACTAATCAATTTCTATATTCGAAAAAAAGGAGCAGAGGAGCTTTTGATATTCGAAAACGATGTAGCGTCAAAGAATCTTACGAGATGATCTCTCAAGTGCTTCAGGACCTATAGACACTCAAAGATTACCGCGAACCGAGCCAAGCTGTGTTAGGCTTGGAAGACGCTTCGGTTGAACCGTTTATCTGGTACGGTGCCTTTGATGTAATCCTGTTGGAAGTTCACGAGTGGTCGATATTGAGCAACTTGCTTAACAACATACTACATCACAGATGTTAACTCACACAAAATGCATATTATTACCTATCCTTTCTCTTCTCAAGGAACCGATGAAGCGAAGCTCTTCTAGCAATTGGGAGTTCTACAGAACAAAAAGAGAGAGAAGAAAGTTTAGACCAAATATGGATGAAGCCAAAAAGCACAGAGACTAAACCAAAGAGGCCTGAGATATATATTTACCGCAGGCTAAAGAGGACGTGTTGGCCTGGATTGACTCTTGTGCATGAGCAGGAACTGGATTTGGGGTAGAAGCAATCTCTTTTGGGTTCTTGGCTAAGTTCTGAGTATTGCTCACTTGAGCAGTGCTTCCTTTGTTAGCCAAGTCAATGACTTCTTTGGCCTTGTCAGCGGGAAAATCATCGAAAACCATAACTTGACCGCCGTAGAATATGGTCAACGGACCAGATTCAGACTCTGGCTTCACAGATCTGTTCGAGATTTAAGAAAACCCACAAGATTAGTCAAAAACTGATGAAATCTATTTTCAGATGAGATACTTATCAGTATTTACATATTATACGTACTTAGTCTCTTTGTTGATCTTCTCGACTTCTTCCTTAGTCCCAGAGGAAGAGGAGGAAGAAAGGCTTGATTGCCGATGAAACAAATTCTTCGGTTTCACGTCTTGAGCAGCTGAAGAATCGATGTTTCCTGAAGTCTCACAAGGGAACAGATTCATCATTGTGGGATGACGTGACACAGCGAAACCTCCTGCAAAAAAAATTATCCGAAGTTTTATGATTATTCTCCAATTCTTTGGAACAATCGCAACCAAATAAAGAAACATCTCCCAGAAACTCAAATATTCATAAACATCGATTCTTGTTTCATCTATATGAAAGCAGGTCAAATGATTAACCGCAAAAATCGATTCTATTATAAGATTCAGTTTCCTGTTAACATGCAATCGATTTTTTCAATTGCTTGATTCAATTCGTAATTTTTCAATTTCCGATATACTTTGATGGAATTCGAATATTGGAAAATCAAAATCCCAGAAACAGATCTAGAGAAAGAAGAAGGTTTCGTTACCATTGACGTCAGGCTTGCATGTCATCCCCAAGCTCAGATCTCCAAAGCTACCCTTCTCCTTCAGATAACGACTCAAGCGACTACACGTCTGCGAGAAGCTCGGCTTCTCCGGTAACTTCCGGCCAGAGAATTCCCAACACTCGGCAGAACTCGACATCGTTGAATCAACCGATAGCTTTTTTTCGATTCGCGAAAAACGGACCTCAACGAAAGACAAATTGAAATTCGAATTAGGAAGGAAACAAAGAGACAAAGTTGAAGCGACAGAATCTTTCTGCTCTGTTCGATTTTTTTCTCTTCTGCCTTGTTCTCGAATATAAATATATAACCAAGAGTCCAAAGACTATGAGAGAATATTTGAAAAAAAAAAATTAAGGGTTTTTGTTTCTTCGTCTCTCTGCAAAGTGAGTTTGTCACGAGGAAGATATGTCGACCTCTTTTATTACTTTCTTCGCTGGTTGCAGATACCAAAAATAATAAAAACAAATTTTAGTAATTAACTATAGAGCATTTAAAACACGTGTTATAATTAAAATGCCTTTATTGTAACGGCAGACAGTGTTTCAGTTCACCGTCACCCACGCCACGCCCAATCCTTTTTGTCTACATATGAAAAATTACCCATTTGACCCTTCTCACTTTTGCTCCAACATCCTGTTGTTGAGTGGTTTTACCATTTTGCCCCTATCTAAAAAATTATCAACATGCATTATTAAAAACCTAAACCTTCTTCCATCTTAAACAAAATCTAAGTTCTTAAATAACTATCGGGTGTGTCGAACCCACTATTATATAGGCAAGTGGCTTGACACCAACAAATAAATATTTTTACAGGTTAAAATAGATTATATTTTGTAAAAGCATCATTTTCTCGAGTATAATTATATGGTAGTGGATTAAAAAACAAACAAGGCTTGGTAGAGAAAAATAATTAACGGCGTTACTGGGAAGAAGACGGAGTGGATCCTACATAACAACAACTCCACCATGCATTTTGATCCATAGATCACGTTTTCTGCTTACCTTATTAAACTGTAATATTTGCACAGTTAAACTATTAAAAGAAGCGGTGAAGCGCACGTCTCCTCGATAAATGCTGACCTTACACGTGTCTGAATCAACTGCACAAATTTTTAAGATTATTTGTTTTTTCTCTAGTTCGCCCGCAGCGATCAGCTGCTACGCACGCAGGCGCGTCTCTTCTTCTGTACCGTTGATCCTATCTGTTATATAATCCTTTTGTTATTATCCCACGCGCCTGTTAGGTACCCCAAAAAAAAAATATCCAAAATTGTCGTAGAAAGTTGAAACCATAATCTTTTAGCAATACTAGATTGAGAAACATTCGACTAATGCATCCACCTACCAACCCAACTTGTTTTGTGACATAAAACAGATCCAAGAAAGAAAAAAAAATCAGAAGAAGAGAGATATATAAAGATGTGTACTGACTGGATCAGTGAGATGATGAACCGATGGGATTATTAACGGATCAATACAATTATACAAACCGACGAGGAACGAGAGATATTTCACTTCTCTGAAGAATCATTTAGGTAGAACCAAAAACGGATAAAGACACCAGAGTTTGGATATGAGGTATTCGACCAAAAAGAAAGAAACCCAAGTGGGGATCTTAGTGGTCGTGGAAAATGCAAGATGGGTCACAAGAAGAATAGAACATAAAAGTTTCAGATATTAGAAACAACAACAGTGATACCATTTTTGTTTTCTGTAGAAACTTAATCTGTTTTTGGTTCTCTTCTATAGTACATGTGTTTGAGCTGAATCTCATGAAACCCTTTTTATATCTTTTTTGTGTATGTGATTTGGTTTTCACGTTTGATTCCTCCTTTCGTGCCTGCTTTCTTTCACATGGCTTAAAAGAAGAAAATCTTACATATAAGTGGCCAAAATTTTGGAAATTGGAAAGACTTTTTATTTTACCATTTGAAAAGATTATTAGTTTCTCAAGATATGATATAGTAAGAGGCATTAGTACTAAAGTACTAACAACTGTCAAGAGTTGCTAAATTTTAACTGAGAACTGATTTGGGATTTTTCAGATTGTATGATTTAACAATGGAAATAAAATACTACAAAAGGCTACAAAGATTCCAAGCATAAGGTATCACACGGAACAGATGTTTCATGGCAAATCCAAACTCTGCTACGTTTGCTCCTGTCCAAGTTCTCTGGCACATCATCAGATCTTGATCCTAAAAAAAACTTAGCTTAGCTCTTGGCACTTTAACAAACTGTGTTGGTTCCCGCGACGACGGTAACATGGGAAGTTCTTGTACACACTGCACATCACAAAATACATGCTTTAAAACTCAGCTTCATCACACTACAAATATATGATAGAACTTAAAGCCATCCCAAATCATCAATTGCATTTGTGGACCGCAAATACGAAATCAAACCAACTTCATATACGGTTTGGTCTTGTCAATGATCCATCTCGAGCAGAGTAATTCATTTGTTAAGGTCAAAGAGCAAATTGTCCTTAGAATCCTTTAAAAAACTGATGAAGCATCAATAAAAATGTACCTTACAGCAAGTTATACAACCAGGTCTGGAGTACAAGCAACGACTTGCTTTCACTTGTAAGGAGCAAAAATGATGCTGGAGTTATGACCACCAAACCCGAAAGAATTTGACAAGGCTGCTTTAACGTCCAGTCTCTCCTTCTTAGGACCCACCAGCAAATTTGTATCCTGCTCCAGTTTCATATCAGCTTAGTATTAGTAAGACAATTTTTTTTTTATGGATACTAAATGATCTTTGCGTAGGATACTAGTATCGAACTACAATCAGCTTGGAATGACAAAAGCCAAAAATCTAACTAACGTACCACTCCAGTGTCTGGATTCTCGAGGTTGATATTTGGGTGAACCCATCCTGTCCTTATTGCCTGTAGAAAACAGCAGAGACTTAGCATGCAAAAAAAAATGCTAATCATTGCACACAGCTTCGCTCTATAGTACTGTAAATGTGTTACCTGCACAGTTGCGACAGCCTCGACGGCCCCAGCAGCTCCCAGCAAGTGTCCAATCATAGATTTTGTGGAATTTACCTTAATCTGCCACATCGTGAGAGATCAAGTAAGGAAAGTACACAAAAGCTACACTGGAGTTTTGTAGCAGCTCCTAATATACTACAACACTTAAGGAGGACTGGGAAAAGTGAAGCTACCTCAGGATTTTGGCCAAAACAGTGAGCAAGGGCTTGGTACTCCTTAAGGTCTCCAGCTGGTGTTGAGGTTGCATGTGCATTTACATAATTTACATGTTCCTTGGAAATCCCAGCATCAGCTAACGCTCTCTCGATACAGAGAATGACACCAGCCCCTTGTGTATTATAAGACATGCGATGATGACGATAGCTTTATAGACAAAGGAGATTTGATTACCAAACTAATATGAAATGGGAGACAATGAAACTACCATCAGGGCGAGGCTCGGTCATGTGGTAGGCATCACATGTAAAACTCCCACCAAGGAACTCTGCATAGATAGTTGCTCCTCTTTTCTGGAAAAAAAAACCAGAATACACATGTTCTCAAAATTTGTTCCATAGCAAATATATATTAAAAAAATAGCTTTGAACTCCAGCTCCCTCTGCCTCTCCTATCACGATGAGTTATATACCTTAGCATGCTCAAGTTCTTCCAAAAGCAGAACTCCAGCTCCTTCTCCCATCACGAAACCATCTCGGTTCTGTTATACAATCAAGATCAGGTTTACAAAACAAGAAGAATATTCGAAGATAATACACACGTTTCCTCCTATTAAGTTTCCTTCAACATTACAGACATGTATCCTCCTGGCAAAAACGCACTACAGTGTTTCTAACATCCACCGTTTGTAATCAAGGCTTGGACGAAACAGTAGAATGGTATTACACTCCACGCCAGTAGAAAAATGGAAAAGAAGAGTTGAAAAAGAAAATGTTGAAACTTACGCTATCCCAAGGACGTGAAGCTTTTGTGGGATCATTATTCCTTTGTGAAAGAGCCCGGCATGCAACAAAACCTCCCAACCCTGCATTGGTACACATACGATGAGATTCATTTAGCTTAGAATTCAAGACCAGAGTAGCAATGTAATATAGGGGAACGAAATTTCACCTATTGGAATAATAACTGCATCTGAGCCACCACAGAGCATTACATCCTGAAAGGTTTAGTGGAAAGACAGACATAGTCTTATAAGAGTAGAACCAGAACAAGTCTACGGAAATTTCGAATTACCAAGTGAGTGGAGGATACTTACAGCTTCACCTTTAATAATGTGGTTTGCTGAATTCAGAATGCAAAAGTTGCTTGTGGCACAAGCAGTTGAAATAGAATAGTTTGGCCCCATCCATCCCTGATAAATGACCACAAAGAAAGGTAAGTACTAAATTGCTGGTGGTCATCCCTATAATAGTACATAAACATAGGAATTTAATCAGACCAGATCCATAGCAAGCATAGCAGAACCCATGTTTGTTGTGGCAAAAGGTACACAGAAAGGATTCATCTTCTTGTAAGAGATCTTCAGAGCTTCAATAGCATCGTAAAAGACCTGTATCAATATATATTGTTAGAGATGCAAAGACATGTATCCGATGTGAAGGAACCATCAGATAAATTCTAAACAGAAACCTCGAGCTGAAACTCTTTTCATACTCTCTAAATGTTCAAACCCGAGATGAAGAATTTACCTTCATGCCTCCCATTGCTGAGCCAATCAAAACTCCACATTTGGCTTTGTCAAACTCTGCCATCACTTCTTCAGTTACACCACCATCAGCCAAAGCTTTCTTGCCAGCAGTGAGAAGATAGAGCATGAACTTGTCCATCCTTTTCGAAAGTTTTGGAGCAACCCATCCTTCAGTCGAGAAGGATTTGATCTCTCCCGCAATTCTCTTGAAAAAAGGAAAAACAAGGAAAGATATATTCAAGTAAACTACAAAAGAAAATGGAGAAATAAAAAAGGCTTCCAAGAGATGCTAATATAATATGCTTACCGTAGGAAATTCAGAACAATCAAAATTCTCAATCAGGCTAATACCACTGTTGCCTTGTAGCAAATTCTCATAAAAGGTATGTGGGTCGTGACCTAATGATGTCTCAACTCCCATGCCTGTCACAACAACCCTGCGCTGCTCCGTAGAGGGTTTCTTGTTAACCGCGGCTTCCTTTTCCATGTCCAAAGCAACTGCCATGGCTCCACCTAAAACCCACAAAAAAAGAACATTATAGCTGATGACAGATTTAACTTAAAATCAAGCTACTATCCAGAAATCACATTTAAATGGCATTGCCACAAAAGAGTTACAAACAACTTCAAAATTTTGTATATAGTCCATTGCCATTTTGTTCAGGTTTCCAAGCTCTGTATCCTCATCCCTCATCTAAAAGTCTAATATTGAGCCTAAACGCAAAACAATGTGCTTTCATATGACAATAAAAATCCCAACTTTCACATTTCATTTGTGATTCCAAATCAGCTGCTTTCCTGTTAAACTTCACCTCCAAATTTCATCATTTGCCCAATAACATAAACCCATAAACATAAATAGAGAAACTCCACAAAAAAAACAAAGCTTGTCAACTTGCAAACGAAACCCCCGAAATCAAAAACATTGGAAAAACCCCAGATTGGAGATTTCGGAGAAGAATGCTATACCTGAAGCAGATGCTCGATTCAGTCTCCTCTGGTTTCGATTCAAAGAAACACTATTCGATCCGAAGAGAGAAGACAGGGCATTGCCATTGCTGTTGTTGCTGCTGTAGTAGTGATTGCAAGGCCCAAAATCCAGACAGGAAGTCACGAGGGCCTGAATGCTGCCGGATCCAGAAGCGGCAGAGCATTTGCTGAGCTGTCTCCTTCGACGGCTCCGCCTGCCAGATTGAAGAGCAACAGCTTGTCGGCTATCACCGCCGCCGTGAGCGACGGACATGCAAGCTGCGACGAGCCAGGTGCATAACGGAGATGCGTAACAGGAGGACGCACCCACCATGGCAAAGTGTGAAGCGAGAGAGGCAGAGAGAGAGACCAGAGAGAAGAGAAGACGACAAACAAGAAAAAAAGCAGGGAGGAATCGAGGAAGCGAGAAATGGGTGAAGAGAGAATCTAGCGTAAGGGAAATGGGATTCACGAGAGATTTAAGAGGAATCGATCTCGATCTCTCTCTCTCTCTCTCTTTCAGAAGGCGTGCAGAGCGTCTGGATGCGTAAATTCGTGCGTGGAGACGCCAAAAATCCTCCTGTGAAACAAACAGAGGGAGAGAGAGAGAAGAGATGCTTACAAACACACTTTGCATATACCAATCGACACTTCAAATCTCAAAAATATCGATGGCCAGAATAAATTTTATTTGTTATTTTTCTGAATCTGGAGAAAAAAAAGAAATTTCAACTTTTTAAAACTAAAATAATATTACAGCAACTTTTAACTATTTTTGTTGAAAGTTGACATACAGAAAAAAACAAGAAAATTGTCCCATTTTAACTAAAAACCCCATCATATGAGTTCATTTTGTTTTCAAGTAGCAAAACGTCAATTAATTTATTCTAAAGTAGTTTCAATTTTTAAAACACAGTAGATTCTGATTAGTATTTCACAAGATAATAAAATAGTCACGCATTTCTACATATTTGTAGGGTAACAATCGCAAAAAATTAACAAAATCAAAGTTGATGGTCATTTATTTACTTTTAGTTATATACTCATATAAAGTAATAAGTAAAACTAAAAATAATTAAACAGTTATGCAGAGATTTCGTATCATTTCCTCCACTCCACATCTCTCTTTATTTTTCACCTCCACCATTTTTTAACTTAGGGATAATGTGGGTTTTATAGGGTTTTATATACACATACGTACATACAGAGATTCGGCGACCTCGGTTTAATCGAAGGAAGGACACTTGGAAAATCATTATTTTATTTTGTATTATATGTAGTGTGGCAGGGAAGTGTTACAGTAATTTAACAAAAAAAAAAAAAAAAACAAAACTTGTCCATAGATAATCATGGAAGGAAAACTTCGAAGCTGTCCGGTGAAATGAAAGTAGATCCAGAGAAAAAAACACATTGATAAAAATCATGGATTTGATATGATATGTAGCTGAGTATGCTGAATAACGTAATAATTTTCTTAGAAATTGACCCCTCGAAAATCATTAAATTGCTACAATTAATGTACTTTTGACTATGTCATCAATAAATTTATAAGATACACGTGATTGGTTTTTTTCCTACTGATCGACCACACACACACCAAGTAGCTCTCTAGTGTATAATCAACCCAAGTTGTATTAGACTATTGGTTTATGTTGGTTTAGAGGATGTTTAGAGAGTTCAGGTTTTGTTTGTTTATTTCTTTTTTTTTTCAGGTAATAGGGAATAATGAATGAAAAGACAAAAAGGAGATGAGAAAATAGGAAAAAAAAAAAACAGAGGAAGCAGGGGAAAAGGAAGCAGGAGAAAATGCATGGAAAGAGTCAAAGTGGGTAAGCTCTCTCATACCTAACATTCCAATTCGCATCACCATTCTCAGCTAAACCAGCCTAATCTCCGGTTTCTGTTTTTTCTGAATGTTGCATCACTCACTGTCTCACACGTGGCAATCCTTACCAAGTCAAGATAATGATCAAAGAGTCAAACAAAAGTCGCTTATGAACTTCTCCAACATTACATTAAAACCAAAGCAATCAGAAGATACACACAACTACAAGCCTGTTCCTCCAAATATCCAGTTCCTATTATGAATCTCCAAAAACATCTCTGTGTATTCGAACATCAAAGACACGATAACATTTGGAAAAAATTATATATATACCGATAAAACTATCGAATATTTGTTTTTTACTCTTTGCTAAAAGTACGTTCTTCTATACGTACTCTTGAACAAACTTTCAAGGAAACATGTAAAAAAGAATTGATCACAATCCGATAAGTGCATATGGTTCACAACTTTGCATTAATCTATTCAAGCAAAACAGAGATTGGTTCATCTACACATAAGCTTAAATAAGAAACAAATACACATAAATAGACAGAAGAGTTGGAGGCAACGGAGAGTATTATTGGAAGAGTTTGATCCAATAATAATAAAAGATAAAGACTGTGTTTTTAACGCTTTGAGAATTGTGGTGCTTTACGCGCCTTCTTGAGCCCGACCTTCTTTCTTTCAACGACTCTTGCGTCTCTAGTGAGCAAACCTTCCTTCTTCAGAGGCGATCTATGGTCTGCGCTCACCTTCAGGAGGGCACGAGCAACTCCGAGTGTAATCGCTTGAGCTTGACCCGAGAGACCTCCTCCATGTGCTTTCACAAACACGTCGTAGCTGTTCTCGTAACCCAGTGTCACTAATGGCACTTTAACGTATTGTAGCCACAGTGGATTTCCCTGAAGGTACTCCTGAAAAAGGGTTTTACAAGGATCATCATCATCATCATTTTCAGCAATATGTGTATAGATTCAACTCTTTCACATTAACAAAAAAACATCTTTTTAACACTTTCCTAGTCTGAAGAGCCTAGAAATCATCATCTACAAGTTCAGACAGTTTCTTCCAGAATTAGCATTATCTGTAACGTGCTGATACCACTCTCAGATCACAAAGAACTGCATACAGATACAATTTGATTTACAGGACTTATATATAACCTGCATAATAGAGAATGTCTTTGTAAAGCCTATGAGGTTCTCTGCTATCAAATGCCGCGATTTATACTACTAGATGCTTCAAACGATTACACACTATGCATAATGTCTATCTTTTTGCAGGTTTCATGGAAACCACAGAAATGTTAAAGAGGACAATTCCATAGCTAAATACATATCCAAAGCTCAAATTCAATCTCTCAAGAACATAAACCCCATACACGAGCAGTCAATTCAGTTTGATTAAACCCCTAAATTCCCCAAAACCAAGACCTAAGCAAAACACATTAATCCACAAGTAACAGTGTAACATCATATATTCACGAATTAGGGAAAATCAATGTAGAGCGCACAGATAAAGAACCTTGGCATCGCGATAGTTTATAATAACTTTGCCGGTGCCTTCCTGGAGCACAACTCGAGCGATGGCGCACTTACGCCGTCCCGTACCAATGATTTTCTGAGCTGCGAAACCTCCAGGGAGCCTCGATTTCACGTACTTCTTCAGCTCCATCGTCTCCTCTTCCGCCGCCTCGGGAGCAGCCACCGTGGCAGTAATTGAGAGAGAAGCGCGGCGAGCGGATTTCGTCGGCAATGGGAACACCGAGTTCGCGCGGGCGAACGAAAGGGTGTTGGGTCTCTGGGAAACCTGGGAAGAGAAAGAGAGCGAAGAGAGAGAAGAGGCGAGATTTGAAACCGATAACGCCATTGTCGCTGGAGCTAAGAGAATCCGCAGAAGGAAGAAGATAACGGGAAGAGTGAAGATGAGATGAGGCAGTCTCTCTATCGCTTCGTGAGCTCTCCAAGTGATAGTATGGGCCTATTAGTAGAGCCCACTAAAGCCTTACCTGCCCATTAAAGCCTTTCTATCGCTTCGTGAGCTCTCCAAGTGAAAGTATGGGCCTATTAGAGCCCACTAAAGTCTTACATGGGCTTGCTTCACAGGAAGATACACGTGTCTGTCTCGTCAGATCAATAACAATGGCTTCTATTTTGTTCAGAAACAGACAATTACTTTTATGGATGAAACAATATATTGTTTTTGAAGTATCAAAGAAAATTAAAAGGTTTTCAAGAGAGGTTTAGATCAATCAAATCGATATTCAGAAGTTTCTTCTCCAAAACTTCATAAATGTGGAAAAGGCTAACGAATGTAGCTCAAAACAAAACTTGTGGACAATGCATAGTATCAAAAAGCTCTAGAAAAAAAAAGAAGAAGAAGAAGAAGATTGAACTACTCGGAGATTTCATCAAAAGAAGATACTTCCACTACAATAAGAAGTTCCCAAAACGTGTAGCAGTTGGAATAGAAGCAAACCCTGAATGCCCTCCAAAGAAACTAGAGCCATGATGTCTTTGTCCAAGAGGAGGACGAGCTGTTTCGAGCCTAGGTGCAGGTGGTCGACTGGGGATTGTACTAGCACCGTGAACGGGCTTCGATCTCGGGTCAGAAGATGGCTTACCCATTCCATACAAAGGAACCAAACGATCTTCCTTGACCAGAGCTTTGCAAACAGGACAATGTTTCGATTGGGAATGGAAATGGAGCCACTTGTAGAGACAGGGCCAACAGAACAAGTGACCACATAGAGTCACGATCGGTTCTCTTGCCAGTTCAAGACAGATGTTGCATCCAAAGCTCCCCGACATGTCTTCTTCGTTCGTGTTGTTGCACGTAGACATTGGTTCCCTATGTAAAACATATATTCGACGAATGAGATGAAACTCTAAAACCCTATCTAGATTCGTTTTTTTAAAATAATTGAAGCCCTCAAAATCGTCAGATAGATACAAACAAAGATCCCGGAAGAAAACTGATTTCATTTCCCAGAGTCTGGAAGATTTACCTCAGCGAGACGAGAGAGAGCTATGTTTCCTGATCTCAGATTGCAAGCGAGAGAGAAGAGAGATTCGGCGAGTGAAAAACGTGTGTTAGAGAGAGATTCGGCGAATTACGTCAGATCGGAGTTGTTAATATACTTGTTATGGTTGCGAAGCTTCCGTGAAGCTCTCTCTCGTTTATTTCCTCAGTTTTAAACCTCTCCTTTGTTTTTGGGTAAAAAATTGTTTTTCTATTCAAATAAAACAGAAAATATATTCTCTCCTTTTCGGTTTAGTTACTTTACCCAAAATCCTAATTTTGTATGGGCCCAAACTACCCAGACAAGACCCATATTAATGGCTCGAATTAAATTTAGTCTCACATGTACTCTTCGCCTTCATCTCTGACGCTTCGATGACAGAACTTGAGTTGTCTTTTAATGGTATTCCAAGATTTTCCAGTCATACGCTTATTGGCTTATTGCTAATGTCAGCTTAAAAGTTCACAAATAATTTAGTGACGGTTCCTGAATTATAGATATCGATGACCATTGATCACATATTTTACAAAAAAATATTAGACAAACGACTCAATATTGTTTAATGTTTATGAAGTTTAAAGCTTAAGAGTAATTACATGTTTTATATTTTGTGTGTGTTAAAGCCTAAGACCCAAAGTCTTACTATAAAATATTCCACGAATGTTAATCGTTTATATCGTTCTAGAAGATGGTATTATTTTTAATTAAGCAAACAACAAATCAAATTGACCGCAGCTCTATGCAGAAGGTTCGAAACGGAATATGATCCGACTGATATCATGCGTGGATTAAATTATGGCCTTGTTCGAAGTGACAAATTATTTGTTCTGACGTCCAAAATAATACTAATGAAGAATACATACACATATGATTCTCGAAAGAATCAAATTGTCGCATTGCGGTTTAAATACTTTCAAAATGCAAAAGAACCAACTTTTATTATAATGGGTTTGAATGGTATGCAGCTTTTTCACGTTTTCACGTTTTGGAAACTTGATTTTGTTATTTGTTACCATTCATGTTATTCATCACGTTTTCACGTTTTTTTATGTTTTTGAAACGTGATTCCACTAGCGTGTTAAAAATATAACTAAAAAAAACAAAACATGATTAATCTACTAAAAGTAGCTTTTCAGCGTTTCACAATTATTCAGCTAAAATATTATTCAGTTCAATTCATTCCGCTAGTAATTTTTCAGTTATTCTGCTATTCCGTTATTCATCTGACATACTAATCAAACCTAATTTCTTGCGAACTAAGAAAAAGTTAATACCAAACATAAATGTTTTGACGGAATAAGGAAATCTCTTTTTAGGAAAAAAACAAAAAAAGGTAATCTCAGATATGTTAAATTTGACGTTGACATCTTCAGCGTCGTATTTCACAAATTTATTTCAAACACACGAAAAATGAGGAAAAACGGAAACAACATATACTAGCGATCGTCTGTAAAATCATGTAAACACGACACTGACCGTCACATAAAGATCTCTGACCTCTCTCTCTCTCTCTCTCTCTCTCTCTCTCTCTCTCTCTCAGTTTCCCACCTGATTTCTCGCCATTTTCTCAACTGCTTCTTCTTCCTCTTTCTTTACATGCAAGACTGTGTTTTTGATTTGATTTGGTAATTCGTATCGATGGCGGCTCTTACCGTGAATTACTGGCTAACGGAGCATCCAGCGATCGTTAACTTCCGTTGGAGCCCTACCCAATTATACGCCTCCACGTGGTATTTCCTCTTCACCGCCATCTCATCTTACGTCATCGCCGCCGTGACTCTCCACCTCCTTCTCGCAATCCTCCCAATCCGACGGAGCCGCGGCCTCTCCCTCGGCCCCATCCCGGCTCTACACAGCTTATCCATGGCTTTAATCTCCGCCGTTATATTCGTCGGGATCCTCCTCTCCGCCGCCGCAGAGATCCGCGACACGCGCTGGCTATGGCGACGAACGCGCACGACGGCTCTCCAGTGGTTCCTCTGTTTTCCCGTGGGCACACGCGCTTCAGGGCGCGTGTTCTTCTGGTCATACGCGTTTTACCTCTCTCGATTCCTTCACTTGTTACGTACTTTCTTCTCAGTGATACTGCGTCGTAAGCTCAGCTTCTTCCAGCTCATCAACCAGTCTTCTCTCCTCTGTATCTCCTTCCTCTGGCTCGAATACTCACAATCTTTCCAGGTAACTAACCGGTTCGGTTTACCACACCTTAAACCGGAATCAACTACCGAATTTTCTAAATTGGACCGTCCGTGTTTTTGGTTTTTGCAGGTATTAGCGATACTATTGACGACCGTTTCATACGCCGTCGTATACGGTTACAGGTTCTGGACGGCGATCGGGTTACGTGGCGCATGTTTTCCGTTCGTGGTTAACTGTCAAGCCGTTCTGTTAGGGTGCTTGACGGTGTGCCACGTAGGCGTTCTCTGCATCCACCTGGTCAAACGCGGTGGTTGTAACGGTATCGGTGCTTGGCTGTTTAACTCCGTTCTAAACGCCGTTATCTCGTTGCTCTACTTGAACTTTTATGTCAAGACGGGTTCAATGACGACGTCTACACTCACGTAAACAATAGTTTATGTGCGTATTTTTGCATTATTGAGAACGATGTATTATCATCCGGAGAAAAATCTACTTCAGGGAAAATTTTAAAACTGGAGAACAGATTTTTTTTTCCTGTTGTTGTATGATGATTAAGTTTTACTGTGGTGTAGAAATGTAGAATTCTGGAATATGTATACTAACGATTGGGGCTAGGATTAATTGTAGTTGATCCGACACAAAAAATAATAATGAAATGAATGTACTATGTTTTTGTGTTACATCATATTTCTTTCTTTCATCTTTTCAAGTTTCGTCTCTTTTCTCAGGTTGCAAGGAAACAAAAGTCCGGTAGCTTTGGAATTGGATTCGTTTCTTTTTAACATCTAATCAAGGAAAGAAAAAAGAGCAACAAATAGAGTAAAGTCAAAGGAATACTTTTATGCATTAAGTTTTGTAATAGTAACCTCAGAAAAGACAAAAAGTCGACCTGCACTATACAAATTACAACATGTGACGGACGATATTAATCTACGGCGTCCACTTGTTTCCGGTCAATAAGAACACCGTCGTCCCATGTTTCAGAGTATCTGTAAAATAAGCCATCAACAATTATGAGTAAAGAGGCTAAGAAACTTGGGATTGCTTTTGTTCTTCTAATGCAGATACAGAGAAGAAGAGTTTTAACTTAAGGGGTCACTGACCTTGTTCCATCCACATCTATACAGAGGAACTGACCTTGTCGCCATCCATCTTTGAAATGTCCGAAGAATATCTCACCGGACTTTGAATAGAACCGTCCTTCGCCGCTGGCTTTTCCTTTCCAGAAATTTGCAAACCATCGATCACCTTTGTGGAAGTAAAACCAGCCCTGCGAGAGAAGAATAAACAAGTTTTGTCCGTCTGTTAACAGATATTTCTTCATGTCAGAACAGAAGCCATTTCTACAGTTCTTTATTTCGATAGATTGAGGAAGTAGAAAAAGTCCTAGAGACTTGGTGATACTTAGCGGTTTGTGCGCAAATGTAGTCTCAAGAAGCTAATCCAAATTCAAAAGGTCAAAAGACTATACTTACCTTTCCGTGTATTAAATCTTCTCTCCATGTGCCTTGGAACACGTCTCCATTCTTGAAGTAGAACGTTCCGAGACCAAATCTTTTACCGTTGTGCCACATTCCATCATATATACTTCCATCTCCAAGTACCAATCGACCCTGGTGGGAAAATTCAGCCATTACTCTGGGATTCACTAGAAAGCTGTCAAACATAAGACCAGAATCAACAAGGCGGATTACCTTTCCTTCGGGAAGGCCTCCTTGGCATCTTCCCTTGAACAGTCCTCCTCTGTACTGCATCTCTAGAATAGGACTCCATCTTTTTGATGAATCTCGTTCAGCTTCCTAAGCGAAGAAAAATTAAGATGGAAAATTATGTCAGTTGACATCATCGACTTGGATGGTTTCCAGGAAAAGCAATCCACTAGTAAAAGAATGATTTATATCTGAACTGACATTGCTACTTACCAGCATAGACGCTGCTCGAGCAGATAGATTTTTTTGCTTTGTAAAATCAGCATACTTCTCAGATAGCAGGGTGGATGCAGTATCACTAGAGTCTTTTGTCGAGCTATTAGGGTTGAAGAATGATTCATCTCTGGAATCCACCGTCCTGGAGGGTTGACTGGCGACACTGAGACTACTGTTCAGATTCTTTGAAGGTCTCACACCAACAGGAAGGTTGACAATACCAAGGCTAAGCACTGTGGTATCTCCAGAATCAGCTGGCCTTTTTTGTTCAATCTGATATCCTGGATCCACACTCCAATTAGCAATTGGCTCCCTCTGGATAGCACCATAATCTACAAAAGATGATTTTGCATTCACTTTTAGAACAGTTTACCCTCGAGAGGTCACTACTTCAGCATCCTATAAATAGCAAGTATTGAAGCATCTCGATCAATACTACATAGAAAAAAATAAGCATAGTACCTTCTATATTTTCATCTCCAAGATCCAGACGACTATTTCTAGATGGTTCCCCCTCTTTTACTGGGTATTCACTATCACTATTTTCAGAAACTCCTAGGAGTTCTTCAGAGTCACTTTCAAATCCTTCAACACTCTGACTGGACCTTTCTAAGTCAGTAGCATCTGCTGAATCTTCCAATGCAACTGGCGCATCTCCAACTCCAATATTCGTTTCGTTTTGGAGTTGTGAACGATATCTCTTAAATATATTCGAAACAAAAGGCAAAAGACCAGAAAAAATGTTGCCTTTGCTGGAAGTTTCCTCTTCTGAACAACTGTGATGACATATGAGACTTGCATTAATGCTTAATAGTGGTCAGTAGAAATAAAGTCTGAGTGACCAAAACCATCATAGACTTAACCAAACATAAATGCTGAAACCATATGCATGAGCTTGAATCGTAAGCGGTCGGTCTCGAAACATAAATACCCCACCTTAGAATAAAAAAAGTTGTGACGAGGACTTTAGGCTCCAGATCCGGTTCATGAACAGCAGATACTATGATATCTCCAGTGTACTCCATTGTTTGACGAAAAGTACGTAGAATTGTTTTCACATCCTTCTTCTGAAGAGCTACCGAAGTAGCCACAGTGCATATAATAGCGCCTAGATCCTGCATATTGGGAAATATAGGATAACATAAAAAGATTTACTTGAGGAACCTTATTTCGGAATATGGTTTTAAGGAAATTATCTTTCAAGCAGAAGTGCCAAAAATGAAATAAATCAAACCGAGAACTTAAGTAGTACGGATGAGTATTTTACGAAATGCGCTTTAAGAGATTAGAAATACCTTAATACCAGGGCGAAAGAAAGGGCAGTCGTATATAGCTCGTAAAATAGAAGTCTTAAGGTTGTGACCAACTCCAAAACCAACCTTTGCCTCTTTGTAGCTTTCTAGAATCTGGATATAAGCGAGGTGAAGGATTAGATACAAGCTCAAAGAAGTTTCTATCCTATCAGATAGTTGAACCACTGTAAACGAAACCACTTTAATTCACAGTTGGCAAATAGTTCCTTGCATTGAGGCTTAAAAGTAAATCATTATTAAAAGAGGCTTGGTGACCATACGATAAAGTAAAATGAAATCCCAAAAGAAAAATTCCAAAGAAAGCTACCATTGTAACTTCTGAACCTTCAAGTTCTTTAAGATCTTTATGCATCACGTCGATAAAGTTTCCATGCATCCCCTGCATAAAACCATATATGAAAATGAATTGTCAACAACTTTTGAATATACAGTATTCAATGAGACATAGAGTATGCTTACACTTATCAGAGCAGAGGCTGCATTTATTGCCATTGAGACAGCATTGTTTGCATTTCTCAGCGCCTCGTCCAAAGTAACCAAATCCTTCTGTAGTAAAATCTCTATGTCGATATCTAAAAAGCCCAAATAAAAGTCATTTGATGGTTAGCCGAACCACAAGAACAAAAGGTAGCTTCTCTGACGCTATTGTCGGAAAATCTTTCATATTGCTAATGGAAGTACCTATACAGAAACTAGTGTGCTGCTGCAGTTTTCTAGCCAATTCGTTAACCTGCACACAATATGGGAAATTAGAAAAACAGAACAAAGGAACTCCAACTAGCGATGGTATATGAAGTTGGACTTGTTTGTAGATAGGGACTTCATTTAATGGACTGTTATTAAATTGTTATATAAGATAGTATACAATAAACAAAAAACCTCAGAGGCAACAGAAAAACTACCTCTTCTAGACGCCTTCGCCCTTCAAAGCTGAAAGGCTTTAATAGCACAACAACAGCGAAGCTACCTCCAGATCTTACTGCACTAAGAATATTAATAGCTTCAACCTGGTCGGAACCATATCCAGCACTAACCACCTGGTAACGGGAACAGTTTTAAGCCGAATCAGATGCACGATCAGAATTATTGTTCCAGGAAAAGAAAATTTTGGGAAAAATTGAAAACCATCATCAAGAGCCTATGCAATTTTAGGAAGCATGGTTGTTCATGATCAGTTCCACACTCTGTATCTTGTTCAGGTATATAAAAAAGCTAAAAACCTACAAGTAATTCTACTAAATACACGAAATTTGTTTTGTAGCATAAAACAGAAGAAAGATAATGATAGGCAAGAAAAGTACAAACAAGGATGAAGGCCCTTGGACGTGATTGTGTCAGCTCAATTGGATTCATGGTCTTGGAAACATTTTCTGTAAACATAAAGAGAGTAGGTAAATAGGTAAGAAAGATAGCATATCCCTGTTTATCTTCTTGACAAACTAGCTAAATACGGCAAGGCAGACATAACTATCCAACTAAAATTCACTGTGTCAAACTTTGGAATGCAAGTACATCGTCAAAACTTTGCTCCCCAATCTCTGATTCCCAAAAGATGCTAAAGTATCCAAATTTCAAAACTCAGATTGAAAGTAAAGAAGAAACAGGAAAGAAATAGAGTATGGACCTTCGTGATTGAGCCTCTGCTGTAAGGCTAAATCTCCAGAGCTGTCCCTGCTAATACTCCTGCAAAAGGGAGAACTGACTGGTAAATTTAATGATTTACACAAAAGATTCAAGCTATCTAAGCTTCATAAGTAGGAAGCTGCAAACTTCATGAGTGTAAAAAATGTAACAAAAAGCCATCCGATCGAGAAAAACTAGGCTCAAACAAAGTAGGATTCTTGGTTTCCACATAGAACAAGAGAATTACTAGACAGAAAGGGAGCTTCCGATTCATAGTAGGTGAAATAGAGTCATAAGGCGAGCAGAAATCGAACATATACCAAAATCGGAGAGGAAGAGAAGGAAAAGGAGAATCCGAGCAGGAATCGATGATAGACTCCTTGCGACTACCGATGACAACGACCTCGATGAACTCAGACCCATCTCCAGCTCCATGTTCATCTCTCTCGCACGTCTCCATCGAAGCCGAATCCCTCACCAAGCACACCACGCAAATCCGACGCGCCTTTCGAGCGTTACATTTCAATCGAGAAGTAGATCCAGCGGAAACTCCAAGGGACGAAAATGGAATGCCAAAGGCATGAATGTGAGATAAACGAGAGAACAGTGGTACTCGGAGAGTGGAGAAAACGGGAAGCTCCATAGAAATCGGCATTGCTCTCCTACGGAATCACTTAGAATGCGAGAAATAAGGTCATACAAATCGATGGAAGAAGAGATTTCGGACGAAGGAGAAGAGCGGGGCAGGGCATGTCGGATGTTCTCCCGATAATAATTCTCAAGGAGAGAAGCAGAGGCGACGAAAGATGAAAATATCCGCCGGAACCGTGAATACGTTAATTGTGTATAAACCCTCGCGTTTTAGTTCTTATTTCTATTTTAGTCCTATGTTTTGTTTTTTCATCTATATAGCCCCTACTATAAATTGACGAACCGATCAATCACATCCGCATATTTGGTCATTATCACTTTTAATATGTAATCAAATATTTTCCAGATATGATCAATCCCTTCTATATACTTATAAAAGAAACATCAGTCCACTCAAATAATGAGTCTTATGAAAAAAGATTAAGAAATGATCAACAACAAAAATTATTTTTTCAAAAAAAGTTTACTTTTATATGTTGTCTTGCTAAAGCATGTATATGTTTAAGCAGCTCCTTGATTTCGCCTAACATGAAAATGAAAATGAAGTTTATAAGAAAAAAAAAACATTATAAAATAACTCGCACAAAATTAAGGAGGCAGCGTGCTAATTAAATAAATTATGAAAAGCGTGAGTTTTCTTTTTTTTGGTACAACTAATAATAATAAGTGAGAAAATATTATTTAGAGTTTGCTTCACGTTTGAGTTTCAACAAAAAAAGAGTAACAGCGCCAGGAGAATTTTATCGGGTCGCAAGTGTTGTTTCAGCTTCGGGGGGATTTGTCTTCGCGGCGGCTTTGACCTTTCCGTATACCGCCAATCAAATCGCTGGCTTACTGTACACCCTACCTTCTCTGATCATTCCACCCTCTCCACTAGATCCGACCCGAAATGGATCCTTCTCCGTAACTTCGTTTGAGATTCGGCATTCCTCTGTTCCGTATAACGTTTATCCTCTTCCCTTCTCCACCAACTAGCTCGCTCCCTAACTTCTCCAGGTACTCTATTCGCTCTTTCTTCTTCTTCTTCTTCTTCTTCCTCGCGCTCCTCTCTCCGTAGATTTTGCTATTTCCTTTTTTTCGGGATACGTGATAAGTGTCTCTCTTGCTCTGTCTCTGATCTTATATCACGTGGGATCTGATTTTTTAGTTGCGGTATTCACAAGTCTTTCCCAATTTGGGGATGTTTTTTCTCCGTGATTTCTGCGTGTTTGTCTTGGAATACTCATGATTGTCGTCGATTTTTCAAGTATGTGTAAAAAAAAAGCCATTTTTGCTCATCATTACTCGCTGGCTGAAACGGAATTCTCTGTTAAGAATCTGCTTATTAGAGACTAATTCACGTTCCTGAGATCCGGAATTGCATTTTCTTATTCTTTCTGTAACTTGCATAGAAAATTAGAAATTTTGTGTTGATATCTATAATTTATCCATGTATGTGTTGATTAGTAGTGATCTCCATGTCTTCTGGGTCGTTGCTAGATGAAATGTTTCGGTCTAAACTCTGCACATTCTCATTGAGAGAGAGAGAGAGAGAGAATCTATGTGATTGTGGGATCTCAGCAATTTGTTGTGTTGAGCTTAGAATTAAACATTTTGAATGTACTAAAACTGCGTATATACATTGGATTTATAGTCTCTTCTCTGCAACTCAATCTTTGTTGGGGGAGCTTTAGGAGTAACATTTGATTCTCATTTCTGCAGTTTTTTTTCTTGAGGTTTATCTGGAAAAGATGGAAGTTAGCGGGGACCTGAGTTCCGATAACTTAAAGAACCGCCCCTTGACTCCGCTTAGGATTCTGAGGGGCCTCGTGATCTTGCTGGTGTTTCTGTCTACTGCTTTTATGTTCCTCATCTACTTTGCACCGATATTTGCTCTAGGTCTACGGCTTCTCAGTGTGCACCAGTCCAGGAAAGCTATTTCGTTCCTCTTTGGTCACTGGTTAGCCCTGTGGCCTTACCTCTTCGAAACGGTCAACGGGACGACCGTCGTGTTCTCTGGAGACAGCATCCCGGTCGAGAGACGTGTTTTGCTGATCGCGAACCACAGGACAGAGGTTGATTGGATGTACCTGTGGAACATTGCCCTGAGGAAAGGGTGTCTTGGCTACATCAAATACGTGCTCAAGAGCAGCTTGATGAGGTTGCCTATTTTCGGCTGGGGGTTTCATGTTCTTGAGTTTATCCCAGTGGAGAGGAAGCGGGAGGTCGACGAACCTGTTATGCTTCAAATGCTTTCAACTTTCAAGGATCCTCGGGAACCCTTGTGGCTCGCTCTATTCCCGGAAGGAACCGATTTCACGTACTGTATATGTTCACCTATCTGATTCTTAACAACACTGAGCATTTGTCTTTGCAAATATGACAATCACAGTCACACTTCATTTCTAGAAACTGCCTGCTAAGTAGTAGTAATGTGTGAAATGCTGCTTTGGTCTTTCTTCTTTCAGATTTTTCTGAGACCTCCCTTTTTTTTTTTTTTTTTTTTGTATGTGCAGTGAAGAGAAATGCAAGAGGAGCCAAAAGTTTGCAGCTGAAGTTGGTCTTCCGGCATTATCAAACGTACTTTTACCAAAAACAAGGGGTTTTGGCGTTTGCTTAGAAGTTCTACATAACTCTTTGGATGCAGGTATGGTTCACAAAACTTCCCATGAAAAATGTTCGTCCTCACTTGTTTCTTCTACAAACACTTAATTATGGTTTTGACGAAATCATAAGCGCTTGCACATATCTTTCTATTTGTCCAATGACCACAATCACGTGAACAACGCACTTCCTTGCACTGATTCCGAACTGCTCCAGTTCTTACTACTGTATCTTGCTGAAATGCAGTATATGACTTGACCATCGCATATAAGCCTCGCTGCCCGTCTTTCATGGACAACGTATTCGGTACCGATCCTTCACAAGTTCATATCCACGTTCGGCGAGTTCCAGTAAAGGAGATTCCAGCAAACGAGGCAGAATCGTCGGCTTGGTTAATGGATTCGTTTCAGTTGAAAGACAAACTGTTATCCGACTTCAGTGCTCAGGGGCAGTTCCCCGATCAGAGACCAGAAGAACAACTCTCTGTTCTCAAGTGCATCGCAACTTTCGCAGTGGTAATATCTTCGACAGCACTATTCATCTATCTGACCCTGTATTCACATTGGTGCTTCAAAGTATATGTTGGTCTAAGCTTCACATATTTATCTTTTGCTACTTATTACAAATTCCGACCCTCACCAGATGTTGGCTGTTGTATAGGAGGGGATTCTAGTAAAGAAAGCAAAACCCATTAACTCTGTTGTACATAACAATTCTTTCTTTGCATACAAATGAATAATATCAAGAGTTTTACAGGCAGAAAAACATTTCTAGGCTGCCGTTTTCATTGTTAGTTCTGTGATCTAGTAGAGTTACTTATTATTTGCATTACATGTTCTTCTCTTGACTTGTGTCGTAACTGCACTGTGGCTTTGTCAAGCTTTTTGTGTCTTGCTGTTTCACATCGGTGCATCAATTAAGAATTAATCAGCATCACAACTTTGAAAACATTTTCAGTGTTATTTTATAATAAAATAAGACCATGTTTCATAGATTCATAGAACCAAAGTGGAATTAAAATTCATTCACAAGCAAAAGAGAAAGCACAGCATTAAGCAAATACGACCGACGACCTAGATGGATAAGATACTTAAATACATATAATGGGACGAGAATGGTATAATACATAATGGATGAAGGGCTTTCACATATAACACTTGAGTTCAAGCTTCATATGCTCTGGAAATTCAACCGTTGTTCTTCTAATGATAGCATTGAAGTCTTGACAGGCACTGCTTCTGAAGCTAATGTAGAAGATTGCACACATGGCTTTGGCCTTCTTCTTTGGTTTGCACAACTACCTTTCCCAGCTCCAATAATTGATCTGCTTGCTCCTGCAACACAAACAACACCAAGAGATGATTAACCTAGACGTACGAAAAAAATACAATATTCGTCCTAATCCTGTCCTCACCGGGAATAATTGCAATTCCAAGGCCAAATATGCGAGCAGAGCGTAGAGATGAAGCCATCCCTTGTCTTGTTCCACCTCTGACTTTGTCAACTCGTAGTATTGCAGCTTGCAACTTCCCGTTGGCGCATCCTCAGGGATCCAAGTGGGCATATCACCTTTGAAGAAATCATCCACCACAAGTCTTTCATAGCAACGTCCTTTCACCTCTGAGGAGTTACACACAACAGTAGATATTAGATCGAGCGAGAGAGGAAGATAAAGAGAGGGGTTAACAAAACGTGTGATGTACATATGTTTACCTGGCTGTAAAAAGCAGCGCGTTACAATAATTTCCCTGCAACCTTCTCTCTTATTGGTATGACAAATTTCTATATCGAGGTAGCAAGTTGATTTGCCTATTGGTTCCTCTGCCGCCTCTATTATTATACGCGAAGCAAACATTGCGATAGGCTGGAACAATGCTACATCCAAAAACTGTAAATTTGTGCCCTACAAGATCAAGATACGCAAATCAAAACAAAACTTGGCTTCAATCGCTACAACTTTATACGATATGCAAACCAATACTATTATAGTAGGCAGAAGAAATAAAAAAACTTGATATTACCTTGTGCAGATTGTAGCACTGAAGTCCAATTTGACCATACAGCCCTATCTCACCATACTTTTTCTGTTTTGAGAAAGAGTGAGAGTCAAAAAAAAAATTAAAATCTCGAGAGTCGATATATTACGATCTTAGAGCACAAAATTACCAACGGTGAGGTGGTGAGAGGGGTTTCAATAGTTGGTGAGTATGCTGCTGCACCACATTCATATTCGTTATTTGTTGTTGGTGCGTATGTCGGTGCACAACACTCAGATTCCAGCGGCTGAGGTGGTGGTAGTGATCCACAAGTTTTAGTTTCAGATTCAATTTTCAGCGCGTAAGGTGTTGACGGTGGTGGTGCAAAAGATTCAGTTTCAGCTTCCAGCGGCTGCGGAGAATCACTTTCACTTCTAAATACCAGCGGCTCCGGCCAATCACAGCCGTCAGTGTTTGGTGGTGCGTTGCTTTCAGATTCCATCGGCTGCGGAGAACATGGAGGTGATGATGCAGGACTTTCAAATTCTTGCTTCGACATTAAGCTCTTGGAAAATCTCAACCAAACCCTAATCAAAGGATTAGGTTAAAATGAAACTCTACACGGAATCTATCAACCAGGAACACGTTATTGATTCCAGAGAGAAGCTAAACGCGGTTTTATTTTTAAAACGAAAATTTCAGTACCAAAGAAGAGATCGGATTGCAGTAGAGAAAAGAATGCGAAACCAAAAATTGTAAAATTTGAACCCCCAACAATATTTATATCCCATAAAACCGACAAAGTTATTGGGCCTTTTCTAAACTCAAAAAGCCCAATTCATATCAACAATAACAATCAAAGATCGTGGTCATCTGCAAAACCAATGATACATGGCTTCTTTTTCTTAAATAATAAACCCAAAATGATGTGCTTGTTGAGATATTATATAACTAATCCCTCTAAATGAATAAAGAGATCTCGAAAAACAAATAATCGGTGAAGGTAGTAGACATGCAAGCAAAAGGGATAAACGACAAACCCACAAAATTAAATCCAAATAAATTGAGTTAACCCACAATAATATATAGATCCAGAACCAAAAGTCATTTATCCCCTTACATGACCAGCACACAAGCAAATACCATCTTTAACTTTTATCAGGACTATAGATAATCACTAGTCTTCAGTTACATGATCCAACCAAATAATAATATGTGATCGATGGGTCTATATTAATATCGATTTTTATGATAACAAGTTATTTTTCCGATAACATACATTTATATCGACTTCTCAAAGTCGGACAGTAATATCGCTAATACACGAACCACTGCACTACTCGAATATCATGAACTTGATTCTAATTTCTAAGTCTAAGTAAGTCTTTTCGTCCCATTCCCCTGTTCTACCTTGATGGGATGTGCCCCTCATTAGTTATGGATTGGTATGTGATGGAGAGTAAGTCTTTGAAGTCTTTGATTCTTTTCACTATTATTGTCCTTCATCAATCCGTAATAGTGTCCCACATGTTTTCGTTTAACCGTCAAATCGAAGTCTATTTTTTTCTTATCAACATCTATATAACTCAGTTTATTAATTTGTAAAAGGATGATATACAAAATTAATCAGCCATTTCGACAATAATGAAAAGCATGAGCGTTCTTTAACATCAGTTAAATATATGCAACATTGTTTCTTCCTCGATTAAGAAATTCGTCGGAGAACAAGTTTACCATATAGTGATATAGACTAGTTTTCAAGTCACAGAGTACGCTGCTAAGTTTTGCTTTTGTCCTCCGTTGTTAATTACAACGTCCTTACAACTTGAAGAACCTGGATCCGTTATTGACTCTTTCTTGAAGATCATTATGTAAGTTTGAGTGTTCACAGACAATATGAACGTAACATATGGTTTATAAAATTCTGTAGACTTCAAATATTAAAAATGATAAACATATTAACACTACGTCACCAAAGATGACGTCATCAAAAACGAAAAACATAACCTCACTACCTCGAACTTGCGCTTATAAATAGGGGATCGGTGCCACACTGACATTCATCATCATCATCATCCACAAACACACAAGCACCCGGCAAAAAACAATGGAAAATTTCTCCAGTTTTCGTATTCTCTTATTCGTGTTCATCACAAGTAAATACAAAGTCTCACACTCTCTTTTTTTTTTGTTGTTCCTCGATGTTTCAATTTCACTTACGTTTTATCTTTTTCCTTACGCTATTACATTCTACGTTTTCTCCTCTGTTTCTGAAGGAGAATAATATCAACACTGCTTCTTAAGCTTCCCTTTTAATGAATGTTTTTTTTGTTTGTTCATCGTCTTCGATCACAACATATTGCGCAATACATTTCAAGAAATCTTTCGTCTTTTTGATGAATTTGTGTGTTTGAAGTTGCAGGCGGCGTTGCTGTTTCCGCCACCGAATTCACTTTGAAGAACAGTTGTCCTTACACCGTCTGGCCCGGAACTCTCACCGGAAACGGCGGGAATATCCTCGGCGAAGGCGGATATCAATTGAATCCAGGTGCTTCCGTACAGGTCAGGGCACCTCCGGGATGGACAGGGCGGTTCTGGGCTCGTACCGGCTGCAACTTCGACGCCTCCGGCCGCGGTACCTGCGTCACAGGAGACTGCGGCGGGGTCCTCAAATGCTCCGGCGCCGGTGGAGTTCCTCCAGTCACTCTGGCTGAATTCACCGTGGGGGACAAGGATTTCTACGACGTGAGCCTCGTGGACGGCTACAATGTGAAGCTGGGGATAAAGCCTGAAGGAGGATTCGGAGATTGCAAGTACGCAGGCTGCGTCGCCGACCTCAACGCAAATTGCCCCACCGAGCTTCGGGTCATGGATACGCAGAACAATGTGGCGGCGTGCAAGAGCGCCTGCGCGGCGTTCAACAAGGAGGAATATTGCTGCAGCGGAGCTCACTCGACGCCGGAAACTTGTTCTCCGACGAATTTCTCGATGATTTTCAAGAAGGCTTGCCCTAGTGCCTATAGCTACGCTTATGACGACGAGACGAGCACTTTCACTTGTGCCGGAGCTAACTACTCCATCACTTTCTGCCCCAGTTCTTAAAAACCGTGATACGGTTTCTATCTTGCTTGCTATGTACGGAAGATGAATATCTTCTTCTATGTTTAAGATTTTTCCTAAGTAATTCAGTTGTTACACTCAGCTGATTTGCATTGTTGTATCCAAATAAAATAATAATTAAGAATCTTGTTTAAATCATACTTTGGATGTGTTGCGTTTTGCAAGTGCCACGGTTAGCATTTCTCCTTCCTAATTGTCAGCGACCACATTTGCTTGGGAAGTCATCTTTCATTTGGTTTTAGGCGTTTTAGGCCACCACAGAACTAAGCAAATTTTGATGTTTTCGTCAACAAAAATGGTTGTCGTTCCAACAGAGACAGTACTAATCATGTACTAAATATACAGAATGTAGCTTTAAGAAGACAAAATTTACAAAAACAAAAACAAAATGTACTATGCAAATAATAATTTCAAGTAAAACAAACATCTCTAATCGTTCCAACAGAGATAGTACATCAATTATATACCTCTTCTTTTTTTTGTTAAAGGGCCTACATCAATTATATACCCACACTTGGAACTATCAAGAACGAGTTTGAGAGTGTTTAATGTTTACGAATGCACCCTGTAAAAACCTTGGCGTTTCCGTTTTACATTTCTTGCAACTGACAAGTCTTCAAAGAACCGGCCCGGATGAGATAAGCTTCTCCGGTGTTGCATCATCAGTGTATAGATTCTCTTCTAAATGCATAATCTTGAGATTAGAGGTAAAGACACTAACTCAAAACTATGCAACACCACGAAATAGAGGTCTCAATGAAACCAAAACCTTACATATATAAAGGTTTACAGGCATCAACCATGGAAATGCTCTTAGAGGCTATACAAGAGCTTGAATATTAGAACATAAAGTTTCTTCCACAAATTGGACATGTCACATATGGACTTGGAGCATACAGGGCATGTGTATTGTAAGACTTATAAAGAACTATTATTAAGTCACAATATGTATAAGTTTATATAGATAGGGATGCATGGAAACAAAAACTAAATAGAAATGATATTACCTTAAATTAAGATATTGTGGATTTTTTTTTTTTTTTTTATGAACTCCATAATCTAACTATATCGATCTGCCGGTATATTTTCTTCTGAAATGCGTTCAACTTATTAAAAAAATATTTAAGGCAAATAAAATTCATAGTGCCAAAGAAGATGGGCTAACAGTCACATGCACCAAGAAAGCTAAATTTTCTGATGATCAGCACTTATAAACAGAGAATCCGTGACATTCATCATCATCCACATCACATAACACAGATAACCCCGATCAAGAAAATGGCGAATTTCTCCAGTATTCACATTCTCTTCTTCGTGTTCATCACAAGTAACTACAAAACTACACTCTCTGTTTTTGTTTCTTCTCTGTTTAATCCTCCCCTCTGTTTCTTATAATTTCGTCCTAGTTAACAGCGGTTGGTGATTTGAATTGCAGGCGGCGTTGCTGTTTCGGCCACCGTCTTCACTTTGGAGAACAGTTGCCCTTACACCGTCTGGCCCGGAATTCTCTCAGGCAACAGCAACACCCTCGGCGACGGTGGATTTCAATTGACTCCAGGCTCTTCCGTACAGCTCACGGCTCCTCCGGGATGGTCAGGTCGGTTCTGGGGTCGTACCGGTTGCAACTTCGACTCCTCCGGCCGCGGTAGCTGCGTCACAGGAGACTGCGGCGGCGTTTTAAAATGTATCGGCGGCGGAGCTCCTCCGGCTACTCTGGCCGAATTCACCGTCGGATCAGGTGATTCCGGCATGGATTTCTACGACGTGAGCCTCGTCGACGGTTACAATGTCAAAATGGGGATCAGACCCCATGGAGGATACGGAGATTGCTATTACGCAGGCTGCGTCGCCGACATCAACGAGATTTGCCCTAGTGAGCTTCGGATCATGGATCCACAGAACAACGGAATCGTGGCCGCGTGCAAGAGCGCCTGCGCGGCGTTTAATTCGCCGGAATTTTGCTGCACCGGTGCTCATTCGACGCCGCAAACTTGCTCTCCGACGCAGTACTCGGCGATGTTCAAGAACGCTTGCCCTAGCGCTTACAGCTACGCCTACGACGACGCTACGAGCACCTTCACTTGTTCCGGATCTAACTACTTGATCACTTTCTGCCCCACCCGCTCTTAAAAACCGGTGCTCCGGTTCAGAATTTGGGTCGGGTTTCTCTCTTTCACGTTTCTTTTGCTTATGTTATGTACGGGAAGATGGAATATCTTCTTCCACTTTTAAAGATCTTCCCTTTTAAGTATTACACTCATCTCATTTCCATTGTTGCCTTCCAAGAAATAATATCAAGAATTTACTGGCATCAAAGATATATGTTTCATTGTTAGTTCTTTGAACTATTTATAATTACATATGCAAAAGCCACTGTTAATATTTCGCCTTCCAAACTGTTCATCGAGGAATCGAGCATTGTTATTGTGAAACTCTTGTGTTCATTGAGTTAGAGAAACAACAAGAGGTCATTAACACTTGTTGTTGTCAAAAGGTGTTCCAAGTTCTGGTTCATTCGGTAAAGGAAGTTTCCATCTGAACAAAAACTTTGTCGGTAATGGAAGAAGCATAGAGAACCCACTTTGTCCCAAAAGAATGTAACCTTCTTTTTCCATGTGAAGAAAGAGAAAAGATGGTCGATTCCGCTCTTAAACTGCTCCATTGGATCATCTGCTGAGGTAGAGAGCATAACACAATGTCCTGTTTTTTTTTTATACGTGTCTTTGCTTGTTTGCATGACATCTTATCTCCTTATCTGAGTAGGTGCAAGTGAGATCAGGTTTGTTTTGATAGAACCGACTTTTGAGCTTTCTTTACCTTTTTGGTTTGGAAAGACCAAGAGTCGACAAACCCAATACCAAACAATGTCTCTATTGATACATTTGTTTTATTGTCATCATTCATCAATTCATAAAGTAACTTGTAATCTGTTTCTGATAAATTGATATGGTGAGAGTAATAGAGATGTTTTGAATCTCAACATATTAAATTAAACTTTCAAAAGTCTCAGAACTTTTGCTATTTCTGAGCCCATTCATGTATATACAAATTGTATACCTGTTTAGTTCTTCTTGTTCATTTAAGATTTTTCAGTAAAACAGATGATAAATCGTAGTTATTGTCATTTTCTATGTTTACAAGGTCACTCACAACAGCATGTTCCATAGAAATTAATGGGGAAAAAAACTAAAAAAGATTACAGTTTTGCTGAAAACAATGTTTTAAAAAGGTTACAAAAACACAAACGTTACCGGCAAAAAGAGAATGATTTTATTTTCAAGAAAAAAAGAGATCATGGAAGACAGTTTCTATTTGCGCGGGATATTGTGGATTCTTCTTCAATGGTATTTCATGCGAACGTGTGTAAAAAATGGTTACTACACGTGCGATCTCTTCACGTCTCTTTGATTTTTAAAATTTTTAAAATTAAAAACAGTAATTGAGCATGCTCTTTCACACAATTCACTAGATTATACAGGATAAATATTTTTTATTATAATTTATAATTTCTTAATGTAAAATAAATATTGTAACTAATTTTATTGCCATCAGAAATATGAAATGAGAAATAAATCCCGTAAAAATAAATGTAAATTTTATATAGTTTCAGTGTTTATTTTTTTATATAAACAAATTTTTTTTATTGAAATCAAAGTTGAGATATAATGATATTTTTTTGGTATAAAATATATATAAGAAAATAATCTCAAATTTTATTTATTTCCAGACTGCAAATAAGTTTTGTTTAGAGTAAAAAATTACTTGATTAAGAAATTTAAACATTCCAAGATCAAATACCATTTTATATTTGTATAATCTTAAGTTAATATTAGTTGTTATTATATGCAAATTTGATAGATATATTTTTAATTATTTTTATTGAACATTTTTTATTTAAATTTATTGCTAAGATTTTTTTTTGTTACATTAAATATTGTTTGACAATTAGCATAGATTAAGAAATAGAATGTTTGGTAAATAATTTAGTATAATATAAGAAAAATTGTGGTGTTAACATATCAGTAAAAATGATCTCTAAAATTTTTACTTAATTAATAAATTATTGTTCATCTTTAATATGCATAAATCCGTAATAATGACTGCCACTTTATTTTCCTGTAACCGTCAACGTTAAATAAATCTACAACAAATTAACGCACGAAGTCACGAACCCACGAACAAACGATTATGACAAATAAAAATTCATGGAGCCAAAGAAGATGGGCTAACAATCGGATACAAAGAAAATGAATTCATCAAAAACATTTTACCATATAACTGTAAATATAATTAAAAAAAATTAATGACAAATAATGTTATCACTACCCTCCTCGAACCAACACTTATAAATAGAGGATCGGTGCGAGTAACTGACATTCATCATCATCATCAGCACATTATCATACACATAGCACATACAAAAAACTGACAAAAACAAAAATGGCGAATTTCTCCAGTATTCACATTCTCTTCTTCGTGTTCATCACAAGTAACTACAAAACACGCTCTCTGTTTGACTGTTTCATTCACATATGATTCTCTCTCTATTTTCGTTATTACATTTGTTTTCAAATGATCGTAATTCCAAACTTTAGCTCCCACGGATCAAAAATGTATATGTTCATCGTCGTCGATTGCACAATACAGTTCGTTTTGTTTTGTCGTATTTTAACAGTTTTTTTTATTCTTTTGGTTTCTGTATTGAATTTGCAGGCGGCATTGCTGTTTCTGCCACCGTCTTCACTTTGCAGAACAGTTGCCCTTACACCATCTGGCCGGGAATTCTCTCCGGCAACAGCAACACCCTCGGCGACGGCGGATTTCCCCTGATCCCAGGCGCTTCCAAACAGCTCACCGCCCCTCCGGGATGGTCAGGCCGGTTCTGGGGTCGTACCGGCTGCAATTTCGATTCATCCGGTCACGGTAACTGCGTCACCGGAGACTGCGGCGGCATCCTCAAATGTATCGGCGGCGGAGTTCCTCCAACCACTCTGGCCGAATTCACCGTCGGATCAGGCGTTTCCGGGAAGGATTTCTACGACGTGAGCCTCGTCGACGGTTACAATGTCGAGATGGGGATAAAACCTCAAGGAGGATCCGGCGATTGCAAATACGCAGGCTGCGTAGCTGACGTCAACACGGTTTGCCCTAGCGAGCTTCGTATCATGGATCCTCATACCGGAATTATCGCGGCGTGCAAGAGCGCCTGCGCGGCGTTTAATTCGCCGGAATTTTGCTGCACCGGTGCTCACGCGACTCCGCAAACTTGTTCTCCGACGCATTACTCGGCGATGTTCAAGAACGCTTGCCCTAGCGCTTACAGCTACGCCTACGACGACGCAACAAGCACCTTCACTTGTTCCGGATCTAACTACTTGATAACTTTCTGCCCCACCCGCTCTTAAAAACCGGAGCTCCGGTTCAGATTTGGGTCCGGTTTCTTTTTCGCGTTTCTCTTGCCTTTTATGTACGGAAAGGCTTATTATTGGCCTTTGTATTATCTTCTTCCATTTTAAGTTTATTTTCCAAGTATTCAGTTGTTACATACACATCTCATCTGCATTGTTGATTTCATTTGTATCTTTTCAATTTTTATCAAAGTATATTGATTTTAAGGAAAAGACAAAAAAAAGTAAAAAGACAGATTGCAATGCCTATATACACATCCTAACATATCGATATCTGGATATATAAATAGGGGAGCTTAATTAGAGATTAGAGGGTTTCTTTGTTTTTTCGGTCATTGCTTCTTGATGTACTTACATGAGAGAGCAATAACAGTATCTACCGTTAACCCAAAAGAGACAGAGCTTAACTACTATACTAAACTGTTCAAGCCACGGAATGATTAAAACATGCGACCCGCGACCAGATTCGATAAGATGGTTTGTTAGTCTATTTAACTGGTGCAGTTAGGAACAGTGTTTCTGGGCTCTCTCGATTTCCATTTGCAAGCCTTCTTCATTCCTTTTGCAGCCTGAACGAATCCCACAATAACCTGAAGCTCATCCATTTCCTGTCAACCACAGAGATTGTAGCTTTCATGTCTCTTTTGATTTCACTTGTTGAAGAAGACGAATGTTTACCTGAGACATGAAATGTCTTTGGACAATGTCAAGTAGTTGCTCCTTTGTCGGATTAGGAAGAGCATCCACCTTACAAACAAAGATCACATCTTGTATAAAAAACAAAAAAAAAATCTCTTCCAGAATTACAGGAAACTACGAAAGTAGAAAAAGATTGTTCATTTTTTTTAACTCACGAGGTTATAATGTCGCTGATATCTCAGTAATGCAGGCATATCCAGTTTGCTAAGATCAACCTTCTGCGTTCAAAACCATATATTTACTCATTTAGTTACTCAAAATTCAAAACATTGAGATTAAAAATTCAGCAGTACAAAGTTAAAGGCATTACCATATTCCTACGAGGAGTCAAACCCGAGCTTTTTGAGTGAGAGTCACAAGATACGGCCCTAGACATTGTCTTATGAGATAACCGCGCTGATCTGTGTCCTTTTTGCTTCGACTTATGAGGCTTCAGGGTGTCTACAGGTGCTGCAAACACACAATCAAAACAACATTGGAGAGTTTGATACTTAAGACACATAATTACCAGATTCCGACAAGGGAACAAAACTTACTCATATCTGAGGGATTCCATTGTGTATGCTGCTCGATTGCAATATCATTGTCTTCTTCGTTCCCTGTAGGAGCTTCAATGACACTAAGCGCATTCCTCTGCAACTTCACTTCTATTCCATTTGTCAAAACCTGAAAATCGCAAACCAGTCACCAAGTGAAAAGTTAGGGACTTTTTTTGAGAAATGGGAATGCCGGGAGACAAAAACTGGTGGAATTTGATGTCGATAATAGTAAAACACTTATATGCGTTGGGTTATGAAAGAAATCGGATTAAGATACTAATTATATTGCTAAAGCCAGAGAGAAATAGTGAAGTGAGTAATGATGAAAGAAAGGAATTTATAATATATTAAAAACTAAGCAGCCTAATGAAATTGAGAACGTCTATAAAAGTAACTCAACCAAAGGAGAAAAAATTCGGTTAGTGGATGAAAATGACCCATCTCAAAAAAGAGAAAGAACAAAGCCTTAATTATATTAAATTAGTGACAAGTAAAACAAATCTAAAAGCCAGCTTGAACCCACAAAGATGAAAAAAAGGGATAAGGATTCTCAAAGAAATTTGATGAGAAAAAAAGTGCAGATCGTTATGATGCAATTTAGAATAAAGTTGGTTTTTTTTAAGGACAATCAATCTCATCTCGTTATGGTCTTTTGCTTTTTTTTGTTGCGTTTGATGCATTTGATTCGGCAACATCGGATTACCATTGATTTGGTGCATTATTGAGCTTAATGATTCACAGAAAAAAAAAAAAATCACTCGAGCTAGATTCTGTTATTGTAGCTCAAAATCAACTCTTCTCTTTCAACAATTTCTCAGATTCTCCTCTCGAATGAAATCAAAAGGGGAAAAAACACAAAGATGAAACAAGACAAAAACAAAAACAAAAACCCAGTAAAAAAAAAAAAAAAAAAAAAAAAAAAGGCGAAGCTGATTTTCTCACCAGCCAATGCCAACCACCGAGTCCGACGGCTTTCTTAACGACGCCTTGAAGACCGACGAGGACGGATTTCGTACGGTTGTTCCCGGTGACGACAACTTTGGTATGACGTGGCAGCACCGATAATTCCTCCTCGCTACTGCAATCTCCGAAGCAGCTCTGTAGCTGAGAGAATCCTCCATTGAGGAGGACATTCGCGTTATCCGCAGCTTCCAGCATTTGATTTCTCACTCTTAATTTTCTTCTGGCTATATCGCTAGAACTCAGAAACAGAATCACACGGCCTCGATTTTGACGATCCTCGAGACGGAAGGTTGGTGCATTTCCGGAGGATTGAGAAAAAAGAGAGAAATCGAGCAGAGAAATTAGGGTTTCTTTATTGTGTCTGAGGAAGAAAGACAGAGTAGGAGAGTAAGAGAAAGAGGGAAAAAAGCAGAGAGTATTGTAAGAGAGAGAAAGGGGGAGGGAAGGGAGGGGACGATAGCGACCGCCTTCCTATCGATAGTGCTAATGAAATCACGCCACGTGGATTTCGTACTGCAACCATTTGCACAATGGAAATTCAGCGGTTTCTTTTTTTTTATATATATATAAACGAGAAATGGATTACCAAAAGTTTTGATTTTCTTTTTACCCAGAGGTTTTTTTTTGTCTTTAATGGTTACTTAGGGGATGTTTAGTCCAATCAAAACTTGATTTTCCTTGTTGATCCTGTAAACCAATGAAATAATAAACGTAATATGAATGAATAATCAAATTGCATAAAACTAATAGAAGAATATTAGATTTTATAAACTGAAAGTCGAACATAAAAAGTGGTTTGAATACTTTTGGTTGATAAAAAAAAAAAGAGAGGAAATACTGTAAATATACTTTTGGTTAAATGCTTATAAACATTTTAGGTAGTAATTTTAAATAGTTAAAACAAGAAAACGAGGGCCACACCTGGTAATTTTTGTGTAATGTATACACGCGATCGACGTGAATCTGAATGGTTGACTGATATTTTTAAGAAAAGTCAGGCAAAATGGGCCCATGCATTCGTAGAATGACGTTAATGCCCCTGTCTGTTTTATTTGTTTTCCATCGAATTTTGAATTTGAATCACACGCCCCGACTGTATTAAATACTTTTGCATCGTATAATGTCCATAATATAGAAAAACTAACTATAACCAAAACTATATGGAGTGATTCTTAAGACATACTTAACATTTTTGTATGTTTTAAGACATTTTTGTATGCCTCCGTTTACAATTTACAGTAAGGGAAAAGAAAAGAGAGTTAGCAAGGTAACATGGAAGTAATCAAAAAAGCAAAACATATTTTTGATAAAGTCAATGTTTTTGGCCTAAAAGCCAAACTGCGATTATCGTCCAATTGGTGTTACATACAACACTGTCAACACACTAACTTATCTAAAACTTCATTTTATCGTTAAGTAGTAGTAATAGTATTTTGCAATTTCAATAGATTTTGAAGAAAACAACAAGTTAATCAACTAAGAAGGTAATGAAGACTAGTACTTACTTAGATTCCAACTTCTCACGGATTTTCATCTAGTTAGATGTAAAACTAAAACATTGATTCATCCATTTAGATTTTTTCAAACAAATTTTAAACATAATCTATCTATTTCACATACTATGAAACAAAAGAAGAAACGTAGGAAAGGAAAGCTGGTTTTTGTCCTCAGGAGTGCGATTTAATATCTATTAGATTTGATTGTTAATTGTAATTAATACTGACTTAACAACAAAGTCGTTGTAGTATAGTGGTAAGTATTCCCGCCTGTCACGCGGGTGACCCGGGTTCGATCCCCGGCAACGGCGTCAATTCTTTTCTTCCAATTATTATTGAACCCAAAAGTTACTTACTCGCGGGAGTTGTTTTTACTTTTTAGTTTTTTACTTACTTTTCAAGACACATCACACGCTTCTGAGCAAAAAAAAGGCATCTCACACGCAACATCTGCACCTTTTATAAAATAATAACGTCATATTTCTTCAAAATTCACAAAAATCACGTATATGCTGTCTCTTCATGAGTCAAATAACTATTGATTTCCTTTTTTCCTGCCATTGCAGAAAGAATTACGACCGAAGAAAAAGTAAACATTTTAAGATTACAGTCACAGATTCTTATTATTCTCACTCTTTTATATAATCGAGAAACCAGATTTTAAGTTAAAATAAAAAGCGTGTAAAATGCACTCACAATATATGTGTACGTTGGAAGATTATATATCATAATTCATATATGCTGTTTTGGGTCTTGCTGTGGGACACATCTATCATTTAAAAGATGTAAGGACCCAGCAATTAATCGAATTTTCCAAAATGTTGCAAACCGTTACAAGTATACTAGATAATTAACATTTGTAAAGAGCGAAGAATGTTAATAAAAAAAAATACAAATGAATTATTTATACAATACTACAAACTAGACAGGACAAAAGTGACCAATTCTTTATTCTGAAAGTGAGATGTCTATGCCAGAAAAACGAAAAACTGATTTGAATATATCATTATATTATAAACACGGCTTATGTTGTTGAAAACAAAATTATTTCATTGTGTTGAATATTTAAAAAATAAAAACAAAGCAAAGCAAAGGACCCACACCGAAAAATGGGTCCCACATTGTCTGCTCCATCTCTTCTCTGTAATTATTTGGTCATTAGTCTTTTACAACAGACTATAGAAAAGATAATAAAAGCACACAAACGTACTATTTCGACTATACACTACACCCAACAACACACTTCACTATGTACAACTTCACAATCTCACCCTTCAAAAGCCACGTTACGACACGTGTACGATCAGTACAATACGAACACTGATTAATAATGTGAACTCGCGTACTTTGAACACACGACCCAAAATCAACACAAACTATACTTTTTTTTATTATTAATTAATTTTGAGAAGAATGAGAGATTCTTCTTCGATTCCAGCGAAGGAAAAGCGTATTCCTCGTGAGCACTAACTTCTCACTCCTCTTCTCCGTCTTCTTCAGTCTGCGTTCACACAATCTTCACCCATCCATCAAAGATCGGAGATTTCGAGGGGGTGGTGGTTGGTTTTTGATTGAGGATGACGTCGGATGGGGCTACGTCGACATCAGCAGCGGCGGCAGCTGCGGCGGCGGCGGCGAGGAGGAAACCGTCGTGGAGGGAGAGGGAGAACAATCGGAGGAGAGAGAGACGGAGAAGAGCCGTAGCTGCGAAGATATACACTGGGCTTAGAGCTCAAGGTGATTATAATCTTCCCAAACATTGCGACAACAATGAGGTTCTCAAGGCTCTCTGTGCTGAAGCTGGTTGGGTTGTTGAAGAAGACGGCACCACTTATCGCAAGGTGAATTTCCGACACAATCCCTAATTTTTTTCCAGATCTGAGCTTGTCTGTGTTTAGATGTTGAAATCTGAATTCGTGGATTTTCGATTGCGGTTGCGATTAATCGGGTTTGAATCTAATTAACCTGGCCATGTTTCTCAGCTCATGGAAAGTGAAAATAAAACAGAGCTTGAGCTTCTTTAAATCCTCTGTATAAGGATCTGATTCCGGAAAGTGAATCTAAGGTTTCTCTTACTAATATCAGTGCGAATTGCGATTATAAAGGGAGCATTTTAATTAGATTTAGAACTCCCCATTTAAGACTGTCTATACCTAATTGGTTGTTAGGGTTTAGAGTCAAAGCAGGTGGGAAACCTAAGGCATTGCCCTTTTTGCAGTTTTCGTCTAATGAACTAAAATGAGAATTGTGGTAGCTGAGATCTCCATTTCTTCTGTTTCCTTGGTTTCCTAATGATCCAAAGTGTTTGCATTTGTTCTTCGTTTCCTTATTACCGCTTAATGATTGTGACATTGTGATGTTTGGTTGGAGCAAACAGGGATGCAGGCCTCCACCTGGTGAGATAGCTGGAACATCCTCTCGAGTTACGCCTTACTCATCGCAAAACCAGAGCCCTCTGTCTTCGGCTTTTCAAAGTCCCATCCCTTCTTACCAAGTCAGCCCGTCTTCCTCGTCCTACCCGAGTCCGTCTCGTGGTGAACCGAGTAACAACATCTCCACATTCTTCCTCAGAAACGGCGGCATTCCTTCCTCTCTTCCTTCCCTCAGGATCTCAAACAGTTGCCCCGTTACTCCACCGGTCTCATCCCCGACCTCTAAGAACCCTAAGCCATTGCCTACTTGGGAATCCATTGCTAAGCAGTCCATGGCGAACGCTAAACAGTCAATGTCGTCTTTCAACTATCCTTTCTGTGCGGTTTCTGCGCCTGCTAGTCCGACACATCGCCAGTTTCATACCCCGGCGACTATACCTGAGTGTGACGAGTCTGACTCTTCGACTGTTGATTCTGGTCATTGGATAAGCTTTCAGAAGTTTGCACAGCAACAGCCGTTCTCTGGCTCTATGGTGCCAACCTCTCCTACTTTCAATCTCGTGAAACCTCCCGCTCCTCAGCAGATGTCTCCGAATGCTGCTGCGTTCCAAGAGATTGGTCAAAGCTCTGAGTTTAAGTTTGAGAATAGTCAAGTTAAGCCGTGGGAAGGAGAGCGGATACATGATGTTGGTATGGAGGATCTGGAGCTTACGCTTGGAAACGGCAAGGCTCGTGGTTGACTTGAACAGACTCAGGACGGCTTGTTTGATTGAATGTGAGAAGCTCTTCTATTCTTGAGCTTCTTCTTCCAGGTAACTGGATCTTTATGGAATCTCTCGTATGTTCTTCACTTACTATCCAGAATATGCGGCACAAAAGCCATCTCCGTGGAAGCATTGGAGTTTGGAGTGTTGCTGTCGTTGTTCAATCCATGAATTTGGTTTCAAAAGCATTGTTTGTAGATAAGGAATCTTAAGATTGTATGATTTATCTTGTCCCCTTACAAATGTTACATTAATTAGTGGCTTGAAACCGTTTTATGTATTGTCTTGTCAAATTGAGTAGTGATGTGTCTGTCGTGTCTTAAGCTCATTCTGCTTCTCAACATCAAGACCCAAAAGTTGCAGAACATATGTTTATACAAAATGTTAAATTCTTTATTTCCATGCAATTTAATATATTTTTTGTTGTCAAAAACTAACCCAAACCATCAAATATCTAGTTAGACAAAGCTAGCTAGAAGAGAAAGCACAACCAATGAACACAGCTAGCTACAAATGCTACATTTTCATAATGAATACAAAACATACTCTAGTCATCATCATCATCGTCTTCTTAACAATCCAATCCCTTTTGCTGATTAAACAAGTCATGGAGAATGCGGATCCAGTTCGGTCTCAGTCTCAGGGCTTTTCGGTTCTATCTCAGTCTCAACATTACATTCTTGGTATCTGAAACAACCTGCGAGATGATCATTCACAATGCCAGAGACCTGCAAGAAGGAATAAATAACGGTAGGACCCACGCAGCGGAACCCTCTCTGCATCATATCTTTGCTAATGTTCTCTGCCTTTGGGGACTTAACCGGTACTTGACGACCGTAGCGGTACCCATTTCTTAATGGCTTGTGGTTCACAAATCTCCAACAGTAGTTGCGGAACGATCCAAATTCTTGCTTCACCTGTTTTTTTTCAATTTACAACCAAAAGCTGTTTCAAGAAGTTTCCAAAAACACAATATTCATTACTTCTTTAGCAAACGCACAACAATCTACCTTGAGAACCGACTTTGCGTTATCTACAATGGCTCGCAGTTTCTGCTCGGATAAAATTAGACACCCATTTACTCTAAGCGACATCAACCTCTTCTCTGTGAATTGTGCTATAGCTAAAGGATCGAAATCTTCAAAGAGCTTCCTGCAAAGAGAAAACCAAAAAAAACTTTTGATTTTACACCAAAGCAAAATACAAAGACAAAGGAATCATCAATCTTTCTCTCCTTTTTTACTCAAAATGATAGAATCATAATTTTACCTAAAGGCATCTCTTTTGTGAAGGATTGAAGGCCAACTAAACTCAGCCAAAGCTTGTGAGAACACAAGCAGCTCGAAGAGTTTCTTGTCCTCACGAACTGGAACTCCCCATTCCTCGTCATGGAACAACACGTAGATCGGGTCTGTTCATCAATCGTCATTATTATTATTTATATTAGCCAAAAAAAGAACTTATACATCCATCAATCTTCAACAATTTTTTTTGTCTTTATCTTCAACTATAAGACCTAGTTTTTGCAGGGTGCAATTAATATGTTGTTGACATCTATGAAACTGATTGTTACCAACAAATTTTAACACATACATAATCAAGAATCTAACATTTCGAAAGCCATAAAAGGCCATTCACATGGCTTCAAATTAGAAGTCGACTGAGATATTTTTTTTTAGGGACACAAACGAAGAAATTGGGCAAGTCTCTTTTAATTCTTGCAGAACTATAATTTAATGTGCGAGGACAAGAAGTCTCTACATTGGGTAAAAAGTATTTTCGACAAAGGAAAAAAAAACACCATTTCCTCGTTATTCACGAAATTATTGCGTTTTTTTGAAAAAACAGTATTTTCGCTAAATAAATAGAGGAAAAAATGTGAATTTTTAAATTAAAGTTAAATGAGGCAAAGGCAAAGGAAAAAAAAAAGTTGTCAGACAAGCAGACCTGAATTAGGTGTGATCCAGTGGCATCTCTTGACCGGTCCCGGAATTTCAGGAGAAATGTCCTCAGCGACGGCGACGGCGACGGCGACGACATTATTATTGAGCTTCGTGACTGATCCGGTCCGTTTCGACGGGGTAATAATTTTGTCAGAGTTTTTCGTCTTCACCGACGAACGTTCCGAAGATGACGAAGAGTAGGAATCATCAGTTGAGGCTGTTAAGTTGCTCGTCACGGAGGAATCCGGCTTCGCAGCCGCCGGAGATTTCGTCACTCGTGGTTGCTGTTGCGGCTTCTTCGTCGCGATCTCAGTTTTCGAAACTCTAAATCTGTTGCCGGTCGAACAGAGGATAGCTCGTGACTCAGCCATCGGTTTAACCGGAGAACGAAGCTTGGTGACTACAGACATCTGAGAAGGTTTAGGATGTGGTAGAAATGGAGAATTCGAAGGAAATGTGAGGGTAAATTAGGAAAGAGAAAATTGAGAACTGATAAGGGAATGAGATGGGGATCAGAGAGAGAGAGAGAGATGGAACAGAAGAGTATGAATCGGAGGTTTTTAAAAACAGAACGGTAACAACAACAAAAAGGACTTAAAGAGTGGATGTAACCGGTAATAGCCGGTGAGTATTTGCTTGCGTGTCGGTTTAACTTCTGTGTTATCGTTTTTGGTTTCAGAAAGGGACACCAATAAATGGTTAAAGCCGTGAAAATTACGCTTTTGTCATTAATTCCGGATTAATTTTTTTTGCCGCGCATGTCATTTAGAACAGTGATAGTGGGGTTAATTGTGGACTTCTAAAAGAAGTAAGAGGGATTAGTTAAAACTTTTAAAACATGTTTTGGAGAATGTACCAAAGTCTCCACAATGCTTTATGAGTTTGACCCACATATACAGTAAAATTAACGAAACAACTACTACTACTACATTATTTATTACTCCGACCTCGAATTAACTGCCCCAGTAGCTCGTGCTCAATCACTGCTTTGGCTTCTCGAAGAAGAGGAAGTACAATGATTGTAAATGAAACAAGTTGATTTGACCCCTCTCTTTTTTTTTTTGTTTTAAAATCGTTTTGTAAAATATAGTGGGAATCAGATTTTGACTAAAATTCATTCATTTTTTCACTAGCCCAAAAAATTAGAAGAAATATAAAAATACAAATATTTTTAACAAAATACTTTGATGACGGAGGGCAGAAAGGTCATTTAGAGGTGGGCAGAGAGTCAGAGTCTAATTTGGTGAAGTGTGAATACGAGGGAGGGGTAAAATGGGGAATAGAAAAGCTTTAAGTAGAAGTTAAAAGTAGCTTACCGTTAACAAAAAGAATCGTAAAAGACATCCCAACACCAACTCCACCTCAACCTCACACACCTTGGCCTGCCGTTTCTTTTCCTTTTCTTTTCTAACGGCTAACAGCTAATTCGTCTTTAACAGGCCTTAGCCCAATTAAATTATATGGCCCTAACTCCGTACGTAACGTATTAAAAACCCTTTAAAGCCTTTTTATGATAACAAAAATTGGTGTATTGAATATAACCTGTGAGGCTGTGACAGTTAAAAAAAAACCTGCAACATCTTTTGATTCAGAACCTTAACTGTACACTATTTTTTTAACTGCATAGCCTTTGTGTAAAGAACTAAAAGACTAAATAATTGGTCTTCCTTTAAACCGGTCCGAGAGTGTTGAAATGGTCCCATGCTTCCTGGAATGATTGAACCAAACAAAAAAAAAGGACTTAGATTCGAAGAACCTGCAACGTTTTTTTTAAAACATTGTTTGGTAGTGATAACAAAAAAAACCTGTAACAACTCGAAAACTTTCTCAGCCATGTATTTCTGGTTAGCAGAAGCACCCTTCTGTTGTAACTTGTCTGGATGAAGGATTAGTAATGCCCTCTGGTACGATTTTCGAACCGCGTTTCCTTCGATCATATCCATGAGAGGTACCGGTTTCCACCCGCTCCCGGTCCAAAGAATCTGTAAATGTGAAACTTGTTAGCTATACATAGATCCAATCAATATGTTACCTCTTATAGAGTACTTACATATTGCAATGTGGACAGGAGAGACCGAATGTTTCCACTCTTTCCACTTGACCACTTGCGGATTTTCGCATCGATGTTCTGTATATGTTCGGAGAGTGTTTTGAGGATTCTAATACTGTAAAAGTATTGAAAAATGCAAATGCAGTAGTATTTACCTGAATTTCTTCAGCATCATTTCTAGTTTCTTCCAGTTTGTTCTCATCTTGTGTTATATCCTCCACCTGCGCAAGCACATTACAAGTTTCCGCGCCAGTTTTTAAAAGAAAAACATTAAAAGTTGAGAAATATTCTGTTTACCAGGAAGTTTACATGGAAGGGCTCGTCGAGATCCTCCGCGTAAGTATGCGCTGACAAAAGAAAACGAGGTTAGCTCATTTGTTATTTAGTTGTATCATAACATTCCAAAAACACTAATACAAGAACTGACCTGTGCTCGGTTCTTGTCTCTTCTCTTGTTCAGTAACACCACTAGCCTTATTATTGTTCATGCTCACCCGATCTGAATCCTTTTTCTGAGTTTCCTGAGAAGGTTTTTGATCCCGATCCTGCAAGGATATCTACAGGTAAGGAGGACTCACAAACCAAGTAATATATAGGAAGAATTTGATTTCTTGATCAAGTACCACAGCAGGTATATCTGGAGTCGGTTTCTTTTGTTGATCAGGAACGTTTACAGTTTCCTTGGCATTAGCAGTAGCACCGTCTTTATTGGTATCAGTCTTGGGAGTTTCTTTAGCTCTCCATCTAGAGCTTTTTTGCCCAAGAGATTCCCCACCTGCTCCAACAGAAGCTCCTTGACTGAAAATCTTCACAAAGTCCATCACTTTTCCTTTGGCCGCATCTTTGGCAACTTCTGGTGCCGAGGATGAACTTGATTTATCGGGTATCGGGCTGTCCAAAGAACTTTTCTTGCCGTGTGGTTTCTTTTTAGTTCTTGAATCTCCAGTAGAACTTCGAGTGTTCTTCGCTTTGCTTTGACCTTTTCTCACTTCTCTTTCTGATGCTATATCCTCACCTGCAGCAACAAAGAACGAAACCAAGTCCACAAAAGGAAGCTAACCCATATCAAATACAAACATATATATGTCTGCAGAGACCAACCTTGTTTACTGTCCTTATCATCCACAAACGAATGAAGAGGTTTCACATTAGCCTCACGCGCTTTCGACACATCTCCAGAGATGGCCTGTTCAGGCATTGAGTCGGTTTCTGTCTTCTCCTCTTTTCTCTGAACACCAGGACGCTTATGTGAGGTCTTCTTTTCCTCTTTCAGACCAATATTTGCTTCTCCTTCTTCATCTTTACCAGCTTTCTCAACTGAAGTAGACTGCAAATCGTTTGGTGTTGTTGCCTCTTCAGGTTTAGACATAGAGCTCAATCTAGAAGTACCCCAAATAACTACAGGAACTCCTTTATTAGGCCACTTGTAGATAGAGAAGTGAAACTGCCTTGGTTTCCCAGTAACAGCTCCTGGACCATCTGAATCTGATCTAGCAGTAGAGCTCAACATATCGGCTTTGCTCGAAGTTCTTGACAAAGGAGAGCTCGAAGCAGTGTCTTTGTTCTTGCTCAAACTACGAGTAGCTGAACCAAATGTGGGAATCTCTGTCGCTTTGATTAGTTTTGCAGGAAGACTGAGGAATACAATCATATCCAAATACATATATGATCAATGATTATGAAACTAAATAATCTCGTCAAAATTAGTAAGAAAAAACAAAAAAAAACAGACCTGAATTGTGCAGGAAACGAAGTCCCAGGAGATTCGGCTTTGTGGGGGATAGGACGACCCGGGCTAAGGATCCGAGAACCCGGAAGTGACGGTTCGCATTCGTTCTTGGTCTTCCTCGGCGAAGAAGATGATGATGATGATTCATTCACTCTGAAAATATCGTCGAAGAAATCGTCAGCCGTGAAACGACGACGGATGATGGATGGATCTTCGCCGAAAACAGGCTTCTCGTCTCTTCCGTCCCAGAAGTCATCGCGAGGAATCAGCGCGCTGTTGTCGACGATGACGTCACGCCGCCTCTGAGCTGTTTCACTGAAGCTATGACGAGTGAGTTCGTTAACCTTGGAACGTCTCTTAGGCGGACCACCAAACACATCCCCGAAATCGATGTCCACGTCATCGCCGCCGGGATTACGCAGCACAGGTGGTGAGTTCGAGGCCAGAAGAAGGGTTTCTGAGCTCATCGCTTGACAGAGCAAAAACAAAAAAAAAAACAGAAAATTGCAAGTGTGTTGTTCTGAGAGGGATACAGAGGAAACAAGGCTGAAACAAATCCTCGAGAAGAAGACAAAGAGAGATGCACAGTGTGGGGTTCCATTTGATTTGAAACCACTAAAGTGATTTTCGGTTATTACAGAGAGAATCTTAAAGAAGTCTTCTTTGTGGATAAAACTCATATAAATCCAAAACCTTACTTACACTCTCTTTGTCTTCCTTCTTCCATCTCTCTCTCTCTCTCTCACATTTCTTTTTTTGTGGTCAGCTTTTGATTTGATCAGTAAAACTAAGGGGCTATAGAATACATCAAATTCTTAGTACAGAAGCTCAGAAGAAGAACTGATTCCAAATTTATAGCCACAAGTTTTCTTTTTTATCCTACCTTTTTTACTGAAGGAAGTATATATTTAATCAGAACCTGCCATTGTTGAAGAAGAAGATTGTTTTTTTTTTTCCTGATATCTTGCTTAACAAGCATCCATTTTATCTCTTCATCAATCAGAACCATCAGGGAAGCTATCAAGCGCATCTTGCTTGCCATTAACGTAAAACTCCACCACAGCTCGCATTCGATTTAGCTTATCTGGATGGTAATTCAGATGAACAATCACCGGCTTCAGCTTCTTCAGTTCACGACTCTTTCTCACGGTTTTGAACAGAACCTTACTGTTCATGAACTCGTACATATCCATGACTCTCTTGGAAGCGTGTAAGCCGGTGTACCCTGGATGCGAAGGGTAAAAGAGCTGCTCGTTGAAAACCGCTTGGTCCCACGCATCTTCCTTGGAGAGTGTCTCCGCCACGCGATCGAGCAGCTCGATTGAAGCAAGAGTCGGTCTGAGGTAGAAAAACCCGGAGTTGAAAACCCATATCCTCATCGTGTGAGCATACCGAGCCCATCCCATGGACGGTTCATCAAACACGTCGTTGAAACCGTAAGCCGTCATGTTGTCGTGCCCATCGCTCATCGACTCCACGTCGGAGTCTCTGTACAGGTGACGGAAAGGGTTCTGCAAATAGAGGATGTCCACATCCGACAGAAGCACACCGTAACCAAGCTGCAAGAACTCCCTCAAGACTCGGAATTTCAGCCCTGAGACGGCGTGGTTTTCTCCGGTTTTACCGACCGAGTCCACCGCTTCGTCTGGATCCCTCTTGTAAAACGCGATTTCGTTCGATTTACATAGATTTTCAATGGAATCATCCAGAGCAACAACGAGGTAGTTCTGAATACCAACTCTCTTTACGCTAGCAAACTGCAACTCCAGCATTGATTTCACCTTTGAATTTGCGAGAACCACAATGATCTCTTTGTTGACAGATACTTTGTCTAGCAGCTTTGCTAACCTTGGGTTAACAGACTCGTCGGGAACGACCGTTGGATTAGTTCTCAGGCTCTTGACAGTTCCGAAAGGTCCGGCCTTGATCTCTGATCCCAAAACCAAGACTTGTTTCCTTGCGTTTTCTGTATCTTGTTCAGCCAACTTTACCTTCTCCGTTAGCTCTCTGACCTGCTTCCTTAACTCTGCGTTCTTTTCAGAGATCAGTGCAAACTCTGATTTCAGCATTTTAATCCGTTCAGACGATTCACATGAAGCCGATCCAACCTGAAGAAAATAACAGAGAAAGGATGAAACTTTCACCAGCTAAACCAATATGATGAGGACTGATAATGGACTCAACATGATGCATTGAAGCATGCAATCTGTAATTCCTACTCAGTAGTCGATGAAGAATTGAAGATTCTCAATAATCGAACGAACACAACACCAACCAATGCTAGAAATCGAGACAGATTTTCTAATTGACATGCATTTAGGGGATAAGATCTCTAAGTACCTTAGAAGTAAATTTCGAGAGGCGTTGGTTAAGTGGCATTGATGATCCGGAGTTGAAGAACCCGTTCGGGAACAAGACGGTGCAGACGCAGCCGATAAGGATTCCGACGAGGATGGCGAACGCAATTCGAGATCCGCGGAGTTGATGGTGGATTTTGTCTCTACGACCCGCCATTGTTAATCTCTCACTTTCTCCGAAAAGAGAAAGAGAAGACGAAGTAGCCAAATTGATAAACCCTTTGTTTCTTCTCTGATCCAAAAAAATGATACTAAACTTGTTAGAAAATTTATATTACATATAAGCCTTTTTGACCATTGATTTGGTTTCCTTAATTTCCTCTCTTTATCTTATGATTCGTTTCTATGTTTTGTATTTATTTAATTGAAGTAAGTACAGTTAGTTCCACAATATATCTTGACTTGTCTGTGCTGGCTGCTGAAGTAATAGTTGTTCTTGGTCAAAAGGTCATATCCACTTGGTTGTTCTCTATGTAGTTAGGTTAGGCAATAATTTGCCAAACTCACCACCACAACAAAATGTTATATCTATAAACTTAAATTGATCACAAAATTAAAGAGAACAGTTATTCGCAGCATTGAACAATGAAACTAAACCCAAACAGTTTTTGTTTGAGAGGATTGAATAGCTTTTGATTAAATGGTATAACCAAGGAATATTTCAAGCTGTTAACAATATCCTTTTCCTATGCAGTTGAGACATCGTTGTACCCTGCAATAAATCAAATAACCAAATATTTTAGTTTACTTTTGTCTAAGAGAATATTTTCATGTCTTCTCAGTGTTAAAAGAGAGTTTAGTGAATAGGTAGACAAACCTGTTACCATCACATGTAGGACAAAGACAAGGATTGATACAAACTGGATCATACAATGGCGACCATTTTATCGTTGCGCTTCCTTTGCATAATCTACAAATGTAAAACCCTTTCCCACGGCATGCTCTACAAATCAATCCGGTTTTCTTCTTCCGTTTCTCTTCAATGGTGAATCGAAATGCGCCCATGGCTGCCGAGGAAACCAAGTTTATGATCACTAACCCGCCAACAATTACGCCTGCGCTTGTTCCCAAGAATCGAATCGGTTCTAGTGGCATCTCCTATAGTGTTTAAGTCTCTCTGCGGAATTTCGTCGAACACCTTCACTGCGTTTTCCCGCTGATGATTTTCTTACCTCACAAACTTTCAAAATTACTGTAGTATATATCTCAGAGCAGGAGCCAAAACAAATGGGGATTTATGGAAGAAAGTGTAACAGATTTTTTATAATAAACACAGAAGAAAAAATAATCGGTAATTTAGGAGTTGCAGAGTCTTCTTCTTGGTTTGGATTTTGAGAAGGAAGAAGATATCAATCGAGATAACACACAGTGATGGTCACATGTTTTGACCATTTTACCCTTTCGCTTAAAATTGAAAATAGAGAGAGCAGCCTTAAATCCCGACTAAACCGATATACAAACCGGTACATCTTCGTAATCTTTGTTATCTCGAAATCCTACTAAAGAGAAGATGAGCACCGTTTTGAGGCTGCAAGGTCACAAACAAAACAGGAGCATGGACGTAACTTGGCGACAACCTGAAGCTGTAATGCCTCAAGATCGTAGCAAGAACCGTTTTGGCTTCAACCATTCCAAGATTCTGTCCCACGCAAGTCCTAGGCCCTAACCCAAACGGCACAAGCAGAGCTGACTGTTTCCTAGGGTCTTCAAACCTACGCGGATTAAACTCCTCCGCGTCGTCTCCCCATGTTTCTGTGTCATGGTGCATCGCGATGACTGATAAATAGAGTTGAGTTCCTGCAGGAATCTCAAGGTTTCCGAGCTTAGCTCTCCTTAGAGTGTCACGGTTTAGTGTCATCGCTGGAGGATAGAGCCGGAGAGTCTCATTGATTATCATACCTATCTGTTTTAAAGACAAAACAAACATGAATGTGTTGTTTAGGAATCAGTGTCTCTTAAAACTGTTCTTACGGCTTGAGCTAAATGACTTACAGTTTTGAGGTCTTGTAAGGTGTCTGCAGTGGGAAACTCGGTTGGTCCGAGGACGCGTATAACTTCTTCGTGAGCAATGTCTTGCCATTCTTGGTGCATAGCTAAAAGGACTAGAACCCAAGTCATAAGATCACCGGTTGTTTCTTTAGCTGCGAAGTAGAAAGTCTTGCATTCATCTATAACTTCTTCAATCCCAAGCTTCTCTTCTTGACCATTCTGATTCGTGTTAGGAGACATAAAAGCCTGGAGCAGAGTCCCTGATTTCTCAGCGGCTGTCTTCTTGTTGTTTTCGATTAGTCTCACGATAGAACCACGGATCTGTTTCTCGATCCTCCATATCTCTCTATTTGTCCTTGAAGGAAAGAATCTACACCAAAATGAGCATTAAGGTTCTTAACTACAAACTTGTTCTCTAAAAATAGCAAGTTTCTCCAAAAGAGTTTTATACCTGAAACCGGGGATATAAATGCTCCATCGAACTAGATAGAAGAGACGCATCATACGCTCCTGCAACGCAAAGATTTGTTTCCCTTCTTCCACACAGTTCCCAAAAGCTGTTCTTGATAACATATCCGCAGACAAACCGTGTATCTCTCTGTGTACCTCTATCTCAATCTCCTCTTCTCCATTTCTCATCTCCTCCCACTTCTCCAGCAACGTCATAGTACTTGTCACCATCTGTGGCACCCACCTCTGCAGAAAAAAAAATCAGCTTTAATCACAAATCCTATAGAGTGTTCCATCATATGTTCACATGAGTTAACAATCTTGAAACCAAATTTCAGACTCCGATTTGGGAAAATTCAAGCTACATTATATTACAGAGCTTAACGATTGATGTGTGTTACCTTGACTTTCTCCATGGTGAAAGCTCGAATGGCGATTCTTCTATGGAAAGCCCATTGATCGCCTCTCAGACCAGGAAGTCCCTGAGCATAGAGCAGCTTAGACAAAGGGTTATGTCCGACTCGATCAAACGACCCGCTCGTTGTCAGAGCTTCCCGGATTAGTCTCGGATCCGACGTGGCGACCACCGGTTTCGCTCCGAACCAGTAGAGGAACGTCTTCCCGTAGGCACGTGACCACGCGTGGTAGTGAGGCGCCACACGGTGGACGAAATGATGAGGGTTGTCGCCGGAAGGGATCGGCTTTGATTTCGCCTCCGCCGTTAATCGGCTAACCTCCGCGGAGTTTCCGGTGAATATCCGGTAAAAAGGTCCCGTCACGCCCCGCCTCTTGAAGTGGGATTGGATTCTCCAAGGGACCCATATGTTACTGTAGACGAATCTGAAGACGAGAAGGAAGAATAAGACGAAGACGAAGAAAAGATAATTGAAGATGTAGGACACTCCCATATTTTGACTTACTATCTCCACTCACTCTCTCTCTGCTTTCATTTTCATTTATTGGATCTTGAAATTATAATATTATCGGAAAATCATTTCCATATCTGATCTTTGATATTATAATGTTATCAGAAAATCATTTCCAATCTGATGATCTTGATGTAGATTGCCGCCACGAGAAGTGTTAAACTGACAAAATGCGACCGGAGAAACAAAGCTACCGGTAAAATTTTATTTTTTTCGCCGGAATAATACATAATACAAAAATTTCAAGCGTTGACCGGTAACAAAAAAAAAAAGAAGCATGAACAACAAAATAACATACCGGACTATGGAAAGACGAAAAGAAAAAAGGCCTTAATTTTCGTCGTCTAAAGCTTTGTTATTACCAAACAAGCTCTCTCTTCTTTGACCAAACCCACTTGAATCAAGACCTGACCCACCGCGGTAATTCATCTCCTGCGCCGTTGTTCTGTAATTAGTAGACTCCACCGGAGCTCTCGAGCTCGGGTCGTTAGAGGCAACTGACCGGTAAGTACCTGCTGCTGCTCCAGGAGGGTACCGAGACGGCGAAACGTACCTTCTTCGGAGATCCATGAGATCATCGTTTCTCCTAGATGGATCAGAGAAAGAACGTTCTGTTACCGAAGATGAATGTACCGTCGTGGAGGCGAAAGGATCGTCGGGTCCCCAAGCTGTGAGAGATTCTTTCTTCTTGGCGAAGAAATGCCAAGCGGCGAATAAAAACAGTATGAAGAAGAACACAGGACTGCTCCAAAGCATTGTGTTGAACTCTCCTTTGGAAACCGGAAGCTTTGATTTGTATGTAGCGACGTATCCGTCACCTAAACCCATCACAAGAAGCTTTTCCCGGTCACTTGCTATCAAAGGAGTTGACTTTTCGAGCTTCCGGCGATTGGTTTTAGATGACTCTCGATGGCTCAAGAACGTTGACCTAATATCTTCTAACGCGGCAGGGAAAAGAAGCCGAGGACCCGTGGTTCGAACATAATGCTGAGTCGATACATTGTACACAAAGACTTTCTCTTGGCTGACAACAAGAAGATAGCCTTTGATGGCTTGTAACGCCACAGGCTCCTCCATTTGAAACTTCTTCCTTGATCTCACTCTACATTTGAAGTTCATGATGTCACCAAGAAGCAACACGTGGATGACTTCGCCTTCGGACGTGAATCCGTAAGCCTTAGACCGTTCAGACGCATCGAAGACGTAAGTTCTCGCTAGAGAATGGTTCAAACCGTCACACTCGGATTCTCTGATCTTCATGCTTCTCAAGTCCAATGAACCAGCACCAGTCTCGGTGAGAAACAACAGCCTCTGCTTCAAGAACACGAGCGGTCTACTAGATGGCGTTACGGAGCCATAAACCGTTCTGTTCTCAGTGTAAACGGTGAGCTTACCGCTAAGATCCGTCGCCAATATATACCTAACCCGACCCACATGATGCACTTCCAGTAGAGTCACTTGCAAACCATCCTCCGTGCCATCAAACTTGCCAACGTTTTCCATCACGGCGGAGTTCCAATCTTCCCCGATGGAGCCCTCGCGGAGTCGATGCAGCAAGATGACTCCGCTTTGGTGTCCCGTCACCACGAAGCTCTCGTTCTTATACACAGACATGTAAGAAACCATTGCCGTGACTGGCGAATCACAGGTGGTGGAAAACTCGACCAAAACATCACCATTCCTCAAGAACACATAAACCTTACCACTTGAATCCCCGACTGCGAAATACTTGCTTAAACCTTCGTAATCTCGAAACGGCAACACGTTGATACAAGTAGCGTCGGAATCTAGCTTCACAGCGGATGTGAACTCGAATCTCTCTGACCAGAAAGGACTGTACTTTGTCACGGAAAACGCCTTAGCTTTCTCTCTAACCCCGTTACTGTGTTCTTCTTCTTCTTCCATTTGGCGGCTGATCTCGTCCTTTCGCTTGAGCGAAGCTTCAGATAACCTAGCATCTAATCTAGCAACTATTTCCGTAAGATTCCTAACAAGTTCCTCCAGTCTATGCAATGAAACGCCTTGCCTGTCGGATTCGCTGTCGGTCACGACTCCAGGAGAAACATCTGAGTTCTCGTACGGAATCGAATCGGACTCGGAAGCGGCGACAAACGAAGATGCATCCGGCGAAAGGAAAAGCAAACTAAGCGATACAAAGAAGGAGAAACAGAAGAACTTGCCTTTTCGATAATCCGCCATTAAGGAGTGCAACCAAAGAAGCAGAAGGGTCTTTATTTTTGTTTTCTCCTCAAATCAGTAAGTAACCGCCATTTATGCAGATCTAATGGTGATGGGGGAATCCGGATCTGAAAGCAAGAAGATTTATCCGGTCGGAATCTATCTGAGATTTTCTTTTGAAAGTCAAACAAGAAAATAAAATAAATTTGTCTAATTTTTCATCTCTTTTGTCCGAAACTCTCTGGTCTGGTCTTCTTCAGTCCAAGCTAAGCTTAGGGGGAGAAGCAATAATAATATATGGCCTCAGAGTTTTATTATGTTGAGGATCAAAGGAAGGTGTTTTTTTTTCTCTCATCAAAGTAAGGCCAAGAATTGTTTAAATTTTTCCACCAACAAGTTAAGATATTTTTTATTCATCAAATCTACAACATGTGATTTAAAAGTGTTTGTGCTTTGAAAACAAATTATAACGAACATGAAAATAAAAGGTTAATTAAATTGTTAATGGTGTTAGTTGATTGAGATACTTGAGTAATTTCTATCCATATAACATTTTTAAAATATAGTAGTATCAAAAAAACTTAAATTATTAAAGATTCGAATGACGACCATGGATGATCTAATCCTCCCACTAAAATCTCTGTAGTTACAGCAACAATCTATGTACTTGAGAGACTGAATCTGATGAGGAAAAAGCCAAAACGCAGGGTCCTACCGTCGTTTTAGGCGGCCACCCAAACGCAAAGCGACATGATCTAGTGATTCACGTTCAACACACGTGCAGTTTCATTGCCACAAGTCAGACAACCCTGGATTCCTTCCTCCAAAACACATTGCCAAAGTTCTCTTTATCTTTTTGTTTTAGCTGATTTCATCTCTTTCCCTGTTAAAAATACTATTCGTTAAATAAAAAACTTTTTAAAAGCAAAATTTGATATATTTAGTTGACCAACAGAATAATCGATCTCACAAAAATATACATGAATGTGAAGTTTATTCAATTAAAGGAAGAGAGGGTTTACTTGTGTATTCGTCTTCACTTGTTTCTTATCCAATTTGAATGCAGCAAACATAGACTCAGTGTGGCTGCTGCTTATCACTGTCTCTCCTGAAGTAAAGCAAGCTTTCTTTGAAGACATTTTTAGGTACTCGTACAAGGTTGTTCGTTGCCCCGAGCTCTTCTCTTGCTCCACCGCCGTCGCCTGTAATGTCGCTGATCTCTCCTGTGACTGAGAGGCGGTGAATTTCGCCGGAGCTCTTCTTGGTCGGCTCTTTTCTTGAACAATCTGCAGAATATTATGAAGAAACATATTTATGCGTGTACCAGAAACATTTATGGGATGTTGTGTGTTTTTATAGAGAGAGCTTTACCGTCTCTGGAACTGCAGGTTCCTCTGGCGCTGAGTTTGAGCTTTTGCTGTAAGTGTCATCGCGTTCGAATATATAGCCACGTACAACGTTTGATCCGCGCTTACGAGATCCTTCTGATATGGAACTCTTCGTAAGTCTACCCAAGAACGATGACTGCAAAAGAATCATGGCATAAGTAAGTTGTCTCTCTAAAAATCCATTGATATATGAAATAACTGAAGAAGGTTTATATATATATATATATATATATATATACCTTGGATGCAGCGGGGTTTTTGCTTATTCCCATAAGTGCCCTCTCTTTATAAGCTGAAAACAGTTTAAACAAAATGTTTATAAGCAGTGGAACCAACTGATTGCACAGCAATGTGTATATAACTCAGCTGATGATTACATAAAGAGGGAGAAACTTGGGTGGTATCTTACAAGTAGATTTTGCTTTCTTTACGGTCTCAGGCTTCTTGATGTGGCGAAGAATTTCCTCGGAGATTTCATTTCCTATAGAAGATGAAGACTTGGCCTTTTGCTCCTGTTCCAAACAAACGGTGATTGAGATTTATGGAGTAGCACAAGCAAAAATATCAAACAAAGGTTTTCAATCTTCACAATATAGAGGTATGCTGGATCACAAGCACCTACCATTTTCTTGTACAATCGTTGTTGCAGGAGCTTCTTTTCCATTTCCTCGTCGTCAGATGACACATAAACGTCATCCTCATCTGTGAACATTAAAGGAATCATTGCCTTTATTTTCTTTATGTTCATTCGCATGGAATTTGCATGAGACGGATCTTCTTCATCTTCTTCTTCATCTTCATCGCCTTCAGGTTTTTGCACTTCTTCATCATCGGCATCTTCAGCCCTCTCCTCGTCCTCATCGTCAGCATGGTCATCTTCATCTTCAGACAATGATGTTTCGTCCTGCTGCAAACCACGTTTTAGCTTCTGCAAGAGCTTCTCTGTCCCTGCCGCATCTTGTTGCTCGAGCCACTTCTGATGCAGTTCATTACGTCTATCTTTATCAGTTGGATCTTCCTTAAATTGACTAACAATCATATCCCTGAGATCGTCATCTTCTTCATCCTCGTCTTCATCCTCATCCTCAAACCGGAGTAAATCATTGTCACTGTCATCTTCTTCTACAGCATCCTCATCAATAAATTTTCGAACAGGGTCACCAGGAGGTGAATCATGGGTCTCAGAATCAGATTCCTCAGTAGATCTGCAGATAAGAGTTGGTTACTGCATAAGAAGCAAGCCTAAGAATACAGTATATAACAGAACTCTGCAAAAGCAATTGACTTTGATGTATATGTCACAAAGCACAAGCGATTCATGTACTGAAACAAACATCTGTCCATAAAATATTACGAACACATGAAGACTGCGTTATTTGAAGCTTTCCAATAATATATATAGACGAGCATGTCAATGTTATAGCTGATTATGTTTCCGCATGTAACCAGATCTAAAGATAGACTCACTTGTTTGGTGCAGGGGACGGGTTCAGTTTGAGGTTCGTGGCAAGTACCGATGGTGTCATTACTTCTTTCAAGGATCCGCTTGACGTCTTCTCTAGAAGTTCATCTCCAGAGTTGGTCGTTTCAGAACGCAAGGATGGATCCTAACAAAAAAAACTGAGAGAGTCAAAATCTGATTTTACAAACCACTTATAATGAGCTTAAAATAAACTTAGCATTTGTAAACTGGAAATGAAATGAGATGTTCACATCATTTTCAACCCCCACATGTTTGAACTTAGTACTAGATCCAGGACCACTTAAACATCCAAATATCGTACACAACTTTAACTAAAGACCTCAAAATCCAAATTCAAATCAACAAAACAGAAAACAACTTCCTATTTGAGAAAGGATCTAATAGTAAGTTGGCTCACCTGATGAGTAGGGTTACTTTCAGCTTTTTTGTTAGAGGGACTGTCTGAGTTCCCTGATGGACCTGCAGAGCCCTCCAAGCAATCCTCTTCTCCAGGATTTTGCGTGCTTGTAAATTTCAAATTCATATCTTCATTCTTCTCTTCCGCTACAACTTCCTCAAAACTATCCCCATCCTCCCTATCAAGACCGTCAGATATGTCCGTAGTAGATTTGGATTTCTTCCTACTAAGGAATCTGCCAACAGCATAAATGATGACACGCAAACACGGTTACTAAGAAGAAGAAAACAGTGATGGGGAGGTAGTAGTTATGGACTACATCAAACTCACTGTTTTGAAATCTCCTCTTTTCTTCGACGAATTTTCTCCAAGACAGACGAAATGGGCTTTCGGACAAGAGGGACGGGCTCAAAGGCAGCATCTCTAGTTTCTATCATGAAAAGAAAAACACAGAACAGCACCAAGTTAAAGACAATTACACAGAAGAAGTTCAGTTTTCTGAAAAACGTCAATGACTAGTGTGTTTAAGATATCTTACCTCGTAAGAGTCTCTGGTTTTCTGCACGAAGCTGGTCAAGATGTTCTCTTCTTTCCTATGGAAGAACGAAGAACAGCAGCAACACCAATTAAACCCAGGAGAAGGAAACAAACAATCGAATATTGCAAGGCTACTAAGAAATAGAGAGCTACCTTCTTAGTCATGTTCATGGAAGCTGTAGAGATCGGCAGCTCATCAAAATCGACATTCTTCTTGCTCCTCTTCTTAGTTCTCTTTTTCTCTTTTCCTTCGCTGTCACTGGTCTCGAGAACTGGTCGCTTCTTTCTAGCCTCCTTCGTTTCCGATACACTGATTTCCTCTCCTGCTTCCATTTCACAGGATTCGTCTTCGCCTTTCTCGCCCAATTCCTCAAGTGCGGAATCAAACTCAGGCACACTCTTCGCAGCTTCCTTCGTTTCGGAAACCCTAGTTTCGTCTCTTGTTTCCAAACCAGAGATTTCGTCTTCGCCTTTCTCACCCAATTCCTCGGGTGCGGAATCAAACTCAGGCACACTCTCCTCAGCTTCCTTCGTTTCGGAAACCCTAGTTCCGTCTCTTGTTTCCAAACCAGAGATTTCGTCTTCGCCTTTCTCGCCCAAATCTGGATTCAATTCAGGCACACAATCAAAATCAAGAGCCTTCCTGGCGGTAATTTCATCCTCCACACCCAGAGCCTCGCGATCAGATTGCAGCCCGTCTTCTTCCTCAATCCCATCGAAATCCTCCGCAGACTGCAATCCAGGATTTCCCAGATCGTCGGCTTCTCCGGAGTGGAGGGTTTCAGATCCAGGACATAAATCGGAGATCGATGTAGCTCTCTTCAATCGCCTAAGCATCCTATTTGGAACCGGGACACTCGACTCTCCAACAGGAGAAACCGGCTCGTCTCTGCCCATCTCCGATTGTAATCTCCGGCTAAAATGATTGGAGATTTTAAACGGTGCTCGATAGATCTGTTCGTTTAGAAGAAGAAGAATCAGTGCGAAAAGGGGATATGGAATACTATTGCTTGAGGATTTTGCCGCCAAAAAAAATTGAAATTTAGCGCCTCTATTTTCCGTTTTAAGAAGAAAAAGAACTGCGAAGCTTTTCATTTTCCGCTCCTGGTGGGAAATCTTTTAGGTTTAGCAAAATATATTTGAAAAAAACAGAAAATCTTCAACTTTTAAAATATCTATTCGGAAGAAAGAATAAAAAAACAGATTAAATTTATGCAAACCACAAAATTTTGAATTTCTAAATTTTTGTAATACAAATTAATTGTTGTTTCTATAATTCAGTTTCAGAGATTCTAAATTGTAAATTAAGAATTAAGTAGTAAAATGTCATATGTGTAAGTTACAGACTGAATTCTATATTTTTGGATTACCACATTCCGTAATTTTCTTACCAACCACATGAACAAAAAGCTGTGATCTAAGTTATTTTTCTAGTTCTACATTCTTTTTTTTTCTTTTCTCTTTAAACAAACAAAATGTTGATTACGTAATTAAGTCATCGGTTAAACCATTGGGAACATCGTCCGATTCTACGTGAACAAATAATGATTTAGAATAACAACTAGATTTAATTGCGTATTAAAAAAACAGATTCGATAAACATTGGTCTCCTGCCTAACCACTCCCATACATATTAGATCTTATTCCTCAACTAGTATAAATCTTCCACGTATATATATATATATGAAGCACACGACCATAATATAAATCCGTATGGACAACATATTCGTATGTGAATTAATAATGTACATAACTTGTCAACGTTCATAGACATTCAAGCGTAAATCCGTGCATATGTCACATCAGTACAAAACTATATGTAAATAAATATCATTTTCACATAGAAAGATTAGATGGATATCCTCCTGAAATCGTGTTCTCACGATAGCTACGAGCAAGGAGCACCTTAGTTATATATAAAAGCCGGCCAACAGAAAATGAGAAGAACAGAATCAAGAATAGTTTTTTTTGTTTGTTTGTTTGTAGTTAATCCTCTATGATCCTCTCAAATCTATCGATCTCTCACCCGTAATAAAATTCGGAGAAAGAGGAAAACCCTAATCCCCTCTTTCTCTCGGATCATCAGGAAAACAACAACAACAAAAAATATAGTATATTATTATTTTACAAATGAAAATGAGGAAGCTTTGTCCGAATTTGGACAGAGAAGATGGGTTAGAGACGGTGTTAGAGGTTCCGGTGCCGGAAGAAATGTTTACGAAGATGGGAAGCAACGCGACGGGGCGGTGGAGGAATATGCACGCTCTCATGAAGGCACACGCCGTCGTGACAGCAGTCGCGGCTGACGTTAGAACGCCGGCGTCGTCGTCGTCGATGAGCAATGTCAATATGCATTTGCAGTCAAAATCAGATAACGAGTTTGTTGCGTTATTGAAGATCGTGGGAAGTCCTCTCATTCCTTTTCATGTCCCTCTCGAGTTCTGTCTCTCCAGGCCCATCAACGACACTTCCATCGTACGTATATATATGATTATTTTATCTATTTTGTGTTTTGAATTTGCTAGTTAGGTAATTTTTGTCTACCTTCATGATTTGTTGGATTTGGATATTAGATTCTTTGAGGATGTGTGATTAGTTTTCGTTTGCACATGTATATAAGCAAACCAGATGATTGAATTATTTTTTACGTGGGTTTAGGTATGAATTCGAGTTTTCCGATACACATTTTGATTCCCTTTTAACTATAGTTTGCTAATTTCAACATTTTAACTGACAAGAACATGGTACTAATAAATTGTGAGATTAGCATATATTATCCGTGGTTTCAAAGAGAAATGTAAATTAAGAGATGAAATGGAATTGGTTATTAATCTCCGAATTTTTAAGAGACGACGAAAATTTCAAACATACTTACAGGATAAATAGTTTTATCTTTTCTGTATGAGATGTATCAAATAGTTGATCAAACAATAAATTCCAATTTACATTATAAAACACACTCTTTTGTTCACGTATAAAGGAAAACTAATGCTGATGGTAATGGTGTATTTGCAGGAGGCGTCGACGGCTAAGTACATAGTGCAACAGTACGTGGCGGCGTGCGGAGGTCCAGCAGCTTTGAACGCGGTGAAGAGCATGTACGCGGTGGGGCAGGTGAGGATGCAAGGCTCCGAGATGGTTGCTGGACAGGACGAAGGGACGACGACTACGCCGGTACGGCTGGGAAAAGGTAATTTCGAGGTCGGAGGTTTTGTTTTATGGCAGAAGAATCCAAACCTTTGGTTCTTGGAGCTGGTGGTTTCCGGTTTCAAGATTAGTGCCGGTAGTGACGGCAAAGTGGCTTGGAACCAATCTTCCACCCAACCTTCTCAGGCTCACCGTGGCCCTCCTCGTCCTCTCCGCCGTTTTTTTCAGGTACCCGTTTAAGATTTCAATGCAAAATGTCGATCAGCTTCTATACACCTAGTTAAACCACACAATGGGTATTGTGTTGGTTTGTATTACTATTGTTGTATCATATCTAGGGTCCGAACATGGTACTATGTGAATTGTGAACGAAAAAGCAAAAAAAAAAAAAAACACAAAACACATACACAACACCACTAAACAATCAGAATCTAACAGTGTGTGTGCCAAGAAAAAGTTTCGGTTGCTTATTTCAAATAAGTTATTTGTGTTATATAGAAATGTAGCCAATCCATTCTAAATAACTTTATATATGACAAGTAAATATGAATATTTACGAACTCGTGTTGAAGTTATGAATTTTTGTGGTTAAATTGGGATCTTTAGCGTAAAAAAAATCTTAGGTTAATTTGTATATAGTTATCTTCACATTTTGCCCTATAAACTGACGTGGCAGGGACTAGACCCGAGGTGCACGGCGAGTCTGTTCTTAGACGCCGTTTGCATCGGCGAACAAAGCGTCAACGGCGAAGATTGCTTCGTCTTAAAGCTAGAGACGCCAGCAGATATTCTCAAGGCGCAATGTTCGCCGAACACGGAGGTGATCCATCACACGGTTTGGGGATACTTCGGCCAACGGACGGGATTACTCGTAAAGTTCGGTGACACAAAGCTCGTGAGAGTCAAATCCGTTAGGGGCAAAAGCGACGGCGTTTTCTGGGAGACAAGCATGGAGTCGATCATCGACGATTACATGTTCGTTGACTCTGTCAACATAGCGCACGGTGGTCGAACCTTGACCACGCTATATCGCTACGGCGGTGCGGTTAACCACCGGAGACGGATCGAGGAGAAATGGCGGATCGAGGAAGTCGATTTTAATATTTGTGGTTTGTGTTTGGAGAGCTTCTTGCCACCGTCGGATATGAGCAATGATCATTAGGTACGGTCGAGATCCTTAGCCCGTGTCTTTCTCTTTTCTTGTTATATGGATCTATTTCTAAAAAAGTAGGTTTCTTCAAGAAGAAAAAAAAATAGAGATAAACTTGATACGTGGGGGTTGTTTGATTTGGGTCAAAAAAAAAAAGGAATAGATATGTAATTTTAAGGTGGGGCGATTGAGAGGGTGTAAATGAAATATCAATTGTAAAAAAACTTTTTAGTCGCCATGAATTTTTTTTATGGGTTTTCTATAACTCGATAACTGACTTCATCGAACTAGTAGAAGAAGATGTTTACACCAACGACTAATCAAATTCGATAATAGACTGTAACAATGAATCATTTGACCAAAATAAAAAAGGAATGATGCCAAGAAAACCAACCACACCAAACCGAAATATGACAATTTTTGATATGGTTTTTATAAACCGTAAAATCAAAACACAAAAAAAAAAAACTAATATAAACGGGCCGAGTTATGTGTACTATCCGGGCCGTTAAAATCATTCCGCAAGTCCGTTAAAAGCGAAACCCTAGATGACGAAAGTCAGAAGCATCTCCGCTATATAAACATCGAAGAATCCCAAATCCTAATTATCAAACCGATCTAGCCTTTTCGTCCTCTGCAATTATCTTCTCCTCTTTTGATATCGTGTTTCGTTTTCTGTAGAGTTTCGTGGTTTGTGTTTAGTTGGTTTTCTTCTTCGATTTTGCGATTCTGATGGTTTTAATTGCATCTGTTTACTTACTTCTCCAACCAAGAGTAAAATCGCAAGAATGGTGGAGGAGTTAAGACGGGTGCAGAGATAGAGATGGTTATCTTACCAACCCATTGCTATTTTCTCTTGCTTTGGCGTCAAATGAATCGACCGAAACTTCCTTCTTTTTAATTCTCTGGGTTTGAGTTTTTAAGATTTTATTTTTAATGGCACATGAAGAATTGATTAATTTATGCTTAAAACACAGAATTATAGTGTTGACAAACAATCTCCGCTTATTATCTGATGCCATTATTTTTTCTGAAATCAATTTTGTTTAGTACAAATTATTATTTCTAGGTGTTTTTAATCAAGAAATCAGTGATGAGATATTAGCAGACGGGCGGTCTGAATTGATGCCGTGTAGATTGTCTGCCATTACTACAATTTGTAGCTTCTCTGAGTGTCCATATTTATGTTATTAATAACTTTTTATTTACAAAATCATACTTTTAGTGGGTTATTGCGATGATGAAGTTGCTCTAATTATGTCTGGACATATGAGATTATTCAATCTTTGATCTGACTTTGCAAACTCTTCTGAGCTTTTCCTACATATATATTCCTTGATTTTTTGTTTTATCTCAGTTTCAATGACCCTTCGATTATGAATTGCTGATTTGTCAATTCGACCTTTAATCATAAAGGAATGCTATTATGATGTGATCAGAGTACGGACTAAACCGAACTATTGAATTGTCGAAGTAAACAATCTGATGAGGAAGGCTATTGTGATGTGATCTTCTTGTTGAACTAGAAAAGTAAATTAAATTAACAAATTAGCCAGTAAATTAAATGAATAAATCGCAAAGTAATTAATCAGATGAGAGATCATATTGAAAGAAGTAATTTCTTAAAGTTAATAATCAGTGATCCAGAATAGTAATAGTCTCCTGTCCCGGGATAATCCTTTGGTGGGATCCTTATCTGAACTATATGAAGCATAAAAAGAAATCTTCGATCTATGTTACAAATAGCCAAAGTAGTGCCGTAGTAGCGGCTCATGCTCATCACGGAATGCAATTTTAATGGATATCCAAAGGTGACAGCAAAGAATTCATGAGCGTTATGAATGATACAACAATCAACTTCGAGGTCTCAATTGGATACTAGCCGATGTGATTGAAAAAGCCTCAATTTGGAATGGTCTGTCATTTTTTACGCCCCTCCAAATTACAGAGGCTTTTATACTTTTGAGTGTTGTAATAAAATATTTTAACTGCGATGTTAATAGTAAAAGGCCCTACGCTTCTGATCAACACAATTTTAAGGCCCCACGTTTCTGATCAACTAAATTTTAAGCAAGTTATTCATAATTTGGTCAGTAGTTAGCTCTTCGATCCAAATACCCTAATTGGATCTTAGCCCAGTTTCATGTTTTTAGACCCAAATAATTTAATGGGGGCCATGTAAGTTAAATTCCAGGATTTTTTGAATTTCGCAATTTCCATTTAAATTGTCACAAAGTTCAATTCTCGCTCTTAACGGCGTCGTTCCGTTAAACCTAGTAATGAATCAGTTAATCGTGTGTCTCTCTCTCTATCCAATTCCAATCACAAGTCTCTGCGAAAAATGAAAAACCCATACAAATTGCAATCGGAATTCGGATAAACCCTCTCTTGTCTTCTCATTCATGGCCGTCCTCTCTCTTTCTCTCCCTCTCATCGTCTCCTTCCTCCGCCCTCACGCCTCTCCTCGCTTTTTCCTCCTCCCTCGATATCTTTCCCGCCCCCCTTGCCGCCGATTTCACCGCACCACCGTCTCCGCCGTTTCCTCCAGTGTTCGTCATCACACATCCTATCGTAAGCCCGATGATGATGGCCATGCCGTCTCTGTTCCTACATTTCAACAGGCAATTCAGCGCCTCCAGGTTCTCCTTCTATCCCCCGTCTCTCCTTCTTCAAGTTTCAGCGGCGAATTATCCTCACTCTCTCATTTTCTCTGCAATTTTTAAAGGAATATTGGGCTTCCGTCGGATGCGCCGTTATGCAACCTAGCAACACCGAGGTAGGTAGCATCATTGCACAATCTCAACTTCTTTTCTCTCTTCCCGACTACTATTTTCATACCTCTCACCACCGCTCCGTGGTCGTCTTAAGGTCGGAGCGGGCACCATGAATCCTTCCACCTTTTTGAGGGTTCTTGGCCCTGAACCCTGGAATGTTGCCTATGTGGAGCCAAGCATACGTCCCGACGACAGTCGCTATGGAGAGAACCCCAATAGGCTTCAAAGACACACTCAGTTTCAGGTCATCTTGAAGCCTGATCCTGGAAACTCACAAGACCTCTTTATCAACAGTCTTTCTGCTCTAGGTACTTCATTCTGAAATGCTTCCACTTACATGTCTCAGCTTAAAACGTAACTTTGAGACTCGAGTGTTCCTTGTATATGCACACTATATTGAATATTTCTCCCTGTGCTTGGGGATTTTGGACTGTCCTTTTTTTGTGTGCTAAATATTGATTTTTTTGAAGATGTGATTATGTGAAGTAGTCTCTATGGTGCAACTTCGGTGAAAATTTTCTCATTCTGCTTACTTTTTCTTGTGTGGCGTTTATAGGTATTGATGTGACTCAACACGATATACGGTTTGTCGAAGACAATTGGGAGAGCCCGGTAATGTGTGACATTCATTAAACGAGGCTTTGTGTGATTTTCCATCTGTTTTAGTTTCTCGCTGTATTGTCAATGCCTGTTCATCATAATGACTTACAGGTGCTTGGTGCTTGGGGGTTGGGCTGGGAGATTTGGATGGATGGTATGGAAATCACACAATTTACTTACTTTCAGCAGGTAATTTTCATTTTATGTAAACATTTCGATAGATCAAATGTAGATTATTGTCTGCGAAAGTTGTTAGAGGACGACAGTTCTAAACTTTGATTCTTTTTAGGCTGGAAGTCTTCAGTTGTCTCCAGTATCTGTTGAAATAACTTATGGGCTTGAGCGCATCCTCATGTTGCTTCAGGTCAGTCTTCTAATCCTTTTACTACTTTTTTTTTTCCCTTTAAGATCTGTTTGTTTGCCTTAAGTTAGCCTTTCGTTTGAACTGATAGGAAGTTGACCATTTCAAAAAGATCTTGTATGCTGATGGAATCACTTACGGGGAGCTCTTCTTGGAAAATGAGTAAAGACTGATCTTCTTCTATGGATTTTTCCATCATACAGTATCAAAAGTATTCTGTGTTAATCGTTTTTCGAGACTGACATTTGGATGTGTTTTTCAGGATGGAAATGAGCTCATATTATTTAGAGCATGCTAGCGTGGATCGACTTCAAAAGCATTTTGATTATTTTGACGAAGAAGCACGTTCCTTGCTTGCCTTAGGCCTTCCAATCCCTGCGTATGTTTATCACACGCTTATGGTCGTCTATTGTCTTCTTCATATTTACCACTGCCTCTTGAGTTTAACTTAATTGCTTGGGGGCATGCTAGGTATGACCAGCTTCTGAAGACATCTCACGCTTTTAACATCTTAGATGCTAGAGGATTCGTTGGTGTAACTGAACGTGCTCGTTATTTCGGCCGAATGCGCAGGTAAGATCTGTTCCAGTTTTCTGAGAGAGTATGTTTACAAGTCTTTTCTTGTAAATATACATATATAATGTGCATATTTTTGCTTCTGTGCATCCTCTTTGAAAGAGTAGCTTGGCTCGCCAATGTGCCCAACTGTGGTTAAAGACACGTGAGTCTCTTGGACATCCACTTGGTGTTGTCTCCGAACATGTTCCTCCCATCCATCACGGAGCAGCTTTGGAAAATGTAGCTGAAAAGGTTTGCCTATTTTCTAATTGAAGGATTTATAATCGGATGCTATTTAATTCCATTTTGATGAGTTGTAGGATAATAGTTTGTGCAATGTTTTTCTTCAGCATTACTAGCTTGTATGGTGTATTTACGACTAGAAAACTGGCTGTTTTTATTTATGAAAAATCATTCCTGAAGTTGTCAAGTAAGATATGGTTTCCTTTCTTTTGTTGTTTATGTGGTTTCAATTGTCTCAGGTTACTGACGATCCAAGATCGTTTATCATTGAGATAGGGACGGAAGAGATGCCACCTCAAGATGTTATCAATGCTAGCGAACAGGTAAAATTTCATTCCATTTGGAGAAACTTGAAATTTCTCCCTCTGTCACTAACTCACTCGCTTATGGACTGTTCATGCTGCAACATTTTAACTTCCCAAACTCCATAGATGATTTTTTCATGTGCTTCTTGTTTGTCATTTTGTGTTATGTTCCTTTGATAGATCGGACATCAAGTAACAGTCCTTGTTAATGTTGCAGCTCAGGGTTTTAGTGCTACAGTTACTAGAGAACCAAAGATTGCGGCATGGTGTTGTGAAAGCTTTTGGCACACCTCGCAGGCTAGTGGTAATTAATAAGATGTTTTCACCTTTACATATTATTGCCAATATATTAACTCTATAATACCATGAATCCCCTTACAGAGAAAGGACTGGTTGACTACAAATCTTACTGTGTATTCGTTAGCATTATTTGTCCACTTTTCAATTTTTGGCCTATGATGCTTATTTATACCTGGCTTTTTTTTTATGTGATGATGTAAAAATTAAAGAAACGTATCTGAAGTTTCAGGGTTGTGGGTTATATAGTTTAATCATGGAACTCTGGAAGCTTTTTGGAATGTATTTTTCTTTTTTATTGCAGTTTAAAGTAAAGGCCCCCTTTTCAGGTTGTTGTTGATGCTCTGTCCTCTAAGCAGCTGGAAGAGGAAGTTGAAGTTCGAGGACCCCCTGCTTCTAAAGCGTTTGATGATCAAGGAATTCCTACAAAGGTATTTTGTTTCCGTTTCGTCCTTTCTGCTCCTGAGGTCGCTTGGTAATTAAATTAGTTATTGAAAGTATTTTTGGTAGACAGTGGTGGAATTTAAGGAAAAAGCATAATGATCATTATCCATTGGCCCTTAGGTTTTGTACTATGCTGGTTTTTTCTTATTTTTAGCGCGCATTGACTGCCGAAAGATATGTAGATATAAATTTCTTGTTGTTCTTCCCTGCCAGGCTGCAGATGGTTTTAGCCGTAGATATGGCGTTCCATTGGAAAAATTGTACAGAAAAGTTTCTGGTGGGTGCATCTGTATTAGCAAATTCTGTTAGCAGGATCCTGTTTCTTGTTACCCAACTTCTATCTGCTTCCTTGTTCTTTGTTTCTTAGGCTGCTGTGCTGCTTCCTTTGTTTAGTTCCTTACATTTTTTTTTCGCGTTTTTTGTCCTTACTTCAGGGAAGACAGAATATGTCCATGCACGAGTTACAGAGCCAGCTCGACTTGCTTTGGAGGTTCTTTTCCTTCACTCCTCATGTTATGCTAATTGCCAAGTGACTGCCATATTCATCTTTCATGAAAGAAAAGTCTACGACGGACAATTTTTATCTGCTAATTTAGCAAATTGTTGTAGTTCACATTTTTTCTCTCGTTTTTCATTTGATGTACCTCGTATTTTTAGCGTTCTTAGTCCTCTACTTCACTATATTGGCATCTGAGATTTTCTTCGAAGGAAAACTTCAACTACTTGCTAAGCATACTTTTTTTTTGGGTACCTTGTCTGTTGTAGGTTCTGTCAGAAGAATTACCTGGTATGCTGGCTAAAATATCGTTCCCAAAGTCCATGCGGTGGAACTCTTCAGTATGTCACCTTATCTATTATACTCAAATTTTAGGTCATACAGCCTAGGCTCAGTAGTAAAACAAGGAGTTTATATTACAGCTATTTATCTTGCCGCTGTGATATGCAGGTAATGTTTAGCAGGCCGATTCGCTGGGTTATGGCCTTACATGGGGATCTGGTTGTGCCATTTTCCTTTGCTGGCAACACAAGGTACCTTTACTTGGCTACACTCGATTTTTCATGCTTCATATGGCTTTGGTTGGCACAGAGGATAAACGTTGGAATCTCAAGTTTATATATATATGCTTCATATCAGAAAGGTGTAGATATGAAGAATATCTGAATAATGTTATATTTGTTTCATGCTGAAAATGCAGTGGAAATGTATCTTTTGGACTTCGCAATACTGCTTCAGCAACACTAATGGTAAGAATGTACTCTGCACCGTCGTCTGTAGGCATGTTTGGATTTCATGCTTCAGATGTGTATTTTATGGTCTTCTAAATATGGCAGGTACACACTGCCGAATCCTATGAAGATACTATGAGGAATGCTGGAATCAATATTGAGATTGAGGCATGCCCTTTATACATTCGTCTCTATTTTTGTTTTCCTTAAACTTTCAGCAAGGTGTCGAATTTCTTTTGTTTTAGATTTCTAGTTATGGATATATGCAGTCATTTCATTGGTTAATATTTTTTACAGGAAAGGAAGAAGATCATTCTTGAGAAGTCAAATTTACTAGCAAAAAGTGTTAATGGGCGCGTTATTGTCCAGCAGAACTTACTTAATGAGGTAACGTATATTGTTGTCTGTGATATGTTCTACCCATGGCTCCAAATAATTATTTTTACATCATGACACCAATAAGTTACATTAACTCACGGTGTTCTCCAGGTTGCAAATCTCGTTGAAGCTCCTGTGCCGTTAATTGGAAAGTTCAAGGAATCATTCTTAGAACTACCAGAGGAGCTATTAACTATTGTAAGCTATTTAGAAACTGAGATAGCTTTTTATACCTAGTCACCTATGCTTTGTCAGCAACTATGCTTATCTCTAATTCATGGCCTTACTATGATGTAACTCTCTAGGTTATGCAGAAGCACCAGAAGTACTTTTCCATTACTGATGAGAGTGGACAGCTATTGCCTTACTTTATTGCTGTACGACACTCTAGCCTTGCATTCTCTGCTGTTGCGTGTGTATTTTTATTGTTTCAATATAAGTGGCGCAAAAAAAGTTTTTAATAGCTGACAAAACAGAGTATGACTTTGTGTAGGTTGCCAATGGTGCAATAAATGAGGATGTGGTGAGGAAAGGAAATGAAGCAGTTCTCAGGTTAATAAGTATCTAAAATCTTTACTCAGATGGAGTACACCATATTAAAAGCACCCAATGATGTACGTGTTTTACTTTTGCAGGGCACGGTATGAAGATGCGAAGTTTTTCTACGGGGTGGACACAAGGAAAAGGTTTTCTGAATTTCGAGATCAGCTACAGGGAATTCTATTCCACGTAAGTTTTTCCTTGCTTCGGATGCATGTCTTAGGCGAGAAGCTGGATAGAATAATACATTACTAGACGGCTGTAGGTTTTTTTCTGTACTAACTTTCTATGCGGTTCAATGGTTCAGTACTCGTACAAGTAATAAAAAACAAGCCATATAATATTGACGTTTTTAGCACATACAACACAAGCTATTCATCCATGTTTATGTGAATTCATAGGAAAAGCTGGGGACGATGCTGGATAAGATGAACCGTCTAGAAAAGATGGTACGTAAGCTTTGTTTGGCCCTCGAAATTGCTGAAGATCTTCTTCCGGTTGTGGAGGAGGCTGCCTCACTTGCTCTGTCAGACCTTGCAACTGCTGTAGTTACAGAATTTACTTCGCTGTCAGGAATAATGGGTCGTCATTATGCTCTCAGAGATGGCTATTCAGAGCAGGTAATATATTGTTCAAGTTTGTATGTTTAGGAGCGTAAGTTGCACATGTGGCTGCTTCTTTTGCTTAATAGACTTTAGCTACTAATATTGATCTATTAGCATGTGCTTTATCATTATACAACAATCGTTTCCCCTGGGATGCAGATTGCAGAAGCTTTGCTGGAAATTGCACTTCCTAGATTTTCTGGAGATGTCATCCCAAAAACAGATGCAGGAATGGTTTTGGCAATAGGTGATAGGTAATTTGAAAGAATTAACTTTTGTGTCTCCCCCACTTCTTTTTATGCCAAAAGGTTCGTCCTGTGAACACGACCTAGTTGTGGATTGGCGTGGAACAAAATTGCATTATGATATAATATTTGTGTTCTTATATATCAACACCTATGCTTGTTTCTTTGGCCGTAGATTGGATAGCCTTGTTGGTCTATTTGCTGCTGGTTGCCAGCCAAGTTCAACAAATGACCCATTTGGCCTAAGAAGGATATCTTATGGCTTAGTAAGTTTGTAGATACTCTAAACTAAAAAATGCAATTATGATTTGTCATTTTATGGTTGCAAGAGCATCTTATGGATGCCAAATAACATTGTGTATGCCACAGGTTCAGATTTTGGTGGAGAAGGAAAGAAATGTCAACTTCAAACAAGCTCTAGAACTTGCAGCCAGTGTACAGCCGATGAAGGTTGAGGCAAACACTTTAGAAGATGTGAGAATCAAATGCTCCCATAGCTATTGAGTGGCGCCAAATCTTGTTTTCCCATTTACAGGTTGTAAAGCGATCATCTGAATTGTTCTTGATAGAATTGACTGTTTTATTGTTTCCAGGTGTATCAATTTGTTACTCGAAGACTGGAACAACTTCTGGTTCGTGCAACTTTCATGGCCTATCATTTTGCTTTCTAATTCTACTTGACCAATTCATTGGCTTTTTGAGCTAAAGGACCTTCGTGTCCGGTTCTTGATACGACGAATTTTCTTTTTTACAGGTTGATAACGGAGTAAGCCCTGAAGTAGTTAGGTCTGTCCTAGCAGAGCGTGGAAACGATCCTTGTCTGGCAGCACGAACTGCATACAAGGTAATTGAATTATGGTATGATCCAATAGCGACTAGATATGGGATTAGATGATAGTTGAGAAGCTTGTGGGCATCATTTTCCTAGAAGCCAGGTAATATGGCGATTGGATTAAGCCTAGTTTAGAAGGGTATTTTTCAAGTTTTATTGGATGAAGTGTCATCTGCTATCTAGTATAAGACTCTAGAAACCAGAGTGAACATTGGTATTGGTATTGGTATTGGTAAGGAAGGTCGGCAGAAATTGGTATTGGTGTATAATGTAAAGTCAATGGGTATTTACAGTAGCACGATGATTTTACGAGGGCTTGGCTATATGTGTTGCTCCTTCGTTTGCTACGCAGTTCATAGACTCAAAACATAGTGATTTTGCCATTCAATGCTAACATAGCTGGCGCTTTTGCTGATGCGTTGCAGATGGAAAAGCTAAGCAAAGGTGATATCTTTCCGAAGATAGTTGAAGCATATTCTCGTCCCACACGCATTGTCCGTGGGAAAGATGTTGATGTTGGAGTTGAGGTACTTGAGGTTTCTGTCTGATCAAAGGGCAAAAAAGCATCTGTGAATCTTGCTGCTTCTAACATTGAATGATGTCAATCAGGTGGATGAGGGTGCATTTGAGACATCCCAAGAGAAAGAGTTGTGGAGCACTTACACCTCTATCAAAGACCGAATTCACATTGGTACTCCACTTTCTTCTCTATAGGATTCTCTTAATAAATAACAAAACAAACATATGAATTTCTCTCACTGATTCCAAATTTTCAGGCATAGAAATCGAGGAGTTCACTGAGATATCCACACAGTTGCTGGATCCGCTGGAGGATTTCTTCAACAATGTGTTCGTGATGGTGGTAAGTTGAAAACTTTGTCGTTCACAGTGTGCTCGTGGTTTTAGAAAGCTTAGTGAAGTTGAATTTTGCGGTTGCAGGAGGAAGGAAGAGTGAGGAAGAACAGACTCGCTCTTCTCAATAAGATTGCCAATCTTCCCACAGGAATAGCCGACCTCTCATTTTTGCCTGGGTTTTGAGGTTCTCACTTTTCATCTTCTTCAACAAATTATTTTGATCGAGCGGATACACAATTCAGGCAGAGTGTTGTTTAATCGTGTTGCAGACTGTTAAGCAAAACAGGCATTGGAGTATAGTTTGTATAATTATTTACATCGAATATAGTGTCCCAACTCCCAAGTTGGTTACAAGAATATTGAACCTTGTAAAACAATTATATAAATTACATTGTAGAACAATTCATGAAATTGAATTGAGTCACAACTCCATATCTTGTTCCCGAATTCTAAGGCTTTACGTTTCATATTAATTTTTAGTAAAAAACAAATTTTCCTAACGATAGCAGAGTCCACAATGCATATAAGCCAACTCACCCATGAATTTTGTTTAAAAAATCTGCTACAAGTAAAATCATAGGGCTTCTTCCCTATGTACACAAAAATCCAGAATCCTCTTATCATATCCGCTGGATCCAAAAAGGCCTAAGCACTCATTCAAAATGGGCCTGAAATTTTATTTTCCGACCCACTAAAATAATTTGGTAAGTCCGTTAACCCCAGCGAAACCCTAGATACCACCGAAAAGAAAAGGGAAAACTATCTCTTCTGCTAATAGACAAATCCCCCAATTTCATCCATAGAACAACTGCTCCATCTTCCTCGTCGCTCTCATCACTTCCGGTATGTTTATTTCGTTTGTGTATACTGTGTTCTCGAAGATCGATTGATTCTACTTTACGAATCTGTTAATTTAGTTTGCTTCACTTCGATTTTTTTAGTGGAATAAAGATGGACTACTCATCCCCGCCGCCGTCAATGGGTGCTCAATCTCCGCAAGTAGTGATGGAACAGATGCAGTCGCAGCTCGCTCAGGCTTACGCGGAGGAGTTCATCGAGACACTCAGAGGAAAGTGTTTCGATAAATGCATAAGCAAGCCTGGATCAAGCCTTGGCAGCGGCGAGAGTAGCTGCATCTCTAGATGCGTTGATCGTTACATTGAGGCCACCGGAATCATCAGCCGATCTCTTTTCGCCCAGAAACGTTGATGGAAACAGTCTTCGATTTTTCATTATGGAACGAAGCTATTTTTTACTTGTCGAGTCTCTTTGTGTGTCATTAAGACCATCATCATCAAGGTTTGGTTTTGATTTTAGACGAATGCTATATAACGTACAACAGATTTGACAAACAATCTACGCTTATTTCTTATCATCTCATGCCCATGCCTGACAAGTTCTTTAGTAGATTGTCTGCCATTGTTCCAACTTCCAATTTAGTTTAGCTTCTCGGATTTATATTTTGGGGTTTTTGCGATGATGAATTTGTTTTTAATTATGTCTGGAGATATGATGAGATTATTCGATCATTGATCGATTATTATCCACTAAACTTGAGTGAAACAGGGCTATTACGAATATGGATACTATTAATTAACTGCAAACTTCTTATCGACCTTAAAACAGTATGTGAATAAAATTGATCAACATCTAAGAACTAGCAGAGATGGTCAAATTTTGTTGTAAATAGTAATAACTGATATCCCAAACAACTCTATTAGCATTTGTAAACTTGATTAAAAGACAAAAATTATGAAGGTGAGATGTGAGAATTTGCGAACTGGTCATTCTGATTGCTGCTCGGTCCCTTGGAACCAGTCATTCCGACCATTTCAAGTCTTTCGGAACCATCATGAAAACATTGCTTCTTCGTGTGTGTCTTCTCCTGGATGTTTAATGCTGGTTACAGTGATCTGCTTCTGGAAGTTTGATTTTCGAGAAATGATGCTTGTAAGTGTCCTACTATAGTCTAACAAAATAACCTAACAAGAGAAAATAATGTGTTTTTTAGAATCTGGAAACTGACCAGCAATATCATTCCTCAGACATTTTCAAAAAAAAAAATATATATATATCATTCGTCAGAGGGTTGATGTTTCTGCTATGACCCGTTAGACCCGTAAAGAAATTTGTAACTGGGATTGGTTTGAAACTTCCACAAGTGGGGTGGGTAACGTTGCAATTACTGAATAAATGTAAACGTGAATCGCACGTGCCGGAGATATTTTAGTTGTCCTTGTCCACTTGTCCGAAACCTTTTTCGTTTTTACTTTTCTCTCGCACCTCTGTATCAGTCGCTTCCTTCAGCTGACTCACGACGACCTCTCTCCCTCTCCCTCCCTCACACTCCAAAAATCTATTTTTTTAACCCTCTCTCCATTTCTATTCATTGCTTCTCCCTTCGGCTTTTACTAGGTACGCTCCTTTTTCTCTCTTTGAAAGTTTCCGTCTTTCTTGTTTGTGAATTGCCATGGATATAGATTAATCCCAGGTTTTTCGATTGGACTTTTTTGGTGCTCTCTCTTGCTCTTTGATCAGTTTTTTTTTTCTTCTTCTTCTACTTTTATGTCTCCGACGAATAGAAAAGTAGTAAGTGTGAGAATAGGCGATCGCGAATAAACGACGTGTTTTGTTTTTCTAGTGTCCAACATCGACAATTTCGTTGTGGTCCAGTTTTGCGAAATTGGGTTGATCTTGATGGAGAGATTAAACAACTTACACAAAATGTTCTCCCTTTCTCCATCAGCTCGGTCATTTATCCTTCTTCACCGATCTGTTTGCTTTCATGACTCAATTTCCCTCGAGGGAGAGTGAAGAAAGGGAACTGAAACTTTTTTTCTGGATTTTTTAAAATAAGGGGATTTGTGTGGGTAGTAGTTGGTAGCTGAGTCATGCTTTGTCACTGATTCAAGTCACATGAATCAAATGATGAAACTTTTTTTTTTGGGGTATTGTGTCCATTACATGTTTGCTTGTATTTCTGTGACTTCTCTGCTGATGATGTCTCTTGTTCTTCCCTCATCATCACTTGGAACTCTGGATATAACGGGAAACCATCGTTAGTGTTAACTTATGGTCTATATATGCCTTATTCATTGTGGTAACTTTTACAGAATACTATTTTTGATCGTGCGGCTATTCAAAATGTTTCGTCGCAAGACTGTTTCGCAAACCGAACAAGAGAGTAACGAGGCAGCTCTCAGAGAGGCAAAGGTAAAAGCTTTACAGGCCTTGCTGATGAATTTTCACTTCAAATTAAAATAATTGATTGGTAAGAATGTGACTTTCTTTCATTTTGATGCTAATGATCTATAGATCAAAGAGGTCAAGGCTCTCATTGGTCAGCTCTCTGGAAGGAGCTCACTGTATTGTTCAGATGCGTGTCTCAAGAGATATCTGGAAGCTAGGAATTGGAATGTAGGCAAGGCCAAGAAGATGCTTGAGGAGACGCTTAAATGGAGATCCACTTTTAAACCTGAGGAAATCCGTTGGGTAAGTATCAAAGATTCTTGGATTCCTTAGAAGAATTTCTCCTAAAAAAAAAACCTATCAGTTGAGTTTTGTTTTCTACTAGGATGAAGTTTCAGGTGAAGGTGAAACCGGAAAAGTTTACAAAGCTGGATTCCACGACAGAAGTGGAAGAACGGTTCTTATACTGAGACCCGGCTTGCAGGTTTGTAAAGATCACCTCCTTTGTCCAACATCTTAGAGCAAGTTTTAACTTCAGGGCACAAGGATAATCCCATCCATTTTTTTTTCTGTAGAACACGAAATCATTAGAAAACCAGATGAAACATTTGGTGTACCTCATTGAGAATGCAATTCTGAATCTGCCAGAGGATCAAGAACAGATGTCTTGGCTTATTGACTTCACGGACTGGACACTGAGCACAAGTGTGCCTATTAAATCTGCCAGAGAAACTATCAACATACTGCAGAATCACTACCCAGAGAGACTAGCTGTAGCTTTCCTCTACAATCCTCCAAGGCTCTTTGAGGCATTCTGGAAGGTTAGACAAAACACTGCTTCTATCTCATAGTTCATGAAGACAATTTCGTGCAAGAACATGGTGGCATTTTGATTTTGATTTTGTGTTGTTCCACAGATAGTGAAGTACTTCATTGATGCAAAGACATTCATCAAGGTGAAATTTGTTTACCCAAAGAACCCGGAGAGCGTGGAGCTCATGAGCTCGTTTTTCGACGAGGAGAATCTCCCAACCGAATTTGGAGGGAAAGCTTTGTTGCAATATAACTTTGAAGAATTCTCCAAGCAGATGAACCAAGACGATGTTAAAACTGCAAACTTCTGGGGATTGGTTCACAGTAAGGATCACCAGCAGCACGTGAGCAGCGGGTTTTCAGGAGCCGAGATCGCCCCTGAGCCAATCCAAACAAACCCTTGAACGGTTTTGAAGGCAAATTTATTTCAAAATGGACTACTAATTATAGCTATTTATGGTAAGGGGAGAGAGAGAGAGAGAGAGAGAGAGAGAGAGAGAGAGAGAGAGAGAGAGAGAGAGAGAGAGAGAGAGAGAGAGAGAGAGAAAAGTGAAGAATGGTGTTCATCAAGGTTCATCAACTTGCTTTTCTCTTCGGTCTCTTGGGTAATTAATTCCCTTTATTCTTCTCTTTGAAGAGAGAGAGAGAGAGAGAGGGAGGTTGTATTAGGCATGGCGTTGAGTCAATAAAAGGATTTGTGTTTCTATACTCTTTGAAAAGAATCCAAAAACTCTGACACTCATAAGCATTTATTTACAGGCAGGAAGCAGGCAATACTAGCAACAGGCTTTTGTTTCTTTCAGTCTGAATCTCAACAAACACATGAGAATCATTCTTTCAAAATTTTGAAGGCACAACAAGAAAAAGATACACATGAAGAAAAAGATTATACTACTACACAGTAGTATCAGCTATTAGGAGTTCTGCAGTCAAGAGATTGGTAATGGAGTGGAGTTAGAGAGACAGGGAACAGGAGAAGAAGCTTGAGGCGATTCGAGTGAAACTAGATAAGCCTTCTTCTGAAGTTTCTGGTGGTTGATTGATAGGTACGCACCAAAAGGCCAACCCCAATGCCAAGACCTACACATACACCAAGACCAATTCCCACACCAACCCTAACACCGGCATTGAACCACGACATCTCTCCATCTTCACCATCTGTATATTCTCTTCTCATATACATGTCGCCGTATTCTCCATCATAATCTTGTTTGTAGGCTCCGTATTCTGTTACCTGCACAGAAGAAGAAGACAAACTCTCATACTTGGGACAAAACAGTGCAAAGAACTCAGTAACAGTGTATGTAGATGTCTGTCTCAAAAAGAAAAACAAGAAACAGAAAATTATAGAGATACTCAAGTAAAGAATACAATAGTTATTCAACCATTTGTAGAATAGAGACTAATGGTACTTTTGTTCCAATCTTAAAACTTCAAGCATTAGCTAATCTTGACATTTGGCTCTTCAATAGGGAAACGTTTTCCCGAATAAGTTTATGCGTAATATATTGTGGCATTACATGTGAAACGATATTCCAACCAATGGGTCATATAATAACTGACTGTAGCAGACAGGAGGATAGGAGTTCAGATACTAAGATCACAGGACAATAAGGAAATGGGAGAGAGAGTGTGTGTCTGTGTGAGGGTGAGAGAGAGCTATCTATTGACTTGTAAAATGTGTCAGGTCCCATACCTCACATGATCATTTATCACGAAGTTGGTCCACTTTAATATCTAAAGAAATTATCTTCCTAAAAGTACCAATAAACATGTCTCAAGATAGAAATCTGAAAACCATGAAAAACTTAATGCTCATACTGAACTATAGAGCATGCATGACCACGATGACTCATATCTTAGGTATATAGCATTCAATGAGTTGAACTATGGACACAAACCAACATAGAACTATTAGGAAGCATTGTAATAAGGAATCTTGAGAACAGCGAAGTACCAAAATGAGAATTACCTGAAAGTCAAGCTCAGATGAGTTGCCTTTCTGAGGCTCACCGGTTTCATACTCTGGGATCGAATCTAATGCACTCGCTCTGTTGTGCTTCTTTCTGAAACCAAGCTGTAGCGTCTTGGTTAAGATGATGGGTGTTCCCGAGAAGCAACCAGTGACATAGACTTCAATAGTTGGCAAAGGAGATGATAACTCCGAACAACCAATATGTTTCTCCTTCAAGAAACCAGACCCTGCAGTGATCTCTGCTTCACAGTTCATGTTCCACCGCTTCACGCTATGCTTAGACTCCCCAGTGAAACCATTACTACCGGACATCTCAAGCGTTCCGGACAAAACCAGCTCGTCTTTGTCATATACCTCAAACTTGACACTACCGGATAACCTGAGATTATCGGTGCTGATAAAAGTAGCGACTTCCGATTTCTTATCAACCCGATCTCGCCTTAGCTGAGAAGCAACCCCTTCAGAGTAAAGGCTCATCCTAACACCGTTTATCTCCAGAAGAGAATCTGGATCCAGAGGTATATGAGTGATGGTGAGGACCTCAGGTGTCGAATCATCCACCTTGAAATTGCTGATTCTGACATAGAACACTCTCAAATCCAGCAATGGAGAGGACAATGATGCCGTTGTTGATGATGACGACGAAATCATGGAATTGTGATGGTTATTATAACCCTGATATCTGACCATCTGAAATGCTTCTCCGTTGTTGCGTGTCTCGTAAGGTTCCACCATGATTAAGAGCCAAAAATCCCAAATTTCTATTTCTCACTGAAACGAAACTTTTGCATCAGAGACGCCTTGTGGATGATGAATTTGGATTGCAAAACGGAGATTTGCTGGCAGAAAATTTTGGAAACAATGAGAATAACGTGAGATTCACAAAGGGGAAAAGCAATAGTTTTTTTTTCCTGAATTTAAGAAGAGAAAAAAGCCATCAAAAGAGAGACCAGAAGAACTAAAATACAGAGAAAAAACCATCAAAATGAGGAAAAGAGAAGCATTCATTCCCAAAATGGGAGATTTCTATAGGAAAAACATCACAACTATAAAACTATGTCAAGATTGAAACTTTACTCAATTACCTAAAAACAGAGAGATGGTCAAAGAAATATAAATTATAGATGCAGAAACAAATCTCCGGTGAAAAAAAAAAGAGGGAAATCAGAAATATCCAATGTTCTGATGGGTGAAAGGAAAAAAAAAAAAAAGAGAGAGTGGAGATTCTGAAATGTAAAACTATCTTTCAATCACAAATGAACCACCTTTAAAAGAAAGAAAATAAAAGGAGATTTAGAATTTCCTCAAAAACCCAGAAAAATCCGCAGAAAAGAAAGGAGAGGAAGAAAGCAAGAAAAAAGGGAAAGGAAGCTCACCAAGAAGATGTTTCCATCCACAAACCCACTTACTTAATCTGGTGATTTAGGACAACTAGTGCTTTATATTAATCTTCTTGTCTGCGTCCCCCAAAAATAAAAATAGAAAACTTCTATCGCCAAGTCGGATTTATTTAGATCATAGCTTTCGATATATTTTCCAGCTCGGCGCGTGGCCAAGATTAACGTCGAACGGAGTATGAAATTGTCCGTTTTTTCGAAGAATAAAAGAAAAAAATGGGAAATTGGGTTTGTCTTTTTCGAAAATATCGAAAAACAAAAAATCAGGGGAAAATAATCAGAAATCAGAGAAGAGTGATGGGAAGGATTGAAATTGTCTTGTTGTTATGATGATCCAACGGAGGATGATGAAAGAGGAAGAAAAGAAAGATGGGCTCTTCTGACTTTTGCTCACGTGATCTTATCCTCTTAGGACCAAAACCCAAATTCGCTGTTTACGAGACACGCCGCGTCGGTCGCTTTCGTCAAAAACGACGCGCATTCTCTTGTTGGTTTTTCAAAACGGTGAGTAAGTGGGCCTTGTTGGGCTTTTTTAATAGTTACGCCCACGGTCCACTTTCTGAAATGATAATGAACGTGTTGCCGTTTTCTGTTAAGGTCGGATACTCGCTAGTCATAATAATATCTTGTTGTCAAGAAAATTTCTCATTCCGCCGTATTTAAAATACAAAAGGATGTTATGCTTTTATAATCATGCTTAATATTTGTATGCATTTTCTATTAACTGATCATGTAAGCATTTTTCTCCTCACTACTATGCTGTTTTTCAGATATGATAACCAAAAGAAGAAGAAGACGAAATAAAATTCAAAATGACTTACAGCAAACTATATCAAAGAAATGGAACTATCTACAAATATTTTATGACAAGTGTGGAAGCGTATGAAATGTATTAATGGGTTTATTAATGGAATCGGAAGTTTTTATTAGTTAAAACTCAAACCTAACACACAAATTGCAGCTAGCAACTAGATTACAAATTTTCAATCTTTGGCTTTTTGATTTAAATCTCTAACACTATTGATAGTACTAGTAGTACACTATACATGAACCCTAATATATATATATTGGTGTATAACGTCATACATGTATTATTATATTGGTGGATAATATAGAAAGATAACCAACGGACAAAAATAAAATCTACTTTTTTTTCTTTCTGAAATTTTATCTAACCACCAAAGGAGTGGGCGACTTTTGATTTTAAAGACTACTGTTCTTATGCTTCTGTCTGTAAAACATTAAAATTAAAAAACAAAAACATGAGAGATATTTATTGCTTTTGAAAGTTACGTACTTTTTATAGCTGCTCTTGAAGATATTAAAAACAAATAAGCCGTTCAAAGAAATTATAATCTGCTGAAAAAAATCAAGTTGATGGGGAAGCGAAGGTTTCAGAAAGCAAAGGAGTCGACGGCAGCAGAAGCTTCATCTCCGCCGGAGTCTCAAACGACACGGAGACGAAGAGGGAGGCCAAGAAAGAATCTTGAGAATCCAGAAGATTTGAAGAAGGAAGAATCTGAAGAAGACGAAGATTACGAAGAATACGAAGACGAAGAGGAAGACGACGAACAAGTTGAGATTACTAGCAGAGAGAAGCAGAAGAAGAAAGTTAGGAGTAGTAGTAGTAGTGTGGAAGAAGGGCAAAAGTGGAAACATGAAGAGTTAGCGGAGGATGAGGAGGAGAAGCAGCCGGAGATGACGGTGAAGACGGTGGCTCCGCCGTCATCGAGACGGTCAAGGAGGAAAAGCACGCCGGTGAAGAGCTGGTAAATTTTAATTACCATATCAATGGAGTTTTTGATATTGTGTGTGTTCATGGATTTAGCTATTGTTAAATTATCAAATTAATTCGAAAACTCCCATGGGAAAGAGAGCGTTAATTTATAATTTCTCGGATCTGTTAGTTCAAAACAAGAAACAAATTTTGTCGATCTCAGTGTTTCATTTTTAATTTGGTTAATCAGAGCTATTTTCAAAACCATTTGTGGCGATAAAATGAGATTAAATTAATTGTTTCATAATTAAGAATGCTTTGTAGTTGTAGTAGGTTGTTTAATTTTTGGTTTGTGTAGTTGATGGTTACGTACCTTCGGATTTTTGAATGATAAAAAAAGATGCGTCGCACATGGTGAACGGATAAGTTAAGAAACCAATGGATATTGCTGGTGAAAACGACTTGTCTGTTATTAAAATCACATAAAAAACTATGTAGTTGCTGTAGTTATTCAACTAATTAATCGTAGTAGAGAGAATGTAGAAAAAAAGTTAAAAATATGAGAGAAAGAGACTCCACGAGTCCATGAGAAGATGTGACAATAAATTTCAAACCAGACATTATCGGGCCCGCAAGGCTTCACGTGCAAAAATCATCTTCAAAGAGAATCCCAAAACATAAAACCTCATCAAATCCTAAACCCGGTACGAGGGCTAAATCCAGATTTGATTATTATAATTGTTTGATATGATTTCAAAACTTCATTGTCTTTCCAAGAGTTAAACACTGTGAAGTTGACAAAAAAAAAAAAAAAAAAAATTTATAAAGGCTTAACACTTCACTGATACTCCTTTATTAAGCTAAAACAGCCTGTGGTTTAGGGTGATGATGCCTTTCCTTCTTGTAACGCAACTGCTCAGGATCAAACCCACCTTCCTCTGCTCCATAAACCGCCCATGATGGTGTTTGTGCCATATAGTCCGTGCTCGTGAACGTTTCTCCAGAAGCCACCTATGCGATTTCATTTTCAAAAGCGTTGTTAAAAATCAGCATCAAACTTGATTGTGTGAGATGATCGAATGTTGGGTTTTGGTTTAACAAACTAACCAGATCGTGGAACTTTTCATAGTCAATCCAAGTAAACCACTGTCCATCCACTTTGAACTTTTGTGTTCTCCCTAGAAGAACACAGCAAGAATGGGCGTGCTCACAAGCAACTTCGTACTCTCCTTTGCTCTTCAGAGACAGAGCTTCTGAGAATGCTTTAACGTCTGCGTGCCACGGTACGTTCTCCATTGTCAACTTTGAGGTTGCAGATCTGTTTTTTGTTTCCACAAATTAACATAAGTAAATGACGTGTGTGCCATGAGCAGAGAGAGAGAGAGAGAGAGAGGAAAGCAAGTGGAAGAAACTCACGATCCGCAATATGTGACGCCTTTGATCTCGATGAAATCGGGTTTCCCAATGCTGAAGAGGTTGAAATAAGCATCTAGCTCCTCTGTGTTCCATCCTTTGACGAGTGTTAAACGGTAGACGGTTCGCTGCTGCTTCTCCTGGAGAGCTTTCAAGGAGTCCTGGAACAAGAACGGTGTAGCGATTATACCTTGACCTCAGATTCAAACTCCATTTAAAGGTTCATTACATAATAGAGGTTACTTAATATTACTCACAATAAACCGCTCCCAAAAGTCCGCAAAGAGAGGCCTATCAATAGCCTTTAGGCTCTCTTTGGTGGCAGCATCTACACTTACGTACAACTGCAAATATCAAAGATAATGAGTTAGGCAATTTGGTTCTGTTGAGTGGACGAAGAGCTTTCAAAGCTGGAAAAAACATGTACAAAACAGACACCACGGACCTGAGTGATAGGCTTCATCATCAAAATCTTTTCGGGAAATTGAGCATTAGTAACCAAAAATGTGGAAATACGCCTTCCATGTAGCTCATCTACAAGGGCATTAATCTCTGGATACATAATTGGCTCACCAACAAGTGATAACGCACAATGCCTTGGTGTAAGACCTTCTTGTAATTTCTCCGGAGTTACACCTGAAGAACGTATCCCACCAATATAGCATCAGCATCTAACATCAAACTAAGTGGAGGAAACAAATCAACCAAGTAAACAAAACACGCAGATTATCTTTGAATTCCAAGACTGCCTAGCAAGCTTTTTGGTGCAAAGATTTAAACGGCTTTCATGATATATGTGAAACCTAGATAGATGAAGTTGAGTTTCATAAACTACGAGATATCTAAATAGGTTCGAGACCCCAACTTAACCCACATATACCCATAAACTATCGGAGACCTGAGTGAATCTGGAAACCAAAATTAGGAGAAAGATATAATCAGACCTGGAACTCCTTTCATCTGCTTAATCATCTTTGTATGAAGATCTAGAGCACCTTCCACAATCACTTTGGGATCGTCCATCTTCCACTGCCAGCTCTTTCCCACAGGATTTGTGTGATGCCTCCAACAGAAGACACATTTGTTTGCACAAGCCAAACTAGGTGTTGTCTCCATGCACCTTGATTATTTGAAACCATATATCTTGAACATAAGAATCACGACCTACCATCATAAGGCTAGGGAAAAGAAAAAAAAACAGAACTTTCCACTATACCTGTGACTCTCAATGCCATAAAAGGAGTGTTTGTAGCAACCTCCCCTGCCTCTAAGCTGTGACTTCGTCCATCTACATATTTTAACTCCACTATGCGAACCAATGATTTTATAGCCCTGCAAGTTTCACAGAACTTCAGAAAGTGTACAGGTCATGTTCATTCAAGTAAAGGCGAGAAAACGCAAGTCGCAAGTCTGCGTCAAAGCTCAAGCAACAGGAATCAAAATCCGGAGAATCACATATAATATCTAAAGCATAGAACAAGACATCGGAATTCAAGAAAATCAAGAAATACCTGCTTCGTTAAGCTTGCTCTGATCACAGGGGTCACCATTTCCTTCTTTCCATCACCTTTAGCCACTTTAACGACGCCATTTTTCCTTGAAGGAGCTTTCCCAGCAATATCTTCGAGATCAACAATATCTCCATTGTCGTCATTGCCTTCCTCTTCATCATCTGTTGAATCGATATACTCGCCATCACTCTCAACAGCACCTTCCCGCGAAACCCCGATTGTTTCTTGAGCAGAACCACCCTTCAGAACTCTAATCACTCCGTCACACCAGTTTTGAAATGCACTGTCTAGTTCTCCGTCGTCAACATCGCCTTCTCCCACCGGAATCATCTCGAGTCCACCCAATCCCACCATCCGACTCGATAATTCCTTCGCCACAGCGTTATACGATTCACCATAAACTCGGCTCCCGACGCCGAAAACGGCGAATTTGCATTCGGAGAGAAGAAGCGAGCCGACTCGGAAATCCTCGGCGCTCTCGGACAGCCAGTTGACGAGAAACTCTCCGTTCTCAGGCGGCTTCCCGTCGTCCCACGTCGACGCGATGAATATAACTTGATTTTCCTTGGGGAGATCCTCGGGCTCGTAGTCCCGTGGATCGACGAGATCAAATGCGATGTCGTTAGCTGCGCAGAGCTCGTGGAGCCGTTGAGCTAGGGCTTTGGCTGTGCCGGTCTGGGAGATAAAGAAGATCTTTCCTCTGCTGGCTTTCGAGGTAGTGGTACTAGGGTTTAAGGAGAGGTTTTTGAGACGTTTCAGGCGGAGGTATTTGTGGATACAGTAAACAGTAGTCGCTGAGAGTAAAGCAACGAAAGCTAGTCGAGCACGTATGGAGGAAGACGAAGCCATGACTTGAGCTCAATGGTCAAGACTGGAGATTACCCCGGCGGCGCGTGGTGTTCACGCGAATCGGTTTGATCAGAAAAAAAAAGAGAGAGATTGTAACTGAGAGAAATGGGGGAGGCGGAAAAGAAAGAGCTCCAAAGTACGAGGTTTAAGAACTGGGCTTCATTTGAAGGCCCATGTAATTTAAATTTAAAGCCCATGAAAAGTGTCTCGAGATCAGAAAGGCACAACCACGCTTTTTATTGGATTTGGGAGAGATCTATGCCACGTGGCACATCTTCTTTGGGATCTCTTTCTTCTGCGACACCTCGTTTCCCTCCTTCCTTCCGCCGAATAAAATAAATGCAATTGAAACGGAGGGAATATTCGCCGGCGAATTTCCGGTAAATGTCTCAGTGTTTGTATTCGAATCCTACTTTTTCGGCGACATTACCCATTTGTTTTGCACCCAGTTTTATTCTATCTCCGGAATACGATTCGTCTCACCCTGCTTCTCCTCTTTCATGCCTATATAACCTACCCACCATGCGTTTCTCTAAACGTCATTTCTCTCCTTCTCTCTCTCTCTGCATCTCTGTATTATCTTCCCGTTCTCGTTTCCCTGGAAAATATCAAGCACCGAGACAATTTCTCCACTCTGCTGGTTCGTCCGCCTCTTCTCAATATACTTCAACTACGTTTTTTACAAAAAAGTTTGCTCGATTTTCTAGTTTTTCTCTTTTTTTTTCTATCATGCTCGGTTCTTTGTTGTTGTGTTCTCTGGTTCTGTAGTTTTTCCAATTCGGGTTGATTAACTGTGAGTCTGTGCTTGGGTAGAGATAGCTAAAGCTAATAGAGTTTTCGGGAAATCAGAGTTTTCATTAGTGAACCTTGGGAAGTAAAGATGTGTTAATCATGGAAGTTGCGATTTCTAGGTCTTGCCTGGAGCATATCTTGGAACTTAGGATCAGGATTTAACATGGTGCATGCTTTGATCTTTTAAACCAGGTAAGATGTTGTTAGGTTTGGTTTTATTCTACGGGTTTTTTACATGCTTTGGTGCTTGGTGCTGCTAGTGTAGTGTAGTTAGTAAAGTTTAAATGGTGTTTGACTCCTGTTGACTAATCACATACTGTAGTGGATCATGGTGATTAGTAAAGTTTTAATGGTGTTTGACTCGTGTTGACTAATCACATAGTGTAGTGGATCATGCTGATTCGTAAAGTGGAATGGTGTTTGACTCGTGTTGACTATCCCAAACCTCTTATCCCCTGTAGAAAACGTGTCATGTGGTAGTATCATCTTCTTTCGTGCTTCTAAATATAGCATTGAGGGGTTCTGACTAACCAGTTACTTCTTCCGAGATTGTCTTTGAATATTCCTGTTATCTATTTTCTGGATAGAGCTTGTACAAATTCTCTTTATGCTAATTGTATATGTTGGTGTGTTGCATATATGTTTTTTATATATCGTACGGAGTTCATTTGAAGAAAAAATTTACAAATGATGATTCTTTTACTTGATCAACTCTCAGGGACAAGCCAACTGTGTTTTAAGAGCTCGATGGAAGAACAGCGAGCTAGTGCTCTTAGTGAAAACGTGGTGCAGTTTCACAATGTGGGCTCAAGGGATGGATGCGAAGCTCCCAATAAATGGTCCTCCCCAGGAGAGGAAAAGAAAATTGATATAAGCAAACAGATCTTCTGCAATAGATCGCTGAATATGAAAAATATCATCGCCGTTGGCTTTGATATGGACTACACTCTTGCTCAATACAAGTCTGAAACTTTTGAGTCTCTTGCTTATGATGGAACTGTCAGGAAACTGGTATATGATTTGGGGTATCCAACTGAGGTTAGTATACTATTTTCATTCTAAGTATGTAATATTACTACGGAGGAACTTTGCAATTTTGTAACCATCTGAAATGTTTGTTTCATTGTTGTCCTTGCTATGGTTAAATTTCAGCTGCTAGAGTGGAAATTTGATTGGAATTACATGGTTAGAGGCTTGGTGCTAGACAAAAAGCGAGGAAACATCTTAAAGGTGAATTAATGAACTTGTATATGACTCTCACAATATATGTTACTTCTTTCCTAATTGAATGTTGATCATGCAGATGGACCGCCATAAGTATGTGAAAGTAGCTTATCATGGGTTTAGGGAGCTCTCTAAGGAAGACAAAGTTGACATCTATGGCAGCAGCCTTATACAAGATTCTTTTGATGAGCCTGACTACGCTCTCATAGATACCCTCTTTTCTTTGGCCGAAGCCTACCTGTTTGCGCAACTCGTTGATTTTAAAGATAACAACCCAGAAAAGATTCCCAAGGACGTTGAGTAAGACAATTGCCCTTATTTTATGCTTATGGTTGTAATTTTTTTCACTAATATTCTAGAACTTGTACTTGTCATATTTTTTTCTTTTTAACGTATCACTAATTTATTCCTTCTCCAATGGTGTTCTTGTAGTTATGCCCGTATGTACAAAGATGTTCGGGCTGCTGTTGATTTGTGCCACCGTGATGGAACTTTAAAGCAGATGGTGGCAAAAGAACCTAATAGGTAAATGTTCATTACTGTTCTTTGCAAGTTTGATAAGTACCATCTCTGCTGGAAATATTTATTCTCTTCCTTTTTTCATCATTCGTTTTTAACTTGCCATTTTATCAGGTATATCAATGAGGATACTACGATTGTACCCCTTATAAAAATGATAAGAGATTCTGGACGTTCTACATTCTTGGTGACCAATAGGTAATTCTAACGACATGTTCTTCAAACTTCAAAGTGCTCCCGGAATGTTATTTATGCATATATATTGCTTTTGTAGCTGTGCAGTTGATTTAACTTAAAAATTTTAAATGATTATATGCTTCAAAATTTTACTTATGCAACTTCACCATTGTAACCTGTTCTCCTTCCCTTGCAATAGAAATGTGGAACATACAGAAAACATTTGTGAATATCCTGTTATGTTACCTGTTCTTCTGTATAATCAGTTTTTCTTTTATTGTTTTGTATGACATTTTTGCAGTTTGTGGGACTACACAAATATTGTGATGAATTTCCTCTGTGGAGGGCGCACTGTACATGGTCCTCATACTTGCAACTTTGATTGGCTCCAGTATTTTGATGTTGTGATCACTGGCAGGTCATTTTCTTTCTTCATTCTCTCTTTAATCTAATGCTCTGAATTAAATCGTCGTGATAAACAATAGCACACAAGTTTATGTTTTCTTGGCTATCAATTTGTATTCTGGAATTATTCTTTTCTCATTTCGTTTGTTTGCTATCTGAATTGGATATTTTTTTGTGAAGTGCAAAACCTGGTTTCTTCCATGAAGAGAGTCGTGCCAATCTTTTTGAGGTGGAGCCTCAGTCTGGAATGCTTATTAATACTGACAATGGAACACCTATGCCTCAGGTTTGTCTTAACGAATTGCGACACTCGTTCAGTCTTTCACATGCAACTTCTTATCTAAATGATCCTTGCTTATCCGTTGCAAATTGTTTTTGTTTGCTTGAAAGGTGGGAGATCCGTCCCCTAAAATTTTACTGAAGAGTAAAGATAAAGGTTGTCGTGTTTTTCAAGGTGGAAATGTCGGGCATCTTCACAGTTTGCTCTCGATTGAGTCAAGCTCACAGGTAGTGCGCTGTAGCTAATTCTCAAAGAAAAATTTGCTCAGTCTCGATTTGAAATATCAGTGTATTAAGAAAATGGCATAATGGTATATGGGATGTACCGTGCCATGCATCATTTGTCACTTATTCAGCTATTTGATCTTATTAGGTTCTTTACGTTGGTGATCATATATACGGTGATATCTTGCGCAGCAAAAAAGTCCTTGGTAAGTTTTGCTTTTCCAGTTATAATCTTATAGACAAATCTTCATGGGTTTAATCGACCTATGCTGAGAATAAGAATATGGTGTGTTATGCCCCTAACTCCTTATGACTGGCGAGCTTAGCATCTAAGTAAGCTGGAAACACTTGTTTGGTGATGAAGATAGTATCATAGGTGTTAGAAGAAACTGGTAAGAATGTATTTGCTTGCAGCTTAATTATCTTCATTGTGCAGGCTGGAGAACGATGCTTGTTGTTCCAGAACTAGAAAAGGAGGTTGAACTTCTGTGGGAACTGAGGGATATGCGTAAGGTGAGTGAATCCTCTCTTTATATTTGTTATTATTGTATGAGTTATATGGTTCTGTGAAAAATCAAGGTTTGCCTTGATTTTGGTTTAACAGCTGCTACTGATCTGATTCTCTATGAATTTTTTGGTTTGCAGCAACTTCTTTTGATGAGGAATGAGCGTGATTCAGTTGAAGACAAGATTCATCATCTGAATTGGTCACTAAAGTGAGTGTTCTTAAAATTAGGATCTGGAACAAAGAAAGCCGTGTTACATAAACTAGAATTCTTAATTGTTTAAGCCATTTCACAAAGCTTGTATATCTGTGTAACTAATTGGATTGTTCAGGTATGAGGAAATAAACGAGAATGATAAGCAGGAAATGTTATCAGCGCTCAAGGACTTAGAGGTAAGATAGAATTTGTATAACCCCTCGATCTCCGATAGTTGCAAAGTCGTTTTATAAGTCCTCCATTGTTTTGTTTTTTCTGGTGGGATTTTCAACAGTGTAAAAGAGATCAAGCACGACTAAGTCATCAACAAGCTCAAAGAGAATGTCACCAAAAGGTAAATGTAGTGTATCGATGTAACAACTAGTTTTTCCATTTCCAATTTGTTAAAAAAAAGCTGCTAATGTTGTGGTTTCCGGTTATTGCAGTTTCACAAGGTGTGGGGGCAACTGATGAAAACCGGTTACCAGAGTTCTCGGTTCGCTCACCAGGTAAAGAACCTTTCTGTTTTCGTTTCTTATGTGGCGGTTAGGGTGCTTTGCGTTTGTGAGGAATTGATTTCCCAAACCGTTTTGCTTCCAAATCAGGTGGAGAGATTCGCATGCCTGTACACAAGTCAAGTCTCTAACCTACGCTTGTACTCGCCAGATAAGTATTACAGACCCAGTGAAGACTTCATGTCCCATGAATTCCACCTTCTTCCTCTGTGATTTGATCAGTCAGGTTGTTGAAGAACGACCACGCTAAAGTCAGAGACTAGTTATGGTTTGGTTTGGTTTGGTTTGGTTGTTGCTTATTCTTAGTGTCTATAAACTTTCTTAATCTCTTATCCTTTGCGTTTTAATTTCACTTGGTAAAACTTACTCTAAGTTTGGGAGGAATCTAGTGAAAAGTTTTCTTTCGGAACTAAAACCTTTTTGGAGTTTTTTATTGAATGGTCGATGTTTTCTAGAGGCGAATCAGCATTCACAAAAACTCCCTTTGACAACTTCTACAAGTTTTTGGAGCTCTGGTGTATAAGCTATTGGGAAGATTGCATCAAGAAGACAAGAAGTACCCTGTAACGTTTAAGTTTCTAGATCATCATTGTTCAGTACTTGTGATTTCAATCTTCCGGATTGCGTATCTGTTGAGCAGAGTTTAATCAATCGAGTTACAAAATACTTGAAGGTGTGTTGATATACATATAACAGAAGGCAAGCTGATTATTGATACACAATAAACAAACAGATCTTAGTAACGTTTCTCAAGCCTCATCAACAACAGCTGGAAATCTTGACATTTCTTCTCTTGTTCTCGGCCAAAACAGAGAGAGGAAGACAAAGAATGAAGTTGTAAAAGATGAAATTTGGTTTGAGTTTTCTCATCTGAACAAGGCTTGAAGTTCTTCAAGCGTTTTGCCTTTGGTCTCAGGAACCCATAGAGTCACGAATACCACTGTGAACGAACAAACCACCGCGTATAGAGTGAAAGTTCCTGTCGAAAAAGTAACCCAAAAACCCATCAGAAAAATGCTCTTTTGTGTTCCTTGATTAGAGAGAGAAAGAGAAAAAGAGGAAGAGAGAGAGAGAGAGAGAGAAAGAGAGAGAAACCTCCACTGCTCCAAGCTAAGAGCAAGTTTGCAGTCATGGTGATCAACCAAGAGAAGAACCAATTAGCCAAAGTTGCTATACTTCCAGCTAAACCCTTTATGTTCACAGGAAGGATCTGTTTATCCAAAACAACAACCAAGAAAGCAAACGGTTGATTAATAAAGTTTTTATCTTTTCCGTTCTAACAACACTAAGTTCTAACTTCTAACGAACTCGATACCTCAGACATAATGAGCCACGGGATTGGTCCCATTCCCAATGAGAAGAAAACCACCATTGTCTGTAACGATTCAACATAGGTTTAGCGCAAATAATCATCACTCGTTGCATCAAGAAAGTTTCGCTTAATAACAAACAAGCTTACCACAACTCCAACTACTGACAATATGCTCAACATACTGTACATGTCTGAATCAGGAGACACATATCCCTAAACAAGTTTCGTAAAACTCAGAACGTCAAACCTCGGACATATTGCAAAAGACTGAAAAATAAAGGTGTTTAGGGAAGTTAAAAACCCAAAAAAGTACCTTAAGGTAGAAAGCAGCTGCAACAATTACAAGGCTAATGGTCATCCCAACAGAAGAGATCTAGAAAACATTTTCATCGGTCTTGTTAGTTAATTCTTCTCTAAAGAGAAGTCTTGAAGACATGAAACTAACGAATTATAATACTCACGGTAAGCAGAAGCCGACGACCTGCTTTGTCCACCAACCATGTCGATATTGCAGTCGCCACTACCTGAATAGCACCGACCCCAAATGTTGCTGCGTTACTCGATGTAACTCCTAAAAACGTGAAAACCAGAAAATTGTGAAGTTATGTGTTATAATATGAAACAAGAAGCATAAGGTGTTCTTGGAGCAAGGGCCTACCTGCAGATTCAAAGATTGTACTGGAATAGAATAGGACGCCATTAATTCCACCGAGTTGTTGAAGTACAAGCAACCCTATACCAACCTTTTACACACACAAAACAATAAAACAATGGAGTTTTAAGATAATGTTTCTTATGGTAGACAAAGAATTTTCCATGGCAAAGATATTCAAACGTTTGTACCATAAGTGGGAAATAGTATCTCCTCCGCTTGAGATCTACAAACCGAACTGTAGATGATCGCTTTGTAGATGATGCCACAGATCTCTGCAGATTTGCAGTAAATACGAAAAATCAGCGTTTGAAAACCATTCATGTACCATTTAGAAGAAAAAAGGTTATCAGTGGTAATATTACCTTGATTTCATTAACCTCAACGGTAATATCAGTCTCAAATCCTCGAAGAACTTGTAATGAAGTCTCGAAATCCTCAGTCATACCCATTTTTGCCTACGCATTTTGAAATAAAGCATCCCATAAGAGTGGATTTACCAAAACATGCACTGAGCTCAAGAAAAAAAACAAGCAAAGGCGTACCAGCCAGCGAGGGGATTCAGGGATGAAAAAGAGACCTGGTATCAATACTAAGCACGGCAACACCCCTAAAGATAGAGGAAGACAACAGAGAAAGTGATCAGATCGTGTCTATAAATCATATTCAGGCAGGAAAGAATAAAATGGTCTCAGGCTTTTGTGTGATGAAATTTACCCAAAACTGCAAGAATTCTCCATGGAACAAAGAGGCCAAGTAAATAAGCCAACATTATTCCAATTGTCACGGAAAGCTACAACAAGATATAACCCAAACTTTACTATTAGCTTAAAAGAATCGGATCATAAAACTGCAAAAGATGAATTAGTAGTAGTCGGCTAAACATGTCGAACCTGGTTAACTGAACCCAATCCTCCCCTCATGTTCTGTGGAGCTATCTCAGCGATATAAACAGGCACCTAAATCCATAAACCGAGTTGCATAAGTGTACTGTTCCGTAAGAAAACAACTAGCTGAGTTCAGTATTACCGTGTAGGAGATGATCCCGACGCCGAAGCCTTCTAATAGTCTCCCCATGTAAAGAAAAGAAGTATCCTAACAAGCCAAAATGATGCAGCGAGATAAGGTCAACAAACATATTATTCAGATCGCCATTTGACTTTATGCGAAAGCCGAATAAAGAAACTGGAACAAATACTCACTTTTGCGAATGATATACAAAGCCATCCAATAATATTGGGAATTGCAGCAATCATCAGAGACTGTTCAAGAAACACACACAACAAAGGGATTTTAAGTAAAGCAAGCAAGAAGAGTTTACCAAATGGATCAAAACAGAACAATTCAAGAACCAGGAGACAAACTAATACACACCCCTTTTCGTCCAATGTATTCTGCGATCTGACCACTGGCAATTGCACCAACCATAGCACCAACATTGGATAGAGAACCAAACACAGAGTACTAAAACATGGAGCAAGAGATCAAAGTCAATCACCATTAAACGAGCGATGATGTAAAAAACATACAGTTCTAGATCATAGATTGATCTATTACCTCAGATACCGTTAAACCGAGATCCTTGGTGATTGCAGCTTGCGTTGGAGAAGAATAGCCACACTAAAGGAAAGATACAAAAACCAAAGCAAATCAGAAACTTCCCAATTTAAGCTCTCTAATTTGTTCTCAAACAAGAAAAATCGTCTCGGTTCACCATTTTTGAACTTCAATCACCAGACTTTTGACAGAAAATGACAAATTCAAACGCAAAAGATCATCGAATTCACCTCAAACTAGTTTTCCATCAAAAGTCAGAGCTTTCTACAACGGAAGAAAAGTGAAAAAAAAAAAGTTGAGATTTTTCATTGTCTTACAGTAAATCCGAATTGAATGGGGCCAAGAGCAACGATCAAAACACATGCAAGAACAGAGATTGAGCTGTCTTTGATAACTTGAGAAGAACCCATCATGCTCGATTGTCTCGAACCCATCCGGTACCAACTTCCGGTGTGTATGAACGGCCGTCGCAGATCATTCCTGCCCTCCTCCGAATCATCCCTGAAACTCATCTTCTGATTCTATGTACACTCTCAACCCTAATCTATAGTCTTTTCTTATATATCAAAGCTTCAAAGAACAAGCAAAAAAGCTTCAAAATTTCGCCTCCTCGCGAAGTAAAATGCCGATTCCAAAACCGGAGAAGGCAAACAAAACAAAAAAAAAAACTCGTTTTGACTTTCTTCTCGTATCTAGAGACTGGGATTTGAAGAGGAATTTAATGGCGAAAACTTGGATAAGAACGGATAGAGAAACGCCGTCTTATTTAAAAAACGAGAAAATGAATTTGGGTGTTTATGGCTGTAATGTAGTGTTTAATCGCTGGAGACGATGAGAAGACCGCTTCACAGAGTTTTTTTAGATCACAGTTTGCGTCGTCGCATAAACCAAATTTAGACACAGTAAATGTTCTGGTTGGATAATGGATAATTTTATATTGGATGTTATCCCCCAAAACTAAAAATATAGCACTGTTATGTTTTCCAAATTTACTAAAAGTTATGCAAATTTGGAGAAAAATATGTTAGCAATACACAAATTAGACAACGATCATAATATTATCTTTGTGATATTTTAGAAAATTCATATCGAGAAAGGCCAGCTAATAATGGTTATTTTTGGTCAGTAATTCACCATTGATTTTTCTAATTCGGAAAATGATATATATATATATATATATTCCAAACAACCACCATAGTTAATCACAACAAATCATTTAATGATGGTTTTGGAAATTTGTTCTTTGGATAAGACATCCACATCTTACTTACATCATTAATAGATAAGCATATCAGAATTTTTTTTAATAATAATAGTAATAATTCAAAAAAGAAAAGAAAATGATAGTGAAACAAAAACATTGTTTGAATCCAGACAATATAATCGATTTTTGTCAAAAGTTTACTGAAATCTTTTAACCCATCAATAGACATGAGTCACATATATATATATATATATTTAAATGGTTTAGATTTTGTACTTTAATAAAAGATTGTGTTTAACTTGATATTTGGTAAGAAATAGAAGAAAAATCAAACGAGAGAAATGTGAGAGCTGAGAGGAGAGGCCACGACAGAAAAAAGACAGAGAATCATATAATACCAAACACGTCTTTGAGATCTGATATTACTGTCTCCATTCATCACTAACTAATCTTTTTGTTGACCACAAAATTTTATAGATCTGCAATGTAATTTACAAAACTAATATCCTCCTCGTTTCTCACGTGTGCAATAGTCCATCGTCATTGTATGTTTTATTTTTTAGTCCTCTCTATAGAATAAACATAACCATTACTCAATTTTTTTTTTTGTCCAACCATTACTCAATTAACTCCCAAAATTATATGACAACAGAGATATTTTTGAGAAATTGAGTCAAGTAATCATATAAATTTCAAAAATATACAAGCTAACCATAAAAAACAATGATTATAATATTTTGTATATATTCTACAATATATACAAATTTAACATTTTAGTTTTTTTCCTTTCTCTCCTATTTTCTCTCCTTTTCCCTTTCACTTTCTTTTACCATTTTCTCCTCTTCCTTCTCCTCCCTTTCCCGTCTCCTTTATCTCCCATCTTTTCCCTTTCCCACCTCTCCTCCCCTACCTCCCTTCCCCGTCCTCTCTCATCTTCTCCTTTTTCCTATACAATATATATAAAACAAACATTTTATAAATAATATAGTATAGTATAATAATGTGTTTATAAATTTGGTTTAAAGGGTAAAAAAGATAAATGTTAAGGTTTTTGGTTATTGAATAAATTATGAAATTAATATGATTATATTCTTTAGTTTATGGTGTAATGTGGTTATATCACAAATTAACCCATATTTTTTCCCTCTCTTTTTTTTGGACGAAAACTTTTTATTTTTATCATCCCGCAAATAGTAGAGTGGATCAACTTACTGTCGGGTTTATGGGCCCAATTTTTAAGACCCATATAATCCATTTTAGGCTTATTGGTCCAATATATTTGATTAAAAGCCCATATAGAGGTCGTCGGAGCGTGAAGACCACTCTCGTCGAATTCGCGTTAGATAAGAAGCAACGTCAAGACCAAGACGCAAACTTCACTCGTCGGCCGTGGTTATTCTTCTCCGATTTAGGTGTTGGATTCTTCTCGTCTCTGAAGCGATCAAAACCCTAATTTGATCCATTTGAATTCTCGATTTCTCATGGGTGAACATTCACCTTCTCAACCGTCGTCACATACACATATCCAAAATCAACCGCAATCACCCGAACCCGAGAACCCTAATCCAATTCCACCGGAAACCAACGACGACGACTCCACCTCGTCCGCCGGAGCTTCTGGCTCAATCGTCTCATCAACCACCATCGAAGCACCACGGGTCACAGAGTTAGGCAATGTATCGTCCCCGCCTTCCAAAATCCCACTCCGTCCTCGAAAAATCAGGAAGCTTTCACCCGACGACGACGCTTCCGGGACCTTAAACGCTAACGGCGACGGGTTCAAGGCGGAGAATAGTCCCTCTCGTATGATGACGCCGCTCGCGACGTCTGCAAAACCTGCCGTGAAGGGTAAATTGTCGCAGTCACGCGCTGTAACCGTGCCGAGGATCCACGCGAGGTCTCTCACCTGCGAGGGCGAGATCGAGGCAGCGATTTGCCATCTCCGGAACGTGGATCCTCTGCTCGGATCGTTAATTGATATCCACCCGCCGCCGACGTACGAGTCTTTCCACACTCCGTTCTTGGCGCTGATTCGAAGCATTCTCTATCAGCAGCTAGCGGCCAAGGCAGGGAACTCAATCTACACACGCTTCGTTGCCCTATGCGGCGGCGAAAACGGCGTCGTGCCGGAGAACGTGCTGCCCTTAACTCCTCAACAGCTCCGTCAAATCGGCGTCTCTGGCCGGAAAGCGAGCTACCTTCACGATCTCGCCAGGAAATATCAAAACGGGATCTTGTCGGATTCTGGAATAGTGAACATGGATGAGAAGTCTCTGTTCACGATGCTAACAATGGTGAACGGGATTGGATCATGGTCGGTTCATATGTTCATGATAAACTCTCTGCATAGACCCGATGTGTTGCCGGTCAACGATCTCGGAGTAAGGAAAGGTGTGCAGATGCTTTATAACTTGCCGGAGCTGCCTCGTCCATCGCAAATGGAGCAGCTCTGCGAGAAGTGGCGTCCGTACAGGTCAGTAGCATCGTGGTACATGTGGCGGCTCGTTGAAGCTAAAGGTACACCGTCGAATGCTGCGGCGGTGACTGCAGGAGCTGCTCTTTCGTTTCCGCAGATGGACGACATTCAACAGCAGCAACAACAGCAACATCAGCAACAACAGTCACAGCTTCTAGACCCTCTTAGTGTGTTCAGCATCGGGTATAGTCAGTTACTTTATCAAGCTTAGTTTCTCAGTGTTTTCTATGTGCAATACTTGTCTTTGCTTTTACTTTGCTTGAGTTCTGCCCTTGAGTTAGGAGTGCTTGCCTTATTTCTATTACTTGCTGAGAGTAGGTACTAAAGTGTGTGGTAGTTCTTGTCTCCTAAACTTAATCTCAGTGTTTTGAAGCATTTTGCTTTCATGGTCGAAGCAGTGTCAAAGGGGTTGGGTGATCTGTGCTTATGGTTGAGCTAGGTTTTAAACTTGATTTTAGTCATATAGAAGCTTTACAAGTCACCTGAAAAGATACGGATGTTCAAGAATAACTTCTATGCATGGATTGAGTATGAGGCTGGTTATCATGGTTGTATAGGGCCTATTGAGCTTTTGAAATTAATTGATAGATTTCTCATGTCGAGTCCTTTGCTTATCTTGTTTGGATAAGGACTATTGTGCTTTTGCTATTAAAATTTAATTTTTTTTTTGTGCGTGTTTAAACGTAATCACATTTACGGCAGTGAATGCCTTCACTAAAACAAGTTGAGGTGAAAGAAAATGGTACTCGAGGACTTGTAATATTTTTAATACTTGACCTATGCTTTGGTACTGATGTTTGCCACAAGTAAATGCGAAAACTTACAGTGAAGGGAATTGCTTACAGTGGGTTTAACTTTAGCCATCGTTGACATGTTTATTTGTAATGCTAAATAATTAGGTACAATAATGAGGAAGTTGTTAGTACATTAATCTTCTCGTGTGGTTCTTATTGTCTTCTTAACAGGGCATGGGGCCAAACGTAGCTGGCTTGGCACCATAAGGAGTTGTCTGTCATGGCGATATAGGGATTCTTGTCCGGTCTTCGACTACTGTCTGGTGAAAAAAAGTCAATTGTTCCAGCCAAGAAATAAGAATAAAGCAGGAACTTTTGTAGGTTGTGTTCCTCAAGACACACAACTGAGAGACCATAGAACAGAAATCCTCTTAGCTAAGTGAAGAGTATGTAATTTGTAGTTTAGCTAATGAACTTTTCATTGATTTCTTCTTGTTGGAGACGTAAACTCTTGTCTAAAGAAAAAAGTTTCTCCTAGATTCTTTATAAAAACAGACCCGCATCTCTAAAATAATCGGAAGCATATGGTTTTGCTGATGATAAAAAGTCACAAGAAACTCACAAACAGAGGAGGTTATGTCCATATTGTGTAGAGTTGTCAAAATACAGCAACAAATCGTACTCTCGTGGAAGAAAAAGAAAGAGCCCTTTAATGATACATCAGTTTTTGGGATCTTCTATTATCAGTTTGAAGACAAGAGAGTCGATGAAAACACCTGTTTGGTTTCTTGCCTCTGTCACTGTAACAGAAAAGATAATAGATCCGTCGTTCTCCTCCACACAATCGCAACTGTGTTTAGTTAAAAGCAATGAGTTGTGTTAGAAAGCGAAGCATGGGAGAGTGAGGAGACTTGAGAGGCAAACAAAACTCATTAGTTTTGTAGAAAACAACAAAGCAAGTGTCCTGAAACAGTGAAGTTAAGAGTCGTTCTGGTTTTGGCTACAAAACAAGTTGCAACACAAAACCCTCAAGTTTTGTTTTTCAGAAAGAATGGAGAGCTGATAGGGACAAATCACTGCTTTCCTTTTCATTCATTTCATTTTCCAGCTAACTTTTTTCTTTTATACAAATGGTTGCTTAACAATGTGAGTCTCTAAGAATATTCCATCAACTTATATGAAAATAAAATTAACCAGAGATCGGTTAAGGTGAACCGGATATAAAATTACTAAAACCAAGTTGGTGGAATTTCGAAATTCCAAATCCCAAAATGTCCCTACACCATAGAAGCTACACTTAGGTGTAGAAACTCATAGGAGGCAAATTAAAAACTTAAAAACTAAAGAGAGAGAGTGAGGAGAAAAGGTAAAGGGGTTGCTTGCGGGGAAGCGTGGAGGGTGGCAGAGAGTAGAGAGAGAGAGATTCAGACATTGTTGGGTTCTACAGTTCTTACTACTTCAAACTGCTTTTTTGGTTTGATTCTCTGTCTGAATATAGACATTTCACATCTTAACAATTTTCACCAGTTTATATCTCTTTCATAATCCCTTTTTTTTTAAATCTCTTTTTCAGTAAACTTGCTTTAGAGGAATTTCGATATGGCGCGATATTTATGAAACAAAACAATTCTCAACTGGTGACAAAAGAAAAGAAAATAATCTCAAGTTTTATGTCCCATTTCAGATGTACTAACCTAATTAATATAACTATTATTGACGTCAAATATCATTTACAGTTTTTTTTAACTGTTGGCTCTTTTGTGCTTTTGCTGAGAATATCTCTTAGAAGTAAAAAGATATTGGTTGATTTTTAATACACCGATGATGAAGTCTACTCCTCCCAAAGCAACAAAAAGACAAAAGATAAACTAGTACTAGTGTATATATCGTAATGGGATCTGATGATAAGCTTGATGATCTTATTAAGCATGATATTTGTATTTGACTTTAATTTACTCTCTTTTTTTGTATGTTTGTACACTGTTCCAGTCCAATGCGTAATTCTAATTGTAGTGTTGAATTTCGATGCAACATAATTTTGAGACATGATGATCTAAATCGTATCGGATATATTGATCTTCAACTTTTCATTGGGCTTGTCAGAGAACGTATGGTGATTCCAAGATAATTAAGTTGGTAAAAAAAATCAGTGAATTTGTAAAGTAACGTTCATGATCGTGGCATGTCTTACTGTTTGTGTGTTTTAAGAACAATGAAGATTCAAGTCTACAGTAGAGGTTTTGCATTAGTAGATAATCTAGAGACAGTTGTATGCATTTTGACATTTAAAGGTTTTAAGAAGATAAATAATAGTATGTCATCACAATATGAGAAATGGCTGCAGCTATTATAATTAATTTTATTATTATAATCTGTGGAAGTTTTGGGTTTTTAATCTATAGTTTTTTTTTCAATAATTATATTTAACTTGTAAAACATTAGATCGCCATATCCATTTTGATCTTTTGGAATACCAACTAGTTATTTTTTTGATTTTTTAAAAGTAAAGATTTCATGAAAAAAAAAAATGACTGACAATTGATCACAAAGAAGAATATTGGTGAAATCAGAATTTACTTGCCATTTATTTTGTAGGTAAACTATCAAATTAGCAAATAATTCGTTTGGGTAGGAGTTCGATTCGTTTTTAAATTAAAGCCAAATTAAATTGTTTGAAAGAGAATGAGGTCATCATGCTAAAGGGGACAAAACATGTTATGGTAGAGAAGTAATTATCGTGTGACAGGCTGTCCATGAAAAATTCTGCAGAAGCTATGACTATTACTTTTATTTATTTTTATCAAATCAATTAATTGTTACGACAATTTTTACATTTTCCTGCAATTTTATTGAACATTTTTTTATTTTTAATTCACACACGCATGGATTATTGTATTGACGATTTGATACGGATGTATTTTTTACACAGCCGATTGGAACACGAATTAATAAATGGATGCATGGAGTATAGAAGATAAAAATAGGAATGATATGTTAAAAAAAATCACCATTAATGCATATTGATGATATATTATCAATTAAGCTTCAACGAAAAAATAGAAGCACCATAAATATGGCTCTCTGAGTATTAACCTTACACAACCCTTTAGTCAAAAAAACTTGTAATCCAAAAAAATGCTTGTAATTTCATATACTCCTAATAAAATGGAAAAGTTAAAAAGAATGAAATAAATAGGCATTGTAAGATACTAAATAAATAATATGATAAAAAAAAAAAAAGGTAGAGTGAAAGAGGAAAGAAGAAAAGACATGAGTAAGGGTAAATGGTGTTTGGACAAATTAGGGTTTAAGGGTGAAAAAATTAAGAGAGAGAGTAATAATGAAGGAGAGAGAGAGAATGGGCGGGGCCCATAATGTGGCAGGGCATGTGGCTGGGCTTCCAACTTGACCTTGTCGGTTGTTCTCTGCACTGCCCTTCTCTGCAACCCACACACTATAAAGCCTAATTTTATTCATTTTCTTTTTAATTACTCTCTTTTTTCTTTTGTTTTACATTCCGAAAACAAGCGGTATGGTAATTATTGTGGTTTTAATTTTATACATTGTTCCAATAATATAATTTTTTAACTCTATTATCTGTAAACAATATTTATGCTCACTAATAGATTCTAAATTATATATTTGACACCTAAATTTTACTAGTTTGTTATCTGAATAAGCTTGCTTTATATACAAAGTAAGACGAAAAACAATATCGATTGCATGTGATTTAGATTTTGGTTGTTTGTTGACGTTTACTTATTTCAAATTTGAAACAAGTTTTACAACGTCTTGCACTTTAAACAATTTTTAATAACTTGCAATTAACAAAATTATTAAGCCAATATAACAAAAATCTGTTTATATCTTATATTTGAAATATTTTTTTTCTTTCTAAAATCACTTGTAAACAAAAATACAAACCTTTTATTCAGTATAAAGCAATCAAGATCTTGTTGACCCCAACAAAAAAAAAAATCAAGACCTAAGTATAAGTAGTGTATAACCCAATTACACGAAGCACCAAAATAAGACGTACGCACCGACTGAATAAAAAGTCTTCAGACAGATTAATTAAGAGCGTGTGGAATATTTAACCACCTCGAACGCTCATAACTCTCTACTAATGGTGACACAGCTAGGTGATGCACATAATGCACAAAACAGCATTTAATGCATAATCTCCACAAGAGTATATAGATAGAGTTTATAGGTAAGCTTCAAAATTGTAAATAAAAAAAAAATTATTTATAACCGGTTCACAATAAAATGAGTATATAGATTACAGAAAAAAAAATACAAGTATATGTGAAAAACAAAGATCACGTAATAAATCATCCGATTACCAAGGTACATATGATCCACTGGCACAAATTACAATGTTATGAATTGATTATTAGCTGTTAGTGTTTATTTAATTTTTTTTTGGTCGAGTGTTAGTGTTTATTTAATTATTATAATCAGTTGACTATATAACTATTTAGTACTCCTACTTATTAGCTTAAATGGAATCAACGTAACTATTTTTGAAACATACATGCAACAATCTTGCTCATTTCGGATAATTTGTATTATTCTGCCACAACAACAACAACAAGAAAAAAAAAACAGAAAAATGTAGAGTAATAATTTGATTTTTGTTTTCCTCCATTTTCAGTTGTATTTTTACAAAATATTCTAACGCATTGATAGTGTAACTGTACACAGTAAAAAATTGAGCTCAATAAAAACTTGAGACAGAATGACAATAATTGCATCACTTTCATGCGAGTGACAAATACTATGAAAATTTGAGCTTCAAGTTACTGTTGAATGATGATGTGTTTAGAATTATTATTGACCGAACAATTAATGCCATACAAAGAAAAAAAAATACAAAAAGAAAATAATTGGTATATATATGCATAGAACTATGCAAAATTAAAAGTTCAAAAAAAAACGATGCAAAATTATAAAGATTAAACCCTTCTTCAAAAAATTTTTTATTTATAAAAATTCAGATCAAACGCAGTAACTAGAAAAGGGAAAATATATATTTCGAAAATTCTCACACAAAATTAAGAAAATCTCAATCATCTTTGTTTGACATATATATATATAGCAATTTAGCCATATACTCCCAAAATAAACTTTTAGTGTTTCTCTAATTTCATAGTGTTTTTTTGTATGTTTTCAATTTTTGTAACTTAACAAATTCTAAATGACACCAGAAACTACGAAAATTGCAGGACAAACCTTATGTAGAGGGTATGTTTTTATTTCACACTAACATTAATTGGACTGTAGATCAATTCCATATAAGAATTATATGATACTAATTTTAAAATAAATTTTGGTCAAAATTCAGAACTGAACATTTTCAAGATGGGACAACTGAAACATTAATCTACGCAATCAAGTTTAACTTCAGAATCAGTGAATTAGTATTTCAACTAGTCTCATAGATCACTACAATATATGTTTCATTTTGATATTTCATTGCCTAATTTAAAATCTATAATACATATCTTTATCTGGATTAATGATTTATCTATGTACTCAATATAAAATTAGAAGAAAAAGATCAAAATTACCTTAAAATTTTGAACAAAAATTATAAAAGCACAAGGAACAAAGAAAATGCTAAAATGATAAGTACCTTAATAAGTATGATAAACATAATATAAAAGTATAATATATAGTATAGTAGGGTATAATATTAGTCTCATCTCTCACAAAGGGGCTCGTCTCTTATCTCTATCTCATGGCCTCACCACAAGCAACCAAACTGTCTCTTATAATCGGATCTCAAAGGTTGGCTTGTTGGGAGCACTGAGACATCAAACATGGTTTCTTCTCTCTTTCACCCTTAACATCGATTAACCCTAAAAACTCCCTTTTACAGTATTAATCCCAAAAGTTCATCATCTCTCTCTCTCTCCATTAAAACCATTCACAAGCAAAAAGCTTTGAGCTTTTAATGAGTTTAAGGTCCTCTTCGGTTCCTCCTGCAAAAACTGGGCTTTTCCTCGTGTACTTGCTCTTATCTGTAAGTCTCTGAATCTCTCTGCCCTTTAATTTTCTTTCTTTCCTTATTAGTAATCTCATTAATATTTTCTTTTTCAGGCATAAAATTAAACAAACTTCAGTGTAAGATTTATCTGCTATATCACAAGAAATTCCAAAATTAACCCTTTTTTTTTTCTTGTCGATCTCTTTAATTGAAATTAAATCCTTGTCGGTTTTTGAAGTCCAAGAAAAAAAAATGGATATGAGAAGCCATGAAATGATAGAGAGAAGAAGAGAAGACAATGGCAACAATGGTGTTAGCATTACTAATGAAGATAATTGCAATGGTAACAACAACAACACTCGTGCCTCTTGCAACTCTCAAACCCTAGATCACCTCCAATCGAAGTCTCCGTCGTCGTTTTCGATCTCAGCCGCTAAATCCAACATAAGGTACCGGGAGTGTCTCAAGAACCACGCGGCGAGCGTCGGCGGTAGCGTTCACGACGGATGCGGCGAGTTTATGCCGAGCGGTGAGGAAGGAACAATCGAAGCTCTCAGATGCGCTGCTTGCGATTGCCACCGTAATTTTCACCGGAAAGAAATCGACGGCGTCGGAAGCTCAGATGCAATCGCTCATCACCGTCATCACCACCACTACGGAGGAGGAGGAGGGAGAAGACCGCCTCCTCCGAACATGATGCTTAACCCACTCATGCTTCCTCCGCCGCCGAATTACGCTCCGATGCACCACCACAAGTACGGAATGAGTCCTCCCGGAGGAGGAGGAATGGTGACGCCGATGAGCGTCGCTTACGGCGGCGGAGGAGCTGAGTCGTCGAGTGAAGATCTGAATATGTACGGACAATCGAGCGGAGAGCATATAGGAGGAGCTGGTACGGCGGCGCAAATGGCGTTTTCGATGTCGTCGAAGAAACGATTCAGGACCAAGTTCACGACGGATCAGAAGGAGAAGATGATGGAGTTCGCGGATAAGCTAGGATGGAGGATGAACAAGCAAGACGAAGAAGAGCTCAAGAGATTCTGCGGCGAGATCGGAGTTAAGAGACAAGTCTTCAAAGTTTGGATGCATAACAACAAGAACAATGCCAAGAAAACACCACCAACATCAGCAACTCTCTAATGGTGAGAAAATCATCATCATCATCTACTTAATTGAGAGATTATGTCAGAGATTTTTCTTTTTAATCTATTGTCGTTGTTTTTAATGTTATCTAGGTTTTTGTAGCTTGTACGATCTTTGGATCAATCAATGGATGTTTTGTTTGCGTAGTTAATGTTTTTAATTTGGTTTGTCTGTTTTTTTATTGTGGTTGTATTTTGTCTTTTACCCAGATCGTACTTGTAATCAGCTTCTTTTACATATTAGTTTATGCTTCTGTCTTTTTTTACGTTTAAGCTTAACACAACCATTTTGTGTTTGCACAACAACCGTACAAAGGTAAGATAACCAAATACGAACATTCTAATTAACAGTTCGGTACCAATTTTACAAAAGAAACAAAAATGCGATATTCCTAAATTAACGCCTAATATAAACATTCTAAATATGTTTGTTTCTTAGTTTGAATATAAATGGTTTTATGGATAGTATAAGAGATCATCATTTGGTGTCAACAAAAAAAAAAAAACCAGATAAAGTAAACAAATTACAAAATACAATTTATTATGAACTTAAGATATATGATAATTTTTGCATACGCAAGCGTCTTGGTCAAATGTGAACTTTCTTTTAAAATATGTTTGATGTGAAATATGTCCAAAATTGTAACCATATGATTTGAGCGTACTGTAGATATGTCACCTTCCAATTGTGTAGCAGAAAGAAAAAAAAACATTTTAAAAACAAAAAGAGAAGATTCTCACTGTTTTTATATTTCACAGATGAGGCCAAAATTATATAACTCACGACCTATTTAACTTTTCCTTTTTTCTGTGTCGTCACGACCTATGTATCGAAGCTACCATATGTAATAATTGGTTATAAATAATGTTTTTCGAGTTTCTAGTTTCTTTTGCGACCATCTTGTGTGGGAAACTGTTGATAATTATGAATTTCACAAAATATTTATTCCCATCGAATTTATGTTTCTTCCTTTGAGAAAAAGAAAGTGGGCCAAAAGAATTATATACTTAATTGCTTCCCCATATTAAAAGGTCCAAGTTTTGTAAAATACACAAAAGGTATAAAGATCATTCTTCTTCCGTATGTTGTTAACGTCGTTTTCGCGTTTCAGTTGATGGATTAAGGCCTCACTCTATATATACAACAACCAGCCCAGAAAAGCCCATAACAGCCCATTCTAAACAGCTGATTAATTGATGTATTTTCTTATGACACTTTTTGTTATTTTTTTTAAATAATATATAGTGACGATTAGAGAAGACAGCTTCATTTAATATAATATGATGTTTAATTTTCATTTAATCTGATAGTGATTGGTGATATATAACTGTTATCCTACATTTTTAGTAAAATTTCTGGCCTATTTTCAAGTCGAAGGTTAATGACTTAATATATCAGTCACAGGAAAATTCGGAGATAACAACAAAATAAATAAATAAATAATGTAAACTAAACAGACTTCAATCACTTATCCAATGATAAATTGATAAATAGTAGAGGAGCCATCTCTGTCTCGTTTTTTTTCTTCTGGATTACATTTTTTAGTTATGGGAATTAAAATGATTGATTATTAAAACAATATTGCTTAATTAAGCCTAACTCCCAGCTACTTGTTGTTTTCTTCTTTCGGCACACTTTTTGTATAAATCACTCTTCCCCATCTGCTAAAATAGGAAAAATACAATATTCTTGTCGGCTTTCAAAGGTTTATTATATTCTCCATTTGATTTATTAATAATTAGCTAAAATATTAAACCAAGTTATAATCTCTTCTGTGAAAGTAGAACACAAAGACAAATACAAACAAAATCACTAGATAGAAGAATCACATATCCCTCTGAATTTGTACAAAGACTTCTTCACGTTAATGTGGTAAACTTAGATCTTCAGATTCTTGATTATCCTGTACAAAGAATTAATACAGCCTAAATGAGTGCATGGTTAATTAATAATTCAAGCACGTTGATTAGATTCCAATGACATATACATTTAATTAACAACTCGAAGATATCGTTAAGTAAAGGTTCCAAACTCGAGTTTTGCTTAACAACTTGTAATATGAAATCACATGCACTATGTCGACCACCGACCATGGACAGAAGTAGAATTAACCAATTTATCTATTTATGGACATCTAACTTATCATGATACAATGTTTTGTTTGTGCTTCAAAAATATTTAAGACAGTGTGCATCTGATGTGGTACAAGAAATGATTATATATCATATTAATACTTCCCTTCTGTATTAATTGGTGTTCCATACTTTTATATATATAATTTGATTGTTTCAAATACAAAAATTTACATTTAATTTTATATTTAAACAAAAAAGCATGGTATGTGTGTTTTCTTATGAAACAAATTTTTTTTAAAACATAAGCGTATGCAAAAGTTACGTTTTATTTTTATTTCGCTTGTAACTTTTTCAAAAAAATGTTTGTTAAAAATATGTAATTAATTTTTTTAAATTCTAAACACACTTTTAACCTGTAAACCAATACATAAATAGATAAAAAAGATCCATAATCCACAGCTCATAACTAATTTATAGAAATTGTTGGACGAACAAGACATACACATAGAGCAAGATGCAAATGAAATTAATATAAGTATATAGACTTGTATATATATCTACATAGAGTACCTAGGATCGAAATCTTTGATGCATCTTGAGTTAGATTCGAAGGTCTTGTAATTAGGCAAAGGAACATGACCTAACTCGATGTTGATGAGATCTTCGACGAGGATATCATAGTGACGCTTCACTTCCTCTGCAGATTTTCCTCCTATCGCGTTTGCCACATTGTGCCAACGGTCAGGTGTGTCCTTGTCGTAAACTGCCAAGGCTCTCTCAAACATTTTGTTCTGCTGAAATGTCCATGACGAGCTCGAGCTTCTAGAGTTTGACGCCATTAATGTTATGACTCGAGGAGATAGAGGAGAGAGAGAGAGAGAGAGAGAGAGAGAGAGAGAGAGAGAGAGAGAGAGAGTCTGAGAGAGATAAGAGAGTCAGTGATAAAAGTTGCTATAAAATGACTAGCAAGGAAGGGTTCCTTATATGGAGGGGAAAAAGAGAGTTCCTGGATTCTGCAAGTTGTGGAGAGCTTTTCAATTTTTATTTTATTTAATTATTCTTTTCATGTTTAACGAACCAAGTTTATACAAAAGACATTTTGTGACACATTAACGTCCATATGGTCTATAAAAAGTCAATCGTAACAGTAGTGTAATATATTCTGATATATCTTTTTGGAAATTAAGCAATTGTATCAATATCTCAAGGAAATTTTTAATTTTGAAAGAATGACGTAGTAAAAAATAAAGCAAAACTGACCCATTAGGCATATGTAACAGCAATTTGAGTAGTGTAATAGTATGCTCGCGTCTAAGCATGCATTTAATTGATAAGTGATACATTTTGTAAAAGAGAATCTAAACAATATGTTAGAAGCTTGCACGTTTAATTGCGCCAACCGGTTCAAAACGTAGGGTTGAAGTTGGTAAGTTGAACAACTTGGCCTAATGTGCTTATAGACAGAAGATTAATTATCACGATGCATGCTATATTATAAGTGCCACTACTTATTTTCGTATATATATAAATGATGTTTCACAGTTTTCGATTTCATAATGTAAGCCATTAAGATACTTTGTGTGGTGATTGATAGATTTAAGAGAATATTTAGACAATCATATTGTATGCCTCAATGCATGTATAAAATATATCCATGGCATTATTGGAATGAAAAGGTTTTGATATATGGAGACGACTGGCCCATCATAAGAAAATGGTATGATAATTATTTATATTTTGCAAAGTGTAATTGTATGTCCAAAAATGATGGTAACTAAACAAAACGATAAGCCATTATTTGAGCATTGTTTCTGGCTAATTTTTACCATTATAGATATCAAAAGCATATCAATAAGATATCAAGATGTTTGATATGATAGTTTAAAGTTCTATTCTCATCATCAACTCATGATGAAATAAATCCAAAAATGCTTAAATTCGAACAAATAAAGGATTCGATATGTACATCATCATCATCTTCTTAACCGGATATTTTTTTTTTTTCTAAAAGTTCATATTCATTTACAATATCACCATTTCAAAATGATAGAATTTTTTTATTCTCCAGGACCTTGAATCTAATGACTTTTTTTGAGTGATGTAATGGAAGAGACCCATTTGAATGACAAGCATTTTTACAAGAACCACCAAAAAAATTGATGCAAAAGAATAAGGACATAACTGAGGAAAATAAAAAAGAATAAGGACATAATACATAAGGGATATATTATCGTTTCCTTTTGTGATAAAATTCCTATATCCAAATCTAATCTATTTTCTGTTTTAAATACTTCATGTCTTATAAAAACGACATAAAGCTATCCAATTTTATTGGTAGTTCGTTTGTAAGAAGAATATTATTTGTAAATTTTATCATCTATTCAACTGTTTCATGATTACGCTGTTTGTTGAAGTAAACTTCACTTAGTTTGTTGCTTTGGAGATGTTAACAAACATTTCAAAATCTAGGATTGTAAATATAATTAAGATAAACAAATTAAATTTTCTACATAAGCTTATGTGCCTTTACTTAGAGCATCGATTTTTCACTAACATAATCATTTGAATAGTTATGATAAACTCCTTTGGGAAAGTGCTTATATGTTCATACTTTTCTTGTTATTATCTTAACCCTCTCTGTTTCTATTCTGTAGTAGTATAATCAATTTCTTAAACAACGGATTCAACAAGACTCTCTTTTATTAAAAGAAATTGTCTTCTGTAATTGTTCTTTGCTTCTCCATAAAGCTCTCCGTTAACCTATGGAGCAAAACCATCAATCTGAACAGAGATTCCAAAGATAACTTCACTGGAGATATTGATCACACTTTTCTTTCCCTGCCTGAAAAGTTATCTTTTCCTCTTCAGACACAAAAACTACACATATACATATTACAAACAAACACAGAGGAATGAATCAAATATTCATCTTTACCATTTACCCATTAAAACACCATCATCATGCCTCCTTTCCGTTTTCACATTCCTTTCTTCTCCTACGGCTCTCCTTCTCGTCTCTCTTCAGGGACTTCTTCGCCATCACCACCACCGACTCCTCCTCCTTCACGCCCTCCTTTTCGTCCTGCGGGCATCGCTCAGCCGTCAAAGCAAGCCACGTCGTCAGAAACAAAGCCCAAGGTGCCTCCAACACTTTCTAGGGCTAAAAGCAATGTTGCAGCCATTGCAGCAGCTTCCTCGTCTGCAGTGTCTCAGCCTCCTTCTCGCGGTGCTGTCACGCCAACCCGGCTGGCAAAACAGAGTAACCAATCTGGTTCTACGTCAAAGTCTCCGAAGGCGGAGGAGCAAAAGGTGGCGACGAAAGAGAAGCCACCGAGAGGAACTGAAAAAGAAGCTGGGGAGAATATCAATCGGGTAATAGAGAAACCTCCTATTTCTCGTTCAGAACGAAAAGAAGCAGAAGAAGTTCAGGAACAGAGCAAAAAGACACAAGTAGAGAAACTTGCGGTTGAAGAAAAGAAGAAAGTTCTTCATAAGGACATGGGAGAGAATTCAAAAACAGCCCAGGAACAAGTAAAGAAAAAGGAAACCGAGAAACCTGCGGTGGGAGAAAGAAATTCAAAAACAGATCAGGAACAGCAGAAGAGCAAAGAAACCGAGAAACTTGCACTGGAAGAAAAGGAAAAAGTTCTTCGCAAGGACATCATGGAACAAAATTCAAAAACAGCTCAAGAACAACAGAAGATAAAAGAAACCGAGGAACTTTCGGTTGAAGAAAAGAAGAAAGTTCTTCGCAAGGACATGGAAGAGAATTCAAAAACAGCTCAAGAACAACATAAAAGACAAGAAACCGAGAAACTTGACGTGGAAGAAAGAAACAGAGCCCTTCAGACGGTGGGTAAAGAAGATGCAACGCGAAGCAAAACCACACGGCATATTGCCGCAGGATCAGAATCCTCGAGAGGTCCGAGAGATTTGCCGGAGAGAAAGACGCAAAACAGAACAGAGATCCACGCCGATGACAATCGTCAGAAATCTAAAGTCATATCGACGGGTGATCATGGAAAAGAGGGATCATCTTCAATGAGCAGAAGGATCAAAGAAGACATCAGAGATGGAATCAGTAAGCTTACGTGGGGAAAAAGCAACGGCGATGAGAAATCCGTTAGCGTCTTTACACTAACTGGTGAAAACAGGGGAGCCACGATGTCTATAAATTCTGAAAAAGACAAGAAAGATGGAGAGGTTCATATTCACCGGGGATACAGAAGTAACCCAGACGAGAGCCCTAACACCACAGCCACGGAAACCGAAGGAGAAAGAAGACCCTTCAATGGCAAAGATGAAGAAGAAGAAGCGAGGCTTAAGGCATACGTAAACGGTAACACTCAAGGGATCAACAATTCGATCGTGTGTGATAGTTCAGTGCAAGAGAACGATCCAGGAATTCATATGAGTATGAAAGTCGAAGAATCGAAGAAGAAGGACGAAACTATTAGTCCGCCGGAGAATGTGTCCGAGAAAAAACCGGAGACTGTGACCACGACGACAACAGCGAAGTTGGGGAATGAGCCGAGGGTGAGGAGGAGATGCTTAAGAGGGTTACTTGCAGAGTCGAGTGAGTCAGAGCCGGAGAATCCTTTGAAGCCCCGGAGACATGGTTGCCGGTTTACTTGTAAAGACAAAGATATAGAGAACACTTGATTCTGTTTATACTAATTATATGCAGTTTGTGTAAAACGCTCCATTTGATCAGTTTCTGTTTGATCCTTATAAATGGTGAAATTAAAAAGAACAGAAAGTAGAGTATGAATCCTTGTACTGTTCTACAAATGTTCTTGTTACCCTTAATTTGATCATTGAATGTTTTAAATTTACATTTTAATACTTTTACGTGCATCTTACTGATTTGTTACTTTTAAGAATGTAAAAGTACAGTAACACAACCAAAAGAGTCTTTCAACTCGTGTCATCTAGAAGCGTTTGACCACACATTAAAAGAACAGGACTTTTCTCGCATTGCTTTTTTTTTTTTCTTTTTTTGAATTTTGGTGTTTAGAAAAGAGTAATTTCAACTATATAACTAATTTTATCAAAAAATGATGATTGAAATTAAGCGAAATACTAGATTCAAAAAATAGAAAATCAATCGCAATGCTTAATAAAAAAATAATATTGGGTGTTCTAGAAAAGATTAATTGAATGTAATTTTGTAAAGAAATAGAAAATGAATCGCAGGGCGTGACGTTAGATTCGGAGGAGAAATCAAAGCGGTGGAGACTTAAAAAGTCAAAATGAGAGACTCTTCAGGCAAAGGGCACTTCCGTAATTTATATAAACTCACCCGCCGCGTCGTCATATATAAATCCCCCGGGCTAATGGTGAACAATATAATTCATTACCTCTTTTACCAAAAAAAAAACATCACAACACAAAATCCGAATCGGAAAATAATCAAATGGCGACGGATAAAAGCAAGGTTCTGGTGATCGGAGGAACTGGTTACATCGGAAAATTCATCGTCGAAGGCGGCGCGAAATCCGGTCACCCAACATTCGCTCTCGTCAGAGAATCCTCTCTCTCCGATCCTGTCAAGGGCAAACTCGTCCAGAATTTCAAAGATCTCGGCGTCACAATACTCTACGTACGGCGACTCTTTTTTTTCTATCTTATCTATATGTAAATGTATTGTCTATGAAATGAGCAGAGTTCTGATGTGTAATCAATCATTCACAGGGAGATTTAACCGACAAAGAGAGCTTAGTGAAGGCGATCCAACACGTCGATGTCGTCATCTCCACCGTTGGTCTCTCTCAGCTTCTCAATCAGAAAAACATCATCTCTGCTATTAAAGAATCTGGCAAGCATATCAAGGTTAGTCTTAGTTCATTCAATCATTTATATAAAAAAGTGGATTTTTACTTAAAAAGTTGTTTTTGTTATGAGTTGCAGAGATTTTTGCCGTCTGAGTTTGGCAACGATGTGGATCGAACGGTGGCGATTGGACCAGCAAAGTCGGAGTTCGAAATGAAGGTTGAGATCCGCCGTGCGGTTGAAGCCTCAGGTGTACCGTACACATACGTGATCAACAATTGCTTTGATGGCTACTTCTTAGCTACACTTGCTCAGTGTGAAACCAGACTTACTTCTCCTCCTAGAGACAAAGTCACCATCTACGGCGATGGCAACGCGAAAGGTACTAACTAAATGAGGCAAAGAACTTATCATATGCTTTCAATATTAGAGAAAATCCTAACTGAAAGATGATTTTGGTGAATGAATGTGCAGCGATTCTAAACAAAGAGGAAGACATTGGTGCATACACCATGAGAGCCGTTGATGACGCGAGGACTCTCAACAAGACTGTCTACATAAACCCTCCAAAGAACATTGTTTCACAGAACGATATCGTCGCCTTGTGGGAGGGCAAGATCGGTAAAACTCTGGAGAAGACTTACGTTTCAGAGGAAGAGCTCCTCAAGAAAATCCCAGGTGACAGAGAGAGCTAATTAACAATTTCAACACTCTTTTTAATACAATGCATAACTCTCCTAGACAAATCAAGATCATGTGTTTTGTTTGTTAATGCTTTTGAAACGTTGTTGCAGCGTCTCCGCATCCCCTGGATCTTCTGTTGGCTTTGAACCATGCCATCTTTGTGAAAGGAGATCAAACCTGCTTTACCATAGAGCCTTCCTTTGGAGTCGAAGCTTCTCAGCTTTATCCTGATGTCAAGTACACAAGCGTCGATGAGTATCTCAGTCAGTTTGTCTGAAAAATATATAGAACACCTCCTCGGCTTGTGACGAGCATTTACTGTAACGAGAGAGTGATGACCATAGTGGTCTGTAATACCATATTAATTGAATAAAACATATGTATTTTAAAAAAGTATATGATTGTTTCTTTGTTGCATCATTATTATTGATAGAAGATAACCAAACTCTTAACAAAATCAAGAACACAAAAGAGTATTATTATTTGGCGAATAATAAGAACTTCTAAGCAACATAACTCGAGAAGCATGGATCCTCTCACATCACCCGTTCACCTTTGATGCCCAACCAGCGACCACGAACTCGTCCTTGGCCTTGGTTTTCTCGAATGACTCTCGAGAGAACAAAGCCTTGGCGTAGTTACGAACATTGGTCAAGCTCTCAGGGACAGACCAGTTCTTGTAGTGACCAAGAGCAATCTCCATATGGTAAAGCTTCGGTGCTAGACTCAGATCAACCGCAGTGACTTTGTCTCCAGCTACAAAAGGACCAGGATGTGTCTTGAGGTGATTCTCCAACGCTTCCAACTCATCAACCAAGGCCTTCTCGGATCCGTCGTCGGCGTCTTTGCTCTTCAAGAAAGTCACAAAGGCACCAAAGAGTTTGCATCCCACAGAAGCAAATTCAGGAGGGGTCTTGAGAGAAATCTCTGGATACTTGTCCTCAAGAAGTCCGACGATGACATCTGAATCAGCCACCCATTGGCCGTCGAGCTTCACCACTGGAACTTTTCCTTCCGGGCTCACGTTTAGGAACCTTTGAACACACACAATAGTCATATGATTCAGAGATATCTCACAAATTTACACAGAGGATACATAGTCTTGTGCGCAAAGAAGCAATAGAAAAACTCTTTAATGGTTTGAAAAAACGTTGCGAGTTTAAGCATCTCATCCAAATAATTGAATCCGATTTTCGATTGTGCGATGCTAATCAAATTCACAGAACATACCAATGGGGTTTGTCGGAGACGTTGATTAGATGGGTCTTGTAGGGAAGCTTCTTCTCCTCGAGGGTCAGAAGAACCCGTTGGCTGAACGGACCTGGGGATTAACAAGGTTCAATCGGACAAATCAGACGCATTTGTATCATTTCAAAACCCTAATTTGTGAAATCAAAGCTTGATGCAAACAAACAAGACAAAGATCGATGATCACAGAAAGAAGACATACAGTCGCCGAGAACATCAGGAGCACCAACAGCAACCTTCACGCAGATATCGAGAGCCATTGATCTTCGGATTTCCAGAAAAATTTCGCACCGGATCAAAAATTCAAAAGAATATATTCGCTGTTTGTGAATTTGTAACGCAAATATATGATGAATTAAGTAATTTATCAAAAGTTTATAAGACTGATATTAATTACAAAAGAAAATTAACGAAAACGATGACGTCACTAGTGAAGTGGCAGGTACGTAGTGGTTCCAACATTCTCGAACCTTCCTCCTCTTGGTTTCGCATTACATTATTCTAATTTTCCACCAAGTCAATGGTCAAATATTTGCCAAGTGTGTTGTTACTTGTTACCAATAAAAAATAATTTTTCCTTTTTAAACCGCACACCAACCTCAAAATATGGTGGCGGTTTAAGGTACTGTGCAGTTCAATTTTGTTTTTCTTAACCAAAATTTTGCTAAAATCTTGTTTCAAGTTTTGAAAAAAATCTTAATTAATCGATTACCAAACTTCTTAAAAATAAAATTCAGCATTCGAATGATCAAAAAGAATTTTGTCAAAATTTGATTATTATATTCTCCGTACTAATCTATATAACTTCACAAACTACACTTATTATGTTTGATTATCGTATACTATTTAAATCCTTAGCTTATACAGTTATACAAAGGCTTAAACTTATTTTGGATAGCTAAATATAAATACCACCAAATTTATTCCACTTAACAAATCCCATCAGTTGATTTGACTAAAATAGGATTACCCTTTTTATCCAAATCATCAAAATATGATTTTTATTCTGGAGTAAACAAATCAGAGTTTGTTGTGAATAGGGGTAAACAATAATATATGAAGCAAATTTAAAGTTAAGGTTTTATATTGAACAGCTAACAATAACAATGGAGTTATATAATTTTTAAGTAAACAAATTAAAGAAATAAAAATTAGAGTTTGATGTGAGGAGTTAACTAACAAGAAGGAAAAAAGCAAAAAACATTATTCGGAAAAACAAAGTTTCAGTGAGAGTATTAATCGTAAACCAACCAATATACAACTATACTTTATAAGCAATCTAGATTAGAGTTTGAGTTGGACAGAGGAATGAAATGGTACCTAGTACCAAATAATAAAATATCTTAGAATTGAAGCAAAAGGTTTGGTAAGGGTACAATCGTAAATCAACGAACCAATGTCTGGTCCCCATAAATTGCCCTGCTAAGGCCATTCCTTCACTCACTCACCCCATTCCAAAATCATTCTCTGTAGCACTCAAGTCGTACTAACGCATTCCCCACTCACTCGTTTGAAACAAATGGCGACGGAGAAAAGCAAGATTCTGGTGATCGGAGGAACTGGTTACATCGGAAAGTTCATCGTCGCAGAAAGCGCAAAAACCGGCCACCCAACATTCGCTCTCGTCAGAGAAGCCTCTCGCTCCGATCCCGCCAAGGCCAAAATCGTCCAGAACTTCAAAGATCTCGGCGTCACAATACTTCACGTACGCTTGAGCTGAAACTCTTCTTTCTCTACTAGTTCATGTAAGCAAAACGGTTATTCTGTTATAAATTACCGTTAATTCGACCGTTTGTTTTGGGCAGGGAGACGTGAACGATCACGAGAGCCTAGTGAAGGCAATAAAACAGGTCGATGTGGTGATATCGACCATAGGAAGCATGCAAATCTTGGATCAGACCAAGATCATTTCCGCCATTAAAGAAGCTGGTAACGTCAAGGTTAGTATCTGATTCAAAGTGTATATAGAAAAATCCAACCTTTTTCCATAGTCTCATACTAGATTTGTTTCTTTTTGTTGTTGCTGTTGTTTTGCAGAGATTCTTGCCGTCTGAGTTTGGTACAGACGTAGACAGAACAAGTGCGGTTGAGCCGGCGAAATCGGCTTTCGCAGTGAAGATTGTGATCAGGAGAGGCATAGAAGCAGAAGGGATACCATACACTTACGTTGTGAACAATTGTTTCGCCGGTTATTACTTGCCTACGTTGGTTCAGTTCGAGCCTGGTCTCACTTCTCCTCCTAGAGACAAAGTCACCATTTTGGGCGATGGAAATACCAAAGGTTGAAACTTTATTATATACAAATGCTAAATAGAGTAATTTAATCTCGAAAGACACACAAGCAAGGACTTTTTTATATTTTGATTGTTTTCCGCAGCTGTGATCAACAAGGAGGATGATATTGCTGCTTACACGATCAAAGCAGTGGATGATCCAAGGACTCTTAACAAGATCCTCTACATCAATCCTCCTAAGAACACTTTGTCGATGAATGAAATGGTTAGCCTTTGGGAAAGCAAGATCGGAAAGTCTCTTGAGAAGACTCACATCTCAGAGGAACAAGTGCTTAAAAGCATCCAAGGTTTAGTATCATATTCATCAAGAGGCTTTAATACTTACAGCCTTTTTCCATTTGCTGAACTGAGTAAAAGATATGTTCTTCTTTTGGCAGAGTCTCCGGTTCCCATAAATGTTCTTCTGTCGATAAACCACTCGGTGTTTGTGAAGGGAGATCAGACCAGTTTTACTATAGAGCCTTCGTTTGGTGTTGAAGCCTCTGAGCTTTACCCTGACGTCAAGTACACTAGCATTGAGGAGTATCTCAGCCACTTCGTTTGAGATCTTTCGTAAAATTTACCACGACAAAATTACCTGAGTTTCGTACTGTAACAATAAACAAAAAGGGGATTCTTGTCAATGAGTGAAAAATGTGTGTGTTGTGTATGCTTGTGTGCTAATCACAGAGTTTCAGTAAAACGTGAATTTGTATCCTTAAATATTATTTACAAACCCTTAAATCCAAACGAATCAAGAAGACTAGATACTTTTCTCAGATTTAGGGAAAGCTTGAGACAGACGCACCTGAGGCTTATTATCGGCGATACGATCAGAGAAGACCAAACACTCTTTAATCAAACCCAAAACAGAGTTTCATAGGCGTTTTAGCACCACAAACTAAAAAAAGACAACCATTAAAGCATTACAAAGGAAATGATCTTTGAAAGGTTTAAAAAACCAGTTTCTACCTTGAAACGTAAAATAGAATAGAAATCAGTTACAAAAAACAGTTTCTACCTCGCAGGTTGGTTACTTCTTGAGCTTGGAGAAGGTTCCTGACTCTGAGAAGTAAGTGCTTTGAGTCCCACTGCCTAATTTCAGAGCCTGAGGATTGCACAGCTCTATCCCCTGCACCGGAGTGAAAGCCAGACTCGATGTCATGAAACCAGAGGAGGCAGTAGCAGTACCTGAGTACTGTCTTTCTTTGAGCTTTTTGGCAAACTTAGCATTAAGCTTCAGCTTGCTCGGGACACTAGAAACTCGCAGCCTCTTGCTCATACCCTGGCCAAGCATTCCATATCCTTGACCTAATCCATCACCTAGTGAGCTCTCCTCGGGTGCTGTACCAAACGCCACCTTGTTGGCCTGCTTTGTCATCTCTGTCACTGCATACCTTTCTTTCCTCTTCCTTTCGCGGCGACCACCTCTTCTCTTCCTAGCTCGGTATCTGGAACAGGAAGTGGCTTAGGCTGTCTTGCAAGAGGAGGTTCTTGCAGCTTTTCAATCTTCTCAATGATCAACTCCCTCAAGGCTTTTCCACTTTTCCCCGACGGGTCTCCTGTAGCAGCGTCAATTCTTGCCGCCAAAGTAGATTTTCCGGCCAAGAGCTTGATAGCGTGCGACCCAAGTCCAGGAGGCGTGCTTTGGAAAATTTCAGTCTGCTCCAGGTAACCCACACGGGACTGTGACGCTGCGGTAGAGAAGCCAGCAAGGTTCTTCCTCTTGTGTCCAAGAAGTTGAACATGACAGGCGGGGATTTTAGACAGTTCTGATAAACCTCCGGCAGTGACCATGAGCTTGGCTGCAACAGCACTCCCGACAATGGCTGAAAGATTTGGTGCGATGCATCCCATCTTCGTTTCGACAAATTTCAGGATCTTGTCCCGCGCGGAATCAAGATCAAGAGCACGGTCGCATGCGTCCATGGTCTTTTGCAGGACATCCTCTGAGAGAGGTTTCCCTTTTGTGGTCGAAGCAAGCAGTGAAACAGACAAACCCGTACCTCTATCTCGTGCGAAAAAACCCTCCAGGTGGACATGGGTTAAATCCGTCTCGCTCCCAATTCGTTTGACAAGACGGGCATAATCGATTGCGTGATGTACAAGCGACTCAAGCTCTGGGAACCTAGGTCTGTACTTGTGACGGATCAAGTTGTGGACGATGGCGATTTCATTATCGATATCAACAGAGAGCTGATTGCAATCGACGATTAGTTTGTATTCGGACATGGTTCCGTTCCCGAGAGCCAGAGCCTCTTCCACTTTCTGCATTGTATCAGCATACCTCTGAGTTTTCTGTAGCTTAGAAAGGGTATCGAGATCATCAGAGTTTAGGGTTTCCATGTCCATCTCAATATCTCTTGCAACAACATAATTCTCGTCCAGTTCTGATGCTTCGTTGTCTGATAACTCTTCAAGCTCTGCGAGTAAAGAATCTTCAAGAGTCGCCATATCTTCTACCGATGATGATGCTCGGTGATTCTCCTGCGGAAGAAATCTGAAGGTTGCTCCCAAATAGAAAAAGGAAAGAAAAAATAAAATTTTACATTTAACAAAAACAAAAAGGAAATAATAATAAGTTTTACGAGGATTATCACAAACGAAATAAGGAAACTGTAAGAAAAAGGAAATCCTAATCAAACGAAATAAACAAAGTCCTTGGATGCGAATATTTGACCAAACATTCTTTAGTCAACACAAAACAGAGTTTCATAGGCCTAACACACACACACAAAAAAAAGACAACCATCAAATTAAGCATTACAAAAGAAATGATCCGTTTGAAGTAAACTATAAAAACATGAGAGACAATCATCCAACAAAATGATATATAACACCCGAATGAATCACACTAAAGATTCACCACATTCAAGTTTGCCACTCACTCATCAAACGTTGACAGCAGCGACATGCTCAAATACATATTCCTCAGGAATTGGATGTGGAAGCACTGCATCAAACCACTCGACCTTCCCCCAAATCTCTTCACTATTGCGTCTTTCAAGTGCGATCATCGCACACCAAATCATCTTATTCTGATAGCCACCACCACCACCACCAGAAGCCACAAACTTGTCCCCAAAAAGTGCCATTTTCCCACCGTAATCCGCCAACCTAACGTCGGAATAATGAGCAAACTTAGGCAGTTCTTTCACACCATTCAACATCCTCCAGGATCTTGTCTTAGTGTCATACCAGTTGATCTCTTCTTCGTAATAATAAGAGTAAAGCACGTTCTCTATCACACAAGAAGAAGACAATTTGAGACGCAAATCCATCTCCCCTAAACCATTCCATGTACCATCCTCGGGGTTGTAAGCCACACCCCTAATATCCCCAACGATGTACAGCTTTCGATCAACCACAACGTTATCAGTTTGATTATGACGTCGATATAAATTCAACTTACCTGCACGGCTCAACACAGGCTCCCAAGTTTCGGTTCTCGGGTCGAAAACCTCCATCCAGTTTGATGGGTCGTCGTGTTTATCACAGCCTCCTGTAACGTATATCTTTCCATCAAGTAGATTGGCTGATGGGTGATCCCGCGCGACCTGCATGCTTGGAGCTTCGAGCCACGTGTGAGACCAGCAGTCTAGGACTGAGACACTAGATGAGGGCGAACGGTAGATGGATCCGCCAATGTTGTAGATCTTAGAACCAACCGCCACGAGACCCGACCCGTGCGCAGGAGGAGAATGGGGAATCGGGATTGTTGCCAAAACATACCCACTTGGCTTATTATTCTTCTCGTTCTTCCCTGTGTCGGTTCGATTAGGTCTCCGACTAAGCATGAACCAGCGATGGATACGGTCGGTAGGAGAGAAACGTAAGCACACATATAGACAGTTATCGGTACGACCTAATAGTGACCGGGTCTGGTAAAGCTCCGGTGAAGTAAGGAGCGAGCGGAAGCGCTTGGAGACTAAGGAGAGTGTTGGATAATACAATCTCGAGACACGGGCTATGATGCTCACTAGCAAATCATCTGGAAGTGAAATTGGTTCTGTTGTCAGCTTATTCTTCTTCAGTGGTGGCTCTTCACCGTTCATGGCTGTCGAAGAAGACTTTTTGCTAACTGCCTTCGGAGAAAAGTCAAGTGAATAGGGTTTTCGGTAGATTATCCGCAACGACACCGTTTAACACTAGACCATCTCTGTGATTGAATCCATTATGGGGCTTTTCAATGGGCTACAACGATGGGCTTTTCATATATATAAATGAGTGAAACAACTATAACGTTGTTATGTACTTTGGTCAGGGAGATTTGAATGACCATGAGAGCTTAGTGAAGGCCATAAAACAAGTCGACGTGGTGATATCAACCGTTGGCCGCATACGACTGTTGGATCAAACCAAGATCATTTCCCGTCAAGGTCGGTCTTTTCATTCAAACTAACCCCGTTACATGTAAACAGCAATATCTGATTAGCACATGATCTAATCATTTACACATAGTCTGTTTTTGACAGAGATTCTTGCCGTCTGAGTTTGGGACAGACGTGAACAGGACAAGTGCGGTTGAGCCGGCAAAATCATTGGTTTTCGCGGCGAAGAGACAGATCAGGAGAGCCGTTGAAGCAGAAGGGATACCATTCACTTACGTTGTTAACAATTGCGCAGCCGGTTTTTACTTGTCGACGTTGGTTCAGTTCGAGCCTGGGCTTACTTCTCCTCCAAGAGACAAAGTCACCATTTTGGGCGATGGAAATGCTAAAGGTTGTAAATTTTATAAATGTTAAAATAAGGGACGCAGATTATTTATATAAAATTGTTTTTTTTATAGTTGTGTTCAACAAGGAGGAAGATACTGCTGCTTACATGATCAGAGCAGTGGATGATCCGAGGACACTGAACAAAACACTTTACATTAATTCTCGTAAGAACACTTTATCGATGAACGAAATCGTCGCCTTGTGGGAGAATAAGATCGGCAAGTCTCTTGAGAAGACTTACGTGTCAGAAGAACAAGTGCTCAAAAGCATCCAAGGTTTAGTATCGTTCACCAAGAGATTTTTTTTTTAGGTTCTTTATTACCGCCATTTTCTTTTGCTGAAGACAAGAGATGTGTTCTTCTTCTTCTTTGTTTGGCAGTGTCTCCGGTTCCTGTTCCCTTTAATATTCTTCTGTCGATAAGCCATGCTGTTTTTGTGAAGGGAGATCAGACCAGCTTCACTATAGAGCCTTATTTCGGTGTTGAAGCCTCTGAGATTTACCCTGATGTCAAGTACACGAGCATTGATGAGTATCTCAGTCAACTCGCTTGAGAAAATCTCATTAAAAAAAACACCTAATTCACCACAACGACGACGCGAGTTTTATAATTGTAACAACAAAAAGCTGATGAACAAAGAGTGTGTACTGTGTGTGTGTGAGAGAGTGTGACTATAACTATGTTATCTTGAGTTATTTGCACTCCAAGATTATTTGTCACTTATCTTGTGTCGATTACAGCATCTTTTTGCTTGAGAACCACGAAATCATGTCCAAGCCCATATTACAGTCAGAGTTCAGATCAGAATTCTTAATGACCCATAAGGAAACTGTGAACAACAATTAAACCGGAAATTTTCTGATTCCGCTGGAAGAAAGCTAAAATAAGCTGGATATTAGAGGTTTGCATTGTGGGCCCTTATTGGGCCGAGACGATTGTTGATTTTATTGATACATATATATATATTCTTGTTAAACCAATAAAAACAAGCGAAGTAAACATGTGGCTGGGTGTGAATATGCGATGCATATGGTTGAGAGATTCTCTCAGAGACTACTTTTAGTAAGAAAGCAACTGAAAACACTTTGAAGATTTTAAAAACCTTGGAAAAGCCATGGCAGATTAGGTTTCATCATGCCAATGGCAATGGCCTATGAAAAAGCTTCAAACTATATTATTTAATTAAAAAAAGAAACAGAAAATAATGAAGCTAGACATTTATGTATCGTGGGATCCATTTTTGTGCTTTGACTGAAATAATTAGATTCTCGATCTTAAAGCTTTCGTTTACTTTTTTTTTTCCTTCTAAAAAGCTATAAAGGAATTGACCCTAGATTTATACAGTTAGATCTCGATTGCTCAAAAGCTTACCATCATTTAATATTTTGACTCTAAATTAATCTTTGGTAGATTCTATCTACATTACATACTAAGTGCTTAGCTATTGATGGTATTAAGTGCTAATACTAACGAAAAAGAAATTAAAAAATTATATGTTCGACATGAATAATTGAATATAGTGAATTGTTAATGATTTTCTATCTAACAACCATTTGGTTTAAACCAAAAAAAAAAAAAAAAAAACAACCATTTGGTCATTAGTATGCTAGATTTATTTATATGAGTTTATCATAATGTTCTTTCAATGATGATTTTCTAACACAATCGTATTTTTAGATTAGACGTATGTTTTAGATCTACTTAATCATGATACCATGTCAATGTTGCTTCTATTTGACAGATTCTGATTGTTTCTCTTTTATTTGTATTATAATTAGGCTTTTGATGTTTCCGTATGTTAGAAATTGTACTTTTCTAATGTTTATGGGTACAATTTTTTCTACACGCTATGAGCAAAGAGGTCAACATCACACACACACACACAATTGGACACGGATGTTGTTACTTTTCTTGAGATGTCATTTTCGTTCGGAGTAATCGTATTATTAGTCCTAATCATAATATAAATCAATACATAGTTTGGAAAAGACACTATATGTGTCGTTCGTTGGCGCATTATAATAGTACCATTAGGTGATGATCAGTGATCACTAATAAATTATTTCATGTCACTTGTGGACCATTAGCCGATACGAAATGTCTCTTTGATGTTTCTTTAATTAAGCAATCTAAACTTTATTTTTGCGCTCTATTATTCCCAATGGAACAAGAAAAGTAAACATAAATATTTTCATTTGGATTTTTTTATATTTAATTGTTTAAAAATACCCAAAGCGGTGATAGCAGGAACGATCTTGGAAATAGCAAATATTTTTTTGGGTTTTTATGCGATTTGTGAATTATGTTCATACTATATTGGAAAACATATGAATTTGTCGAGAAATGCATGACTTGTCTGGCTCCTGGTGATTGCCAGCAACAATGAAGCTGTGAATCATTACATTTTTCTACCAAACGTGTGCATATATGGTCATTCAACTGATCAATTCATATATTTATATTATACTATAAGCTATATTTGAATATATGTATATTTTGTCGTACTTTTAACTTGGACCAGCCTGTGTAATCTAAATGTTTTGGACCACATTCCCAAAACCCACCGAAGGACGTTTCAAAATAAAAATCATAAATACGAATCACATGACCAAAAATACTATTTCGAACTGTTGGTTTTATCTTCTATTTTTTTTTTCAAAAATTTGGAGTACATAAACAAAATTTAAATTATGTGGAGAATATGTGGGAAATTGTTATGACAAGAATCCATGTCTTGTATAAAAACCATGTGATCGATCGATCATTCGAGATAGAGACACACACAGCGGCTTAATACACACTTTTGTAACGCCACTTGTTTTCTACCCCTTCTCCTGTTATTTTTGTTTGTTTTAGTTTTTTTTTTTTTTTTGCATGATTGGTATATGTAGCAAATTTTTTTTTTTTTTTTTTTTTTTATATATATGTAGCAAATTTTACAACAGCATCGTAAGATACCATAGCTCAATAAATCATCATATTAAAACCTATAAAATCACCATCATATTACACTAAAAGAAAATGTGTTTAGCTAATATCAAGCATTTTCAAGCTTGTAGAATAAACGATGCCGCACTATTTTTTTAAAAAAATAGATCACAACTTGCTATGTTATTCTAACATTTGTTTAAGATTTACATAAACTATAATATTGTAAGTTTACAAAACAAAAACAAAAATGTGAAAATTTGACAACGGGCAAGAGCCTAATGATGCATAACGGTCGCAAGAGTACCGAGAGAATCATAGCTTTTTTACTATGCTACTTATAATTCCAAAGATACCCTTACAGCATTTCATTGTCTTTTATGGAGACTATTGCTGACACAATTTGGAGCATTGGATATAACTGTCTTTTGAAAAAATATAAATTTCCGAACGAAAAGGGTAAAATAATAGAAGCAAACCCATTTGAATATTCGTAATCCCATGTGTGTTGATGTAAAATGTAAACGTTTCGTTATTTGTTGTTATTGTTATTCGGTGAAAAAGCTATCATGTTACTCCTATGGTATCATTAAAAAAAGTAATAGTCAACATGGACTATTATTTATTCTTTTTGGTTAAAACACTGTTATATATTAGCTACTGTAATTATATAATAATCTGAATGATTGTTCCACCAATTTATAATTTGACTAGTAGTGTTATAAACGAGTTAGTTGTTATTGCATGGCTTGCTAATATTAAATTTCGACTAGAATTTTGTCACCGAAAAAAGGTTATATTGTCCGGTCCTTGCAATGTACAACACCATAGACAAATTATATAAAAAGAAAACTGAAGAAAAAACCCAGCATCTTTAAACAAATTAACGGAATGATAAATATGAACCATAGACTAATTATAGTGCTGATGAGAAATCACAAAAAAAATATTACATTTTGAAAGTTACATGAATTATATTATCTGGATTGCAAACTAAAAGAGATTTTGGCGTGTGAAATAGTTTTGATTTGACACAATTTATACTCTATACACGAAGACAAAAGACAACTACAGAATGACTATGACTTTATACAGTTATTTTAATGGCAAAGGCCTCTTAAAGTATTTATAATATGATACCAACAATATAATACAATGAAAGATATTGACCGACAAGTTTTAACGTTAATTTGCTTTTGTAGTACTAATACACGAAACAGATACTAATCTCGCGATTACTTCTCAACTAATTTACAGACAGTTACTATTTTGTTCACGCGCTTTTTCGAATTATTTCTTATTTATTTATGGGTTATTATTTATTTTAATCTAAATATCTATAGGCAGGAAAAAAAATACACAGCTCATAGTCATAGCTCTCACTCCTCTCTCTCTCTCTCTCTCTCTCTCTCTCTCTCTCTCTCTCTCTCTCTCTCTAGCTCTGCTGATTTTTCTTCTGCAAAGAGGGAAAAACCAGAGAGAAGGACAAAATTAGGAAGAGATCAGTGAGGAGAAAGCAGAAACCAAAACAGTAGGAAGAAGCCCTACCAAGGCCGATATCTCCTGCTCTAAGCAACGAAATGGAGTACGAGAAGTCTCCCACTGCTACTGCTTTCTCCAGGAAGATGAGCAACCGTAGCCATAGCCTTAGCTTTAGCGCCAATGCCGTATACGACGGCGTTTTTTCTTCTCCGGCGAATACGAAATCTCCTCTGGTTGATTACGGCGAGATTTTCCGAGGCTCGGGTCCTTCTCCGTCGTCGATTCCGTTTCTGGATGTCCCGGAGCTCAACGGTGGTAAGCTTAAGGTCGATGTTCGGAGTTCCAAGCTCGATTACTCCTCGGTGTTTGGAGGCTTTGGAGCTTGCGATTTCTCTGTTACCCCCAAGGAAGTGATCATCAAGTCTGAGAGGAAAACCTCCAAAAACGAGGATAAAAGGTAATTTCTCTACTCATTTCTCTGCATAAAACCTTATCCTTAGAATATTATTATCAAGTGTTCTTCACTTTTTCGTTCGAACACGCCTTAAAACCTGGGATTTATTCACACTGAATCAGAGCTGATTTTGTTCATAGTTTCAGCTCTCTATAGCTGTGATGAGTTGAATTTTTCTGAAATTATGTAAAGGTTTTACTGAATATGTTTCTGATAGCAAAAATTCATTGAAAAGTGGAACGCTTTGATGCTTGGTCTCTGTTGGTTGAGCCTTTGCTTATTTCCCAATTTGTAGGAATCGTAGGAAAGGTGGAAGATCTGCTGATGTTTCTCTTTGCAACGAGGCCAAGAATCAAACTTCGTCTCCTGATATGGTTAGGATGAAGCACTCTGATATCTCATGTCACCAGACCGTCCCGCGCAATGAGAATGGGACTAGTCATCCTAGTCAGGCTCCCCCTGTGGTTGTTCCTTCTCAACTGGTTGATAATATGGCTCCGTTGCAGAAGATTGAATGTGAAACACCAATTCCATCAGCTGAGAAGAAGCCGTGTAACGAGGGTGCTGGGGAAGTCAAGGCTTCTAGGAAGCGGAGTTCTAAAACTGAGGTAGATTTCGAGAAAGTCTTTGCTCGAAATGAATGTAGTACGCGTGATATCTCCACGTGCAAGAGCGATTCTAATGCTGAACATCGGGATGCGAAGCCACCTTCAAGCTTGCAGCGTACAGTAATTGGTGAAAATGGAGCTTCCGAAAGATTGACGGGTTTGAAGTTAGGGATTCCGGAAAGGCTTGAAACTGAAGATGATGATTCTCCAAGCTCACCCCAATTCTTTGATGCCGAAACAGATGCAGATTCGTCTGCTGCTGAGTCTTCTGCGGCATTGAAAAAGGCTATTGAAGAGGCTCAGGTAAGAATGAATATCGCAAAACAAATGATGGGAAGGAAAAAGTCAGGCTTCCGCAGTTCTGCAAAACTGAAATCTTGTGATGACCCTAAAGTGGAGACTAAAGAAGACATCAAAGTTGAAGGAGTAAAAGAAGAAATCAGAGACAACAATTCTCAAATACAAGGTGAATTGGTAAACTCTTCTGAACAATCATGTTCAAACGAGGGAGATCAGCATGAAAAACGAGCACGGAAGCTGTGGGAAGTTCCTGAAGGACTTCTAAAATCTACTTCAGACCATAAGCGGGAAGAGATAGAAGAGAAAGAAGTGGTAAAGATGGAAGAGGAACAAGCAAGAAGAGGTCGGAAACAGTGGGAATTGCCTGGAGGGATATTCAAATCAGTAATGAATAATACGCAGCAGGAGCCAGAAAACGTTGCACCAGCCAAGGCTGAAACTGATACGAAACAAGAGGTGCAACCATTGACTGAAAATACCTTCTATACATTTGGACAGCTTGGTAGTAAAATAAAATGTGTTGTGCAAGCCTTCACGGGGAGCAACGTTTCACAAAAGGATGAGACACAGGTGACAGAGAAGGAAAGTTCTATCCTCTCTCAAATGGTTCAAGGTGAAGAAAGTGACTCACAAGAGAGGTTAGGTGGTATTCCAGTAATGGAAACATATTTAAGGGAAGTGGAAGAGACCCCGCAACAAACTGAGAGTAAGAGCGAAACTAAGATAGAAGAGAAGTATGAATCTAAAATGTGTACTTCCACAGAAGATTGTTCTCAGAAGATGGAGAAAGAAACAGGATGGCAAGTTAAAAGTGCTTGCCAGTCCGAAGATGGACCTAAGTGTGGTGTAAAAGATTTCCAAGAAGACCCTGTCCCAACTGACACTTTACAAAATCAGGAAGGTGAGAAGGAGATAATCTCAAGGCCGGAGGAGATGTTTGTTGGTCCTGATGATACCAATACATATGTAAGGGAATTGGAAGAGACCCCAACACCTGATCAGAGTTTGAGTAAAACTCAAGTCGATGAAAGTGTTGGAACTATGGTGTCTTTTGTCACAGAAAATACTCCTGCGCCAGGAAGCGTACACGAGGAGACAGGGCACAAGGCTCCCAGGCGAAGAAGAGTTTGGACGACCTCTGAAGACGTCTATAAAATGATAAGGGCCCCAAAGGAGAACAACAGGCCCTGGAAGCTAGAAAGTGAGGAAACAGAAACACCAGAGAGGTCCTTTCAAATGGAAGGTGTAAGGATCCATGATATTTGCGAGGAAGCAGAAAGCACATCTGAGCAAGCTAGTGATTCAGGATTGCAAGAAAATTGGACCGTTCTTAAACAGATGTTTAGACAGATGTTTCAGACAGCAGATACTACTAAGGGCGAGGATGAAAGTTATTGCTTAGTGGAGTCTGAAAAGGAGCATATTGATATTCATCAAAAAGCTGGAGATGAGAATGCAGAAACTTCTTACTGCCAAATTACTGGTACAGACAGAAACGAACATAATGAAGTGGAGACAGAGTATGAAGCCTATGCACATACCAGAGAAAATGAAGACTTGGAGTCGGCGCAAGAAACGTACTGTAGAGAAGAGGATGGTAAAGTAGAAGTGCAAGGAAAAACGTCTCTGGTCCGTGAACTGATTGGAGAAGAGCTAGAGGCCACTGGAATGGTTAGCGACCAAGAAGGTGAAGATGTACCGGAAGTATTGGATGAAGCTGACTGGGCTCAAGGACTTTCTGAACTTGATGAGATAAAGGAGCATGCAGATTCTCATGCTGACATGCTTGGATATGATCCTAGTGAAACGGACTCGAATAAATCTGGCGAGAAATTTGAGCAAACCCGGGAACTAGCAGACGAAACCCAGATCGACGGTAGTATAGATACTGAAACCAGCAGGTCATCTTTTGAAATGAGACAAGGTGATTCATATATTGAGGAGGTTGGCGTCGAGCAAGATCTCAGTGATCAATTCCATGAAAAAAACAGTGCTGCCAGCAGCACGGAAGAGCACATTGAAGAAATAGATTCTGATTCAATTCAAAGTGGTTGGAGCGTTCTAGAGGATGACGATAAAATCAAGTCTTATGTGGAGGAAAGTTTGACTCGTGATCTTCAGGATGCAGGGGTAAGTAAGTCTGAAGAAATAGAGGAAACGAGAGAAGAAACTGATGAAATGAAAACAAGTCTTGGTGAAGGGAACAATGAAGTTAAGACAGAACAAGAGCACCGGTTTGAGTGTCAAAAGGAGGAAGTAGATGGAAGCAATGTAGAGCCAGCTGAGTCTTCCTATTGTTTGCCCAAAGGTGACGAAAAGATTGGCGCAGCAACAGATAGAAACTTGAAGGACAATGAGGGAGAGGAGAGTTGTCGATCATCTATGGAAGAAGAGGGAGATGCTGCTTCCGATGCTTCACAAAACGAAGCAGAGCAAGTTGAGAAACATCTGAAAAAGAAAAATGAAGCAAAAGAGAAAGAAAGAGAGAGAGAGAAAGAGAGGTATATGGTAGAGAGAGCTATTCGTGAAGCCCGGGAAAGGGCGTTTGCTGATGCTAGAGAAAGAGCAGGAAAAGCCGCAATGGAGAAAGCAAAGGCAGGTGTGCCTCGAAGAGGGACTTCAGAGGCTCCAAGAAGATCAGAGAAAGGATCTGTTGAGGTAAATGATAAGTTATCATCAGCTGAGAAGGCTTCAATGCAAGCCAAACTCAGAGCCGAGCGTGCTGCTGTAGAAAGAGCACTCTCTGAGGCCAGAGAACGTGCCCTAGAAAAAGCATTGTCTGGTAAATCTGCTGCTCCTCAAACAAGATGTTATGGTGGCAGCAAGTCATTTAGCTCTTCTGGTGAAAGACGAGGCTCCTCATCTTCTGTGAGTTTCAACCCCCTCTTTTCTTGAAAATATTCTCCATTCAACTTATCTTCTATATTGTGACCCGTGAAATACTTTAGCAGGGTACAGAGAACAAAAATTCAGGTCCTTCTAGTTCTTCAAACCAGACTGGTAGGCCTCTCTATTGATTTTTATATTTTCGTTTCCTAGATGTTTGATCTATACACTGACCTGTACATTCGATTTGCTTGATGAAGGCAAAGGTGAGCCAATCCAGAGATGCAAAGCTAGATCTGAGAGACACCAGAGATCATCTGACCGTGCGGTATGTACACCATCTGTTCATCTGTAGAGAATAGCTATCGTCCCATTGTCTCTGCTAATACATGTTTACGTGATGTCATCATTCCAGGCAGAGGCTCTTGCAGAGAAGAAACTTCGTGATCTCAAAGCCCAGAAGGAGCAGGCAGAGAGAAATGTAATCCACATAGACAAATACTCGTTATCATCAGCTAATTGTTAGAAATTTGTTCTTTGAAAATTGGATTGCGCTAATGCATCTTATTCTCTAATTGAAATTGCAGAGGCTCGCGGAATCTCTTGATGCTGACGTCAAACGGTGGTCGAGTGGAAAGGAAAGCAACTTGCGGGCATTGCTCTCAACACTTCAATATGTAAGAAACTGTTTCCCCCGTTTGTTCCATAGCTCTCAGCTACTTCATGAATCAGAGGATCAGTCTTTTAACGATTACTGTCCTGTTGTGATTTGCAGATCCTTGGAGCAGAGAGTGGATGGAAACCAATTCCTCTCACTGATCTTGTGTCAAGTGCTTCTGTGAGAAAAGCTTACCGAAAGGCAACTCTTTACGTTCATCCCGACAAGCTTCAACAACGTGGCGCATCCACACAACAGAAGTACATTTGCGAGAAGGTTTTTGACCTTCTCAAGGTTTGTCTCTCTCTCTATATATCAATTCCACTTGCTTGAGTTACCCCATCTGCAAATCAGACTCTTAACGGGCTTTCTTCCTTATTCACCAGGAAGCATGGAACAAATTTGGTGCAGACGAACGATAAGTAAGATGGTGTTAACCTTTGGATCTTCCTTTACCCTATTATCAGAAGATGTCACCCTGCAAATCAACGCACCAGCCCAAGAACCAAACTTACAAGTACAGGATCAAGCTGTGATATTGGATGAAGACAGATCTCTAGAGATGTAATAACCAATATATAAATTTTTGTATCCATGAGTCATATATATAAAAGAAGCTCATTCTTATTCCCAGGCTAAACCACCATCCACAGTAATTTATTCAATCAAGGTTTCTCAAAACTAAGGTTAATAATAATAGTACATTAATGTGGCCCGCGTGAGAGAGCTAAGATAACAAAAGGGGTTTAAAAGCCGAGCAAATGAAGCATTATCGCATTTTGGGCATGCATACGATTCTCCGCCTGTGGGAAGACAATGGAATAAGGAGCTTCCACGACTCCATTGGTCACCTCCACTCCTCTTTCCGCAGGCAAACAATGCATGAAATAGGCTTTTGGCCCAGCCAACTTCATAAGAGCTTCGTCCACCTGCAAATGAAAGTAATCATGAATCCGTCCACTTTCGGAAGACACCAAGAACTAAGCAAGAGACTTTCATTGTTACCTGGAAACCTTGGAATGCTTTACGGCGGTATTCAGCTTCATCCTTTTGCCCCATACTGGCCCATACGTCTGAGTACACAACATCAGCTCCTATCACAGCTTCTTTAGCATCGTTGATGATCTCTATCTTACTCAATCCAGCTTGTTGTGCCTTCAAAACTCTTTCTTTGTCTGGCTCAAATCCTTTCGGGCAAGCGCAGACGAAATGGAAAGGAATAACGGATGCCAATTCTAACCATGAGTGAACCATATTGTTCCCATCTCCAACATAGACAACCTGCAGTATGTTGAATCAGTGTAACTATGAGGTCATATTCATATATATGCAAATATGGGATCACAATACAAGTCTAGACTAGTTGTGCTTTCTTTTGCAGATAATTTTGAAACGGATAATCTTTGATTTAAAGAGTATATGCTCTAATCATGGGTTTGTTTCTGTTCTCTTATAGGTTTGAGTAACATGCATCTACTTGACGAAAGTTAAAGAAAGTATATAAGAAAATGCAGCTAGCGAAAAGGCTAACCAACCTTTGTCCCTTCGACTTGACCGATGTGCTCAATCATTGTGAGTGCATCGGCCATGATTTGGCAAGGATGGTTATGATCTGTCAGACCATTGACAACTGGTACGCTCGAGTAGTTAGCCAGATCAAGAATGTCCTGAAAAAAAAGAAGTGGATTCAGATTCAAAATCAGTTGAAAAACGAATATTCGTGACACTAACAAGACACTAGATAGAACACGCCATAGAAATGTTTGTACACTTCTTCTTATCGTGTTCCATCTAGTAGGTCCTTAACTAATCAAACAAAAACTCACCAGCGTACCTGATGAGCAAATACACGGGCCATAATGATGTCATTATAGCGTGACAGAACTCGAGCAACATCACGAGTTTCTTCCCGCTTACCCATCTGGATATCATTGGGTCCCAGATACAAGGCATGCCCACCAAGCAAGAAAAAACCAGTCTCGAACGAAACCCGAGTCCTCATGGACGGTTTCGCAAAGATCATAGACATTGACTTCCCTTTGAAAGGTAGATAGTTCCTCTCCCCTGATTTCAGCAGGGCTTTCACCTCTGATGCCTTGTCTAAAATCTTTTTTATGGTCTCTGTGTCGAAATCATCTATGTGCAGAAAGTCCTTCAGGTCAGATTTTCCTGCAGAACGCAAACAAACAAGCACGAAAAGGTTATATTCTACAAGTCCGACGAGAAGAAGAAGATATTTTTCTACACAAATGATACTTCTGCATTAATATATCATGCTTAGAGAAGACATGTATGCTTGATCAAAATACGAAACTGGAAAGATTAACCTCACAAGTCACAATAAATCTATAAATGATAGAAGCAGAGTCAAGAAATTGTAAAAAATTTCGTAGCTTCTCAATCAATAGAGGCAATAAGAGTCAATTGACACACATTTTCTCATTTGCGTATATGCTACTACTAAGCAGTGGAATTGAGCTCTATAATGGAGCTTTGTATAATAAGGCAAATTAGAACAAAAACTAGAAAATACAGACCCAAACCTTTCACGTCGGAAGTAGAAGGGGAAGTGACGGAGGAGGCTTGACAGGAGACACGAAGGCGGAAGGAGGAGAAGCTCGCCGGAGAATTGAGTGACACGGCGGAGAATTTCCTGAGAGTAGTGCCGGGAAAGAATGACGATGAAGAGGAGAGGGAAAGCGCCGGTGATCGGGGGGTCGAAACGTGAGAAGCCATAGCCGCCATCGCCTTAACTTGGTTGTTGACTCTTGTTCAGTGACACTGCTCTTTTTTACCTTAATAGTGCTCGAGACTCGGTTTCTCCGATGGAATTTTTGTTGTTGGGCCTCCAAAAGGCCCATCTTCGATTTTTGTGGGCTTCAAGGCTCAAGGCTCATTTTTTTTTTTTTTGTAATTCAACAAACAAGTTACTGTAGACTCTCTTTTTTGCTTCAGCAAACAAATTACAGTGTTTTCTTTAAGCTTTCCGTCCGTGTGAGTTTTTATGCTTGTAATTTTTCAGTTTAAGAAGCAAATAGTATACTTTATAATCTTGTAAAGTTTTTATATGAAAATGGTTGATACGATATAAATATATAACTTTTAGCTTTCCAAACAGATGATATGAGTTTTTGATTTTCCTTTTCCATTGAAAGACTTTAAGTCTTTTGTAGACCATTTTTGTAACTTTTTGAACTTTGATTCATAAAATTTTATACACAAATGATCATAAGATCGACAACAGTCATTGTGAAACACTTCCCTACACGTAATTTCAAAACTTCAAATATTCTTTCCCTCAAGATAACAAAATGAGCTTCTTTGCTACAGAAGTAACACAGATCCAATGGATGGGACAACAAATGGCTCTTTCTGTATCGTTGTTAAACAAATGCACTAGGTGGCGCTTGCTCCGGAATCTGCAGGCACAAAAAGCAACAGTATAATCTAGATATTACAGTTTCGGCAGTAATATTTGTAATTAACTTGAAGGATTCATGAGCAATATACCTCTCCAGGATTCCATTTCTCCTTTAACCAGATGCTAGTATCAACAGGAGCACCTTCTGCTTGCACCTCCGTTCTGCAAGGTTTCCGCACATGATTCAAGTAAGAAACATTATAGTATGTTTTGTTGATCTACTTTTCACAAAATCTGGAGATAGAATGAGCACTTACCCGGAAGATGTATTGGTTGTGTCCATAGCAGGAGCAGTGAAAGATGCAACAGGGGAATTGAAATTAAATGCTGTCTGATTGTTCTGGGAAGTGTTGGGAGCCGACGTCGGAGCCATTGAAGGAAACATGTTGTTTTGTGGAGCTGTAGCGAATCCTGGTCCAGGTCCAAACGATGCTGGTTTGAATGTTACTGATGGTTGGCTCTGGAAACCAGAGGGACCCATGGCGAGTCCTGGTCCAGGTCCAAACGATGCTGGTTTGAATGCTACTGATGGTTGACTCTGAAAACCAGAGGGACCTGTGATCATTTGCAAAAAGAGGATTAAGATGATGGAGTCTCAAGCATCTTAGCAAGTTTTTTTAACTTCAAAAGTAGTACCTGAAGGAACAGGTTGAGGAGTGTTGACGCTGAAAGCATTTGGTTGTTGATTAAACCGTTCAAAGGGATTCGGAGGTCCAGATGAACTACGTGGAGGAATAGTTGGCCACAGAGAAATATGGAAACCGAAAGTTTATAAAGGCAACACAAACTAAAAGGATGTAGAAAAATGGAGAAAGCCTACAAAAAGTTGATACCTGACTCCACCAGCATTGGTATTTGGGAACGCGGGTTGTTGATTGAAGACAGAGAATGCTGGAGGGGAATTTATCTGATTAGCTGGTGGGAAGATACTAGGAGTCGCTGCAGCAAACGGGCTTTGATTGGTGGTAACAGAGCCTGTGTATGGATTCCGTAGAAAGTTCTCAAACTCGGCTATTTTGGAACTTTGCAAATTCCTCTCCCTCTCAACCTATATAATGCATCGTTGATAGGCAAGCAAAAGAGGAAATTAACTTTGCGTGTTTATGACGTGATTTGTGTAGAGTATCAAAGAACATAAGAAGGGTTAATCTCACAATAGACGGTAGAGGTATTCCTCGTTTAGCTTCTTCATATGCCACTGCACGTAGCTCTTCACAGCTGATATCGCCAGTAACGTCACAAGGAAGGCTAGAAAAAAAAAGATAAGAGAAGATCAGAAAACGTTACAAAGAATTGAGTAAAGATCAAAGAATAGTGGATGTAACGATGAAGCAATACATACTGTTTCCAGTGAGCGTAGCATGTTAGCTTCCACATGGGTCTCTCATTCTTAAAATCGTCTTGCATTACCCGCTTACACGCAGCAGGATCTGTGCATCTTTTGCAAAGTAACCAAGACAGAGACAGTAAATTTCAAAAGAACCAAACAGCTAAATGGATGACAGAAATAGAACAATCATATATATATATACTCACTTATGGTCAGCCTGCTGCGTTTGTTTACCAGTCTGCTGAGCAGACGCACCACCACCACCACCACCAGGTGTAGAAGGAGTTCGTTGCCATTTATTCTCGAAAGGCTGAGTTTTCAAAATCATCACACCATGTCAACCATTAAGATTCAAGAGCGAGATCATTTCTTTTCTTCAAGAAGAGACGGCACATTGTTTTATCAAAACCAATACGAAAGCCATTCAGAACCTGGAATTGATTTGGTCTATTGGAACCGCCTTGTACACCAAATCCAAAAGGGTTGTTCGAGCTATTACTCTGTTGCTGTTGTGGTTGCTGATCTCTGGATTGTGTACCAAACCCAAAGGGGTTATTTGGCTTAGCTTGCTGTGGATGAAGAAATCTGCATCCTTCCCCATACCTACAACTGCAAAAAAACAACACCGAAGACGATGAATCCAACAATTAAGTCTCCCACACATACACAGAAGCAAATAAATAGGTCATTCATGGCGGAAACGAAGAGTGGTTCATTTAGATGTCAGTTCTGTAGACATCGTATATACACGTTACTTCCTTCGCCACACCGATTGTTATCAAATTCACCCTAAAATAAACAAACCTAGATTCCTGAAGTTGAATCGGACTTGAAAAACAACACACACACACACAGGTAACGAATTGGGTCAAAGCAACCTAAAAAAAATCGACGAAAGAACAAATGAAGAAGACGAAAAGAGAATTTACCTTCCACGCTGGAAGTTTCTGCACAGTTCCTTTCTCATACTCACTTGCTGAAACCTTCGACTGTTGTGTGTATTTGTATTGTATATGCGTCTGTATATATATTTCCCTTTTCAAAGAAGATCGACGAAGACGAAGACGAAGAGCGTATGATAACGAAACGAAGGTCTCTATGTAAATTACCTTCTTACCCTCGAATTTTAAGCTCGGGTCGTCCAAGTTTTTAAGGGTTATAAACGTAAATCCATCGAGACTTTCATCATCTACATTTCGTCATTTCCCTTATCCATCGTTAGATGCTTCTACACCAGGAAAAAGAGAAAAGATAGCAGTAGCCGGAGCGAAAAATGGCGGTTTATCTTCCGAACTCGTTTCTCCAGATTAATCCATGTGTTCCTTCTCTGCTAATTAGAAAGGTAAGCTCGAAAATTTAATCTCCTCTCCCTCCCAAAATCACTAATTTTGTTTTTTTTTTGGGGGGTTTTCCAAATAGCCGGTTATGGCGGCGGCGATTGGCGCGAAAGGAGGGAAAAAGCCGGCGGGAAGCAATCCGGTGGTTCAGATAACGTGCAGGAAGAAGGATTTGCACCCTGAGTTCCACGAGGACGCGAAGGTTTACTGCAACGGAGAGCTGGTGATGACGACGGGAGGGACTAAGAAAGAGTACGTCGTCGATGTTTGGTCCGGTAACCATCCGTTCTACCTCGGGAATCGATCGGCGTTGATGGTGGACGCCGATCAAGTGGAGAAGTTCCGTAAGAGGTTCGCGGGGCTCTCTGAGATTATGGAGATTCCGGTGCTTAAAGGAGAAATCGTCTTGCCAACGAAGAAAAGTAAGGGTGCAGGAAAAGGGAAGAAGAAATGAGAAAAAATCAATTTGTTTTTTTTTTTTTGTCTCTTGGATTTCTGGTTAAACCTTAAAAACCTGTCTTTTCTATTCAATCGAAAATCGACTGCTTAGGCTGTTAAAATGTATCTTCATTTCTTCTGAATGCAATTGGTTATGATCTCTTTAAGAATGTGTTTGGTTTCGGATAAAGTTAACGAATGTGATCATAGTTCTGAACTTCTGATCTCGGATCTAGGATAATTGTGAATAATCTTGAGTTTGACATGAATTTGATGGATATAGATACAGTAGTGAGAGAAAAGATGTGCATTTTTGTCACAAGTGGAGATAATCTTATGAACTCAGTGAGTAGTGTAAGTCGTTGTTGATGAGTAACAGAGTAAGTGTTTGTGTTGATGAATTGCCTGAGTTCAATTTTCTTGGGAGATGTTTTTATCAGATTTTCAGAATGATGAGCATGATCATGGTTTGTGTAAATGTCTCCTGGAGTTGTCAGGCAGAACATGAACTGTGATGGAGTGTCTTGTTTTACATTCGCATCAAACTCTACAACACAGTTGTGACTTGCAATCACAATGTGATTTTTAGTGAGCAGAATCTAGAATTGTGGCCATTACATTAGCTTAGGAGTTGGTATTAGGATTAAAGGTTTGCAAAACATTAAATAAGACAAGTTATTGACAGCTGAAGATTCACAGAACTTGAAGGGCTGCTTCTGTGGTCATACCCAATACAAAACTATCTTCTTTTCATTCGAAGTTTGAAAATCACAGAGTAGTTTTAGTGGGCTTTTTATCTGTTTTTTTTTTTTTTTTTTGTATGGATATCTGTTTTCGAAGGCTTTTTATCTGTGAAAATTAAAAACAGAGTCAATCAAAGAAATGGCCCAATCAACTTCTTAATGAAACATAAGAAGTTTTTATATGTGATTTTTGTGCTTAATAAAGTGTTTGTACGGCTGAGTTGTTAGTAAAATCGGAACTGTCAAAAGGCAAACCAAATTGGGTTTGATGTCTTTATGATCTGTCTATAGATCATAAAGCTCAAAACTTAACATTAAAAAAGTGTTTGTTTAAGATGTAGTGTTTTCATGTTTCCTAACACAAGAATGATGGAAGACGTTGTGCTGGGTTAGTTGAACATTTTGTCTAACCGTATCTAATTGGTTTGTTGATCATGTTGCAATAATTCAATTTGCTCTATTCTTGTTGGGTTAAATAAATCTTGATTTTGCTGGGGTAATACAATTGTTTTTGTTGTTTATTTGACGGAATAATGCAATCGTTTGTTTCGGGGCGACGCCAATATCAGACAGTGTTCGACTCTGTTGATACCAAACCAGTCATTGTCTCCAATAAAATGCTATTACAACCACCCTTTGTTTTATTTTATTTTGTCAACAACCTCCCTTTATTTTATAATAGTTCTAAATTAAGCTATCAACTTTTGCAAGTTCTCTTTGTGCACGTGACTCATCTCGTCTCACGTGGTTCTCGGCCATTTCCCTTCGGAATCCATGAACCTCGTAAATGCGAGCAGTCCAATACCGTTGCTAAAATCATTATGTGTGGATAAGTTTACAGTGCGTGACCATTTCTAAAGTGTACAAGTGGCGGCTATATGGGCTAATTAACTTCTTAAGTCCATGTCCATGTAATAATCATCTTACTATTATCAATTTTCTTTTTCCAAAGATGCAGTCAAATATTTTGTTAGAGATAGCATCGTTAATTTATAGCAAGTTGAAACATATTCAGTATATATTCGATATCTAACTATATCTTAAAATGAACTACAAATTTATAATGGATATCTTTATCTTTCTTTTTTTTTGAACATTAATGGATATCTTTATCTACATGCAAGTTTTTTTTTTTTTTGTTCAAACATGCAAGTTTCTATATAGAGAAAATATACTACCGATGGCGTAATAATTAGTTATGGCAATTGGTAGACAAACCTAATCATTGTTTTCATACACATAGGAGACAAAACATTTCGAATATAAGGAATTCTCCAAGTTCTTTCCTAAATTTGAAATTCTAAGAAAATGAAAAGGAACGAATTTTATATTCTGCTATCATTATTGGTTGAGTGTCTACAAAATTACTATAAAGTATACAACTATATCAATGTTTTTTTTTTGAGAAAAGGCAAAAATATTAAATTAAGCAGCAAAAAGGCAAATGGTAATTAATTTGAAGGATCTAGTATATAAAAAATACCTTCCAGTGATCGATCGTATTTCTATATCAGTCTCAGTGTATATCTCCTTCGCTAATCATATATTTTCTCAATCGCTTCACTTTCCCGATTCAGTTTTTCCCGGAATTTTGATAATCTAAAGCTTCCTCATCGTACTTAATTTCTCAAACTTATATATATATCCAAGACAGAGCAAAGCATTCATACCTTCTTCTCTGTTTCAATTTTCACGGCGTGGAACCAAAAAGAAATGTCGAAACCGTTTGGATTCCACGGCGTGGGCGTGGAGGCCGAGAAAGCGGAAGCGATGAGGAGGTACAACAACCGTATAATCTTCCGGAATGTTCTACGAGCAGCCGCCGTAGCTTCGTTAACTTACTTGTGGTTCCCGGCGGTAGCGATTTCACTTCAAGCTGCCGGCGTTTGGTTTTATCGTACCGGATCGGTCATTGCAACCAATCGCGCCGTCGTCTTCGTCTTCGTTAACATACTCGGCGCTTTGATTTTCATTCTATCTAGCGATCGCGGCGACGAGAGTAAAACTAGTGCTAGTACCGAACCAGATCTATACGATCAATTCAGCTATTTCTCCGCCGTAAACGTAACCGCCTCCTCCGATGAGAAAGTGAGAGGCGAGTATACGAACGTCGAGAGGTGTACTAGTGTTGTTAGTGCCGAACCAGACCAATACGTTCGATACACCTCTTCCTCTTCCTCCGCCGGAACCGGAGCCGCATCCGATGAGAAAGTGGAAGATGGTGAATCGAAGAAGCAAATCGTTGCGGCGTTTTTCGCGGAGGTGGAGGAGGCGGCTCCGGAGGATGATGGAGAGTCGGTTACAACAGATTTAAAGGGAGTTTACAGGAGGACGAAATCGGAGAATAAGAAGGGAATAATGCGGCCGGCGAAGGAGTATCGGAGGACGGAATCGGCGATAGAGAGACTGAGCAGCGAGGAGTTTCGTTTGAAAGTAGAGACATTCATTTTGGAGAAGAGGAGGAAACTTATTCAGGAAAACGACGTCGTGCGACAGCAAGGGCTCGTTGCTGCTGTCTCTGGCTATGGCACGTGCTAGAAGCTAACTTGGAAGTATAATTTAGATGGGTCAAAAAATGTCAAAAACGCAAAATGACCGAAGGATAATTTTTAGGAGCCGGTTACTTTTTAATTTCGCTGGCCTTTATGTTCATCTCTAATTGCTTAATGTTTTACGACGTTTATTATAACAAAGATGGGTAGTTGAGTTCTCTTTTTATTTGGTCGAGAAACATATATTTCAGTATTTGTCAAATCCAAAATTTTGATGTTGCAGCTAAGAACAAAGTAACATGCAAATTAAACCTAATACTACTTAGCTACATAATCATATAATCATAATTTTATGATGTTATTCTAAATTAATTTTCTGTTTTTTAGTTTTATATAATTCCTAATATTTCTAACTAGTACATACAGTTTAGAGTCAATTGAATTAAGTTTGAATAATTTTCCATAACACATTAAAAAATCATTTTTTTTGCAGCGATAGTTAACACAAAACACTAATAATAAACAAAAGATCTAGGTAGTTTTTCTTTTTTTGTCAATCAAATTCGATCATGTCATTTTTTTTAACCTCTGCGTCATTTTTTTTTCTAAAGTTTTTTCTTCTTTATTTTTGAATATTTAAATAAATATTATTTTGGAGTTTTGAAACACAATTCGGTTGATTCGTCCTTGAGCCTAGGATGTAGGGCCAAAAAGTTAGAACTAAGATGGTAGGGACCGCGCGAACGCAGGCCCCCTCTGCCACAAATAATGACGCAGGCTCTTCCACGTGGGAAGACCTTAAGCTAAGCACCCTTCCTTTATGTGCAATGGAAATCACTAGCTTAGGCCACTCATCTTCTTGATCACGAGTTGACCCCGTCCAGGTAAGTGATTTGCTTGGTGCATCGAGTTCTCTTCTTATACCCTCCTTCCTCAGTCATCTATTTCTCATGTAACCGATGTGGGATATTATCAAAACACATCTCACTCACTCACACCGTGCCGTTTTGAAGCTCTTGATATCCAACATGGGCCGAGATAGATCATATTTTGGTTTTCCATTTGTTCCGCTTATTTAATGGGCCACAGTAAAATAAATGTGCGTAACATTTAAGCAACTCTTCTTTCTCACGAGGCATCTCATGTCGCTTTGTTTCTACATGTAAAGCTTCAAGTCGTTTATAGATTAATTAATTATATAAGTTTTTATTTGTTAGTATAGATTCACAAAAACGATTTTGGAAAATCTAATGACAAGATGAACAAGTAAAATGTCACACTGTTAAAAGCTCTTAATGAATTTTGAGAACATTTTATTTCTCTAGTGACCCCAATCGTCACTCACGGTCAGAAGAAAGCTTGGCAAATAAAAAACATAAATAAATGATATTGAACCAGATAAAAAAACACTTGGCACTCTCGGGTTGATCCAAAAAAAAAAAAAAAAAGAAAATATTTGTCACAAAACGGACAGCTTCGACGAGGGTTTTCTAGAACTTTCTATAAATTCCTACGCGAAGGCGATTTTGTGACTGTCACTCCCACAACTTTCTGATTCAGCCCCTTTGTTGTCGTCTACTTCCATTTCCGGTAAGTTTCTCGACTTTCCTACTTTGTTTCTCCGTTGGATCTGTGTAGCTTGCTTTGATTTTTCTAGGATTTTTCTGCTTATGACTTGGCCTTGAACAGTGATGAACATTTAGTCACGTTTTAGGGTTTTACTGTTTTGTTTTTTGGTTCTTGGATGAATGATGTGGATGAATCCTTCTTTAGGTTGGTTAGTCTTGGTTAACGACGTTATTCTCTGTCTTCTCCCTCAACGATTTTGTACGTTTCCGCTTGCTAGTTAGGTCTTTGATTTGTTTGTTTTGTTGGTCTCTCTCTGCTTTTGCTTTATATATCTTCGCTCTGAGTGTCTTCTTCTGCTCTGGATGTCTTCTTCTGCCTTTGGATGTCTGACCTAGTTAGGAAGCAACAAGTCTCCATGCTCTCTTGGTATTCCTTTCTTTCAGAAACGCCTCTTAAGAAAAGTTGATGACTTTCTGAACTCTTTTACTATGACTCATTGCGAATGTGCTAATGGAACATCTCTGTTGGCAAGTTTCAGATTTTTGCAGGGTTTAAGTGATTTGGAGAAGATGTCTCGAAACCACCATCCAGATTGCGACCGACGAATGTTCGCCCAAGAAGAATATGGTAACTTGAAAATTACTCCCTTTGCTATATCATTAGAGGAAATGGTTTGGAAATTACTTTCTTTGATTGAGTTTGTATGTTTTTTTATGTCTTGGGACTTGCAGATCCATCTGAGAGAGCGGCTCTGATGGCGGTTTCCCTGATAAGCTCTGCTCGGGTCATACGTAAGCTGGACCGTGTGTACACTCCGTACTCGGCTCAGTATCTGGTTGACTGCGCTGGACCCGAGAGGCAGGAAGAGATTGCTCAACAACGCCCCAACATGACAATCCAAGACTGCCTTGAGTACTTGGTGGAGATCGCTGCTCCCAAGTCCGAATCCGAGCAGAGAGAGTTCGATCAACGACTCCGCATGCTGACTGTGAAAGACTGCTTGGACTGCGCCTTCAAAGATGGGATTCCGAAAAGCGAGCACTGGACACATTTGGGGTGCGTGCACAAGCCTCCCCCGTTTGCTCGTCTCATCCCTCGGGTTCCCATGAATGGACGAGTGGTCGAGGTCAGGACATTGGAAGACGCGCTCAAGCTGTTGAAGCAGCAACCGGTTGGAGCAAAGCTGCACGTCTTCAGTCCCGAGATTGATCTTGTTGGAGAAGAGGTACAATGCTCCCTCTCTCTCTCTCTCTCCCTCTCTAATTAGTTCAGTTTCGAAATGTTCAGATTGATGAAAGTTCTGTGATGTTTCCTTATTTGCGTGGCAGGGCCTCTACGAGGGTCCGTCAAGTCCTGGATCACGCTATGTTGGGCTCAGAGACGTGATGATAACTGGAAACGGGACGACGAAGAAGGGAGAAGCTTTTGCGGAGGTGAAGGTTTTGTACAAGAAGAGGGAGTTTTTCGTCAAAGTTTCTGCAACTCGTGTGTTGGCCTCGCTTAACGGTGACGACTCTCAGCTCACTGAGCCGACGGGTCTCCTCGTGGACTTCATCGTCCCTCGCTTTGCCAACTAGTACGCTAGTATCTAGACCAACAAATATGTTAGCTAATAAGTTACCATGTAAGCTAACAAGTTTAAGTATTGTGAAGACCGTATGCTAGTTTGTGAAACTCGTTGTAAGCCCGTAATTAAGATTATTATTCTAAGGAGACTTTTATATTTTGAGTAATGAAGCTACTTATTATAAGTTTTATCTACTGTTATGACATTAGAACAACTGCTTGATTCTTTGATCATACTTTTTCTTGTGTCACGCCATGACACATAAATTGGTTATGTTTTGTATTAAACAACTCAAATGTGGTAATGTGCCATAATTATAAATTTTGACATTTTTTTGGTATGCACACCCTTATCAAACAGAAATAAGTGGGGCTTCTTCTTTATCTTTATCCTCCATTTACAAATTCTTTATTTGTTTTGTTGTTTTAGAGGTTGTTGTTACTCGTCATATAAAATGCTGTTGGGACCTAATGGAACATTCCAAAGGAAATCATATAACTATGGTTAACACAGCTCCCGAGAGAAATGGTCTCTGATATATATAAAAATAGTCTTTCTGAATTTCCCCCCCAAAAGTATCATCAAATATTTGCCTAGGAGACCTAAATTTGTATATAAAAACATTGTTCTATCACACGGTGTATAGGATAATACGAAATTACCAACCTACTCACAAAGCAGAGTGCCACCACAATCACCATTTCTCATAACTATTAACTCCAGCTTTCTCTCTTCACCAGCACAACTTCTTTTTCTGCTTGTCTCAACAGAAACCATAATAATAGTATTGAATCAAAAATTTAAGAAGATTATTTGGTGGGTGAAAGAAACAGAAATGTTATTTACCCGATGGTACTTCTCATCTTCTTCCCGGTCTATGTAAGCCAAAAGATCATCCTGTCTCATTAAAGCCTCATGCAAAGCCTGTGAATCATTGAAGAGAGCGTGAAGTTGATACAAAACAAAGACATATGCTTTTGTATCAATCAATGGAAAGAAACTTGGAACTGAGAGAGAGTGTATTACTACTACCTTTTTCGTAGCGATGAGCTCTGCTTCAAGCGCATCGACTCGATAAACAGCTGTATTAAGCAACTCTTCCTTCTCACGAGGCATCTCATGCCGCTTCGAGTGCAGCGTTTCTACCTGTTTCTCAAGATCTCCTAGTCTGTTTACAACACAAGCGACGAGATTTCTCTCTCTCACATTCGAAAAAGCCGGTGAAGGAGGACGGGACTCTCTATCGATTGGTTGATCAACTGACGAATCAGACTGGGAATGCCCTTTAGTCTGTGGCAGACCCGCCACAGATATGAGAAACGTAAGCAAGTTCACACACAACGCGGTTAGCCACCTCCAGATATGACTAACCGCTCCTATTTTTCCTAAACCGGCTGTATACATGGAGCCTGCACCAACACATTCCATTACAGTGAGACTTTGCGTTGGATCTGATTTCTGATTTACATATCTTAGTATTTAGCTTCAACTCTTTTTACCTTCTGACGTCTTTGGCTTTTCATGGGTCATCCAAGCAACATCCACGACTTTGTCCACCATTGGTGAGTCATACTCGGATGAATCAGTAGGATATAAAGATTTGACGACATTGGTCCTAATTATCTGCAACTAAGGTCAGGCAAATCAGTAAAAGTGATATAAATGCATACAGTGGTTTCACTTTCGTACAAGATAACTCTTACATCCTCACAAACGGGAGTCAACTTGGGAACATGACTCTCCTTGTTTGCTTTTGGAGAGGCCATCTCTTCCAATTCAGAGCCTGATTCAGCTGTTGAGGTGTCACTAACTTTAACCTGAGCCAAAAGGGACAATACTTTTACTGTCAGATACAAATATATATGTTAAGATATGATCAAAAAACAAAGTTTCGCATCCTATTACCCCAGAAAAAGATGGCTTATCAGATGACTCCATACGGGAATCACTGTTTAGAATCGATGCATGCCTGCAGAGCGTTCCACCACTTTGAACCATCTATACAGGTCGGGGGATCAGTTAACGTAATAATATTACACTGTTTTGTGTTGATATGATTAAACCGAACACACAGTAAACAATGAGTCGTGGGGGATAATAGATTTACATTTAATATCTCTGGGTTTTTCCAGGGACCTTTATCAGATCTCATACAACCACCTTCATCCGCACAAGTGCAAGTGCCACCAAGAAAATCAGGCAGCTGACTGAACAATTTCCATATATGGTTAGGGAGTTATATCACATTTTGCACTCATGAGAACCAAAAACAAAAAAAAAGAAAGGACTGTGGATTCTCTACCTTGCATCAATTATCTCAAGTAATTTGTTCTGGTACTTGTAACCAACAACCTATTAGAAGATCACATTAATCATATATATCATTTGCTGAAATGTGAATGGTTATGCAGAGAGAGAGGGAGGTAACTTTACATGAATCTTGGTGACTGTTTTTGGATCAAGAAATGATTTCACCGTGCCCCAAAGTAACTTAAAACCAGGACCAGAATTGATGATGAACATACGATGAAGCGTCTGCACATTCGTAAAATGTCATATCACAACATTCGTCTTTTTTTCCTTAAATTAAGCTGAAAACACACAAAATTTGTTAAGAAACCAATAGCGAAGAGCTCATATACCTCAGGATAGTTATCGTTATCAATCTTTTGCAGCTGGATTATGAGATCCCTTGCAGCCTTAGAAAAATTCTTCAACCCCTGCAAAAAAAACACGTTTCAAGAAATTCTAAAGTAAGAAGATACATTGATCATTAACAACACTACACAACAAAAGATTGTCAGAATTCTGGTTTTTATTATGTACCACGCCTTGGACGTCTAGGATCGTCGTGCTAGAGTCAATGTGTCTCTTAGCAGCGATGCAGCAAGCCGGAAACTTGATAGTAATAGTTTTCTCAAACTCTCGAACATGATACCTTATGTATCTTTCCAAGGTAGTGACTTGCATAAGTTTGGCCGGATCAACTTTTCCTAGTCTCTCAATGTAAACAGGTCTTCCTTCTTTGTCAACACCATGATAACCCTGAGGGTAGTATCTGTGAACTTCATCCACTTCTTCAAACTCAAAGTCCTAAAACAACAACTCATCAGCAAAAACAATCAATAACACATGGATTCGACAAAGCATAATGAGAGAGAGATAAAAAAAAAACATTTTGAAAATTCTCACCTCGAATATTGTGTCTGTGCCAAAATCTTTTCTCCACTGAATCATGTTACTCCACATCAATTTGGTTTTCCCAACATCAAATTTCCTAGCTTTCAGGAATCTGAACAGGATTCATCATCTAGAAGTTATAAATACATACAAGAAACTCATATGACATAGTGAACTAAAGGAGAGAGAGAGAGAGAGAAATGACCTCAACATAATGTGATAATCGTCAAGCTTTGGAGGGAGCAGATTCTCGGAGATGAGCAGATTTCGGAACTCATCGACAGCTCGAAGCTCCTCGACGTCGTGAATGTCTTCGATGGTAAGAGAGAAATTCCGATCAGTGCTTCTTCTCCTGCTGCTCCCTTTCTTCTTCAGGGAGTGTCTCAGTTTGCTTGAAGCTTTGGCTGCTTTCTTCTTAAAGTTTGCGATTCTGGTCTTCTTCTCATCCTCAGAGACTTCGAAATCTGACCTCCGTTCTCTTCTCTCATCATTGCTCGAGCACCCTTCAAAACCTGGGAACAACAAGAAATCCCAAAACTTATAAAAACCATATCCGCGAGAAAATTTGGAGCCTAGAACATCTTTCTTGATCCTAATAGTTCCCAAACTCAAATTGAAATTCGAAATCTGTAACTTTAAAACACCGGAGTTCAATTGCGGAAATTCGCAACCGCAATAATCGGGGAAAGGGGTGATAAAAACACTCACAAGGCCTTGCGAAATCAAGAGGTCCCGACATGAGGAGAAACGATTGCAAATCGGAAACAATCCAGATGAATCCGGGAACTCGGGATTGTGCAGCCGAGAGAGAGAGAGAGAGAGAGAGAGACGATCAGAGAGGAAATTGAAAGAGACGTAAGAGGGAGAAGTAAAGTGATGATGATGGGTTTTATATTTTTGATTACTATTAAACTTCCCTAATTAAGTAAAAATCTTGCGTTAGAACTTATAAACGGTTTAATTGTCGCCGGGAAACATAACGACCATCGGTGATTTTTCTTTCATTCTACCGAAATCAGCCCTTTGATTCATTTCGATTTGGTTAACCAAATTATTTTAGTAATATATGTTGACAAAAAAAAAAGTCTACATATTAAAATCTTTTGAACTTTCAAAATTTAGTAGAATGCTTTACTGTTTTTTTTTTTTTTATAATATAAATGATCTTTTGAATCAATTGCAGATTAGATAAGTATTTTCAAATTTTGTATCTATTATAAGAGTTTATTACAATTGATAGCTAATTAAGTAGTTTTTTGTTTTTATATACATGTAGAGCTAATTTTTGACTAGTGGTTGTCATACAATCTGCCCGGTGGAACATATGTTGAGATATTTTTGATTCGAAAGGATATGATTGCTTTTGTTTTCTATTTTATGTCTTATTTTATTTTAAAGGTATATAAATACCATAACTTTACACATTTGCCAATTGTTATTAACTCACCTAAATTGGTTAATCGGTTTACTTAGCTTTTGTAAGTGAATTTCTTTTTATTTATAAGTAAATTTTATTTAAATCAAACTATGTCGACGGAGTACAAACTATTTTGTCAATTCTTATGAAAAGCTAAGAGTCGTACTCTCGTGAGAGAGAGATCACGTAAATGAATTTTTTAACCACTTAAAATTAAATTTCAGCCAAAACCATTATATCACTCCTAATGAGAAAATAAAAAGTTTACACGGTTTGAGCTAACAAAGACATTGCGGTTTTGTCGGCAATGCCACTTCACTAAATATCCGGTCACACGTAATAACTTTTTATTGGATAAAAATCAACTGCTGCGATTAATACCAACTAATAATATATACTCAAACACGAAAGCAAACAACTTCGAATCAGAGCTTAATTCGCAATTTTGCATAAGAAAGAAGACACAGATTAATAAGTATTATGTACACATCACGCTACACTATATACTACCAATATATTATTATTATACATCTTTTTTGTTTCTGGGAAATGGTTCAGTGTAGAAGCATTCTTCGATCTCGAGACTGCTTCTTCCTCCACTTTAATCCCCCGACCAATGACACTTTCTTCTTCTTATTATGTACATCGTCATTACTTGTTGATCGAGCTGTACGAAGAAGAAACATAAATATCGGAAATGATACAGTCATTCACATGAATTTTCGTTCATATTTTCGTACCTCTCTCATGTGTATTTCCTCAGGTTACGTTTAGCCCGAAACTGGCCAAGTTTGTCTCTCCACTCAGCTACAAAATCATAAACCAACAATGTATCGATCTTTAGACCACGAATCAGGAAAAGGTAGATACTAGCCTCAACGATGAGCAATTGCAGATACATGGGCAAACAAATCGAGATAACTAATTGATTTAGTATTTAGACAATTAAGCTTACCGGCTTCATCATATCTCTCTTCATTAACAGCTTGCATCATGTTGCTCAAAATATTGAACTCTTTCGTATCAAGACAAGCCTGACCATTTGGTCTGCACAAACTCAAAACGAAATTCTAAGCTTCGACGCTCAAACTCACAGCAAAAAGAGCTTTGATCTTTTAGGTGTCTGAAAATTTACCGGTCTTGTTCAGTAAATAATAAACCATCTGAAGCAGGTGTCTGTTGTGGCAGCTTCCCTGACTCAATGACTCTCATTCCATCGCTATACGCAAGGTACTTGTTCACTTGGATAGGTATCTAACAGAAGCATCAACACAAATTTCAACCGCGAATACGTATTTGTATTATAAGCTCTGATGATGAATGAACATACTATATAAATGTACTTACCTTGCATCTAACAGCTATATTGATTGCATCTGAAGGCCGAAGGTCGAAGCTTACGCAATCCGAGGCATTACCCACCTGCAATATCGTTTCCAAAACCAGTCTCAATAGGATGAAACGAGTAAAACTATAAATTGAGTCTGCGAGACTGAATATAAGTTTCATAGAAGACACAAACCTTTGAAAGGTATAGCTGAGCAAAATACGCCTCGTGAACTCTTTTCGTGACTCTAACAAGTCTAACCTGTAGTAGAAAAGTTTGAGAATTTTTTTTCAAATGAACAATGTCCCACAGAGAATGAAATTACATTAAAGGAGGGAGAGACTGAAACCGTAATACATACTTCATAACCCATCTTCTCCACCATTTCCTTCACCACTTGGTACATGGTTGGTCTTGCCTGCAACACGTAACCAAAAAAAAAAAACCTCTCTTCAGTCACAACTTACTGATCCAAACAGAGAGATACAGATTAAACGAGAAAGAAAAACATACAATTTGGACGTTGGTCATTGCTGCCATAAGTAACACACTAGGCATCTCCACTGCAAAACATGGCGAGAGTGAGATAAAAAACAACACCTTTGAGATCAGACGTCACAAAACTAAACACAAATTTACTTACACACAATAATAGGAAGGAGAAGACCAGTTCCATCTTCCATTTTCAAGACAATAGCAGGGTGTGGAGCATAATCTGGTAGATGCCCTCCTTGAGGATTGTTATGAACACATCGTAGTTGCCTACCGTCCCTCATCTTCACCATGAAGCCATCTGCTCCACTTCTTACCTCAACTATAACATTCCAATATCCAAAACAATACATCAAACTGAAAGTTGAAATAAAAGAAAAAATCAAAACTAAGACTAAGAGAAATCCACTTAGCTTACCAGCTTCCACTACACTAGAGTTAACATATTCCTCATCGTTCTCGTTGAAATTCTCTGCGGTGCTTCCGGTACCATCAGAGTGGGAGCTGAAAACACACTTGATGATACTTCTGTTGCACCATCGAGGACGAAGACGGAGAGTGACTGTGGTGGTGACCTGTGAGTTGGTGCCTCTTGTCCGATGACCCCAGAGTTGGCTTCTAAGAAGCTTAGGTTTCAGACCAGTGTAGCTGACAAGTGATGAAGCACATGCACCTACTTGTCTTGGTCGAATCGCAGGGCAAACAACTGGTGCCTGAAGCGACCTCATCTAACTCAAAAGGAAAATACAGAGGAAGGGAAATGTAATTTTTAGTATCTCTCATCCAAAGTTTCAACCTTTTTAAGATAAAATCACTGATCCATACGATGAAATAAAATCACTGATCCATACGATGAAACAACAAATTCCTCAGATTCTACCCAAAAAAAAAAAAAAAAAAAGTCAAAACAATCAGTGATCGGTCGGTGTATTATTTTCGATATTGAAAAGTGGCATTGATAACATTTATTCGTCGAGTTCACAACATATATATTCACAAAAACTTTTTGATTTTTTGATGATCAATAATTAGAAAGATCGTAGACAGTTTTTTTTTATAAAAAAATTATTAACCTGTGATTTCGCGAGCGACAATTGGAATCGAAGAGAGCGATAGATCAGACGATTGCGAATGGCGTAAGAAGAAGTTCGAACGGATCGATGAAGAAAGGATCGAAGAAGTTCGAAAGAGAGCGGAGATGATCAACGGAGAAAGAAGGAAAGGGAGGATAGAGAGAGAGATTCTTCACTTGGGACTTGAGAGATCAAAAGAGTGAGAGAATCTCTTCGTCAGTTTTATCGAGCCAGTTTTTGTTTCAATTCCCGACTTTACCCTTTCACCAAATTTCATTCAATTTGCCAAATTTATTTAGTTTCGTAGTGATGAAAAATAAAATCAAAACACTGCGCCCTTTTGAGTATTTGTGGACAAAAATTATTAAAGTTGGCGAACAATTATTTGTGAACTAAAAAGATTCCTAATTTTTCATTTATATAGATAATCTTAAACTTCTAAAAATTAATAAAATAATGATAATAGGTCTGCAGACTTTTGACGTTTCTGATAAGAAAAAGCACTGATATTGGTGAAATAATAATATAAATCTTATAAAAGATATGATATCTATGCTTTGATTTAGGCCTGTAAATGATATTACAAAGAAAAATGCTTTGTCCAATTTATAGAATTAGGACACCGTCCATCACTTATAATTTCAGCAAAGATCTACCAAACGACTAGAGAATGAATTATATAATAACAAAATTAAGCGAGAGAGAAAAAAAAAGTTTAAATTTTAAAAGATTTGATTTCGTCGTGTTGTTTTAATTTAGTGGTATTTAAAAAAAAAAATTTAAGAAACTGAAATGAAAGGGTGAAAAAGGTAAATCACAAATAGAGCTGTGTGATGACGTGAGAAGGAGAAACCATAAACGGGTCGAATGGTCATCAATTAACGGCAGCCGATGTATTTAATCGCCTAGATGGATGCCACGTGTACCTGCACATTTTTGTATCAGAGATGGTTTGGATAAGGTCGTAGAATTTATCAGAAACGCCTCTTTTTCCTTCGGATGTTTTCTTTGTCTTCTAGATATTATTTTATTGTATAGTATACGGTGTGCATATTTGTGTATCAATGTCACATGGTTAAATATTTTTTGTTTTATAACCGTTTGATTTCGAACTAAAACCTATACCAATCCTAGAGAACCTGTACAAATGACATGTTTTTTTAGTAACTAACTTTTATAATTGAATATGAAAATATTTTCTTATATTAAGAAATTACCATCATTTTTCTTTTGTTTGTCATCCATCAACAGATGAATAAATATTTCTTATCAAGTTATTATTATAAATGAAGACAGCATTAATAATAAGTGTGAGTTGTGGGGGTAATTAGCGGAAAATCTAAGTCTTAATCGAGGAAAGTGAAATAAGCAAGTGGAAAAGAATAATGTAGCTTAGAAGTCAATGTCAATGATTGGGCCCATTGATAATCAAATACCTAATCGGTCCAAAAATATTGATAGGTGAATGAATGGCTTCAGAAGCGTTCCTTCGTTATCCCATTTTCCAGCCCCAAAATATCCTCCAATGCACCATGGGATTCACTTTATGAATATATTAATTCATGAAATTAAATCCTGAAATAATGATATAACATTTGATCATGATTCGATTAAAAGACTATATATATTATTCACATTAAATTAGAGAGTTCATTATTAAACAGGCGATTAAAAAAAAGAAACACAAACTTGTGACACAATCCTTGATATATAAATCTAAAAAGAAGACAAACAAGAAAAAAAAACATAAAACACGTTATAAAGATACCAGGGTTTCAAAGTGTTCCGGAGACAAAAGAAATTGACAAACACATTGCTCATCACTCGAATGATTGCACCCAAACTCTTCAAATCCTTCAAGCACGACTCTTCTAATAAAGTTCTCGCTTATGTGTTTGTTGTAGTAGTAAATATACAACGGTTCACCTTTTGGAGGCAACTTCACCGGACCTAAAATGATATCGTTAGCTTTGTTCATGCCTAACAAGTTTAACTGAATTTCCCCTGACAAATCCGACAAGATAGGGGGAGCATTGAATACTGTTCATTAAAACGTTATAATACAGGATTCTTGTTGTACTTTGACGTCTCTCCATGAAAGATCTCCTCCTCTGAGTGTTAAAACTTTGTGCTCTTGAAAATTTTCACCGCGCAGAACCGTGCTACACAATGTTTTGTATTCATTGTACCCACGGGATCATATCCCAAGCACATATACACCCCCTCCCTTTTACCACTAGAAGCTTCTGGCAATGTTATCATCTGTCTAGTGCTAGGGTTACATATGGTGAACCGGCCTGGATCTGAATGATGTAACAGACCGAACAATCCATAGACGCAAGAGAGATGAACACGGTCCACGGGCAAATAGGACACCTTCAATTCCAGGTTGGTATGCAAAAAAGGTAAGACGAAGTGGGTAAGATAAGTTCCAACCAGATATTGGCATTTGGAGATTGGTAGGCAAAGAGGTCGTGGATCACTCTGTTTCATCGTGGGAAGACGATAAGAGGATCACGCGGTTCTCATCTATACGAACAGCGGCAAGAATCCGTGGCCGGGTTCGGGACAGCGAGCTGAACGAATCCGTGAATCATTTGGTCGCGGATTGTGGACAACCATTCCTTGGATACACACTGGAACCCCTCTTGAGAGATTTAGCCGGCAATCTCGTAAGAATCTCAACCGTTAGATCAAGAGGGATATGATGACCTAAGTTGCTGATCGAGTCGGTGAAACACCCTCGTTATCTTCATCCTCTTCACCTCTCATCCTACGAACATTAGTATAAATTCAACAAAATATCAGCCCTACGGCTGCGACGAACTAACTTCTCCAGTCGCGAAATGGAGATGTGAATAAAAGTTGTGTGAATTCAAGTTCAACAAACCCTAAATCACACACTTCAACAAATATAAATATTATTGTTAGATGTGAGAGCAATATTATGTTCCGTTAAAATCTCACACTTCAAAAAAAAGAAAAAATCACACTCTTACAAATATAAATATTGTTGTTAGCAATATTGCTGCGATGTTTAAAATTAAATTTCTCTCTTGTTATGTCTCTTTTTTTTTTTAAAAAAAAAACATGCATGCAAATAAGATGAATGAACTAATTAATTAACAAGTGAAAGAAATTAAAGTAGTTGACTGGAAAGGTAAAGAGCATGTCTAATAAATAAATTAAAAAATGTGTTATAAGAACAAGATCCAATAATATCAACATTTCGCAAGAGAAAAAGAAAAAAAAAACAACTCGAATGGCGAACTCAAGCAAGATATTAAACAAGAAGGTAGCTATAATAACCGGAGGAGCAAAAGGGATCGGAGCGGCCACAGCGAGGCTATTCGCGGAGAACGGCGCGTATGTCATAGTCGCGGATATCTTGGAGAAAGAAGGCGTCCACGTGGCAGACTCCATCGGTGGGTGCTACGTCCACTGTGACGTGTCGAAAGAGGCTGACGTGGAGGCGGCGGTGGAGCTAGCCATGAGACGTAAAGGAAGACTTGACGTGATGTTCAACAACGCCGGGATGGCTGTGAACGAAGGCAGCATCATGGAGATGGACGTTGAGATGGTTAACAGACTTGTCTCCGTCAATGTGAACGGTGTCTTGCATGGCATCAAACATGCCGCTAAGGCCATGGTCAAAGGGGGAGGAGGAGGGTCGATAATATGCACATCAAGCTCATCGGGGGTTATGGGAGGACTTGGAGGTCACGCGTATACGCTTTCGAAAGGAGCCATTAACGGTCTGGTGAGGACCACGGCTTGCGAGCTCGGGTCGTACGGCATCCGTGTGAACAGCATCTCTCCTCATGGAGTTCCCACTGACATCTTGGTCAATGCGTACCGTAAGTACCTAAACAATGACAAAATTGACGTCGCTGAGGTCACCGAGATTGTGGCTGAGAAAGGGAGTTTGCTGGCTGGAAGGGCCGGTACGGTGGAGGATGTGGCTCAAGCAGCTTTGTTTCTTGCAAGCCAAGAATCGTCAGGGTTCATTACCGGACATAACCTGGTTGTCGATGGTGGTTACACCTCTGCCACTAGTACCATGAAATTTATATACAACTAGTTTTCGTTTTTTTTTATATATGATTAACCGAATTCAAACCGAAAACCAAATCAGTTTTAAAATGTTTCCTAGGTTTTGTGTAGAGAGACTATCACACGTCCTTGCACGATTAAAAGTCAGACTAATGGTGGTGCCTATACAATTTCTGTAATTTGAGAGTTACAAGAATCTGACTTTGTCTGGTCAAGTTCAAATATATAGAGAGAATAAAGAGTTCAAATAGAGATTGTTCTGCAATTAAGTTGATAACTCTATGATTAACTCGTAAGATAGTTTGTCTATACAAAAGCAATATCGAAATTTGAAGCACAATGACTTCAAATTTCACCATTTATGACTATGTATAACAAAGCTCAGATAGAGAGAACCCAATAGAAATATGGGAAAACTCCTCTTCGTGAGTGCCACAAATACAATTTAGCCTGTGACCGATGATGGCCTGCTTTGGTTTCCGGATTGCTCTGTACAAAGGAGACAAACCCCCATGTTTGTTGTTGTTGGTCAGACTCAGATCTCGTAGTCTATATCTGTTGCATTCTGTGAATCAGACTGCTTCACCAACTGTTCCTGTTCGTCATACCGATCAAGGTTCTCACATGGAGCCGGGAAGATGGTGCCTATCACACGTCCTTGCACGTACGCGCACTGGAATATGTGCTTTTTCTTGTACGTTATCCCCACTGACATGTCCCTGAAGGTCACGTTTTTAACCGGAATCTCTTTGCTCCCTTGGATACGCACCGGTACGCGCACCCCTTGACCGTATATCCCCGTGTAGTTTATGTTCTCGAGGACCGGGAACGCTTGCGGGTTGAATCCACCATCCGGGTGCTCGTTGTAGTCGGTTTTGATCACAATGCCAACTCTCAGTTCATCCAACGTGACATTCCGGAATGTTATATCGCGGACATACCCGCCTCTTCCTGGTGCCGTTTTTATCCTAACTCCACGCCGTGAGCTCCAGATCAGAATGTTCTCCACCGTGATGTTCGATACACCACCAGACATCTCGCTTCCTATTGATATACCAGCACTGTTTTGCACAGAGTCTTTAGATACATGTCAAGATTATTCCATCAGAGATCGATTTGGAAATCCAATTCTGCCTTACCTAACCATGGAGCGGATGGTGAGGTTGCGGATGAGTATGTTCTTTGAAGGTCGTCCATAGGTAGTTCCATACTGGTCCCAACCGCTCTTTATTGCAATCCCATCATCCCCAACGCTGATGTACGAGTTCTCGATTATCATGTCCTCGCACGAATCTGATGCACAACGAGAGGTTATTAGCCACCAGCAAAGCTAACTAGTGTACACAAAACGCCCCAAGCGCATACTCTGGTCTGATTTGTATCAATCAGATCATATGTTAGGTACCATGAAAGGAGCTGTGACGCTATTAAGCACATGAAATTTCTGAAAAATACACATAAATTTAATTGCTAGAATCCTAGTTGCAAATTGGGAATTCAGGATTGATATTCCAAACTTAGAGGCCTAGTTCTATGATTTTGTCACTCTAATAAAAGCCCTCTTGTGCTCCGTTTCATTTTGGTCCATTATAGGTGTCGCGTTGCAATCCTGGATTCATTTTCTTTGCAACATATATCTGAGTTGAAGAAGTGGAAGACGTTACAGTACTTACCAGGATCGATACCATCAGTGTTTGGGGCTTCGAACACAGGTGCCAAGATGGTCATATTTGTGATTGTGACATTTTTGCAGTCGTACGGGTGAAGTGTCCAAAACGGAGAATCACGCAAAGTGATGTTGGCGAAAACAACGTCACTTGACCACATTATCTGAACCAGTGGTCCTCTTGTGTGGTTGAGCAGCTTTTGGCGGTACTTCTTCCACCAAGTTTGCCCTTGCCCGTTGATGCTACCGTTATTCCCTGTTTTTAACCATCAATTTACACATTAAACGCCACATAAGGCTTATCTAAGAGAGGAACTTAGTCGATTCTTGTCCCGAGTGCTACTCTTAAACCTATTGCCCAGCTAAGAGAAGGACATAACAGCTTATAAAGCTATATTCTGAATCACATTTCTCTTGAGAGAAGAGAGTCCCCACAAGCAAGATTTACAAAGCAATTGACTGACCTGTGACGACGACATCTTTGAGATTCTGTCCGTGAATGAAACTTCCATAGCGTGGTCCAGGATGCTCTCTTCCATAGCCGTATGAAGGTAAAGGAGGAAGCAGGGGCCATAACTTTTCATCCTATGAATGTTAACAAATACAAGTATAGAAGATCAAATTATGCTTCTTGGAGGAACCTTTAGGACCAATTCAATATCAATCAAAAAATCACTCTATAAAATTTCTCGTAAACTTCAACTCAAATCACAACCAAAAAAAAAAAATCTCAACTTTTCAAATGGATCTCTTCCACAGTTCCATCAACATATCATATTCACGAAAAAATGAGAACAAGAGCCGCAAAAACTAACCTGCGCAGCAAGAATCTCAGCGTTCTCGGCGAGGAAAAGCGTCATGTAACTGGTGAGGTTAAACGGCGCCGTGAGCCACCTACCGGGAGGCACATTAAGCTGCCCACCTCCTTTCTTCCCAAGCTTTGAGATCGCAAAGATAGCTCTCTCGAACGCCTCGGTGTTCATCGTGACGCCATCGCCCACGGCGCCGAAATCCGTCAGATTGAAGGCAACGGGTCTAAGCCGGGGAAATCCGCCGGAAGAGAGGGCGGCTGTTGACCACCAGAAAACGGAGAGGCCGCCTCCTAGGCGGTAGAGAGAGCCTCCTCGGCCGCCGAATTGCCAGATGAATAGGGAAGCGAAAGTGGCGATCCAGAAAACAGTGACGAGAGACTTGTGGGAAGAGAGGAAACGCACCATTTTTTTTAATTATACTGGGATTTGGATTAGAAGTGAGAACTGGAGAAGAAGAAGAAGAAGAACATCGGAGGAGAAAAGGGAATCTGGGAGAGAGATTTTAGATCCTTTGAGATTTGGGTGAGATGTTACTAGTCAGAAACTGGTGAAATGATTCCGAGATTTGTGAGGAAGAAGAGTGTATCCAAAGCGAAACAAAACATACAAAGTGTGTGTTAGTTTGTTAAAGAGTTAATTGCAAATATTTGATTAAGGGTAATTACGACAAATTGCAAATTAGACCATTCTAACTTACATGCACTTAGAAACACCTGATTAAAAATCTAAACTAAAACCCGACTAAACCAGCAATTGCAACCTATTTTGTCAAGGTTTATCAAAGCCAGCAAGATCAAAATACCTTTGTTCTTCGTTACAAATTATGTTTCGTATTGATTTTATGGCATTCTACAACCTAAATTATAGTATAAGATTGTGGCTATGTGACCGCTAAGTTGACATTTGGTTTCCTCATATGCATTCTCAAGTTTCTCAAAAAAAAAAAAGAGAACCCAAATACAATATGAAATCAAATCAAATCAGCACCTGAGAGTGAGAGAGATAGCTCATGTGAGACTAACAAAACGAGCTTCGATTTCATGAAACCTAGAACGGGCGAGATCATCAGTTCTGCGATCAACCTGTGAGAATCTCTGCTCCTGCGTGCTTCCTCCTCCACATCACACTCTATTCTTGCCGAAACTACTACTTTTTTCTTTAGTACTAACTATTGGGCTTATTTCTTCAACATGGGCTTCATATAATATAAATTGGGTTTTGTTTAAAAATATTGGATTTTACTTGGAAATTTTGGCATTGCTGAAAGTTGAAAACCGCACAATGCACATTACAAATTATGTTCAATCCTTTCAAACTTTGGTCCAACACAAACACACAAATTATATAAACTATAAAGTACAAAATCGTATAAATGTAATGAAGTTTTTGCTATTTGTTATTAGAAGAAGAAAAAAATATAAACATATTCCCGCCTGATTTGGACCGAAACAACCCCCACATTGGTAAAATCAAAATGTCATCAAAACAATAATCGAAAATGGTAATAAAATGATAAATGTTGAGAAAAATATATATTTATATAGTTACAATTCTAAAGGATGGTTCTAGAAAAATGAAGAGGAATCTTCCTTGTGTTCGAAGAAAAGCTAAATATATAAAAATTATTAGATCATTTATCAGAAGAAAAAAAAGATATTCAGATGCGCGTATATGTGTGATAAGGTATTTTGAGATTTTTGCGACTTTTAAAGATTCGATGTCGGCTGCTCTAAGCCTCCCTAACTCACTCTCAAGACTTTAGCCTCTCCCCGACCAACCCTACCATTTGTCTTTCTTTCTTCCTTTTTTTTTCTCTTTTTCTAATCACTCTATTTTTTTTCATTTCATTTTTAACTTACTTATAACGTATAATATGCTTAATCGAATGTTATGTTTGACTTAGTTTTTTGTTTTTGACATCAATAATCATACCCTTAAAGCCAAATCGTTCTCTCCAAAGTTCAAATTTGGTTAATTATGTCACTTGAAATGGCACTATCTATCGCATTGATCACGAGGCTCGAAATTATTAGACTAAAATTTAAAACAACTAAAATTTTGTGGTCCTTAATCATTTTTTATCGCTATTCACAGAACTAGGAAACCTAGCTAATTATTATATCAATATAATTAATAAGATAAACAAAGAATTTGATAAATCCATGCACACTACAGTCTCACCGACTGTAAAATAGTATGTCTTTTTAGAAGTGCATGAACCTCAAATCACGTATGTAACCGTCGTCTTTTTGACTAGCAATCAGTTTTCTCTTAATAGAAAAATGATAAAAAAAAACTTAATAACGCCTATTGTTGTGCTTTGTCTTCAACAAAAACGAGACGAATTCTTTGTAAAAACCAAAAAAAACGAAACGAATCCTAAGCAACAAACGGAGACAACGAATTCGATAAAAAACCATTTTCAAGTTTATAAGGAGTCACACCATTAAATGTAATATGTCGTTTTGGCAAAAAAAAAAGAAGAAAGATGTAACGTTCATTGGAATAATTAAGAGAAGCCTTGACTAGATACATATAATACAATTATATATATGAGTGCATATATCGAATCTGGTTTGGTTCATTGGTTTAATCAAGAGAGGCCTTCTAGAATTTACATATATTCTAAAGCATTTCTTTTAAGCAAAAGGATATATATCCCTTCCATTTACATCATTTTTAAGTTGGTTATTCGTCAACTCATCTCATTACATATATGTTTGTAAGCAAAATCTCGCATTATTATCAGTATCGGACCATGAATATTACGTGTGTTTGAACACACACAAAAAGAAGAAGAATATATCGTGCCAACTGCAGTGGCTTATTTTTGAAATAGAAATCGTACCTTATAAAATTGGAGTAATCACTCTATATATAATGTTTATGAGTTCGGATGACTACTCTACGTACGTTAAGTATACATGTTCAGCTTCAAATTCAATGGTAAATAAATGTTGGCTTCGGTAAAACTCTCTAATATATATGTTTGAATGTGCATGTCAGTGCATGACATTAAATGAATCATGTTCACATGTTTGCCTTAGTACCGAAGGAAAAGTCCATGACCGTACAAAGCTAGACAAGAAATTCTCGACCCCGAAGGTGCAACATCAGTTTTGATGTGATTGTAAAAAGAAGATGAATACGTAGGTTTTTTTTCCTTTATAATGAGTGGCCAATATGTAAACATTATGAGTTGATATATTCATTCAAAAAAACATTATGAGTTGATATCGTAATGTCGTTGTATATATGTGTGAGGCTTATAACGTGCAACTGTTCAAGGTGTCCATAAATATTTGCAAATGTCTTCTGATCCTTTTTGGAAATTATAGGGATTTGTTTAGAATAAGATAATTTTTAATGAAACTATATTGATTTTTTTTAGAATCATCCAGTTTTATCAAAAAGTTAGTTGTTATAACTAAATAAATTAAAAAACAAATTTTGGTCCAATCTATAAAACATTTTCTAAACGTAGTGGAAAAAGAAAAAATGTAGTCTAGTGGTTTGCAATAATAACACAATTACAAAAATGAATTGAAATTCGAAATGATGCGTGTAAATTGTAATAAATTAATATATTTTTATTTTATTTTCAAAACTACCAACGATATAAATTAAGGAAATAATTGGAACTGTTGTAGATAGAAATGTTTACATTTTGTTAAAGAAACTCCTATAGAGAAAACTTTGAAGAATGGCTAACAATACAAAAACTACTCGTAAAGTGAAAAGGAAAAGAAATCAGGAAACGAACTTCAAGATCATACGCATTATGTAAAAAGAAAAGAAAAACAATACAACTTTTTGAGGCTAACTTTTAGAAATATGAAATTTGACCCCAATCGTTTGCATTTACAATGATCTGACCCTACATTAACCATCAAAGATTCAGTGTCTTCCTAGTTTTTTATTTTCTCATTCATTGATTGATCTAATTGCAAAAAATTATCGTTTCAAACTTTCATGGTAGTGCCGTCCCTAAATATTTAGAGGCTTAAAGCAATATGGAAAAATGTGGCCTATAAATATTTAGAAAATTATTATTATTATTATTATTACAATATTTTTTAATAAAAATATATCTTGTTTTTATTTTATATAGAAAAAAACATGTAAAGAGTTTCAATGAATTTGTAGTATATTTTTGGGAAAAAATCTATTTAGGTTTGAAATTATTGCTCCTAAAAATATTATATTTAAATTCTAAAAATTATTTCATAAAAAGTGATAAAAATCAATGGAATAACATGAATTCTTGTGTATTTCTAGCAAAACATAACAGGCTTTTAATCAGTTGTAAGTTAATTGATGATAGTTAATTATTAAAACTGAACTACTATATATGATTATAAACTAATAAAAATATATTGATTTTTTGATAAAAATGCTAAAAAATGAAGAATTACTAAAAGTTTTTTAAAAAAACAATATATATTAAACTAGAAATCTGTATACCAAATTATCAACCGAGACTTCGAATCTGCTTAAAAAATTCAAAAAGAATTATATGTTACCATTAAACCAATGCTGAAAAATTACAATATGTGGCCTGATAATTGTTTAAATACTAATTGTGGCCTAAAGCTTAAGCTTCATGTGCCTTATGGCCGGAACAGTCTAGTCTTTGCCTAAACAAATTGGTAATCCCTAGTTAATCTCTCTATACTTCCCTAGTTAATCCCTAGACAGTCCGATCCAAAAATAAATGCATGGGTCTGTCTTAGATAGATATGCTTAACGAATACTAGGCAACTGTTTTCCGTTAAGTGATGTTCTTTGGGTATTACACGAACAAACCACATTTATGTCAATGTTTTACAACTAAGTTATACTATAGAATATGAGTTTCTTTCTGTTATTATCAAGTTTGATTCTAAGTAGTTTACTAAGTACCTAACCCAACAAGTAAAAAATGTTCATAAACAACTGAAAATGGATTATATATATATCTAGGATGCCTTCATACAAAATGTTTAATACTCCATATATATATTATATAATATAAGATTAATAAAGTGTCCATTCATGCAAATTGACTAGTCACCAGAACCCACCTAGTTATAATTTGGCAAAAAGTTCTTTTGGCTTTTCATTTTCCAGTTCGATCGAGAGATTCCACAATTAATTGCAAAAGCTAATTTTATTTTTTGTTATTAATTTCAACCCACCTGCTTACTACATTTATTCATTGATTCTCTGACCAAAATTTATGCTACAAAGAAACACTTTCATACAAACTCTTTTATAGAAGATATATATATATATATATATATATATGAGATACCAATTTTAATTGGTCATCCTTGAAATAATTCAACGATTATGTTGGTCCGGTGGTTCCTATCACTACAATATATGATTATATTGAATCGCGGTGAATGATATATATATATATA